TTTTCATAGTAGTCTTTAATAATTCTTTGTATTTCTGTGGAGTCTGTCGTGATTTTTCCATTCTCATTTCTGATTATGTTGATTTGTGTTGACTCTCTTTTTCTCTTAATAAGTTGGGCTAGAGGCTTATCTATTTTGTTTATTTTCTCAAAGAACCAGCTCTTGGTTTCGTTGATTTTTGCTATTGTTTTATTCTTCTCAATTTTGTTTATTTCTTCTCTGATCTTTATTATGTCCCTCCTTCTGCTGACTTTAGGCCTCATTTGTTCTTCTTTTTCCAGTTTTAATAATTGTGATGTTAGACTATTCATTTGGGATTGTTCTTCCTTCTTCAAGTGTGCCTGGATTGCTATATACTTTCCTCTTAAGACTGCTTTCGCTGCATCCCACAGAAGTTGGGGCTTAGTGTTGTTGTTGTCATTTGTTTCTATATATTCCTTGATCTCTATTTTGATTTGTTCATTGATCCATTGATTATTTAGTAGCATGTTGTTAAGCCTCCATGTGTTTGTGAGCCTTTTTGTTTTCTTTGTAGAATTTATTTCTACTTTCATACCTTTGTGGTCTGAAAAATTGGTTGGTAGAATTTCAATATTGTGGAATTTACTGAGGCTCTTTTTGTGAGCTAGTATGTGGTCTATTCTGGAGAATGTTCCATGTGCACTTGAGAAGAATGTATATCCTGTTGCTTTTGGATGTAAAGTTCTATAGATGTCTATTAGGTCCATCTGTTCTAGTGTGTTGTTCAGTGCCTGTGTGTCTTTACTTATTTTCTGCCCGGTGGATCTATCCTTTGGGGTGAGTGGTGTGTTGAAGTCTCCTACAATGAATGCATTGCAGTCTATTTCCCTCTTTAGTTCTGTTAGTATTTGCTTCACATATGCTGGTGCTCCTGTATTGGGTGCATATATATTTAGAATGGTTATATCCTCTTGTTGGACTAAGCCCTTTATCATTATGTAGTGGCCTTCTTTATCTCTTGTTACTTTCTTTGTTTTGAAGTCTATTTTGTCTGATATTAGTACTGCAACCCCTGCTTTCTTCTCACTGTTGTTTGCCTGAAATATGTTTTTCCATCCCTTGACTTTTAGTCTATGCTTATCTTTGGGTTTAAGGTGAGTTTCTTGTAAGCAGCATATAGATGGGTCTTGCTTTTTTATCCATTCTATTACTCTATGTCTTTTGATTGGTGCATTAAGTCCATTTACATTTAGGGTGACTATTGAAAGATATGTACTTATTGCCATTGCAGGCTTTAGATTCGTGGTTACCAAAGGTTCAAGGTTAGCTTCTTTAGTATCTTACTGCCTAACTTAGCTCGCTTATTGAGCTGTTATATACACTGTCTGGAGAGTCTTTTCTTCTCTCCCTTCTTATTCCTCCTCCTCCATTCTTCATATGTTGTGTGTTTTGTTCTGTGCTCTTTTTAGGGGTGCTCCCATCTAGAGCAGTCCCTGTAGGATGCCCTGTAGAGGTGGTTTGTGGGAAGCAAATTCCCTCAGCTTTTGCTTGTCTGGGAATTGTTTGATCCCACCATCATATTTAAATGATAGTCGTGCTGGATACAGTATCCTTGGTTCAAGGCCCTTCTGTTTCATTGCATTAAGTATATCATGCCATTCTCTTCTGGCCTGTAGGGTTTCTGTTGAGAAGTCTGATGTTAGCCTGATTGGTTTTCCTTTATAGGTGACCTTTTTCTCTCTAGCTGCCTTTAAAACTCTTTCCTTGTCCTTGATCCTTGCCATTTTAATTATTATGTGTCTTGGTGTTGTCCTCCTTGGATCCTTTCTGTTGGGGGTTCTGTATAATTCCATGGTCTGTTCGATTATTTCCTCCCCCAGTTTGGGGAAGTTTTCAGCAATTATTTCTTCAAAGACACTTTCTATCCCTTTTCCTCTTTCTTCCTCTTCTGGTATCCCTATAATACGAATGTTTTTCCTTTTGTATTGGTCACATATTTCTCTTAGTGTTGTTTCATTCCTGGAGATCCTTTTATCTCTCTCTATGTCAGCTTCTATACGTTCCTGTTCTCTGGCTTCTATTCCTTCAATGGCCTCTTGCATCTTATCCATTCTGCTTATAAATCCTTCCAGGGATTGTTTCACTTCTGTGATCTCTTTCCTGACATCTGTGATCTCCTTCCGGACTTCATCCCACTGCTCTTGCATTTTTCTCTGCATCTCATCCCACTGCTCTTGCATTTTTCTCTGCATCTCATCCCATTGCTCTTGCATTTTTTTCTGCATCTCTGTCAGCATGTTCATGATTTTTATTTTGAATTCTTTTTCAGGAGGACTAGTTAGGTCTGTCTCCTTCTCAGGTGTTGTCTCTGTGATCTTTGTCTGCCTGTAGTTTTGCCTTTTCATGGTGATAGAGATAGTTTGCAGAGCTGGTACAAGTGACCGCTGGAAGAGCTTCCCTTCTTGTTGGTTTGTAGCCTTTTCCTGGGAGAATAGCGACCTCTAGTGGCTTGTGCTGGGCAGCTGTGCGCAGACAGGGCTTCTGCTTCCTGCCCAGTTGCTTTGGGGTTTATCTCCACTGTTGCTGTGGGCTTGGCCTGGCTGGGGCTGTTCCTCCAAAATGGTGGAGCCCCGTTGGAGGGGGAGCAGCCAGGAGACTATTTATCTCCGTAAGGGGCCTCTGTGCTCCCTGCTGCCCAGGGGGTTAGAGTGCCCAGAGATCCCCAGATTCCCTGCTTCTGGTCTAAGTGACCTGTCCTGCCCCTTTAAGATTTCCAAAAAGCACTCTCCAAACCAAAACAACAACAGCAACAATGAGAGAGGGAACAGAAAGGAAAAAAAAAAGAAAAAACACGCGATTTTTTTTTTTTTTTCCCCAGGTGCCGGTCCCAGGCACCCGCGCACTGGTCCTGCTGCCCTGTCTCCCTAGCACCAGGGTCCCTGTCCTTTCAAGGCTTCCAAAAAGCACCCACCCACCGGTCCCGCAGGGAAGGAACGCTCAATATTCTTGGTCCTCAGGCACTGGTCCCACGCACCCGCTCACCAGTCCCGCCGCCCTGCCTCCCTAGCACCGGGGTCCCTGTCCCTTCAAGGCTTCCAAAAAGCACTCGGCAAAAAGAGAGAAAAAAAAGGGGAAAAACGCGCGATTTCTTCCGTCCTCAGGTGCTGGTCTCAGGCACCCACCCACCGGTCCCACAGGGAAAAATGCGGGATATTCTTTGTCCTCAGGTGCCGGTCCCAGGCACCCGCTCACCAGTCCCGCCGCCCTGCCTCCCTAGCACCGGGGTCCCTGTCCCTTTTAGGCTTCCAAAAAGCACTCGCAGAAAAGAGAAAAAAAAAAGGGGAAAAACGCGCGATTTCCTCTGTCCTCAAGTGCCGGTCTCAGGCACCCGCCCACCGGTCCCGCAGGGAAAAACGGGGGATATTCTTTGTCCTCAGGCGCCGGTCCCAGCCACCCGCTCACCAGTCCCGCCACCGTGCCTCCCTAGCACTGGGGTCCCCGTCCCTTCAAGGCTTCCAAAAAGCGCTCGCCAAAAAGAGAAAAAAAAAAAAAGGGGAAAAACGCGCGACCTCCTCCGTCCTCAGGCACCGGTCTCAGGCACCCGCCCCCAGGTCTCGCAGGGAGAAACGCGGGATATTCTTTGTCCTCCGGCGCCGTTCCCAGGCACCTCCTCACCGGTCCCGCCACCCTGCCTCCCCAGCAACGGGGGCCCGTCCCTCTAAGGCTTCCAAAAAGCGCTCGCCAAAAAAAAAAAAAGCTCCGGTTTCTTTCCACCCGCCGGGAGCCGGGGGGAGGGGCGCTCGGGTCCGGCCGGGCTGGGGCTTGTATCTTACCCCCTTCGCAAGGCGCTGGGTTCTTGCAGGTGTGGATGTGGTCTGGATGTTGTCCTGTGTCCTGTGGTTTCTATTTTAGGAAGATTTTTCTTTGTTATATTTTCATAGCTCTATGTGTTTTTGGGAGGAGATTTCCACTGCTCTACTCACGCTGCCATCTTGGCTCCGCCCTGCAGATGTCTACTTTTGACCATTAGGAATAATGTTGCTAACATTCATGTACAGGTTTTTATGTGGGCATATATTTTTAAATCTTCTGGGTATATACTTTGGAATGGACTTGCTGGGTCATATGGTAACTTTCTGCAGAAGTACGAAACTGTTTTCCACAGCAGCTGCACCACTTTACATTCCTATCAGCAAGTACCAATTTTGCTGCATCTATGCCAACATTTGTTATTTTGGTTTTTTTTGATGACAGCCATCTTATTGAGTGTGAAATAGTATCTCATTGCAGTTTTAATGCTGACCTATGATGTTGGACATCTCTTCATGTGCTTATTGGTCATTTGTATATTTTCTTTGGAGAAATGTGTCTTCAAATTGTTGGCCCATTTTTAAATGAGGTGTTTTGTCTTTTTTATTGTTGAGTTGTAAGAGTTCTTTATATATTCCAGGTACTGAACCCTTACCAATTATATGATGGGCAAATATTTTTTTCCATTTTTTTCGTCATCTTTTCACTTTTTAATAGTATCTCTTGATGCACAAAAGTTTTTAATTCTGATCAAGTCCAACTTGTTTATTTTTTCTTTTGGTGCTTGTGTTCTGGGTGCCGAAGAGTACTGGATTTTGTGCTCTAATTTTGTAGAATGCCCCTCTGTTTGTCTGAGGTCCCCTCCTGGTTAGTTTCAGGCTATGCACTGCCTCCTTTACCATCCTCACATCCCTGGAGGGAGGCGCAGTTATCCACGTATTAGGTCCCAGAGTTCATGGGCTGGCCCGAGGTCACATTGCCTGTGTACTGGGTAAGCCGGTTTTTGCCCTGGCCTGCCTGACTTCAGGGTCTCAGCTGCCGAGCAGAGGCCTGCTCCCTCTAGGGCTGCTTGCAGGACGGGTTTCAGGCAGCAGTGGAGTTGGGTCCCCGGCCCAGGACCTGGTGGGAAGCCTGGAGCCCCAAGCCTGCTGCCACCCCACCCAAGGCCTGGGGAAACTTCCCTGAGCAGCAGTGGGTCTAATGCCCACCTGCTGGCCTCTTCCCTGCAGTTGGGTGTTCCTGGTGAAGAAGGGTTACCAAGACACCGACACCTCCCTGCAGAGCAGCATTGTCACCAAAGTGAAGGGTGTGACCTTCACCAACACCTCAGAGCTCGGCGAGCGGCTCTGGGACGTTGCCGACTATGTCATCCCACCTCAGGTTGGAGTCCCAGTCAGCACTGGGCTGGGCGGCAGGGCCTGACTCGGGTGGTCACACAGGAAGTTGCTCGAGTACCTGGGGACTTCCATCCTTTGTCTCCCTTGGGCCAGGATGGTTGCCAGGGTTTGCATTTAGCGACCCTGCCCAGGTCCTTCCTGCCATGCCAAACCTCTGCCCTCCTTGCCTGTGCCTTATGGGACCGCTCTGGTCCCAACAAACCCTGAGTGGGCTGAGACCAAATGGGGCTCTGAGAACTCGGTTGGCATGAGTCAGGTGCTCTGGTGCAGAGAATCCCCCCTTGTATCAGCCACTGCCCCTGGGGACAGCTTCCTGGCCTGTTCACCGCCACCCTGTCCCTGCCCCTCCCCCTCCCATATCTGGGCTGGTACCCCAGGGGCTGAGGGCAGAATAAGGATTGGCAAAGAGGGGGCAGGTTGGGGTTGGGACCCGTCAAAGGACATCTACTCAGGGACGCCTAGGTCAGTGGGCAGAGGGGTGGGAGCCACTGGTTTTGTAGCCCTATTTCCTCAACACCTGGGCAGAGACCCCACCCCCTGCCTGGCAGCTCTGGAAGGAGGGTCTCCAAAGGGACAGGAGGAGGTTCCTTAACCCTCTCTGGTTCCTCAGGGGGAGAATGTGTTCTTCATCATCACCAACCTGATCGTGACGCCCAACCAGCGGCAGGAAACCTGTGCTGAGGTTTGATGTGGGGCAGAGAGCTGGCAGGAGAGTGGCCAGCAGTGGGTGGGTTCTACCCCTGTTCTGAAGCAGGGGTTTCTATACCGGGGGCCCCGGGGGAGGTGTGTGTGCCTATTATGCAAAGTCTGGGGGAGTCTCAGAGGGTGTGTGGCCCCAGGCAGGCCTAACTCCTGGGTGGGACCTGGCTCTGAGCTGGGCCCCTGCAGGGGAAGCCCCGTGAGCTGCCTTTTCTTTCCTGGCAGAGTGAAAGCATTCCCGACGCTCTGTGCCATGAGGACAGCGACTGCCCTCCTGGGGAGCCTGTTGTGGCTGGAAATGGTGAGGCCTGGAGTGGCCAGGGCTGGGGGGCAGCGGGGGCTGGAGCCAGAGCCTCCTAGCACTGTCTCTGCCCCACCCCTGCAGGACTGAGGACTGGCCGCTGCCTGAGGGCAGGGAACACACAAAGGGGCACCTGTGAGATCTTCGCCTGGTGTCCAGTGGAGACAAAGTCCAGGCCAACGTGAGTGACTGAGGCCTCAGGACCTGACCCAGTTCTGTGCAGTGGGTCCCACCTGATGGATCCTCAAACCTCGTAAGGCCTGTGGGCCACTCCAACATGAACAAATTAACTGTCCTTGGCCATGGCTCCAAGGGACCCAGGGAACAAGCAGGCCTCAGCCCTGTCACAGGCTGGGGTGTTGCATGGAGGCAGAAGGGAAGCAGGGCTAGGGCTCCTGGGCAGGCTGTCCTGGCTTGTTTTTCAGGAAGCCACTCCTGGGCAAGGCTGAAGACTTCACTGTTTACATAAAGAACTTCATTCGTTTCCCCAAATTCAACTTCTCCAAGTAGGTGGGGCTTGGCTGCAGGGGATCCAGGGCCTGGGTCTTGGGTGGCTGTGCATGGGCCCGTGTGCATGGGGTGTGTGTGTGTGTGTGTGTGTGTGTGTGTATGAACCACTGATTCATGCTGGGGCACCCCTTTCCTCTGTTGTGAGAGTGGGGCCCTGTCCTTGCATGCAGTAGGTTGTTGGGGATCCTGAGGGGGTGCAGCCAGGATTCAAGCAGGGGCTAGTCAGGGACTCAGCCTGGGCCAGGTGAGGGGCCCAGTGACTCCTGAGTCAGGCCCAGCCTCCAGCCCAGGATCTCACCTTTCTTTCATTGCTGTTCATGGCCTCCACCCAGGACCAATGTACAGGATTCCAAAGACAAATCTTTCCTGAAATCCTGTCAGTTTGGCCCCAAGAACCCCTACTGCCCCATCTTCCGACTGGGGTCCTTGGTCAGCTGGACAGGGAGCAACTTCCAGGAGCTAGCCTTGCAGGTGGGTGGTGTCCCCCTGGGGCCTAAGGGCTCTGGGCCTGGGCTCTGCAATGAGGAGGGCAGTGTAGGGTGGCACCCATGGGCTGGGGTGGCCCTGCGAAGTCCTCTGCCCCAGGGATTCACTGTCTTCAGAACTGGCTGTGGTGCACAGCCATCTGTGCCTGCCCTGGGACCTCGGGCCTTCAGCACCTGCCATGTGGTTCTTGGTTCTTGGGGCATCAGCTGACACTGTGCCAGCAGGAGCCCCCCCTGGCACATCCTGGCTCTTGTGTAAGGTGCCCATCCCATGGTGGGAGCTCACTTTGCCAGTCGCCATGTCCCCCGTACACGAAGCAGGTGGATCCTGGCTGGGGTGGTCAGCGATGCTTTCCTTAGCCACTCTGAGGTGGGGCTAGAACTGTGGGCTTTCCACTGTCCACCTGGAAGGATGCTGCAGCCTACCGACCCCTTGCCTGAGCCCTCTCCCCATCTGGTCCAGCTCTCTGTGAAGAGCCAGCTGGTCTGGGACCTCTGTTTTCTCAGAAAGCCCTGTGCATTGATTCTTGTCTCTTTTTCATCAAGGGTGGTGTAATAGGTATTCAGATCGAATGGGACTGTGATCTTGATAAAGCTCCTTCTGAATGCAACCCTCACTATTATTTTAGCCGTCTGGACAACAAATTTTCAGAAAACTCTATCTCCTCTGGGTATAATTTCAGGTAACCAGGGCTAAGCCTGCCGCCTTGTGACCCACCATCCTGGGTGGCAGCCCTGTGACACCCCTTCCTGGGGATGGGTGTCAGAGCGCTTGGTGCAGGGAGAGACGGCAGCTGGGAGTGCCCCTGGGAGAGAACGGAAGTGGCTGCCACCCCCTGCTTGCCATGGAGCCGAGGCTTGGCTTCTCAGCTGGCTCAGTTCCATTGGTGCTTTGGTGGCCCTAGCTTGGCCCAGAGTACAGTGAGAAAGTCCTCCCCCTTGGGAAATGTATGGGAAGGGTTTCAAACGTTTGAGTGTGTCTTTAGCATAATGTCAGCAAGAGGGTCTGCACCCTCTCCTGGGGGTGCTGAGACCAGGGTTCTGCGGTGTTTATAAATCACCAAGGCAGCTGAGTCTGTAGTACCAAACAGGGAAGGCCCAGCCAGCCTGAGGGCTCCTCTGGGCCATGTCTCCCCCAGGTTTGCCAAATATTACCGAGATGCGGCTGGGGTAGAGTTCCGCACCCTGATGAAGGCCTACGGGATCCGCTTTGATGTGATGGTGAATGGCAAGGTGTGTGGGGCAGGGCTCATCCGGGGTGGGGCACATTGGGCAGGGTCCTGGGCTGGCTCTGGCTGGAGTCCTGGTGGGGGTCCCACTGTCCATCCTGCTTTGCTCACCCTCTCTTGTCTTTCTGTGCTACATACAGGCAGGGAAGTTCAACATCATCCCCACAATCATCAACGTGGGCTCTGGGCTGGCACTCATGGGTGCTGTGAGTACCTACCTTCCCCACCTGCACCCTCTGAGCACTGGCAGTTGGGGGGAATGCCCCAGAGGACCTGCCCTCATGCCCCAGAAAGGAGGAGAGCTGGTGGGGTCTGCAGGATGACGGTAGAGGGTTTTGGGGGACTTTGCCCCCCTCTGGAGTCCTCAGGTGGCCATGACTGCCTGCGGTTCTCTGCAGAGAGCCAGAGAGGCACTGCCTGGGGCTCTGGATTTGGGTGTGGCTGGGGTTCTCTGGGATCCTGGGCCAACCGCTCAACGTCTAAGCCTCATCTCCACTGCTGCTAAATAGAAGCAGGACCCAGCTATGTACAGGCATTCTCAACTGTGTTCCTGTCCTAGTGATATTTTGAGCCAGATAATTCTTTTTTGGTAGGGCCTGCCTGTGCACTGCAGGACATTTTACTGCATCCCTACCTACCCTGTACCCAAGAGAGGCTGCAGCACTTTCTCCCACAGTCGTGATAGCCAGAATGTCTCTAGACATCATCAAACGTGCCCCAGAGGCCAAGTTCATTCCCAATTGATAATCACAGAGTAAAAAGATGACAGGCAGGGAAGCCTGTTAGTAGTGTTCCTCAGAGCTGTCCCTTCAGTTGGGCCCAGAGGGGCTCACAGGAGAGAGGTCATGGCCGGAGGGCAGGTGAAGCTTTACTCTAAGTCTCTGTCATACCCCTTTGTTCTGGAAGTTTTCTAGCCATTTGGGTTGTCGGTGAGTGGCTTGCACCCATCTTAGCATGCCCCTCGCCTGGGTTTCTGGCCGCCTCTTTCCTCATTCTTCTGTCCTGGTGGCCAAACAGCCAATGAAACTTCTGGCAGGACCCAGGAGGGACTTTTTTGAGACCAGGAAAACTCTGTCTTCTAACAGGACTCAGCAAGGCTGTGCTCCAGAGAGTTGGTCCATGAAAGTGAGCCCCATTGTTAGGGAACCCCACCTGTTTGCATATGTGACATTCTTAGAGAGGGGCCACCATCAGCCATCACTTCCTTATGATGTGGGTAAATTGGAACACAAGGCATGATGGGGGGCATACCTTGAAGTGAACATTTTAAGAAACAAAATTCAACCAAGTAAACTGGAAGATTTAAGTTGCATAAAATAATTTGTGAATTGGGTATCATCCCATCTATTGGGTATCATCCCATCTAGCGAGTAGAGGGGAACTTTGCTAAGCAGCAGAAAAGAATAGGCTTTTAAAGATCTTTAAAGGTTTTAAAGAAGAGGAATTTATTAGCAAAGCATGCATAGTTTAGGCAAGTAACCCTCCTAAGACGGAAGGGGGCCCTCAGGGAACTGCCTCTGGGAAATTCGGTTTGGCTGGCTAAACATTACTTTCCCAAGAGGACTGAAACTGCAGTTAGGTTAGATATTAAATCTGGGTCCACAGTAGCGGGGCCTTAACGTAAGTGGCTCCATTTGGGGAAAGAGCAGTGGTAGAGGCTGGGTGGGGGTAGGAGGAGTGTTCTCTGTGAGACAAGGAATTGATAAATAACATTTTTGGCATCTCCGGGGGGAAAAGGTGTGTAGTGCCCAACATCAGAGGGCCACCTTTACCTGGAGGCCCAACCCTCAACACCCCAACCTCCTCCCTCCTCAAGCTGGAAGCGCCTCCCTCTCACCTCTGTGCTGTGGTGGAGTCGCTCTCTGGTGGAGGAGATGAGCATTTGCACTATGCGTCTGGTCCGATGTCCTCCAATCCATCTCACACTGACTACTGACTGGAGGGATCTTCCTAAAAAATGCCATAATTATGACTGTGTCCTGCTCTTATTCAAAGCCCTCAGTGCCTCCCCAAAAGATTAGGACCTATGTCTCGAAAACATCCATCTCTCCAGAAGTGTCTTCGGCTCGTCCCCTGCTGCCATGCCCTGTGGAATTTCCCAGGCATGACACGCTTGTTCCCGCCTCTGTGATGCCCTTCCTGGAATTTATTTATTCTTCAACTTTTGGATTGTATAATCTATTTCTGTCAAGATTCTGCCCAGATGTCCCTCCCCAGGCTGAGCGAAGTCCTGTCTTCTCTCAGCTCGCGCTGCTCCCCTCCCCATCATAGGACTGTGTCACCTCTGTCACTGTCAAAATGCACATGCCTGTCTCCTGCCCCAAAGGGCACGGCCCCAGAGGGTCTCACTGTCTCCCTCCCTGCTCTCCGGTGCAGGCCCCGGCACAGGGCGTGTGCTCAGCAGGCACTGTCTGAAGCCATGCTGGTTGGGGTCAGTGTAGTGCTGGGGGTGCTTGGTCTGAGGGACCCCAGGGACGCCAGGCTCCCTTTCGCTCCGCCCTGACAAGCTCTGTGCCTTGGAGAAGGCTGCCTCTTCCTGAGCCCCGTTTCCCTGTCTGTGAAACAGGGACTCCCCCACAGGGGGCTGTTGCAGGGTCACTTTGGATGTAGTGTGCGCCAAGTGGCTGGGTGTTCCTGTAAGTCTAGGATTCTGAGTCAGGGACCCCAACCCTTTGGCAGGGGTCCTTCTTCTGTGACCTGGTGCTCATCTACTTCATCAAGAAGAGCAACTTTTACCGGGACAAGAAGTACGAGGAAGTGAGGTCAGTCAGGCTTCCTCTCCAGCAGCCTGAGGGAACCCCTGTGGAGCCCCCTGGTGGCGCCTCCCCCTCCCTGGCTTAGAGCCTTTGCCCTGGCTGGATGGCGGCCCCTGGAGTATGGAGGCAGGGGTGAATCGCAGGGAGCTCGCCGGGGAGGAGGAATGTTCTGGGAATATGCTCACAGATCTGATTCTGCCTCAGTACAGCTGGCAGAAGAAACAGCCACCTCAGGCTGTGGGCAGGAGAGCTGGGTACCAGGCCCAACTCAGCAGCTGCCCAACATGTGACTTTGGACAGGTCCCAGGCCTCCTTGGGCCTCAGGTTCTCTCTGGGAAATGAGGGTTGGTTTCCATACAATGCCTTTTAACACTTACATTTTAGGATTCTGTATAGGCCTCGGTTGCCCTGCTGGGGCTGGGGCTAAGGGAAGCTGGTGTGTTAAAGGAAGAAAAGGTGGATTTCTTCTTAGCACTGTGGGGTCCTATTTCCAGGCTTTTATGGTGTGTGTGTGTGTGTGTGTGTCATTGTGTGTGTGTGTGTGTGTGTGTGTGTGTGTGTGATAGTATGAGTGGGAAATCCAGACATTGGGGGACAGGAAGGGGAAGGGGTCTCCAGCCCAGCCTTCAAGGAAGGCTTTCTGGAGGGCTGGAATCAGAATGGGGAATTGCAGATGGTGGGCACTGGCCAGGCACCTGGGTGCCTCCTCCGCCCCACCACAACCTGGGACAGCAGGCGGAGGATCAGCCTCCATTTGCCTGGATAACCTCAGCCCAGGCTGAGCCCCAAGCCCTGACCCTGTCACTCCGACTGAGCAACTGGAGAAAGAGGGGTGCCCCCTGGGGCGAGAGGCTCAGCAGGGCCAGCCAGCCAGGCTAGGGACATTGCCCTGGCGCCGCAGGCCAGGGTTAACGGGTCCTGTCCTGCCCAGGGCCCTAAAGGGCCTCACGCGGCTGGTGAAGTCCTCGCAGCAGGGTGAGGCCCCAGAGGCTGAGGACGCGGGAACGGGGCCGGGGCTGGCGGAGCAGCCGGAGGTGCAGGACGGAGGCGGAGGCCAGACGGGGGATGGCTGCGTGAGCCGGCAGCTCCTCGAGCCCGCCAGGTGAGGGGCTGCGGGCAGAGGGCCCAGGACTGGGCTGCAGGAGACCTGGCTACCAGGCAGGAAGTCCAGGACCCAGGAGAGTACATCAAAGCTGGACCCTGGGTGAAGGGGCTGCCGGTGGTGCTTCATTTACCTGTTTATCCCCATTAGCTCCCAACACCTCTAAGTACCTGCAAACAGGCCGCTTGCTGTGCTGTCACAGGGCTCACACAGTAACAGTACTTAGCAGCTTTTCCCCGGCTTTCTTTCTGCTCTGCACTGCTTTGAACAATTTGTGTTGTGAACTTATTTCAGACACTTATGAGGTGGACACTAATGTACCCTATTCTACTAATGAGGAAACTGAGGCACTGAAAGGTTAAGTAAACTTGCACAAGTCACACAGCTAGTAAATGGCAGAGTTGGAATCTGGACCCTGGCAGTGTGTGTCTGGAATCCAATTCTCCTTCATCGGGTTATTCTGCTTTCTCAGGCCCGTCCTTCCCCCACTCCCCATCAGATGCCTTCCCTAAGTCCCTCTTCGAAGTGGGAATTCTGGAGCTGTCCTAGCCTCAGGAGGGGCTATGCTGACAGGTGACCTGCAGTCTGACCTGACCATTTTGCAGATGTGACCTCAGCGTGGTGCCAGAGGGAGCCCTGGGCTGAGTCAGAAGGCTGGCCTTCAGGGCTGCTCTGCTTCTGCCTTGCTGTGTGCCCTTGAGCAGGTACCTGGCCCTTTCTGAGCCCATTTTTCCCTTTTTTAATCCAGTGGGGGCTGCACACAGGGCTCTTCCTGCTCAGTCAGGCTAGGGTCCAATGACTCTTGTAAACCAAGTCCCAGGAGTTCACTGGCTTAAGGTGGGCCCTCCTTCTGCCCCCAGCACTCATTCTTTGCTGACTTAGGGATTGGCAGCCTCCAGCCAGGAGCTGTGCCTGGGCAGGGAAGGATTGAGGAGGCAAAGAGAGGCTGGGGGCTTGCAGCAGCCAGGGGAAGGGGGCAGTGGAGGCCTACCTGCTCCGAGCTGTCACCTCTTGGATGCCTGCCTGAGCTCTTCGGCCTGCCAGGGGGAAGAAAGCCGCTGGTCTTGGCGCAGCTTTGCCTGTTGCTGTGGGAGGCTCAGGGCTGCCACGGCGGTGGCTGCTGCTCATTGCTGGGGCAGCTCTAGAGGCTTCAGCCTGGGCATCTACTCGTGTCTGGGCTGTGCCTGCGGCCTGGACAGACTGCTCCTCTCTGTGAATTCTCTGCCTGCCTGCAGTGCTGCCAGCCAGACGCTGCTGCAGGTGGAGTCCGCCTTAGGGAGGCTGGCTGTGTCCAGAGGGTTCCCAACTGCCCTCTGTGCCCCCTACCCCACCCTCACACAGGTCCGGCCACCTGGGGAATGGCAAGGTGAATGTGGAGCAGCTGCAGAACCTGCAGACAGTGGAGGCGTAGCCAGCAATGTTGACCTAGAGCGGATTTGGTGAAGATGGGGGCAGAACTATGCACAGCTCTGAGCTGGGAAGATCCGCCTTTGTGTCTGCATGGGACACGGGCTCCCAGGGCAGCCATCTTCCTGCACTTTGGGATCTTGCCACAAGCTTATTGTGGTGTGTGTGAGGAGGAGAGTCTCCCAGTGGCCAGAATGGCTCAGATCTAGAAGAGGAGGCCCTGGGGAGGGAAGGGGTCAGGCCAGGAGCTTGAGTGCCACTAGAGTAGTTTTCATGATTTCTGAGAACCTGCTTGGGCATTCATTTGTTCATTAAATAAACATTTTTTCCTGCGGGCTGGGCCCTATGCAAGACGTGTTTAAATGAGATGCTGACCTGGCCCTCGGAGTGGGGCACACTTGCCATTCCCTTCAGAGCCAACGGCCACTTTGGCCTTCCTCCAGCCACTAGCTGAGGCCTTCACAAATCCCTTTCGAGAGTGATGGCTTCTCAGAGAAGGGCCTTGGCCAACATGCAAGGGGACATTCGACTTCGCTCCCAGAGATCAAATGTAAAGGTGGCCAAGGAAGCAGCCAGGAAAAGACTGGACCCGCCAGAGGCAGCTGGCCCTGAGGGGAGAGGCCCTCCCGAGAGCTCCTGGGGAAGGTGGGGAAGGGGAGGCAGGGAGGCCTCTGCTCCGGCAGAGCATCTGGCCTAGAAGGGAGATCATTTGATGGTGTGGTCTGGCTCTTGCTGTTCTGTGGGGCTGGGGGTTCCTGCCCGCAGTCCGCCCCTCTCTCCTCAAAGGCCGGGTCTGAGGGGCCAGTGAGGTAATGGATGGTGCTCACTGGGCAGGTGGAAGTGTTGTCAGGGCGGCCCTTGCCCTTCACGCTTGCCCTTTCCTCCCCGCCCCCACCCTGCAGAACCCAGCCGCCTCAGAGCGTGCACTTTGCACGCACCAGCATCACCTGGGAGTTCCTTGGAACTGCAGTCTCCAGCCCCTCCCTTGTCCTCCTAAATCAGACCCTGCATTTCCACAAGATTCCCAGGTGATCGGTGTGCATGTTAGAGTTTGAGAAGCACTGGTTGAGTTAATGCAGAGCCTGGTTCCGAGGGAGGAACAAGCCAGCTTTGGTGGGTGGCACCAATTTCTGGTCACATGCTCTACCTTGAGACCCAGATGATCCCCCACCCCCACTCCTGGGTAAGTGGCATGATACTTAAATTTATTTAAGTTAAAATACTTTGACTGGATAATAGTGACATGACTCAAAATTTAAAAGGCACCAAATGATAGTGAAAAGCTTCCCTCCCACCCTCTTTCCTGAGGCAACCCGTGTCACCACTGCCAAGAGACGCTTTTGTTTTCCTGAGAATCCACCTGGTTATGTGCACCCTCTCAGGAAATGAGCTTTCGATATCTGCAACTCAGACCCAGTTTCTTCTCTCAGGAAGGGACACACGGAATAACGCTGATGTGTGCCCAGCTGGGGAGGCAGCTAGCTCTCTGCTTCTCCCGGTGTCTGAGGAGTCCCCGTGCAAATCTGGGGGAGACAGAGAACTCCTAATTCACTGAGGTCTGTGGCTCAGCAGCAAAGGCCTGCAGCGTGGCCCATTGCCCAGCAAGCCCCAAGTGCTGTTTGTGCAGCTGTGTAGAAACTAGGGTACTTAAGGGCTCTTCAGGGCCTGCCTTAAGTCAGAGGAGCCTAGTTCTCCTCTGCACAGAGGGGCCCTAAGCATCCCTTCACCAGGGCCTTTGGAGAGGGTCGGAAGGGGCCTGAAAGGTCTCTGGCAAGGCTCTGCCACTGGGGCAGAGGGACATGGTCCCCAAAATAGTTGCCCTTCCAGAGCAAGCAGCTTCCTCCCTTGAGCTGCCTGATAACCTGTCCACAAGCCCACCTGTTTTCTGACTAGGAAGTAAAAAACCTGGGTGGCCCACTGTGTTTCACTTCCTTACTAAATCAAACCCTTAGACTTAATAATCTAGCATGTTACTTTTACGTTTGGAAGAGAGTAAAAAGGGCAGGGGTCACAGCTGCTTAGGATTTGGTCTGGTTTCTTTTAACCTGTTTTTGGAATTGCTTTGCAGCAATTCTATTATCAGGGGCGGTTGTACTATTTGCTTTATATTGGAATGAAAATGTCTTCCTACAGTATGAATTCACTCAGTAAATGTTTATTGAGTACCTTTTATCAGGTGTTGGACTACATGCTGGTGACACAGTGCCAAGCAGCATGGTCCCTGCCCAGGTGCTCAGTCTACGGGGAGCCAAACCTTAACCGCTGGTCCCCCTTTTACTCACAAATGGAACTGAATTGCCAGTGAAGAGTAGCCAGAAAAGGTTCCCCAAGGCAGTGACATACAAGTTAAAATCTGAAAGCTTTTTAGGTAAGGAGATCACATGCATATAAAAATAACACCTTAACCTGAAAAGAAGCAACCGGGGAAATAGATGGAGACCCTGGCTGAAGCTGGTTTTGTGAGGCCTTCTTTTTATCAACTGAATACTTCACTGCTCTCGAGGACTGAGCCTAACTGTTTCTTCAAGTCCAGTAAAGCTGTGCAGGTGGCCTCCCTCCTGTCTCGGGGCCACAGGCTCACAGGAGCCACTGACCCGTTCCAGCTCCGGGACAGGGTTGGTCGCTGCCAGTTCCCTTGGTTTTGCACAGCTCTCTCCCTTGGTGCATGAGTGGAGGGCTCGTTCATTTTATAGAAACTGGCTTTGAAATGGGAAGTAAAGCAGGTACTTGGCTCCCTTCAGACATGGGAAAGCCCTTCACTCAGGGTGCCGTTGCCAACAGGAAGATGAGCGTGCCAGCCTCTCACGAGCTCCTGTCCATGCTCATTCCAGGATCACATGAATTGTCTATGCTTATGTTCAGACCCTGGCCTAAAGCCATCTACCTAGTATTTTCCTAATGATTTGGGCCAAGGGGATGTGTAAATTGGGTGCTATCAATGTGACATTATGGGGACCAGCCATGAAAAATCGAAGTGCTCTCTACTCCTGATGCAGGGGTTACCAGAACTGACCAATTACAGCTGCCTTTTCGCCCCACTGCCCCATCGGCTCCTATCTCAGTGGCTGGTTGCCCCACTGGGAGATCAGTCACAATGGGGCAATGTGACTTCCTCCAGGTGTCGCTAAGGACTACAGTGCCCTGGGGAGTCCCTTAATCACCCACTTGAAATGGCATCTTTCATGTTTGGAAAAGGGCTCCACTTGTTTCCAACCACCTCCTTCTACCAAGTGATGCAATGGGTTCAGAGACTCCGAAAGACCCCCCTTTCTGCCAGCTGTTCTTTCTTTCCCCTTAGGCCAGTACACAGACTTAAAGGGGGAAGGTGGCAGACGTTTTCAGGGATCTGCCCAATATATGTATTCTCTGACATTTTTATTTGGTTATAAAACAATAAAAGGTGTTAACTTTAAATGTGTCCTGATGTTTCTCCCTTCATGTCTTCATGGTGACCCCATGTTTTAGAGGAAAATGTAAGGAGAAAGGGACCAAAAGAGGCAGACACAGAAACAATTACAGTGAGCAGTATATTACACTCCTTACTATCTTGCAAAGAAGTTCAAATGTAAGTTAAAGAAGCTCTTTAAATAAACATGCATTAAGACTAGGAAGGCATTGGTAAAACTGGTACTTTTCATTCAATGAGTATAATCTAATAAAACTCTGGAAAGCATTTGGAATCAAGTTTTTATCTTCTGCTGTAGGAACTATTCCTTCAAAACAACATAGATGTGAAGACGTTCACTACAATAATAGTGAACATGTCAAACAAGCTTACTACCTGTTTACCACTACCTTACCTGCCTCTTGGCTTCATGTGCAAGCATGTGGTCCAGAACCCAAAATAGGATTCCGGTCTGGGTCCCAGATCCAATGGTTATTGGCCAGGGGCCACTTACTTAACTGTCTGTAAAGGAGGACTTGGAGTCAAGCTCTCAAATTCCTTTCTCATCCAAAACAGATTAAAAAAAATTCAAATCTAATCACCTCATTCCTAAAACTTCCAAAGGCTCCCCCCAGTTGCTCTAAGGATCAAGGCCCCCCCTCCCCACTGTGCTGTCCATGATCTGGTCCAGTTCTGCCTCGTGGCCTCTTTAACTCTCCAAAGACGGGTCAAACTCCTTCCTACCCAGTGGCCTCACACATGCGCTGGCAAGTATCCCCTTCTCTATGCTTGGCTGTTATTCAACTTCCAAGTCTCAAATGTAATGGTATTTCTGCAAAAAAGGCTTTCTTCACCCCCTCACCACTCCCCAACCACACACACACACCAGCCTGGGCTTGGTTTGGGTCTCTTCACACCATATCGAAGATTTGTGAAATTTGCTAATGGAAGTAACATGTTCATGACTATAACTCTAATTCAGTGCTTATTTTTCAAGTAAATGTATACATCTTAGATTCTTGGATAACCCTCCTGACAAGAAGGGATTACACATTAGCATACAGACCGGCATTTGCACTCTGGACAAGCCCAAAGTTTGGCTTAAATTCTAGTCTGTTTCATCTTCATTAGACATATTCTAGAAAAGAGCTTGAATTTGTTTTTTAAAATGGAAAGGACAGCTGGCTGTAACTAAGTGAAATGGAAGTGAAATGACATCATTCACACCTGATTGCAGTGGTGAGGTGGGAGGGAAGGCGGGGCTCTGAAAAGGTAAAGCCATTTCAGCAAGAGCAATGAAGAAACCTGCATTTGAATCCTGACTCTGCCTTTAGCTGTGCCTCCCATAGTGGGAGGTACTTAACCTCTGAGCCTCAGGTTCATCAACGACGGCTAACAAATTTACTTCATAAGCACATTACTAGAATTAAACGGGATAATGAGCGTAAAAGGTACAAGGCACAATACCTGGCATATAAGCAACGCTTAATAAGCATTAGTTATTACTTTACAGGATGTTAAATTATCGCCAGATTTAGGCCCTAACGGCCCTTCTCTGGATGACCTATGTATAAATGCAAGGAAATTACACAAGGCTAAGTAAGACCCAGTCCCACATATCCAGGAATCAAAACGTGGCGATTTGGCTCCTATGGCGGACAGGCGACGTGAGTTAAGGTAAGAAAAAAAATCCACAAAGTATCTCACGCTTCATTTAATCTGAAGAATATTACAGACTCGTCTTCAGATATAAATTATAACGTTACAGAAGCAGCAGCGAACCGAACAATTTAAAAACTAAGTCTACACGATGTTAACTTCTGGCAACAGTCCTCCCAATCTGTTTTTTTAAAAAAGCCATCCCTGCGCTCCTTTCAGTAGACGTGCACCATGCCGTAGAGGAATGTCCAGAACAGGACGTAGGTGAAGAGGCCTCCGATGAGGCCGCCTGTAAAGAGAGGTCTTCGTGACTTAAAGTATTTGTTCCACCTCCTGCCCGCTTTGAGAATTAAGAGCAGGGAGAGCAGGATGGAGGCGAGCAGGTAGAAGATGAAGCCGTAAAGGCCGGTGAGACCGAGGATGCCGGCCGTGGCCCCCGACAGCGCTGACACTGAGGTCCGGCAGTAATCCAGGACCGCGGCGTTGCCCCGCACGGCTGCCTCGCTGATGAACGGTGGCCCTTCCCGCTTGGCCACCACAGCGGCCATCGCACCCGCCGGGGCTCGGCCTCTGCTTTCTCGCGGAGCTGCGGAGGAAACGAAGTTACGAGCGGCGCCCGGAGCCCGGCGAGTTGCGTTTACGCCGCCCCTCTCCCTGGGGCTCGCACCCCTCTTGGGTCGCGAGCCGGCCGGTGGGGCGGCGACACCTCTGCACTCCCGCCCAGGCTCGCCCGGTTACCTGGAACACGGCGGCGGAGTCACTCGGCGCTCCCTCAGACCGCGAGGGGACAGGACTTCCACGGCACCATCTTGCGCTGGAGGATGCTGGGAGGCCCCGGCTGCGCAGGCGCACAGCTCTCGTTCCTGGCCTCTGGAGCATGCGCCTCAAAACCCCGAGCACGCGCCACCCCCTCCTCGCTTCTCTATGTAGGAACTGGGACTTCTAGAGCCCGACTGCGCTTCAGCTGGTGATTGGCCGAAGTTTGTTGACTATTCATGAGCGGGCGGGCCTAGCCGGGCTGCCTTTGTTAACCAGAGAGGGCGCGGCCTCGGGGATTTTGTGCGGACTTCACTGAGCGGCGTTTGGTTACCAGGTTGGAGTCAAGATGTCCTACATTCCAGGCCAGCCGGTCACTGCCGTGGTGGTGAGTGCGCTCGCGCGGGCTTTTCCTCGTCTTGGCATGCCCCCACTTTGCAGATAGGTAAACTGATAACCCAAACAGGTTGACAAAGCGTCAGACCTGACAGTTCGCTCCTGCAGACCGGCTGCCAGGGCTCCTGTCCTGGCTTTGTCGCAGAGGGACCGTGGTCTTTCCCACCCGTGCAACGGAGATGGCTGGGACCCAAGAGCCTCCTGAAGACTCTGGATCGAGGCCAGACCCTGCGCACTGCCGCCTCGGCACTGGACTCCTTTCAGCCGGCAGGGACGGCGGGCACTCAAGAGAGAGGCCCCGGCCATGGAGTCTGGGAATGCGTCCCTTTCCCAGGCCTGTGTCCCCAGCTGGGCAGCCGTGGGGGGCGGACGCCGGCCCCGACCCCGACGTCCATGAGTCGCAGCCTCAGGAATGAGGAAGTGCTTCCTTTGCTCCTGCGGTGCCACCGCCCAGAGGAAGACTTGGGAGGAGGTGGAGGTTGCTGGAGTCTGTTAGCAGTCCCTTACTCCTCCCATACAGCCTCGTTTCCTCGGACCTACCGTCTCCCGGTCCACACTGAGGCTTATACTACTGGCTCCAACCTGCTCCAAACTTTTCCTGAATCCCCAGCTCTTAGGGCAAGGACCGGGTTCCCCACCTAGCACTTGTGTCTTGGGTGCCAGGTGCTATTAGAACAAGCATAGGGAGGAAGGGAGGCTGGGACGTCGGACCTAGATGCCAGTGCCACAGCTGCATGGGGCCTGGCAGAGGTGGGGAAACTGAGTGCCAGAAAGAGGTCTGGTCATGTTTCAGAACTCAGACTGCTGGGCAGGCAATGGGTCAGGTGCAAATCCCCATCCTGGGGCCAAGGGATTGGCTGCAGTATCTCAGATGGTGTGCGTGTGTCAGAGGGGGGAGCTCCTGCAATCAGGCAGTGGCATGGTGTGAAGCCACTGATAAAGGTGGCATGTGAGGGAGAACTTAGAGCCCCAGCTCTGGCCTGGGCTGGGGGAAACATTGCCAGATCTCCTGACAGCTGTCCTGAGCTCCACCCTGGCCACACCAGCCAGGTTTTCCTGACCCCTAGCTACCCCTAGAAGTAGCTAGGTTTGCCTCGTAGGAGCCAGAGGAGGTCACTAACCTGCTTGACCTCACCTAGCAAGTCAGTGACAGTACCTTGTCTTCCTAGCCCAAGGGCCTATACTCCCTTCTGACCTTGAGGGTGGATCAAAAGTGTACAAGAGTGTGTTGGGGTGGAGCAGGCCTGTAAGAGCTCACACTTTTGGGCATGTGGGCCTAGGTCCAGTGGGTCTCGCTTCCTGCTCCCCCGTCATTTCATGGCTTGTCCCAGGCTTTCCTCAAACTGCAGGACCATGACCTGCCAATTCTAATAGTAGGAACATATCTGAATGTGGTGAGTGGGGTCTGGCCTTTCTCTCTGGTCTTGGCTTAGAGATGGGGTTGGGAGCCTTACTCCCTTGTCCCCACCTTGCATGTAGTTAACATTCTGAGAATGTTAAAACCATTTGGGCCTCTTCTCTGAACCCTGGCTCCATTAGTCTGCCTTTCGGACACCTGTCTGGATGGCTCCCGGCACTCCAACTCTACATGCTGTTTCTCCTCCAGGGTCCTCATGTGAGACGGTTGTTTGGCCAGGCCAGGCGGCTGGGTGCTCCCCTTCACTCCTCTCCACCATGAGCGTTCCCCGTCTCGATTTCACTTCCTAAGCAGTTGTGTTCCCTGGTCTCCACATCCTGCCTCTGAGACGTGCGTCCCCCTACTGAGTGAGGGGTCATTCTAGCATCAAACCCGACCATGACCAGACTTACTCAAGTCCTAGGAGCTCCAGTGGGTCCAAAGTCAAGGTCAAGTGCCCAAACTTCTGTTAATCCCTCAAGGCCTGGTGCAAATGATCCCTCCTTTGCAAAGCCCCTTGGGTCCAGATCAAGTCACCTTTTGCTTTTTTCCTTCTTCCTGTTAAAACTATCGGCTTTTGGGGTGGGCTAATCTTGTCTGGCTCCTAGCTGATGACTGGAGGATGCCCGCTGAGGGCTTTGAGGGGAGCCTGGCACAGCGGGGACCACGGTACGGCAGGAGAGCCCTAGGGCCCTCCCCAAACTCCAGTGCTGTGTTAAGAGCAGAGCCTGGGCCTTTCAGTGAACCCCTCCCTCGGGGCGAGCCTCCAGGGCCTGCTCCCGCAGCTTCCTGAGCTGGCCCTGTTCTCACCTCCCAGTCCAGTCCTGCACTGCACACTCTGGTCTCACGGATGTGTGTCCACAGCACCTTCAAGCCTTTGTTCCCATTTCCTTGGGCAGGACAGCTCTTCCTCGTCCTGCCCTCCACAGGGCTGGCTCAGCAGTCTGAGCTGTTTCAGCAAGGTGCCTGCATTTTTTTCTGGGCCTGACCCCTTCTGCCCTGTAGTTCCTTCCCTGGACACAGCCCCCCGATCTGTAGCAGCTACGGCACCTTGGCTCTTGGGCCAGGAGGGCTTTAGAGCACAGGATGACTAAGGCAGGTGCCTGAGACCGAGAGGAAGGCGGGGAGGTTGGGACCGAGGTTTTTGTGGGTCTGTTGATGTGTCTGAGTTGAGTCGCAACCCCCCGCTAGCCTCCCAGGCAGGGGACCAACTGGATTCCTGCACAGGCCCTGGGCCCCACCTTGGCATTTCTCTGAGCTGGGGACACAGACCAGATTCATTCTCCTCACCCCCACCCACCCCCAACTCATTTTTCTTCATTTTGTTGCCAGCAAAGAGTTGAAATTCACAAGCTGCGTCAAGGTGAGAACTTAATACTGGGCTTCAGCATTGGAGGTGGAATTGACCAGGATCCCTCCCAGAATCCTTTCTCTGAAGATAAGACGGACAAGGTGAGGGGGACCAAGGTCCTGGGACCTCTCTGTGGGGCACATAGGCGAGAGTTGGTGGGTCTTGGCTTCCTGGGTCTTCATGGAGGGAGCAGACCTCATTTCTCTTAAAGAGTCCTTGATAAGAAGGTCTAAGGAATGATCTGATGGGAATAAGTAGGGGCGTGGGGTGGGGAGTGGACTTCCCAGGAGGAACATGAAGAGCCTAGCACCAGGGGCTGGAGCACTGGGGCAGCCCCGCTTTCCCCTTGGCTGTTGGTGCCGAGGCTGACGGATGGCTGGGAGTGTGCCGTAAGTGGCTTGGCTTGATGGATAAGGGGCTGGTCCGTGACCCCAAGGCTTGACCTGGGCTGTCTTTCCAGGGCATTTATGTGACACGAGTATCCGAGGGAGGCCCTGCTGAAATTGCTGGGCTGCAGATTGGAGACAAGATCATGCAGGTAATAGATGTTCCAAAGGAGGAAAACAAGGCTTGGGCCAGAAGGTCTGAAACACTTGGGTGTGTGTCTGGGGGTGGGGAGGGGGCTGCCCCTGCCTCCCGGGGCACCTGGGAGACTCACCAGAGCTGTTTTGGAGTCCATGCTGGTGCTGCCCCAGAGGAAGCTGGCTCTCCCCTCTGTGTGCCTTGACTGTGCTGCTTGGCATCCCCCAGCCTGGGGACATTAGCTTGGAAGCCTGCTTCGGTAACCCAGGCTCCCCAAAGCCTCTCCTGCTTCTAGATCCCAGAGGGCAGGGAACTGAGCTGGGCTACGTTTTCTTCTTGGGCCAGGTGAATGGCTGGGACATGACCATGGTCACACACGACCAGGCCCGGAAGCGACTCACCAAGCGCTCAGAGGAGGTGGTGCGCCTGCTGGTGACACGGCAGTCACTGCAGAAGGCAGTGCAGCAGTCCATGCTGTCCTAGCAGTCCACTGCGGTCCCCGACTCATGCCTGCCTGCCTCTTTGTACAGTGACAACACTTCCACACTATGTCTTCCTTGTCCTGGCTTCTGCTGAGTGCTGGGTCCCAGCTCAGAAAAGCAAGAGTTAGTCCCAGAGGCGTGTCCCTGGGGCTTGACTCAGCTTTCCTTCCCTTCTGCCCTGGACACTGAAGATGGGAACCAGGGGCCTGTAGTCTGTCTGTAGTGACCATAGGCTCGGCCCCCAGACCCTGCTGCCTGGCCTCAGCAGTGCCAAGGTGAGCAGGGGACCCCACTTCCCAAGAGCTGCACGAAGCTGGAAAATGCCAGGTGGGGCTGGCTTCATCCACGTAGTCTGCAGTGCCTGTGCCCCAGGGTTTCCCCGGGTCCCCCGTGGGGGACTTGATACACTACCAGCATCTCTGTGGAGCTTCACCTGGATGGAAGCCAGGCAGGCTCCCAGCTGACGGGATCGTACCTCCGTTCCTCCAAGGGGCCCTGGCCTCCCTGGCATTCATCTGCTCACAGGATTTAGATGAGGTTTACGGCTGACATCTGAGGGCAGCTCCTCAGGATTGCTATTTTCCTCTATGCCTGGGGGTTTAACTTTTCTATTTTTTTAATCACAGCTTTGATACAAACCATTTTTACCTTACTAGTTGGAGATGCCAATTCCACTTCTGAATTTAGCTTACTAACTCACATCTGCAAACTCTCGGAGAGTGTACAGGCCTTACTTTGGTGACTGTGTAAATGGGGCGGTAGGAAGCTGCCCCACACCCAACACTCTGTGCCCAATAAACAGTGCTGGAATTCATGTGGGGTCTTGCTGAGGCACGGAGTAGGGATATTGGGGGTGTACTGCAGCGAGAGCTTGGGTTGTTAGGCTGGCTGACTACTCTGAGATGAAGCCCAGCTACTCCCAGGTGCTTGGCCAGGGCCACACCTGTGGGCAAGTCTGGGACACTTCACCAGAAGTGCAGACAGGGAGCCCCCGGTCTCCCTTGTGTAACTGAGCTTCAGGTCTACCTGGGGGGTGCCCCATGGACACCAGGGGGTTCATGGGAGAAACCCCAACCTGCTAACACCCTCAAGGGCACTTAGTTTATCACAGCCAGGAAACTGATCTGATGAGATGGGATGAGCTGAAGAGCAACAGGGCCTCTGCCTGGCTCAGCACTGGCTGCACTACCAGCTCTTGGAATTGCTGCAACTCAGGGATGGACCAGGCACTGTCAAATCAGATTTTTTGAATTTTCAAATCAGAATTTTGAAACTTCCCAGTTTTGAGGGTGGCACCCAATAACACACTGGGTGGCCCAAATAAAACAGGTCTCTGGGCTTGGTCAGGGTATAATCTCTGCTTTAGGGAAATGAGGCTCCATTTGTTAAAACTGGACAGAAGAGTCTGGAAAATAAGCCCCCAACCCTAACCTCCCAGTGGTGCCCTTAAAGACCTCATCCAACCCATGCTCATAACCACAGCTTGAGTGGCTGGCACGCCCCTGGAAATGCAGAGTCATGGTACCTGCAGGACCTACCTGACCCTGGGCTGGCAGGCGTCTTGCACTACCCAAGAGGGCTCCCCTGACGAGGTGCCAGCCAGCATGCAGGCCTCAGGACCGGGGAGCTTCACAACCCCATGCGTTTCTGGACACGAAGTGAGTCAGGCCATCTCCCTAGCCCCAGAGACTTGGTTCTGAAGAGGCAACACAGCTGCCTCCTGCACCTGGCAAATGCTCAGAATGTGCAGAAAGGAAACAGACAAGGTTTTAATGAAGGACAGAGGATAGAGGCCCCTCACACTGACCTGCTGGAAAGGTGTGAGAGCGGATGGACAAACTCCAGGCATGTCCTTAAGACCCTCCCCTCCTGCCTTGGGAAGATGACTGCTTGCAGTGGGAGGCAAGGGGGTTTGGGATCAGGGTTGGGCCCATGAGGATTGTATGAGGTGGTCTCAAGTCCTTTTCAGAGGCTCAGGGGGACCCCAGGTAGGGGTCTGGGCCAAGTGAGGGAAGGGGGCCTCCCCTTCTGTCCAGGGCAGCTCCTGTCCTTTGGGCAGGTCTAATGGGCCTCTAAGGCACAGGCTGGTGGGTGCGTGTATGCATACAGCGCTTCAGCCACTGGGCGAGGAGCAGCTGCAGGGGCTCCCATGGGGCCCCCAACTCTGGGAAAGTGGAGGTAGGCAGAAGGTGAAGAAATTAAGGTACTTCTAAAACATTCCTCCAAAAAACCCAAAGGGGATAGCGTGATAAAGATACAAGGAGTATTAGCCATGAGCCCAGATCAGAACTAATCTGTTGGGCGCCTCAAGGCTCAGAAATAGTTTTTTTTTTTTTTACCAGAACTTGGTTGGGGCCACCTATGATTACAGTTCTGAAGGATGAATGTCAGGAAGGGAAGTGCTCAGAGAATGTGGCCTTCAGAGAAGGGACCCCAAGGCTGAACCCCAAGGTCGCAGCCCCTCTGACACTGACACCAGCACCTCTGAGTCCCCCGGCCACCACACCTGGCTGCGTGGTCTCTGGGAACACATCAGTGGCAGGAAAGCGCCCTTGGCTCTCACAGCTACAAGGTCAGTCCTTCAAGCTGCTCCCAGAAACACTGGCTGCTTGGGGCCAGGCCTTTGGCTCCAAGCTCAGCGCCCAGTCCTGCCTGGAAAGGCTGTCAGAACCTGTGTGGGATGCCTGAAGCCTTAAAGAAAATAGAGATGGTAGCATCAAGATGCAAGAGGACCAGTAAGGCCTGGGAGGGGCTGAGCCCTCTGGGGAGGTTGGGAGGGCGCCAGCAGGATCAAGTGTCAGTCTCAGAGGGAGGTTCCTCCCCGCCAGAGTCCTGGATGAAGGCAGGCTGGTTTATGTTTAAGGCACTTGGCCCCGAGGAAGAGAGTGCTTTCCCACTGTCAGCACACCAAGCCGGCCCTGCACTCCAGACTGCTGCTCGGCCTTCCTGGTGGGCACAGGGCCCGGGCTATTTACACTGGGTCCCCGGGTGCTAGTTCAGCTGCTCATACCCTGGTTTCTTTCTGTATAAGCAGAAGTGCTGGATGAAGAAGACAATATCGAAGAAGATGGAGAAGATGCCGAGTCCAAACTTGGTTGGGTCTCCAAATATCAGTGTCCACTGGTCTGTTAACAGCCAGAGGGGACAGAATCTGGTTTTACGTTGGTAGCTCTTAAAGCAGCTGGAGCATGTGGGGCTGCAGGGGGTGGGGGTCCTCATCTGCCCACTAAACTACAAACCCTCCAGCTGCAAAGGCCCCTAGGAGTGTCACCTTGGGGGCCAGGATGGGCTTGGACTCCCAGACTGCAGGGTGGGGGCCGGGGGTGGGGAGGTGTTCCAGGAAGCCTGCCCCCCATGGTCTCCCAGGCCTCCAGCCCACGGGTGGGCAGGCAGCCTGCTGGCTGACTCACCGTTGTTGTAGGACAGGAGGAACATCTGGAGGAGGCTGAAGCTGCCCCCAGTGAAGTCCAGAAGCACATTGCCAATGCTCCAGCCCTCAGTGCTTTTGTAGTAAAAGTTCATATAGGCCTAGGCCAGAGAGACAGACCAACAGACAGAGGGCGGTGAGGGGGCTGAGTGGCTGCCACATGCACCTTGTGACAGCCACTCCAAACAAGAGCGGTTCTGATTCCTCCCACTCCTGTGCTTGGGCCTCGGCTCCAAGGAACACAGTGACCTTTGGGCTCTGACAAGCTTGGGCCGGCCGAGGGAACAGTATAGGCGGTCGGGGGTCTCATCTGTAAGCACAGCCAGCAGAGCCCTCCACTTCTCAACCCTGCAGAGAGGGAGTGGGAGATGTCCCGCCATCTTCTGCATTCCTCCTTTGCTGGGCCAAAGCCCTGTCCTGGTGTTTCAGGAACTCTTGATTTTTCTTCTACTTGCAATGAAGATTCTCCCCAAACTCAGCCTGGACTTCATGCTGTACTTATAAACATGACTGGGAGTCTGATTGCCTGGTTGGGAATCCCAGCCCCACCACTGGAGCTTGGTTACGTTGGGAGAGTTACTGAGTTCTAGCCTCAGTGCCCCCCATCTGTAGAGCGGACTTCACTCCCCTCTCAGCCTGGCCTCCATCTTGGCCACACACCCTCTTGTGCCGGCACTCTGCGGCTTCTCTGGCGGCGGCCTCCCTTCCTCCTGCCCAGGAGGAGCTGCAGTGGTCTTCCAAACAGCCACAAGTCTCCCTTGAGCTCTCCACCCTCTTCCATGCTTGCCACCACCTCTCCAGGCTTGGACTATTCCAAGCATGTCCGGCTGGGCCTGCTGCCTCTGAGGTTTCCCAGGCTCAGGCCTTCTCACGCTCAGGGACTGAGGCTGCACATCCCTCGAGACCTTCCCCAACGCCAAAGCCTTCTGAGCCGCTGGGAGCCGACAAGCCTGGGCCCGCTGAGGGCCAGCCTACTTTCCTGGCTTCTGCATGGCGTTCCTGCTGCCTCCTGTGAGGCTGCCCCTGGCCTGGAACGCTCCCCCTCCAGCCCTGTCCACACTTAACTCTGGCTCATCTTTAAGGGGCTGGCTCTATTTCTGTGCCCGTCAGGAGACCAGCCCTGACTCTGCCAAAATGCTCTCTCTCCTTGAGCCCACAGAACACAAGCTTCCCTTTGCTGGAGAAGCTGAAAAGGGGGCTTTTCCACTGGGAGTGGGGTGAGCTCAACGAGGCCCTAGATTCATAAGGAGTCTGCAGTTGGCACTCTGGCTATGGGGGAAGGTGTATATGACTCTTAAGTCCTGGGAACTGAACAGGACCATCTGAGCCCTTGAGGAGGGTGCTGAGCACCCACAAAGAGGACCCTGGATGGAACTTGTGAGGAGGGCATCTGGGTGGAAGGGGGAGGTCACAGTGGTGGGCTGCCTTCCTCCTGCCTCCTCCTTCCCGAGTACCCCCTGCTGCGTGTCGGGGGCATCACTTGTGGTAATGGAGGGCCCGGGTTGGGGCAGGCTAACGGCATCAGGAAGACCAGGGGGAGATGGGAGTGACCTGCACAGCCGACTCAGAGCTGAGCGTGCGCTGAGGTCTCCACCCACTTCCTTGGGTGGGTCCCACTCCAGGGGGGGCAGGCGGCGGGAACAGCCGGCCTTCTGGGCTTGTGGCCTCCACGGGAGCTTTCCATCCATGTCTCCTTGCCCCAGCCAGAAGCTGCCCCACGGGAGCAGGGCCCAGGGGCTCTATGTCATTCCTCTCACACTAATGCCACGTGAAAAGGAAGGAGGGCCCTGGAGATACCTGTGGAAAATACTTGACCAGAGTCACTGCAAGCTTGATGTAGGAGAAGCAGAAGAGGAACTGCAGCCACGTGGTTACCCCAACCGCGGCCACAATCATGGTGGTGAATGCGAAGAGCCAGGAGAGCGCCAGGAAGCCAAGGGCCAGCTGGGACACATGCTGGCTGCCGCGCTGAGGAACGGATGGAGAGAGGGCAGGGAGGGGTGGAGGTGAGGGCACCGAGCCCAGCGCCAACCGCATGCTCGGCACCGTCAGGGCCTCTAGTTTGGCCCTTCCCAGATTCCAGAGCCCGCCTGTTCTTGTTCCCACACTGCAGAACCGGCTGCCCCTCAGAGCCCACCATGAGGAAGGGTGCTGGGGATGTGACCCCAGTTCGCTGGAGGCCAGCCTCATGCCATGACCCAGATGGAGCCTGAACATCTCTGGAATCTGTCCCAGCCCCTACCTTTCCCTCCTTCACCCAGGCTTCACAGCAAAGGATAAGAAAACCTAGAAGGTTCATGAGGGTGGGGGCCAAGCAGCCCCCACTGACCTTGCATGTGGGAAGGGATTCCTGAGGGGAGCGGTGCATCCACAAGGAAGGGAGAGAAAACGTGCCTGCCTGTGATGCCCTGAAACATGGCCTCAGGGGGCCCTTCCCTGCTGACCACTCAGAGGCCTCAGCAGCATAGCAAGAGCAGCTCCTCAGCCTGCCCTGCACACCCCCAGGACCCCTCCTGAGCCCGCTCGCGTCACCGGACTCTGCACCCCGACCACACCCATCTGATGCTCACGGTGCCTCTCACTGTCCCCTGGCCTTCACCGCTCTGCTCTCCAACTGCGGGTTCCCCACACTGGTCCCCTCCCGTCACCACAGGAACTTCGCTCATCCTATGGACAACTTGGTGCCACTTCCTTGATGCCCTCTGTCCTCGTCCCAGGGGGAGGCGGGAGCCACTGTGCTCTCCCTGCCCGCTCAGCTCTCAGCCTGCTGGGGCACCACTGCATCTCCATTTCCCTCACACCTGGGGTTCCCGAGGCCTGGGCTCATGGGATGCTCTCTGTGCCAGGCACGGGGCCTGGCCTGTTGTCTCAGTCGTAGTAAGTAGACGCCGAGTTTCTGCATTTCCTGTGATGGGGCAGGGGTGGTGGCTGGTGGCCTGGGCAGCCTGCAGTGGGGTGGGTGCCAGTTTTGGCTCACCTCATACAGAAAGCACTGCACCATGACAACCAGGGTGAGGGTGACGGCGTGCAGGCTGAAGAACACGTCGTTACTGTCCACGGGGTTCACGCCATTGGGGTACCGGAGGAGAAACTGCTCCTGTTTGGGGTGTGGAGAAGCTGGGGGTGAGGCCACCTAGCAGCTTGGGCTGGGCTGCGGGGGGCGGGCAGTGCCGTACCTTGATGTAGGGCACCCAGAGGAGGCCAATGTTGAATACGCTATAGGCCACGAAGCCTGTTAGGTTCAGGGCCACGAAGTCGAAGCTCAGACCAATGACACTAGGGTGGGATGACAGACAAAGCAGGGCAGGGGGTGAGACCAGGGACCCCTGGGGAGATGGGAAGGGACTGAGCTCCCAGCACATGGGAAAGAGGGCCCATTTTCCCTAAGAACAACACTGTCCTCAGGTCCCTCTCTGTACCACAGTTGATGCCGTTCTTGGGAATCTGACCCTCTTGGGAACCAGTTGCTCCCAAGAGGCCTCCTGCCCTAAGTCCTGGCCCAGGGGGAAGTCTGAAGTCCTCCTGCAGAGAGGAAGCATGTCCCTCCATGGCTCCCAGCTTACTGGCCTGAGAGGCCCATGCTTCTAGGAGGACTGCAGGGAGCTTGTGTCCTTACTGCACGAAGACACAACCACAGGTCCACTTTGTCTTTAAAACCAGGGTGGGACAGCCTAATCTCCAAGGCTGACAGATCCAGCTCCGCGCTGCAGCATGGCCTGACACCAGTTCCTCTGGGCCGGATGCACGAAGAGCAGGGCAGATCTGGGGGATGTCGCCTGACCCAGCCCATTCGCCACTTCACTGGAGAGCCCCATTCTGTTGCGTTAGCAGGAAGGGACTGAACTGGGTAGAGACCAAATGCCCAGCATTGCAAGTCCCAACACAGGCTCTTGGAACTGTCACAACAGACCCCTTTCTAGAAAGGGCAGGATGAGAGGAGAGCAGAGGGGGGAAACCTGAACCCACACTGCCTGCGACTTCTCGGGAATGCTCCCGTTTTACCCAAGCGAACCTGCACATACAGCTGAGCAGCTTACCTTTTCCTCCTCCAGTTTGTGATCACCTGAGGGTAGAAGGAGATGGACCAGGCCACAAAGTAAATCCAGCCTATCACCTGGTTTATGATGCTAATGACGTTGCTGTGGATCACCAAGAAGCGAATCCTTGGGCTAGAAAGAATTTGGGGGCTGGATGAGCTGAGGCTGGGTGTGGAGGAAACCCTCACCTGCCCAGCACTACCTGCCTCCCTTCTCATCATTTAGGGCCCACACGGGCTGAGGCCAACCTACCCGGTCTGGTTGGAATTATTTCCGTGCAGGTAAACGGTAAGTTGTCCAACATCTTGAGATGTCACTTGAAAAGAGGAATCTGTCACTCCAGGAAGTATCACAACCTGTTAGGAAAACTGAATTTGATCCAATGCCATGTAGATATTGGGACTTCCCCACGCATCCAGCTCCAGGCTACTCACTGGGGAATGGTGGGACAGACCACACTTGGTCCCTGCCTTCCAGGAGCTTACCAACAAAAGGGAGAAATATTGGACCTGCCAGCCAAATGGAACCCCCACGCCTAGGTGTTAGACTTTCTGAGCAGAACACAGCCCCGCCCTCAGGCGCCCCCACCCCTGGCCCCAGCGGAATGCTGAGGGAAGGTGGGATGGGTCTTCCGCTCACTAGCCATGTGAGCTTAGACAAGTTATTTGAGCTCTGATCTCAGTCTGCTCATCTGTACAAGGGAATAACAAGAATTTACCTTACAGAGTAGCTATGAAGGACATTATGTCCATAAATACTACAATGACAGCTATGACCTCTGCTTCCATGTGCAGACCGGCTGCCAAGTGACAGAAGAGAAGAGATGCTCACACAGACACTGGGCAGGGAGAACACTGTCACCCTCATTTCTGCCCAGTATTTACCAAAAGCTCTGCTCCAGGGAACAGTACTTAGAGGCTTGCATGCAATATCTGATCTCCCAGTCATTCCTCTTGATATTCTCAACCCCCGAGTATGGCAGGGAGCAGGAAGAGACCTTTACTGAACCAGACTGTCTCCCCTGGATGATGCTTTGGGCCTGGTCCTCTAGCCTGGTGGGCACTGTGAGGATGCAGCTTGTTAGATTTCAGTGGCTTTTTTATGAGGACCCTTGAAGCTCTTTTTGCTTTTAGCACCAGAAACCAGCGGGCTTTGGCAAAACAAATGAAACGGTGTAAGTGCCTGTTGCAAAGCATGGAATTTGGTTCATGGTCCACGTCTTGCAAGCTATATCATGACATGTGCTACTCTTGGCCCATTTTTTCTTATTTTTAATAGGTTTTCTTGACAATGTTGTTTGCATATTTCTAAGTGGCCACTAAGTTCCTTCTGGAACCAGGTAGGAAGAAAACTGGTCAATCGGAAATCAACTGATACAAGGCAGAATGAAATCATAACTATCACTATCTTTGCTTAAAATAATGAACTTTATTTTTTAGAGCAATTTTGGGCCCATAGCAAAACTGATTTCTATCTTTCACTGAGTGTTTTCTTTCTAGCCAGGGACAATGCTAGATATTTTCTAGTTGCTGCTGCTTTTAGTCCTCAACAACCCTGTCAAGCAGACATTCCCCTTATGTCTGCAGGTGAGGAAACCACAATGTATAGGGGCCAAAGACATTGTCCAGGGCTCATAGGCCAGGCTCCTAGACAGCCTGACCCCAGGTTCTCACCCGTGATTTCTAAAGGCATAGGCAATAAACAGGAGTGGGAGAGCTGGCTGGGGAGGGGCTGGTGGGGCATGAGCTGGAAAAGTGGGTTGGTACCCACATAGGTCATTCTACAAATGGATTTGACTCCCATCATTCAATTAGTACACACATCACAGCTTGATGAAATGTCCACAAACTGAATGTGTGCAGCACCTAGCCCAGGAAATGGAACACATCCAGCAACCAAGAAGGCCTATTCTGCTCCCTTCTAGTCACCCCGAGGATCTCCAAGGAAAACCCCTATTCTGATCAACACCATAGATTCACCTTGTCTGTCTGTGCTTCATGCACAGGAAACCCACAGTCTAGGCTCCACCTGCTGCGGATCATATCTGACTCTCACGTCTTTTTAAAAGATGATACTTTCACTTAGGTGTTTGGTCGTAAACAAATGATCAGTGGCTGTTGCTCAGAGTAAATTTGATCTGTGGATTGAGAAAAACTCAGAGAGCTGAGTCAGGCTTCTCCCACCCTGCAGCAAGCTTTGTTCACTGGGGCAGGAGGGGGAAGTTGTGAGAAATGGCCCTGTCTAGTGAGGTATGGTGGTCACCACGGGATGAGACGAGGTGTCCTTGCACAACTGCTTTTGGGTACCCGCTCTTGATCTGAATGTGTTTCAGTACTATTTGCGTGCTCCGAGGTGGCTCAGAGCTGATTTGTAGCCCATCCTACAACTACATAGGGCCTCATGACATGCCTCATGTTTATCAATTTCATCTCTGCATTCATTGTTTTTTTTTTTTAAACCTTTGTTGCCTCTCCTATTGATATATTTCTTTAATCTGGTTGATGGGCAATTGGCTCAAATCTTTGGCAGGATAGAAGCAGGATATATGTTAACAAATAAATGCATAATGGCTATGAATAGTTATTGCTATTATACCACACGGCCTCTGGTTTTGGAAATAACACTGAACCAATGGACTACCAGACAGTGAACCCAAATGGCCAGGGGTATTGCTCAGTTGCAGATTTTGAATTGGGAAGTCTGGGATGGGGCCTGGGAGTTTTCATTTCTAAAAAGGTTTTCAAGGACAGGCAATGCTGCTGGTCCCTGAATGCCCTTTGAGAAGCAAAGTCTTAGAAGACCATCTTAGGAATTTCCGCTACATTCTCAGAACCTTTTTTGCCTCAGATTTATTTTTACCATCACCTCCCTAATTCTACTTACATGGCATAAAATGCCCATCCTCAAAGCCAAAATCAGAGACTTCTAGAATGATGGAACAGGGTGGTATAAAAGCAAGGTGGCCTATTTCCACAAGCACTTAATTAAAATGTGCTTTGTTATTCAGCAGTTCTCTAACATCAGTTAAGATTCATTACTTACTTCATCAGGGAGCTCAACGATAGTAACATTTTTTGAACAAAATGTGATTTGAAAAGTGATCACCAAGGTTGCATTTAAAGGATGCCTGTGGAGGGACAAGAGTCTGATTACTGCTGAGAAGTTAGACACCACGAGATCTCAACCAACCCTCTGGATTTCACATCGGGCCTGTCATTTCTCAAGCAATTAGAGTTAGGAAGTGCTACATGCTTGACCCTATGGGGTAGAGAGATGAGGTCCCTGCTCTTTATAGTTTTCTATCTTTATTAGAAGACAAGACATCCCATAGGGGCTGTATGAGAACATGAGATAGTGGGAACCTGGCTGTGAGAGCTGTGTGAGATGAGACGTCCAGAGGTTGTTGACAGGATCATGGCATTTGCTTTGGTGGGAAGGGCTTCTGTGGGCCCGGGTCTGAGCAGGGAGTAGTATGTCCCCAGGAAGCTGGGAGATGTGTCTGGCTGGGGGCAGTGCATGGTGGCCTCAATCTGGACTGAATTTGTGAGGCAGTGGAAAGTCATTCAAGGAATGTGGAAAAGGGGGTGTTGTGGTGAGGGGATGATGTGTCTGATTTACAAGGTGTCTGAGTGCAGAGGTGGTAGGAGCCGGAAAGGGCATGTACATTTGTCAGGGATTCTTGGTACCAAAGCTTTGGTCTGAGATCAGACTTCTCAGGAGGGGTAAGGAAAATTGAGAAGGGTGAAGAGAAATGGGCATAATCTGGACCTTCACTTTGGGGCATCCCCATGGCTGGGAGGCAAGAGGAGGGCATAGCAGCCCAGGACATGGATGAGGAGGCAGGCTCTCTGGTACAGTCCGGACTAGGCCTACACCCTCATGCCCGAACCAGCAGAGGTCAGCAAGTAAGGCTCAGACAAGGCTAAGCGTGAGAGTTGTGTGAATGGGAGCCACCTGATGCAGTCATTTCTGCTTTTGGTAGTGATCTCAGAAGTGGTGGGGAGCGGCTCAGCCCCTTGCCCCAACCGTAAGGGCTCTTCTCAAATATTTAGAGCCTTGGAAAGGACCACTTTGAACTGTGGCAATAGTTGCTGGTCACGCAAGGACTTTCCTCAGTGGGGAGAGGCTCGTGTCTCTGGGGAGAAGCCCTTTTCCTCCTCCGTTGGAAAGGAGGATTCAGTGGTTGTGGGGAGAGCGATTCTGGGACCTCGGTCTGCAGCCCAGGGCTAGCGCTTCTCTTTCTCTGGGTTTTCTTAAGTGAAGAGGCAGGGGCACCACACTTGAAATGTGTCAGGGGTCAGCCCTGATCCAGCCAAAGAGGGACTGAGCTGGGCGAGGGACAGAGTTTGGCCTGGGAACTTACCGGAGGGTGACGCTCACGTTGGCTGAGCTTCCATTTTCCAGCTTCACAGTAGGAGGAACCGTGAAGTTGACTGTCGACTCTGGAAGGGCCCAAATCAATGACATGACTCACTAGGTCAGAGAACTCAGACCCATGAGGAAAAATAGGGATGAAGGCCCCTGACATCTGAGCTCCTGGACTCCAACTCATGACAGGCCCTGTCTCCCAGGTGAAGACATGGCAGTTCTGAGAGGCTAAGGGAAGGGACTGGACATCTGAGCCCTTGTAATGCTCTTTCCCCTCCTGCTGCCAGAGCAGCAGAGGGAGACACAGGCCTGAGGAGACCCTGGGCAGGAAACGCTGCAGCTCTTTCCGTCCCTGCTGGCAGGCTCAGGTTCTCAGTGAGGCAAGTCTGTGGCCGAGTTACCCAGAATTAGTTTTAGAACCACAGAGCTTAAAAATTTCCACAAAAAAATTCAAGCCATGATCTGAGATTGGAAAATGTGTATCTGAACCATGTTTTCAGAAGGAAAGCACAGGGGTCTCTTCTGTTCATGGGTCATACGTGGTCCTGCGGTCCAGCCCCTTCCTGTACTCTCAGAGGCACGTGGGGCCCCGCTAACCTGCTTCCAAAGAACCCCTTTCTGAACTCACAGCTCAACCCATTCACAGCTCAATCCCTCACTTCCTGAGGCTGATTACGGCAGGGTCTGGGGGGAGAATGGTGAACACCACGTATCATTTCACTATCAGGGCTTTCTTCCTGCTATTAAGATGATAAGTCAGGATAAGGTAAATAGGCCTCGGGGGTGAGGGAGGAAGCAAGTTTGGGGGGCCGGATGACCCACAGCAACTTGCCTACAGAGCATGAGTGTGTCAGCCTCTCTCTGAGCCCTTCCCGTGTTCTTTGGGCAGTCCACACTCCCACCCCCACCCTGACTCCCAGGGGAGCCCTAGAAACCCAACCACCTCACCTCCCTTACTCAGAGCCTTCTGGGTTATGCACAGCCTAAGGTGTGATCATGAACCTAGACTGGGACCAGAGGTTGTCCCTCAAGGGGAAAGAAGGAGTTCAGCGTGATGATGGTCCTTGTCGGGGCAGTGGCTGTAGGCAGGGCCCAGGTCTCCCTTGCGCCACAACCCGCAAAGGCAGAAGATGAAGACCTGAGATCTAAAATTTTGGATACTCGGGTTTTAAGGGAGCTTAGAAGTTTCCGAATTCAACCTCCACTGCCTGATGCCCCCTCTCAGTGCTCCAAGCTGGTAGTTTCTCTCCCTTTGCCCAGACACCTCCAGGGACAGTAACGTCCTCTCCTCCTAGGGAATTGGCCACTTGGCATTTGCACTCCTGGGCCTGGCTCTGCTACCTGGGGCCTCTCAGACCACATCTGAGCCGCGTCTCCATGCTAGCCCTGTGTGCATGAATCAGATGCAGCCTCTGTCCCCTGGGCCTACAGGTCTTCAAACTGAGACTCCTGCAGTCTGAGGTCTTCAGTCCCCTGCTCTCTGCCTGGCTGGGTCCCTCTAAGTGGCAGGTTCCCATGCTGGCTCTTGGCAGAGGCCACCTGCTCTGAGGGGGTAGGAAGGCCCCTCCCTCATGTAGCCTCAGGGCTGGGAGGCAGCTGTGGCCACTCTACAGTCTTTCCACATTCCCCACTCTGCAGGCAGCCTGAGGCTTTGTTCTGAGCCTGTGCTGCTGGGGGCAGGAGCACTTGAGGTCCCCCTATGACTCTCTGCCTAGAGCTGAGACACTCAAAGCGATGGGGGGAAGCCACCCACACCCTGGGTCCCTAGGGTTCTGCAGGACTGTGGTCAGGGGGAGGGGGAGATCCATACGGACTGTGCTCGTCCACAGTCCTTGCATTTTACAAGAGGAGAAGGACCTCCCAGCTCAGGGAATGTTCACTCCCCTCCTCACTCAGAGCCACCAGAGACGGCCTGCTCAGCAGCTGAAACTGGCCTCTGAAGGCACACAGTTCCACTGCGGCGCTGTCACCTCCCAGCTGTGTGACCACGGGCGCAGCGAGCCTCCATGCCTCACCTGTCAAATGAGGAGAACAGCACTACCTATTTTAATAAGGCCCTGTGGAGAGAAGGCGTGGTGACTTTTACGACACTTTTCACATGGCCTCAGGGCTAAATAATTGCTGATGACTATTATCATCATCATGTAAACACTGCAGAGTAATTTTTAGCCCAAGATGGGAGGTAGCTAAGGACAGGCAACATATCCTGGGGAAGCACATTTTCAAGTTTACCCTGAGGCAGGAGTCTCTGGACACATCAGAATCACCAAATGAGTCCAGTGAAACCACCTCAAATTTCCCTTAAAGAGAGTTTGTTCTTTTTAACTAATGCTTATTGGTACCTCTCACTGCATTCCCCACCCTGCTGCAACGTTAAATCCCACTCTCTATCACAACAGTGAGAGGTGGGCACTATCCTTCCCATCCCAGATGTGAGGAAACCAACAACCCCAAGATGGAATGTGTCCTGCTCACACAGCTCAGAAATGGAAGAGGTGGGATTCAAACCTGGGGCTGTCTAGGCCAAAGCCTGGCTTCTTGCCACTAGGTTACATTGCCTCAAGATTCCACCCAAAGATTGATCAGAGATGAAAAACTGTGGAGGCCAATCATTTCATTTACTCAATGTTCACTCCCCAAAGTAAAGAGAAGACAAGCTGGGCAGAATGAGGGTTGGAAACCCATTCTTGATTTTATGGTGGTTCCACTATTCTTTTATAGCAACATTCAGGGAAGGAGGCAAAGGGATAAAATGGACCACGGATGCTACACAGGTTCCATCTTTGCTCCTTTCTAGCTCTGTGGCTTTGGGGAAGACTACCCTCTCTGGGCCTAAGTTCCCCCTCTGTAGAATTGAGGTTGAGTGGCTGGACCGGCTCTCCTTTCCTAGGACCAGGCCTTAGCATTACTAATGGAGCTTTACTTAAAGCCTGCCAGTGTGTGTGTGTGGACACATACACTTGGGCCTTCATCTTAGACACTATGATCCGGCAGGTCTGGAGTGGATCTCTGGCATCTGTATTGAGAAACACTGGGCTTCATGGTTTGACTTTTTCTTTCTTGGAAATTGCTTATTCACAAGGTGTGACTGCAAAGTGATATGACTGATTGTTTAACAAGCCTGGAAAAGCTGATCAGATGACCGTTGTTTTTGCAGAGATTCAAGAGGCCGGAGTACTTAATGGCGTGGCCAGTGTACATGGTTCTTGGGAAACTTCTGCAGGATCTGTGTTGTTTGTACAAGGCTCATTTGAAATCTTTAGTCAGGGATTTTAAGATGCATTTGGTTTTTGACGACAGCCAAGCTGATGATCAAAATAATGGATCTGGTGTCCTGAGAGTACTAAATACACCCATTATGGAGGGAAAGTCAGCAATGTTTTTGGCAGTGGGAGAATTGATAGAATGATGTGGGCCTTGAAGGGCCCTGCTCTGAGGGTCAAGCCTCAAAAGGATGGGTAGACCCTGATGTGTTTTTGACAAGACTCTTTTCTGTGAGGTCCCCAGCTCTGCTGGGGCTGCTTCGGTCTGTCCCTCAGTTCTTTGCCAGGGAAAGGGTTTTCTCTTTTAAGGGGATGCTGGGCAGACTCCTCCTGTGTCTGTGCCTGGCAGAACCAGGCACAATGAGATGGCCACCTCACCTGCTTCTGCAGCATCTCCGAGGACTCCTCACTCCCTCTGTGAGGTCCAAAGGACAGGGACACAAGCCCTTTCTTTATAGATATTATCTATGATTGTTGGAGCTCCACAGTTTGACTTTGGTGATACAGAGAAGGTAATAGGGACCCCAAGGCAGAAGACCAATTATTTGTGTAACCATCTCCCTCCTTGTAAAACTCCTGGACCCCAGACCTGGGTCTGCTCGACCACCCCAGTGGCCACTTGGCCAAGGGCAGGTGGGCACATGCAGTCTGGACAATACTAAATCCTTAGCCACAAACAGGTCAGGCTACTTAGTCTATAGCTTCATTTCCCTCTTCACAAAGTTGAGGACCCATTTCTAAACTTACCACATTTCTCTATAAGCTTCAGAGGAAAGAGGATAAAAATGAGCCAACTCCTTATCATGTTCCTTGATTTCAAAGAACTAGAAAGAAAAACAAACAGCAAGAATAGTTCAGGTTAAAAGTAGATAAGCTCAGCAATAAGCAATATGGCACCTGGAGCCCTGGTGTGGACAGTTCATAAGGGATTTTCACTTCAAACCTGTGACCTCGTGGGCTTTGCACCACCAGCTCAGAGAAAGGGATCCCATGGAGGACTTATCTTTCTTTGCTAAGTGGGGAAATGGGCTCAGATAGGCTAATTGGGTTGTGTAAGGTCCCACTCTGAGGAAGTAGGCAAACACTGAATTTTTCTCTCTTCAACTACTTCTAGTCAACAGAAAGAGAACAGTTCTCATTAGCTGAGAGTTTTTTTCCCCAAAAGTTATTAAAACTACAATTAGATACTTGACTTTGTGAACCTATGATTTAGATACTTGACTTTATGAACCTATACACCTTAAGGAAATTAATTTCCTTCCCTGTCCTGGGGTAAGAACCTAGGGAATAATGCCGCCAATTGACCCTTGATTAAGACTTTTCCATTTGACCAAAGTGTCACCTCTCCAGGACTAGCAGGGATCCCTCACCATGGGGACCCAGTGAGGGACAAGCCCCACATCAGCCCTGGAGAAGGTTAAGTGAGGGCGATGGGCTGCTGCCCACCCCATGCCCAGCATGTGAAGCACACGATGGGGCAGGTCAGTATGGACATCTGTAACTTGGTCTCTACATGCCACCTCAGCTCACAGTGCCCAGGCCCTCCCACTCTAACAGTTTCTGGGGGTTTTGCAAACTGTTGAGACCTAGCAGAGATCTGTCCCACTCTAGCTTTAGTTTCCCCAGAAGGCCTCAAGGATACTCCCCTCCCTCAAAGAAGTCTCCGTGACTGCTCCAGCCTGACTTACCTCCACCTGCGTGCTACCTCCCACCACCTCCTCCAGGGGCCTCTCTGCCGGCTGTAGCTCCCCCTGACCCACCAGCTGGCACCCACCAGCTGGCACCGATCTCCCACTCTCTGGCCTCTTCTGGGGGCCTTGCCCTTGGTGCTGTATCCCTGTGCTTCCTACCCTCCACTTTCTGTACCCTGCCCCATGGGGAATTGCTCTTCTGTATATGTGGAATGACCACAGGCCACCCATTCACTCTTGCTGCTCTCTGTGCCTCATACCTGCCTGTGTCAAGTTCAGGATTCACTTTGTTCCAAGGTTACAGTCTGGTTTTCCTCTCAGATGCAGATATCAGGCCTAACTGGCTCCTCTCTCATTCCACAGGACTGGAATGTGAACTGAGGAATTCAAACATTTGGTCAGCAAAAGTCCCCCAGCCCAAAGGCTGAGACATCTTGGAGGATAGGCACCAGGACAGATAGAAAGACACTGAGAAATCTAGTCAGTTAAAATGTTAGAAAAGGATCAGATTGATCGTTGTACACTAAAACTAGTGTCTTGTGAAAGCTACAAGATAGAAGTGGAGAATCTTATGACAATGGACTATCTGGCATGACCTTCTTCCTGTGTAAGTTTCTTCCAGGCCTCACTCAGACGTCAGCTTCTTCAAGAGGCCTCCCACTCCTACTCCTGACCCGGCAGCCCTGACCAACCTGTGGTCAGGGGTCTCCTATGGCAGCTCCTGTCAGGTTTCTGAGTTAATCCTGTTCACTATTCCACAGCCTAGAACTCCCTGGGCCTCCTTCTCTTGGTGATGTAATACAGAAAGTGGCAAGGAATGTGCCCTGGAGACAGCCTGCACAGGTTTGAACCTGGGCTCTCATTTATTAGCTGTGTGACTTTGGGGTGTTACTTAATCTCCTCCAGCTTGTTTCCTAATGTGAAAACAGGGACTGTGAGATGACATCATATGAATTACATGAGATGAAATGTAAAAGCATGGTATGTGGCCCTCCAAAGAGCCACAGTATATAAACAGCTTATCAGTGGTATGAAAATTTCACAGTGAGGGGGAGGATTGCTGAGGAAAAAAGGTTGAGAAACACTTTTGTAAAGTGATTACTTCTGTTGCCTAGGGCCCCTGGCAAACTCTCACAAAGCATAGATTATTTCCTTCAATATTATTGCAAAGGCAGGACCCAGCTGTCCTCCCTTCTTCCAGCCTGTAAGTCCCAGAGGGTAGGGTGGGTCTCATTCTTACCCAGTCCCCCAGAGTCCAGCCCAGCGCTCAGCACGCCAACTGGAATTCCTGGAGAGGTCCTCTCAGGTTTCCCCTCTCCAAAGCATCTGCAAACTCGGAGACCCTGACTCGGGTTGGCACTTAAGCAGAAGGTTGGGAAGGGGCTTGGACCTGCACTGAGGTAGAGCCACCCACACCACCTCGGCAGCCGGTGTCCCCTGCCTCCGCTTACAACCACGCAGGCTCTTCCACGTGGGGGAAGTCTCCGGTGTAGCGGGCCAGGACTGGTGGTAGGGGGTGAAACCCTGGTGAGCCTGTGGGGGCTGGATGCGCGGCAGGCTGCCCAACCGATTAGCTGTCCAGTCTCTCGGCCTCGCAGGGTCCGGCTGGGAAATGGAGAGGCTGGCGGGGCCGCGCTGTCTTTTACCTGAGATCCTCTGCGCTTACGAGACTGACCACACGAGACGCAGGAGCCGCTTCAAACTGGACTCGCTTCCCTCGGCCGGCTTTACTTTGTGTGGGGCGGGACAGAAGTCACCTGACCCGAGCCACCTGATTCGTGGAGTACAGAGCTCTCAGCGCGGTGCGTTGTGGGAGTTGCAGTTCACACACCTCTCATCCCGATAATTGGGCAGGATTGGGGCGGGGAGGAGGGACGCCGGCGCCTTGGCAGGGATGGGAGATCAGGTGTGAGGATGGATGAAGCCACTTTTAGGGACAGTTTCTCCGAGTTTCCAGCGCCTGTCTGCGAACCGCTACATTGGTAAGCGGGTTTGGGGCAGCGCTCCATTGTCCCGGGACTCTTACCTTGAGGGGCAGGGTCTCTAGGTCCCGCCTTCCACCGCCTGTTCGCCTATAGCCAGGGCCCACCGTGAGGAGTGCGCGGGTCTCGGCCAATGGGAAGATGAGAAGCCGCCATGTTGAGTGTGGCTGAAGGACTGTCAGGCGAGGCCCCGACTAGGCTCTTGGGTCCTGGGTGCAGGGTACGGGAGGAGGCACTTTGGCCCCAGGAGCTAGCAGCGCGCGTCCCCACCGCCATGGCTGTACGGTCGGTCACTCTCGGCATTGACCTGGGCACCACATCTGTGAAGGCGGCCTTGGTGGAGGCCGCGCCCGGCGACCCATCCGGGTTCGTGGTACTGGCGAGCTGTGCCCGGCCTACGTTGGCCGAGGCGGTGCCCCAAAGCGCGGCGGCCGGGCCCCAGGTGAGGCAGCGTCTTGGAGCCCCGCCGCCTCCAGGAGCCTCCTGACAACCCTCTTGCTCCTCCAAGGAGGCCTCCCCGATACCCTCCTTCCTCAAAGAAGTCTCCCTGACTGCTTCAGCCTGAATTACCTCCGCCTGCACGCCACCCCACCCCCTCCTCCTCCAGGGGCCTCTCTGCCGGCCGCAGCTCCCGCTGACCCATTAGATCTTTCCCACCAACTGGCACCGATCTCCCACTCTCTGGCCTTCTCTGGGGGCCTTGCCCTTGGCGCTGTATCCCTGTGCTCCTTACCCTCCACTTTCTGTACCCTACCCGGTGGGGAATTGCTCTTCTGTGTATGTGGAATGACCACAGGCCGCCCTTTGGCTGTTGCTGCTTTGTGCACCTCACACCTGCCTGTGTCAAGTTCAGGATTCACTGTTCCCCAGGGCAGTGTCTGGTTTTCTTCAGGAAATCAGGAAATCAGAATCAGGCCTAACCGGCTCTCCTCTCATTCCATAGAAGTGGAATGTGGACTGAGGACTTCGAACACTTGGTCAGCAAAAGTCCCCCAGCCCCAAAGACTGAGACACCTTGGAGGAAAGGCATTGAAAAATGTCAGTTAAAATGTTTGAAAAGGATCAGATTGATCATTATACACTGAAACTAGTGTCTTGTGAAAGCTGCAAGGTAGAAATGGAGAATTTTATCACAGTGGACTTTGTTGTGAGATGTGGATTCAGAAAGGCTGTCAATCCTCAGAGCTGGATTCTGTTAATTTTCTGAAAAAGGTAGCTCTGTATGTTCAGTTAATTGGCCATATAAATTAATATTAAGGAACTTTCTGTGTAATCTCATGGCTTTTTTATGGATCTCAGCTTGTTCTTCTCCCAGTTGAAATGGGTGGCCTCTAAGGCCCCTTCCAGCCATGAACCTCAGTTTTTCTGAGTCAAGCCCTACCCACAAGAGCTTATTTATCAGAAGCTCTTGCCACATATCTGGACCCAGGTATTTAGGGTTCAGGGTCCGTCTTGCTCAGAAACGTTTCAGAGGATACAGATTTCAGGAGCACTTGGTATTTTCATAGCACTTGCACTTTTAAAATTAGTGTAGTTGGGGCATCAGGGTATTTTAAAAGAGGGATTATTCTAAAATATCAGTATTTTTGTCCTCTTGGACTAGGATGCAGAGGCAAAGTCAGCTCTCACTCTGGAGGTGAGGGGTGAGCAGCAGAGCTGGGGTTACAGGGAGTGGGTTTAGGCAGTGCCATTTTCTCTTGAAACAGGACCACTTCTTGAAAACTATTTTACCTACCTCTCCCAGCGCTCAGCAGGCTGTTCTGTGTTTTCAGACACACAGTGTGCCACCCCTGCCTAATGATGGGTTTAGGGGACACCATTAATAGCCCCCTTGGCGTCCTCCATGTGTCTTGTGCTCTGGGACAAACAGCCTCGCTGTAATTTCATCTACAGCAGGATTTCTCAGAGCTGTTGTGTTTCGGGTTGGGTGATTGGGTGATTCCTTGTTGGGGGGCCTGTCCTGTGTGCATTGCAGGGTTTTAGCAGCATTCCTGGCCTCTAACCCACCACATGCCAGTACAACGCCTTTCCCAGCATCACATCCCTGGATGTCTCCATATTGCAGATGTCCCCTAGGGGACAAAAATCATCCCTGGGGTGAAAAATTACTGATGTATAAAAATGCCTGATGGCTCTGTCTTTTTCTCATGTCCACACTTTCCACTTTTTAGAAGTATTGTGTACATCAAGGTCAGGCTTGGCAACGGTGTGGAAGGTTAGACTTTGAGGTTTTTGCAACTTTAAAATACCAGGATTCTTGAGGGAAGCCCTGTGACCCTTTCTATGCATTTTTAATTTCTGTGCCTTAGTTTCCTCTGTAAAAAGGGGTATGGGGAAGGGGTGGGGGGTTGAATGACTTTCTAAGTTCCTTTTTCAAATTTGAACTTCTAGGATTTGATATGGATATAGACTGATTAGTATTCTGAACCAAGGAACAGGGGCAGTGCCTTTCCTGTTACATTGTGGGTATGGCCATTGTCCAAGGGCTACTCCCCGATCACACTTACCACCAAATTCGAACTAACTGCTGAATACTGAATGCCTCCTTGTCTCACTCCTTGTTTCCCTCCTCCACTATCCCTGCCCACACAACTCACCCGCCCTGGGCCCATTTTAAACAGTGGTTCCTCTTTCCTGGCCTAGATGTACCATCTGATGGCCATGTGGGAGCTCTTTAAATCATATGTTCCTTGATTTCAAAGAACTAGAAAGAAAAACAAACAGCAAGAATAGTTCAGGTTAAAAGTAGATAAGCTCAGCAATAAGCAATATGGCACCTGGAGCCCTGGTGTGGACAGTTCATAAGGGATTTTCACTTCAAACCTGTGACCTCGTGGGCTTTGCACCACCAGCTCAGAGAAAGGGATCCCATGGAGGACTTATCTTTCTTTGCTAAGTGGGGAAATGGGCTCAGATAGGCTAATTGGGTTGTGTAAGGTCCCACTCTGAGGAAGTAGGCAAACACTGAATTTTTCTCTCTTCAACTACTTCTAGTCAACAGAAAGAGAACAGTTCTCATTAGCTGAGAGTTTTTTTCCCCAAAAGTTATTAAAACTACAATTAGATACTTGACTTTGTGAACCTATGATTTAGATACTTGACTTTATGAACCTATACACCTTAAGGAAATTAATTTCCTTCCCTGTCCTGGGGTAAGAACCTAGGGAATAATGCCGCCAATTGACCCTTGATTAAGACTTTTCCATTTGACCAAAGTGTCACCTCTCCAGGACTAGCAGGGATCCCTCACCATGGGGACCCAGTGAGGGACAAGCCCCACATCAGCCCTGGAGAAGGTTAAGTGAGGGCGATGGGCTGCTGCCCACCCCATGCCCAGCATGTGAAGCACACGATGGGGCAGGTCAGTATGGACATCTGTAACTTGGTCTCTACATGCCACCTCAGCTCACAGTGCCCAGGCCCTCCCACTCTAACAGTTTCTGGGGGTTTTGCAAACTGTTGAGACCTAGCAGAGATCTGTCCCACTCTAGCTTTAGTTTCCCCAGAAGGCCTCAAGGATACTCCCCTCCCTCAAAGAAGTCTCCGTGACTGCTCCAGCCTGACTTACCTCCACCTGCGTGCTACCTCCCACCACCTCCTCCAGGGGCCTCTCTGCCGGCTGTAGCTCCCCCTGACCCACCAGCTGGCACCCACCAGCTGGCACCGATCTCCCACTCTCTGGCCTCTTCTGGGGGCCTTGCCCTTGGTGCTGTATCCCTGTGCTTCCTACCCTCCACTTTCTGTACCCTGCCCCATGGGGAATTGCTCTTCTGTATATGTGGAATGACCACAGGCCACCCATTCACTCTTGCTGCTCTCTGTGCCTCATACCTGCCTGTGTCAAGTTCAGGATTCACTTTGTTCCAAGGTTACAGTCTGGTTTTCCTCTCAGATGCAGATATCAGGCCTAACTGGCTCCTCTCTCATTCCACAGGACTGGAATGTGAACTGAGGAATTCAAACATTTGGTCAGCAAAAGTCCCCCAGCCCAAAGGCTGAGACATCTTGGAGGATAGGCACCAGGACAGATAGAAAGACACTGAGAAATCTAGTCAGTTAAAATGTTAGAAAAGGATCAGATTGATCGTTGTACACTAAAACTAGTGTCTTGTGAAAGCTACAAGATAGAAGTGGAGAATCTTATGACAATGGACTATCTGGCATGACCTTCTTCCTGTGTAAGTTTCTTCCAGGCCTCACTCAGACGTCAGCTTCTTCAAGAGGCCTCCCACTCCTACTCCTGACCCGGCAGCCCTGACCAACCTGTGGTCAGGGGTCTCCTATGGCAGCTCCTGTCAGGTTTCTGAGTTAATCCTGTTCACTATTCCACAGCCTAGAACTCCCTGGGCCTCCTTCTCTTGGTGATGTAATACAGAAAGTGGCAAGGAATGTGCCCTGGAGACAGCCTGCACAGGTTTGAACCTGGGCTCTCATTTATTAGCTGTGTGACTTTGGGGTGTTACTTAATCTCCTCCAGCTTGTTTCCTAATGTGAAAACAGGGACTGTGAGATGACATCATATGAATTACATGAGATGAAATGTAAAAGCATGGTATGTGGCCCTCCAAAGAGCCACAGTATATAAACAGCTTATCAGTGGTATGAAAATTTCACAGTGAGGGGGAGGATTGCTGAGGAAAAAAGGTTGAGAAACACTTTTGTAAAGTGATTACTTCTGTTGCCTAGGGCCCCTGGCAAACTCTCACAAAGCATAGATTATTTCCTTCAATATTATTGCAAAGGCAGGACCCAGCTGTCCTCCCTTCTTCCAGCCTGTAAGTCCCAGAGGGTAGGGTGGGTCTCATTCTTACCCAGTCCCCCAGAGTCCAGCCCAGCGCTCAGCACGCCAACTGGAATTCCTGGAGAGGTCCTCTCAGGTTTCCCCTCTCCAAAGCATCTGCAAACTCGGAGACCCTGACTCGGGTTGGCACTTAAGCAGAAGGTTGGGAAGGGGCTTGGACCTGCACTGAGGTAGAGCCACCCACACCACCTCGGCAGCCGGTGTCCCCTGCCTCCGCTTACAACCACGCAGGCTCTTCCACGTGGGGGAAGTCTCCGGTGTAGCGGGCCAGGACTGGTGGTAGGGGGTGAAACCCTGGTGAGCCTGTGGGGGCTGGATGCGCGGCAGGCTGCCCAACCGATTAGCTGTCCAGTCTCTCGGCCTCGCAGGGTCCGGCTGGGAAATGGAGAGGCTGGCGGGGCCGCGCTGTCTTTTACCTGAGATCCTCTGCGCTTACGAGACTGACCACACGAGACGCAGGAGCCGCTTCAAACTGGACTCGCTTCCCTCGGCCGGCTTTACTTTGTGTGGGGCGGGACAGAAGTCACCTGACCCGAGCCACCTGATTCGTGGAGTACAGAGCTCTCAGCGCGGTGCGTTGTGGGAGTTGCAGTTCACACACCTCTCATCCCGATAATTGGGCAGGATTGGGGCGGGGAGGAGGGACGCCGGCGCCTTGGCAGGGATGGGAGATCAGGTGTGAGGATGGATGAAGCCACTTTTAGGGACAGTTTCTCCGAGTTTCCAGCGCCTGTCTGCGAACCGCTACATTGGTAAGCGGGTTTGGGGCAGCGCTCCATTGTCCCGGGACTCTTACCTTGAGGGGCAGGGTCTCTAGGTCCCGCCTTCCACCGCCTGTTCGCCTATAGCCAGGGCCCACCGTGAGGAGTGCGCGGGTCTCGGCCAATGGGAAGATGAGAAGCCGCCATGTTGAGTGTGGCTGAAGGACTGTCAGGCGAGGCCCCGACTAGGCTCTTGGGTCCTGGGTGCAGGGTACGGGAGGAGGCACTTTGGCCCCAGGAGCTAGCAGCGCGCGTCCCCACCGCCATGGCTGTACGGTCGGTCACTCTCGGCATTGACCTGGGCACCACATCTGTGAAGGCGGCCTTGGTGGAGGCCGCGCCCGGCGACCCATCCGGGTTCGTGGTACTGGCGAGCTGTGCCCGGCCTACGTTGGCCGAGGCGGTGCCCCAAAGCGCGGCGGCCGGGCCCCAGGTGAGGCAGCGTCTTGGAGCCCCGCCGCCTCCAGGAGCCTCCTGACAACCCTCTTGCTCCTCCAAGGAGGCCTCCCCGATACCCTCCTTCCTCAAAGAAGTCTCCCTGACTGCTTCAGCCTGAATTACCTCCGCCTGCACGCCACCCCACCCCCTCCTCCTCCAGGGGCCTCTCTGCCGGCCGCAGCTCCCGCTGACCCATTAGATCTTTCCCACCAACTGGCACCGATCTCCCACTCTCTGGCCTTCTCTGGGGGCCTTGCCCTTGGCGCTGTATCCCTGTGCTCCTTACCCTCCACTTTCTGTACCCTACCCGGTGGGGAATTGCTCTTCTGTGTATGTGGAATGACCACAGGCCGCCCTTTGGCTGTTGCTGCTTTGTGCACCTCACACCTGCCTGTGTCAAGTTCAGGATTCACTGTTCCCCAGGGCAGTGTCTGGTTTTCTTCAGGAAATCAGGAAATCAGAATCAGGCCTAACCGGCTCTCCTCTCATTCCATAGAAGTGGAATGTGGACTGAGGACTTCGAACACTTGGTCAGCAAAAGTCCCCCAGCCCCAAAGACTGAGACACCTTGGAGGAAAGGCATTGAAAAATGTCAGTTAAAATGTTTGAAAAGGATCAGATTGATCATTATACACTGAAACTAGTGTCTTGTGAAAGCTGCAAGGTAGAAATGGAGAATTTTATCACAGTGGACTTTGTTGTGAGATGTGGATTCAGAAAGGCTGTCAATCCTCAGAGCTGGATTCTGTTAATTTTCTGAAAAAGGTAGCTCTGTATGTTCAGTTAATTGGCCATATAAATTAATATTAAGGAACTTTCTGTGTAATCTCATGGCTTTTTTATGGATCTCAGCTTGTTCTTCTCCCAGTTGAAATGGGTGGCCTCTAAGGCCCCTTCCAGCCATGAACCTCAGTTTTTCTGAGTCAAGCCCTACCCACAAGAGCTTATTTATCAGAAGCTCTTGCCACATATCTGGACCCAGGTATTTAGGGTTCAGGGTCCGTCTTGCTCAGAAACGTTTCAGAGGATACAGATTTCAGGAGCACTTGGTATTTTCATAGCACTTGCACTTTTAAAATTAGTGTAGTTGGGGCATCAGGGTATTTTAAAAGAGGGATTATTCTAAAATATCAGTATTTTTGTCCTCTTGGACTAGGATGCAGAGGCAAAGTCAGCTCTCACTCTGGAGGTGAGGGGTGAGCAGCAGAGCTGGGGTTACAGGGAGTGGGTTTAGGCAGTGCCATTTTCTCTTGAAACAGGACCACTTCTTGAAAACTATTTTACCTACCTCTCCCAGCGCTCAGCAGGCTGTTCTGTGTTTTCAGACACACAGTGTGCCACCCCTGCCTAATGATGGGTTTAGGGGACACCATTAATAGCCCCCTTGGCGTCCTCCATGTGTCTTGTGCTCTGGGACAAACAGCCTCGCTGTAATTTCATCTACAGCAGGATTTCTCAGAGCTGTTGTGTTTCGGGTTGGGTGATTGGGTGATTCCTTGTTGGGGGGCCTGTCCTGTGTGCATTGCAGGGTTTTAGCAGCATTCCTGGCCTCTAACCCACCACATGCCAGTACAACGCCTTTCCCAGCATCACATCCCTGGATGTCTCCATATTGCAGATGTCCCCTAGGGGACAAAAATCATCCCTGGGGTGAAAAATTACTGATGTATAAAAATGCCTGATGGCTCTGTCTTTTTCTCATGTCCACACTTTCCACTTTTTAGAAGTATTGTGTACATCAAGGTCAGGCTTGGCAACGGTGTGGAAGGTTAGACTTTGAGGTTTTTGCAACTTTAAAATACCAGGATTCTTGAGGGAAGCCCTGTGACCCTTTCTATGCATTTTTAATTTCTGTGCCTTAGTTTCCTCTGTAAAAAGGGGTATGGGGAAGGGGTGGGGGGTTGAATGACTTTCTAAGTTCCTTTTTCAAATTTGAACTTCTAGGATTTGATATGGATATAGACTGATTAGTATTCTGAACCAAGGAACAGGGGCAGTGCCTTTCCTGTTACATTGTGGGTATGGCCATTGTCCAAGGGCTACTCCCCGATCACACTTACCACCAAATTCGAACTAACTGCTGCATACTGAACTTTGTCTCACTCCTTGTTTCCCTCCTCCACTATCCCTGCCCACACAACTCACCCGCCCTGGGCCCATTTTAAACAGTGGTTCCTCTTTCCTGGCCTAGATGTACCATCTGATGGCCATGTGGGAGCTCTTTAAATCAGCGTTGTCCAATAGAAATTAGAGCCACAAATATGAGCCATATCTCTACATAATTTTCCATTTTCTAATAACCATATTAAAAAACAAAAACAGGTAAACTTCATTTTTTTAGTAGGTACATACTAAAATGCACAAATCTTAGTGTACAACTCAATGAATTTTGACGTGTGTACACTCATGCAACCATCACCCAGATCAAGATATCAAACATCCTCACTAGTTTTTTAGTTTCTTCCTCTTAGGTGAAATTAATTTTAATTGCATATTTTATTTAACCCAATGTACCCAACCGATTATTTCAATATGTAATATTAATATAAACTTATGATTGAGATATTGTGTGTGTATCCTTTTCTTTAATACGAAATCTGAACTCTGGTGTGTATTTCACACTTACAGTACATCTCAAGTCAGACTGGCCACATGTGGCTAATGTCTGCTACACTGGACACTGCAGGTCTAAACAAAGTTCTCTTCGGTGCTCCCTTTTTCCTTCTCAATTATTGTCTTCTTTCTTGCCTCCTGTGGGCAGCACACACAGCCATGTACCTCCTCTCTGCTGCTCTTTCCCTGCCCACTGAGTTCTGCTGTAGGCTTTCCTATATATAAAGAGTCTTGTTAGGAACTAGGGCTGCCTCTCAGTAAAGTGGTTTGTGCTCCCTCTCCACCTTCCCTCATCCTACTCCTCCTTACCTTCCTTCTTTCTGCTCCTTTGTTCTTGCTTGTTAGGGGCCAAGAACTACCCCTGCAGGCTCATGGGGCCAGTAAGGGGGTTTATCCCAAGAAGGGGAAGACTACTCTCTCCCATGGAGGCAAGCAAGGGGCTTGAGGGCCCTTCAGACACTAAGCAGAGACCTAAAGCTTTTTCAGTTCCCCAAAGAGCAGACATTAAGAGCTGAGCCCCATTTCTCTTTTCTGAATTTTCCATGGATCCTTCCGGTTGTTAAATATGCTTATTTTGTGCTTTGAGGTGATTTTTATGTGGCAGAAACATTGTACTTCAGTTGAAATCAAAATAAGTATTCAATTTATTAAATTCAGAATCCAAGTTCTTACTTATGCTTTTAAAATTAGCTGATAAAGCTTATTACATTCGCAAATCTAACATTTAACCATCATTTTTTAAATTAAGGTATCACTGATATACACTCTTATGAAGGTTTTACAAGAAACAATGCAGTTATTACATCACCCTTATTATAGAGTCTCCCCCCAAACCCCATTGCAGTCAGTGTAGTAAGACGCCATAGAGTCCCTATTTGTTTTCTCTGAGCTGCACTGTCTTCCCTGTGACCCCACCACACCATGTACACCAATCATGATACCCCACAATCCCCTTCTCCCTCCCTCCCCACCCACCCTCCCCCACCTCTCCCTTTTGGTAAACACTAGTCCCTTCTTGGAGTCTGTGAGTCTGCCGCTGTTTTGTTCCTTCAGTTTTGCTTCATTAATATATGCCACAAATGAGGGAAATCATTTGGTATTTGTTTTTCTCTGCCTGACTTGTTTCACTGAGCATAATACCCTCCAACTCCATCCAGGTTGTTGCAAGTGGTAGGATTTGTTTTCTTCTTATGGCTGAATAGTATTCCATTGTGTGTATGTACCACATCTCCTTTATCCATTCATCTACTGGTGGACACTTAGGCTGCTTCCATATCTTGGCTATTGTAAAAAGTGCTGTGATAAACATAGGGGTGCATATGTCTTTTTGAATCTGAGAAGTTGTTTTCTTTGGATAAATTCCTAGGAGTGGAATTCCCAGGTCAAATGTTAACCATAATTTTTGAGAGCCTTTGAGTAATACTTAATTAACCCCATTTCAGTTAATTACTTTAGATATTTTAAAGTGCAGTTATGCATTTATTTTTGTTTTTAAGGAACTGCAGTTGTCTGACCTAAATTTTTTCAGAATACTTACCTGTAAATCTAATAAACATATAACTGTGTAAACCTTCAATGCTCTTACATGTTTCAAATCCTTTTATAAATATACTAGTGAGATTGGAACTTAACAATCATGAACCCAGATCAGTTACTCCATTTCACATTTTAAACTGGAGTTGCAAAGGTAACGTAGGCCAATTCTCTTACACATATAACTTTCCTTAAAATACCAAATTCCCAAGGATTCATTAAGCACAAGTATTCATCACATAGGTGTGTTTCTTTTGAGCATGCATATATTTAATTCTCAGTCTTTTCACTTTGAAATTTACTTATTTACGGAGAAAACAACTATGTCTTCTGGACTGCTTTCCCAAGTGTATATTTTGTCACGCCTTCCTTAACTTATTCAGACTTCGTACTTATTGGAGGCATCTACTGGGATGGGATAGGATCTTGGAGTCCTATTTCTAGTCTCTAATGGGGACTTCATAATACAAAAGAAGAGGTGGTGATGGATCCCAAATTTTTTAGGTTTGAGTCATATCATTGCCTACTTTTGAAGTTATATTAGTCTGTATCTCCCACCCACTTGGATATACTGCTTGATTGAATTTGGTGTTTCTTTAGCTCTAAAATAGAAAAATGCATTTTCCCGTTTGAACCCAAAGACCTTTGAACTTTTCCAAATCCTGCATTCTTTTCATATTTTTGTTTCTTGGGACCCACGACTTACAGATCTTAATGTGCTGTTTGATTATATTCTGCTTATTTCTCATGACTTTGTCTTTCAAGTATTCTGCCTAGAGAGATTTTCAAGGGTGCAGCAAGTTAAGAAAAGGCAAATCAGGAAAAGATGGCCCTGGTTTTCTTAAATCTCTTTTCCACCCCTGAATATCTCCTCTCTAAACCATCAATCTCTCTGTGTAGCTTATAGCATTGCCCAATTGATCTTATGAGAGCACAGTTCTGATGATGACACTCTCCCGTTCAGAAAGCCTCAAGGACTCCCCAGTACCTTTGGAAAGAGCCTCTCACCCCAGGGCTTGAGGCGCATTGACTGGGTGCCAGCCTCATCTCCTGCCACCCCGTCACACAGCCCTCCCACTCATGTTGTGCCCTGGTGTTCCTTGCACTTCTTCCTTGCCTGCCTTTCCTAGATGGCCCAGCCCTCAGGGCACTCAGGAAATGTAGAAGCAAACACAAGGCTGTTTTAGTCCTCAAGGCCTGTGTTGGCTACACCTTTCCTACCAGGTTCCCCCTGCTGTGTTTCATCCTTATACCCCACTGCTGATGCACCTTGTGAGAGACCCTCACCCCGTTTCTCCTGAGTGCATAGTCTTTCTGGTGGTTCCCTGCCCATCTGCCTGGTGTGAGGCTCGCTGGGGCCACGGTAGTTGCTTAACTTCTGTTAGTAGCAGTAGCAGTAGCTGATTAGGGTGCTAGAGTGGATGTCTCAGAGGGAGTCTAAGTTGTAAAAGCTTTTTAGATCCCATGATTTTGCAGTAAGTTCCCAGCGGGCGGGAACAGTGCCTTCCTCAACTCTAGCTCACCCACCGTGGAAGGCAGAGCCTGGACTGTTTGCTGGACCTAACCTGCAGCAGCACCTCATTTGTGAAGGGAGGGCCTGGGGCTGAGCCCACCACATTACTGTTCCAGGCCCTGCTGGAGGTCGGGGGAGCCCGTGCCTCACATCTCATCCCCAAGGCTGGGCAGTGGGTCCTGGCCCCAAGGGAATTAGTCGGGCAGCCACTCCCTAGGAAATCCCTGTGGCCTGTGCCCTCCCTGCTTGCCTGTTTGTGTGCCCAGTGTGTCCTGTTCTGTTTCCAGGGGCGGGAGCAGGATGTGAGCAGAATCATCCAAGCCTTGAACGAGTGCCTTGCCGCCCTCCCCCGGCAGCAGCTCCGAAAAGTCTGTGGCATCGGAGTATCAGGACAGATGCATGGAGTCATGTTTTGGAAAACAGGCCAAGGTATGCTGGGCTCTGGGGGTGGTCACATGCTGCCACCAATCACAGCTGAGCCAGGAAAGTCCCTCAAAGGGCTCTGTGAAAGGTCAGGTCATCCTACAGGGGGATGCAACGGCACGTGCTGCCTCTTGTACTTTGTCTACATCTGTTGTGTGCGAGTGTCTAATAGCAAGTGAGCTATCCACTAACACATTGGCCGTGAAACAGGAGGAGGAAAAAGAGTGAGCATGCTGTGATTCTCTGTAGGATTCAGTGGAGTGGATTTTCCACAGCTGCTCTCTGTTGGTGTCAGTGTCTCAGAGCATCAGTGTGACCACCAAGAGCTTAGTGTTGCTGCAGAAGATGCCAAGACACAGGAAACTCTTTTTAATTGGGGCACAGTTTTTGTTATTTAACATAATCACAGATATTTGTGATTTTTTTCATTCCAGAGCATGTCTTTTTTATGGGCTCGGTTGCTAAGTATTATTTAGTTGGTCATCTCGTATCAGAAGGTCTGCCACGCTGCAGAGGTGGGTGACCTGTTCTGTTTTGCCTCCAGGAAGGGAATTAAGCTAGCAAAACAACAATGAGCCTTTTACATGCCAGGTGCTGGGCTAGGGATGTTACCTGCATGACTCATTGAACTTACTCAACATCGTGGTGATGTAGGTTACACTGTTGTCCCCATTGTGCAGATGAGAAGTTGAGATTCAGAAAAGTTAAAACAATATGCTCAGGGGCATATGGCAACTCGAACTTTTGAATCCAGGTCTGTTTAACTTAAGACACTGAGCTTATAAATGCCTCTGGGAGGACCAGAGCTACAGGAGGACACAATAGCACCCAATGAAAGGAGGACTGTCCCTACACAATGTAGGAAGTAGTGAGCTCCTAGCATGAAAAAAATTTTTAATTATAAAAAATTCCATATAGACATAAAAGCAGGTAGAATAGTATTATGAACGGAAGCCCATCCATCACCCAGCTTCAAAAATATGAACATTTCACTGCAGGTTTTAAGCAGAGGATGGGTAGGGATGTACTTAAGGGGATTTGAACATTAGATTCATCCCTTTCTGTCAGAAGAGTCAGTGATTCCAATTCCCCTGGCCAAGTGAGTGGTGTCTTGCCTCTCAGCATTGTGGCTGGTATTTGGTGATGCATCCTTTGATCAGTCCCCAGGATGGGCTAGATAACTGTAGAAGCCAGTGCACGCTCTCTCCCTCCTGCCCTCCATCTCATCGGCCTGTTGTCAGGCCAGCTGGGACCACAGGAGTGGATTGGCTCCAGTCAGTAACAGGAGGAGAAGCCAATTAGGGTGTTAGAGCGGACCTCTCAGAGGGAGTCTAGGTTGTAAAAGCTTTTAAAACTCCTTAATTTTGCATTAATGAGAATAAATGTCCTTTTAATACTAAAACCCTTCCCATAGAGAATAGCAGAGATGTAATGATTGTGGTCTGGTCACATGCTATCCTTTCTACCCATTTCCTGGACTCTCTAGCAACCACACAAACCATCACCCACGTCATGGGAGGGAGCTGCTTAATATTTCATTGAACCAGCCTGCATGTCTTCTTGTTTTGTTTTCTGTTTCTGGGAAGGAGGATGATAATGATGCCTGCTTAGCAGAGTTGAGTGAAATCATATTTGGGATCAAGTCGTTCTGCTTTTAATGGTGGTCATAATTCAGTTTGGTTTCAGTACCTACAGTATGTAAGGCTGTGTGCTGGGCCCTGCGGGAGACAAAGAAATGAGCAGCTGAAGCCCTCACCTTCCAGGGCACATTCCAGGCCATCAGCGGAGACGGGCACCAGTAACCCTAGCAGAGAGCTAAGTGCTGCCTTACAGGCATGGGCCAGACAGCTGGAGGAGAGGAGAGGGAGTGACTAGTGTCTTCTGAGAGGTCTGTGGTTATGCCTGTTTTTAGACTCCATTTTCAGGCTTGGTAATAGCAAGAGAGAAGTGGGGATCATAAAGCCAAGCTAAAAGACGAGCAGCACACAAGGAGAAACTATTTGCTAGTGTATAGAAGACAAAAGATGAATATGGGAATGTATAAGAACTAATAAGAAAGGAAGGACAAATGGCCCCTGTGGAAAAGTGGGCAAAGGAGAGACAGGCAATTTCTAGAAGAGGAAGTACAAATGGCTAATAAGATGTTTAGTGGTTAAGATGGTCAATGTCCTTAGTAATCAGGGCAGCACACATGAAAACAACAGTGAGAAGTCATTTTCCACCCACTGGATTGTAAGAAATCAAAGTTTATTAACGTCAAGAGTTGGCAAAAGGGGTGGAAGTTTGATTGTTTTAAATACTGCTGCTGGTAGTGTGAGTTAGCACAGTCATTTTGGAGGGCAATTTGGTGGGGCCTATTAAAAACAAGTACTTCAAGAAAAGTACTTTAACATGTATGTGCGTAAGAAGACATAATCATGGTTGTTCATTGCATCCTTGTTTATAGTAGTGGAAACTGTGACATTTAACCATAGGGGAATGGTTAAATAAATGTTGACATGCTCGTGCTATAGAATGAGGCACAGTCACTAAAAAGAGTAAGGTGCATTCATGTGTGCTGACATGAAAGAACTCCAGAACATGTTAAATGAAACAACACTAAGAAAAGTAAAAATACAGTACAGTACTATTTGTTTTAAAAAAACACAAAGTAAAATCCAACCCACCCAGCCCAACAACCAAATATGTTTTGTGAGTATAAAACCTTTGAACAGTTAACCAGCAAGTATCAACAGTGACAGGATGGGGGATGAACTCACATTTGCTTCACGGTGGGCACCGTTCTGCTGTGGAGGCCAGATTCTCATCTCATCCATTAAATTTGGAGTGTTCTTGATTGCAGATAACTTTTCTTGATGGGCACTGAATGTCAGCTTTCTTTTCCCATTCTGCTACAGTGGTTGTATTTATGTTGCATGTAAGTGTGGGAAATATCCTTGCATGAGGAGAAAAGAGGACAAAAGATATATAAGGGGGCATATTCTAAATCTCAAAGGCTGATGGAAAGTCCTAGACCAGGGATAGACTTTAGAAGATAAACATTTGTTACCATCATCCTCATCACTAACATTAACTGAGTACTCACAGTGTGTTTGGTACTATTCTCGGTGCTTTGTGTGTGTTACCTCATTTGATACACACAACCCTGTGCACTCAGCACACCCTGACCCTAACTCTTACCCTTCCCCTTGCTACTAGCCCAAGAGAATGTCAATCTATGGGCAAGAAGGCCACCAGGATCTAGGAAGCAGAGTTATAAGTGCCCTTTACCTGTGGACTTCCATATACAGTTGCCACCACGATGCTGAACTAGCATGGCTGCTGGCTCTTTCCCCCAAGTTTGGAATCGTAAGAGAAGAACACCACGGAAAGGGGAGGGCACTGTGAGAGCCTGGCATCACGGGGCTGTTTGGAGTTGATATGTGCATGTTGATGGTTTGTGTCTGAGGCAAGAGGCAGCCAGCCTTGCCTGTGGGAGGAGAAGTCCGGAGGGGGAACTATTGTTACCCTGGCTTCCGGACAATACCACCTGTTCCCACAGCCACAGGAACTCAGGTGTCTCCAGTAATAAAATCAAGGCAGCAGAGAAAGGAAGGTATCCCTCCCCAAACCCCAAGACTTGTGACTCATAATCTAAGGATCCTTATAACATTGTTTCTTCTGGGGGTCAGAAGGGCAGCACTGACCTGAGTTGATATTTTGCAAGGTGGGAGTGAATTAGCTGTGGCTACAACCCAGAGCTTATCATCCTCCCCAGCCCCTTGGGCTGGAAGAGACTAAGTTCTGGCCCATTTACATTACCTGGCAAGGTAGCCAGGACTCCCAGGGCAAACTAGGCCCAGACTACAAGACATTTGAAGAGCTTGGCTGTTTCATAAGAAAAACACTGCTGGGTTATTGGATGGAGATTCTGTCAGAAGCAAAGTATTCTGTCAGAATGAACAGACTAAGAATTGAAAATTAGCTTGACGCGCATACTTAAAGATATTAAAGGAGGATGTTAACAAGGAAACAATACAAAGAAAACATAAAAAGAACCAAGCAGATATATTAGGTATGAAAAGCCTAAGAGTTGAAATAAAGAATGTAATAGATGGGATTAATAGCAGAATGCATAAAACTTGAGGACAAATTTGAGAATGAAAGATCAGACTGAGGAAATCTGTTAGAAGAAAGAAGGAAAAGAGAAAGACATAGAACATACAAAAGAACAGCTAAGAGATACTGAAGATACAAATAGAAGCACTAGCATCTGAATAATCAGAGATCCAGATCCAGAAAGGGGGAAATAACAGTGTTAAAGGACATATTTGAAGAATGGAGAACAATTCCCCTAATGGATAAAGTAAGATGTAGTGCCCCATACAGAAAGAGCCCACAGGATGAGGAGAGAGAAGGAAAACCCCAACTAGAGGTATTGTACAGAACTTTTAAGGATTTCAGAGACAAAAAGAAAATTCCAAAAGCTTGTAGAGTGAAAGATCAGATCTCATATAAAAGAATTAGAAGCAGATTAACATATTTTCTTCAACAGCAGTGTTCTGTGTAAAAAGGCATAGTATTTTGGTTATTTGTCTATTGCTGTATAACAAACTATCTCCAAACTTAGTGACTTGATTGAAACAGCAACCATTTTATCATATCTTGTGATTTTTGGTGCAGGAACTGGGCAGGGCTTGGCTCCTGATTTTCTGCTCTATATGGAGTTGATGGAGGTTGTTTGGGAGTATTCCTCTGGTGGACAGATTGGTCTGCAGGGTTCAGGATGGCTCTGCTCAATTCCCCGCTGCCTTGGCGGGGGAGTCGGGAAGGCTGGAAGGCTGGGCTCTCATGGGGATGGTCTGCCAGATGCCTACATGTGACTTCTCCACATAGTCTCTCCAACATGGTGGCCTCAGGGTAGTGGGACTCCCTACGTGGCACTGGGCTTCCTCCAGAGAACACTCTTAAGAAGCTCTGGCGGGAGCTGAAAGGCTTCTTATGGTCTGGCCTTGGGAATTCTAGAATGTCACTCCTGCCATGTTCTCTTGGCGAAACAAGTCACCAAGGCCAGCCTAGATTCAAGGAAAGAGATTTAGACTCTACTTTTTAATGGGATTTGCGGCAATGTACACCACAAATCTACAAACAGTGTTCTTAAGTATGAAAGAAAAGGAACTTAGAGCTTAGAATATTTAACTGATCAAACTGTGGTTATGAAAAAATGAGGATATGAAAAAAATATCCTGAGGCATCTAGGCCTCCAGATGCTTTGCCGTAGAAAGACCTATCTTGGAAACAGTTTTGGGTGAAATATTTAATAAGAGTGGAGAAAAATTCAGAACGTAATTCAGGAAAGGAATGAAGTAAAGATGGCCAGATTCCTTAGTAAAGTTTGATGTCTAAAAATCATTTAGCTAAGACCAAAGGAAATGAGAATATATCTGTAATCATCCACAGTCAAGTCTAGATATATCATCATGTTAAGGGTTGGAAGGACAGAGACCAGGGACCTGAGAATGTGCCAGACTTCTTTTCCTACAGGGTCGGGGTGATATAATATTGACCTAAGAAAATGAATAAAGAGGAACATAGACGAAGTGGGACAAATGGCAGAAGTGATTTGCCCAGGTTGACACAGCCGTTGGTGGTGGAGTCAAATACTAAACCCAGGTACTCTGATATGAGAGCTCACGGGGGTGAGGGAAACATTGTCATGGGCGATAAAGTCTGTGCTGTAATTTCACTAGCAGAGTACTCTCCAGGCAGTGCCGGTGCCAGTCAGTTGCTCTTTTCTCCATTTTTGGTAATCTCCTTTGTTCCAGGCTGTGAGTGGACAGAGAGAGGGGCCACTCCTGTGTTCGAGCCCAGAGCTGTGAGCCACTTGATCACATGGCAGGATGGCCGATGTAGCAGCAGGTTCCTGGCTTCTCTGCCCCTGCCAGAGTCCCATCTCCATGTGGCCACAGGGTTTGGTTGTGCAACCATCTTCTGGATTTTGAAAAATAGGTATGGACAACTGCTCTTTGAATTGGGTACTGGATTTCCAGGGGAATGAGAGTGGCCAAGGGGCTGCCCCTCTGGCTGGTCAGCACCACTCCATGTGCTGGATTGTCATTCAGTGAGTGTGGCCTGGCACAGGCTGTGGTCACAAGACCTGGACTTGATCTAGAACTGCTTTATTTCTTAGAGGGCCCTCTATTGGTTATCTGATTCTAACAGAGAGGGCCAAAGATGGGCCAGAGAAGGCAAGGGACTTGCCAAGGGTCATATGGTGAGTTCATTATGGGGACAGGGTTGCTGAGAACTGCTGATGTCCTGCTTTCCCAAGCATGGTGCATCTTCCCCCGAGTCCCCTCCCCTAAGGCTGACTCTGGCCAGCCTTGCTTAGAGCAGCTGGGAGGGCCTTAACTTAGGAGGTCCAGCTGTTGGGGGAGCCACAGCATGTGGGGTTCTAGCTGCCGCCCAGCTATGCTATGCCCAGTCCACACTCCCCACAGCTAGGTGCAGCACATGCTTTAAAGTTGGTATTAGACCATATTGAATTGTTTTTGGTATGAAAAATAGCCCAGAGTTCCTGAAGTCATACGATGCAGCTGGCACCATCCATGACTATGTGGTTGCCATGCTGTGTGGCTTGCCAAGATCCCTGATGTCTGACCAGAACGCCGCTAGCTGGGGATATTTCAACACCTGGAGCCAAAGCTGGAACTTGGAGATGTGAGTATAACCTTGCAGGCTGAGGGGCAGAATCTCGAGAGCTAGAGCTTCAGTGAGGCCTTCCCATTTGGGAATAGTGGAGGATTCCAAGAAGCCAGGAGTCAGGTTCCAGTGCCCACCAACCTGTCCCAGCCAGTGAGCATAGGTGGGCCTGGCTGTCAGTGAAGTCCTTGGGGAGGGGTGCCACACCTAACACCACACTGTTCTGCCCGTCCACAGTTGCCCAGATCTAGGGTGGGCTTCCCAGTTTTGTGGGGCCCAGCCTATAGATTTCAAAGAGCAACTGTCACTCTTAAATATATTTTAAAATAAGGTTAAGAAATGGAAGTAGTAGGCTTGAGGGATGCCTTGTAAGTTCTTTTTAAATAATCATTTGCCTTTTCAGGTCCAGAAGTCCAGTGCCCTCTAAGTTCACTTCCTTCAGGGCCCAAATTCTGAGCTCTGTAATAAAACAAAAAGCACCTAGTAGTTCAGGTAAAGGACTTTCTAGCATGTGTTGTATAGTTGACAGCCCCATGTTCACTAACCCTGAGTGATGAATGCGTTTGCTGTTGAGGAGACCAGTGGGTTTGACTGTGATCTGGCCTGTGCTAACCAAGTATGACTGCACTGGAACTCCGACTGCCTCTTTGCAGAGTGTGTCCCCTTTTCATGCAGGAAGCTGGGTGCCGTGATATCTGCTCTTGTCTGATCCTTCCTAATCATCCCTGCTTACACTGGTTGTTTTCTGTCCTCCAAGGCCAAGCCAACGTTTTTGAAAGCCAGTGTTCATTCTTTTAAAAAATGCAAGCCTATTTCTTATGGTTTTAAAAAAGCCAAAGAGGCCCTCCATGAAAAAAACACTGGGTTCTACCTTCCTTTTCCTTTCTGGCATGTGTATCCTATAGCACTTTCCTTTACTGAGTTTCCTGGAAACAACAAAGAAAAACCAATCACTGGGTAAATACACTGTCCATTTTTGGTTTGCAGACTGAGGACCTCAGGCTTTCCCATCCACCTGCTCCCAGACATTACCAAGCCTGGCAGTGTGGCAGGCAGAACGTCCCATGCATGGTTTGATATCCCAGAGGGGACACAGGTGGGCGTGGCCTTGGGAGATCTACAGGCCTCCGTCTATTCCTGTATGGCCCAAAGGACAGATGCAGGTAGGTCTATCTTTTGTTCTGTCCTCAGACTTCCACTGGTATCCCCTAATCCCCAGTTCTGTGCAAGAGTCTGAGGGGCACATGTAACAACCAGCCTCAGCTTTTTGAGTGCTTTTCTGTGAACATGAAAAATATCATCTTCTGTACAGTTGAAGTTCCTGCTCTGGGAGCTTACAGTGCAGCAGGGCAAGTTCTGACCTTGCTCACAGTTGTGTCTTTCCCCTGTAGGGCCAGATGAGGGAAATGACTCTCTCTAGTTGCTGGTTTCTGTGTGACTGTACAACCAAGACAATACATTAGTAAATTAGGGTTTTTGTTATTGTGCATTTGTCAGTGAAAGTTCTGTCTAATCTGATTAGAAGTGCAGTTTTTTCTGTATTCAGTGAAAGAGAGTCAGTGAGGTGGAGGCAGGAGTCTAGGGCAGAGGTTGGCAGACTTTTCCTGTAAAGGGCCAGTAGTAAATATCTTAGACTTTGTGGGCCATAAAATTTCTGTCATGACTATTGAACTCTGCTGTTGGAATATGAAAGCAGCCATAGCCAATATACAAATGAATGGACATAGCTGTGTTCTAATCAGACTGTATTTATAGACACTGAAATGTGAATTTCATCTAGTTTTCATGTGACAAAATAGTCTTCTCCTTTAGATTTCTTTTTAGCCATTTACAAATGTAAGAACATGCTACTGGGAATGTAAAGCAGTGCAGCCCCTTTGGAAGACAGTCTGGTGGTTCCTTAAGAGTTACATGGAGTTACTCTATGACCCAGCCAGCCCACTACTCAGTATAGACCCAAGAGGACTGAAAACACACATCCACACAAAAATTTATACACAAATGGCCCTACAAGCATTATTCATAAAAGCCAAAAAGTAGAAACAATCCAGATGCTCAATAACTGATAAACAGATGTAAAAAGTGTGGTGTACTCACATAGCTAAAATGCCCCATGTGAGTGAAAGTGAGAGAAAGGAAAACTCGTCCCAAAAGACCACGTCTGTATGATTCCATTCTCATGAAATGCCCAGAACAGGCCAACCCACAGAGACAGTAGGTAGATTAGTTGCTGCTGGGGCTGGGGGTGGGAGGATGGTGATTGCTGAGGGGAAGGGGTTTCGTTTTGGAGTGATGAAAATGTTCTAAAATTAGATCATGGTGGTGGTTTTACAGCTCTGTGAATATACTAAAAACCAGTGAAGTGTACACGTTAAAAAGGTATATTTTGTGTTAAATTTTCATCACTTATATCTTAATAAAGCTATTAACAAAAAATGTATAAGCCATTCTTAGATCTTAGACCATAAAAAACCAGATGGTAAGATATGGCCTGTAGGCCGCCATTTGCTCATCCCTGGGCTTGGGTAGAATTTGGGCCCCCCTGCCTGATCAGGGTGGTTGCAGGATGTGTGTTTCATTTGTTCTTCACAGCAGCCTGGCTGAGCAAATGCAATTTGGGAGCCCATCCTTGTTGTCAAGGGGAGCAGAATTCATTCCTCATACCTGAATTCTCTTTGTCATCACATCTTATTTTCCTCCATCAGTTAGAACTATTACAATTCAACCCTAAGTTTAAAAATTCTGACCAGCACTCTCCTATATGTAGTAGTTTATTCCTATTTCATTGCATTCTTAAAAAATAAAACTTCAAGCAACTGTTTTGTTTTGTTTTTGGTAGTAATTCTTCTTAATTCAAGACTAGCTGGAAGGAAAAGTGCAATTCTGCCAATTTTGTTTGCACGTGCATGTGATAAAAACTTCTAAGGTCCAAAAAGCTCAAAACCTTTTTTCTCATAAATTTTCAACTAAAGTCAATGCCCCAGGGAAATGTGCTAAGTTTATTCTGTGACTTTTAATTTTTCCAGTACACCATCTCTTGCCTTATATCCCTTCATCTCAAAGTGTGAATATCAGGGAACCCATGTGGGCTCTGGAGTCCAGCCCGCAGGCCTGGGTTGGAATTTCAGTCCCTCTACTTCTTCCAATGTGACCTTGGGCAGCCTACTTTGCTCCGAGCTGTTGCTGTCGTCCAAAAGGAAGGTGGCAATGCTTTTCTCCTGTGCAGTTGTGGTGATGTGGTGGGATGGTGCCTGTGAAAAGCCTGGTTCCTTCCTACCTGGTGGTTTTCAAATCTTAGGTTGTCCTGTGCCTGGATGTCAGTATGCTTTCTATATGGTGAAGAAGGGCTAGTCAAATGGGAAGAAGATAAGATGTAGGCTTCCCCTTTACTGAGCTGGGTGTAGTCTCAGGATCCAGACTGGGGCTGCTGACTGGTGCCCAATTGCGTTGTGTCTGTGGTGGAGTGGGTTGGCCCCCATTGCTCACACCTCCGCCCGAGGGGTTGGGAGGAGGGCATGTTGCTTCTGGTTTATAGTTACACTGAAAGGCTTGATGTGGCAGAAAGTGAAGGTTCTTGGCTTCCTGAGACCTGTTGCTGCTGTCTTTGTTTCTGACCCCGCAGTAGATGGGAAGTTTGAATGCTGACCTCGATTAGTTTGGCCTCCAGGAGACTGAGAAGAACAGGCTTTTTGGCCATGTCTTGTGAGAAATGGAGAAGAGACTCTTGGATTGGTCTGTAGGCCCTGGCTTCAGTCTGGAGGATAAAAAACATTTCCTGTGTGCTGGGTCTGGGAGCTTTCTCCCTGCTTGGTGGGGGGAAATGAAGAAGAATACCTTAGAAAAAGGAGATGGTACTTGCAGAAAATAAATTAAACCTCCCTAGAGTGAAACACCTGGGCTGAGGTCTCACTCTGTAAATAGTTGTCTATTCCCATGTAACAAATTGCCCTAAAACTTAATAGCCTAAAATGGTAAACATACATTACCTTACACAGTTTCTGAGTGTCAGAAAACTGGCTGTGGCTGAATGGTCTGGCTCAAGGTCCCTCATGAGATTGCAATCAAGCTGTTGGTCTGCTGGGACTGCTGTCACCCAAAGGCTTGGCCAGGCCTGGAGGATCTACTTCTCAGCTTGCTTATAAGGCACTTGGCAGGAGGTCTCAGTTCCTTGCCACATGGGCCTCTCCACAGGGCTGCCTTCCCCCAGAACAAGTGGTCTAAGACAGAAGCTGCAGGGCCTTTTCATGACCTGGTCTCCAAAGTCACACACTGTCACTTCTGTTTTATTTTCTTCATTCGAAGCAAGTCACTGAGTCCAGCCCTAGGGAGAGGAATTAGCCTCTACCTCCAGAAAGGAAGAGTGTCAAATAATTTGTGGACATACTTTAAAGCCAGCACCATCTTCCCCTTCCCTACTGTGCCTTGTGACTCCAAGTTAGCCCAACAGGCCTGACCTCTGCTTTCCTTGTACCCCAGTTCTCAACATCAGCACCTCAGTTCAGCTGGCAGCTTCCATGCCTTCAGGATTCCAGCCAGTGCAGACTCCAGACCCTACAGCTCCAGTCACCTACTTCCCGTATTTCGACAGGACCTACCTGGCAGTGGCAGCATCGCTCAATGGGGGCAATGTGCTGGCCACATTTGTCCACATGCTGGTCCAGTGGATGGCACATCTAGGTAAGGAGTGGCTCACACAGCAGTGTGTTCTCCGCCTGTGCTTTCAATGTGGCAGTGTTCTTGGTGCCGAGTATGCTATTTGGGGTTCTAGATTCATGTCTCAGACCCAGCCAGCTTCCAGCACATACCATCCTTCCTTAGGGACCAAACTTGTACACTTCTTTTCTCTCATCTTCTGAGCTGCCATCACCTACTCTCTTTTTTGAGGGGCACCTTCTCCCCTAACTTTGATTGTGGAGTATTGCAGTAGTCCCCCGGCTTTCCCTTGTCCCACTGTGTTACTTTTTCTGTCAGTAAGACCTGGGTCCCTTGTATTTGTGGTTTTCCTTCTGATGACTATGGACAGCTGAAAATAAAATGTCCAAGAATGAATGAGTGAAAAACTCCTGGCATTTTACAATATTATAAAATGTTCATAGCACTTATTCCTGGCAAGTAATTTCTGACTCCCTTTCTTCGGAGGATGCCTGGAAACTTTGATGCCCTCCTGTGCTCTCCTGGATAGAACTGATCAGGCCTTTCTCTGCTCTGCATTTATGGGGAAACATGTAACCTCCTCATCCAGGAAAGGTTCCCTTTCTAAGTGCTGAAGGTAGAAATGAAATTTCCAGTCAGCTGTGCAGGTCTAAGGATGCCTTGGTTACCCTGTGGGAGCTCAAAATCAGGTCATTCCAGGAAATGCCCACCACAGTAACAAGGCGAGGTGCAGGCAGCAGAGAGCAGCTGGGCAGCCATATTGGTTGTGCAGAAAGGTGTTGCTGATCCACGTCAGTCCTCTGAGGCTGGCCAGGGACGTCAGGATTGCAGGGCTGTTCTGTGGGGACCCCTCGCAAATGCTTCGTGTAAAGAACAAAGCTTTCATTTCCTTTTGCCTTGCATCAGAAAAGATTTTCAGGTGCAGAACCAGTCGTCAGAACCTTCAGGCAAGTGTTGTATCTAGATACTGGTTTAACTGGATTGGGTCTGTCAGTTGTTTACTGAGTTGGCGTTGGCTGGTGTTCCCTAGTATAGAAGCGACTGTTTTCCTCACCCCTAAAAGGGGGGTAATATTTAATTCTCTGTAAGATTCTTCCAGAAAATCTTTTGCATTTTCATGGTCTTTATTTTGATGAAACAGAGAGTGCTTTGAAGGTTAGTATTGTATGTATCTTTTATGAAATGCTTACAATTATGTCATTTGATTAAAAAAATATACATGAAAATATAATAAAATTTAGTCAGCTAAAAGATATTGCATTTATTGACCAGAAATGAAAATATTAAAGCATAAAATACAGAAATAAAACTCTCTGTTCAGAATACCCTAGGTTTGCATCATCTTTCAGAGGTTCCACCTTTGTGTGGTATTTGATAGCAAGAGACTCTGGAGACTGGCAACCTGGGTTGAATCCTAGCTCTGTCATTTCCTGTGTGACTTTGGGCAGGTTACTTGTTCCCTCTGTGCTTCACGCCCTCATCTGAAAATGGGGGTCATCCTAGTACCTACCTTGGAGAACTCTGAGGATATAGTGAGTTAATATTGTGAAGCCCTTAGAATAGTGCCTGGCCCATAGCAAGTGGAACATATATGGTTGCTAAATAAGCATAGTGTGGTGGCACAGCCTGGGAGAGTGGTCTCTGTTCCCAGCTCGGCCTCAAGTCATTATGTGGCCCTAGCAAGTCCCTTCCCTCCTGTGTTTTCCTAGGTCTGATGTTCTGTGGTCTAAGCTTGTGATGTGGACATTTGGCAGCTTGAAGCAGTTCATCCCCATCAGCAGATTTGGGGGACACGGAGACAGGACTAGAAGGTGTCTCAGGCCTCCAGCTGGTATATACCACCTTCCAGGTGTTCCCCAAGGCCCAGGTTTTCCAGTAAGGAAGCCCAAGTGTTTCCCAGTAAGAAGCATTTATTTTAACATTTGTTTAAACATTTTTTTAATTTTTATTAAGGATATACAAGCATTTTTTTTTGTTGCCATGGACTTTATCTGGATTTTAGCAGTTTTTCCATGAGTTTTTCTATTCCAGGATACCACACTGCATTTAGTCATCATACCGCCTTGGTCTCTCTGCCTTCTATCTGACTAATCTCTTTTCTTTTCCTTTTTTTCATCTCCTTTCTCTTTTTTCCCATGAATTTAATGGGTTTACATTTTATATCTATTCTTTTACAAGTTTCTGACACACTGTGTTTCTAGGATCTGGGAGACAGTCACTTCCATATGTTACTGTGGTACATCTCCTAAGGGGGAGTATAATGTTCATGTCTGTTCCTCTCCAAGGACTCAGTCCTACAGATTTATATACTTGTACACATGTGCAAGGTTATTCACTAAGCACATGACTTTTTGGATATTTTAGTAGAATTTCTAGAGGGAGAGGGAAATACTTATATTCATTCTGCCATATTTAACGAGAGTCCTGCTGATCAGATTTTGACTGTGATATTCAAGTTATTTCTCTCAGTCTGTGTCTTCCCTTCCTGAGTGTACAGTTGAGTTTGTATAAGCTAAATGTGCTAACGATGAGACTCTTGGTTGGTGGTCTCAGTGCTGGCTGCATACTTGAAATACTTGTGGAGTTTTTAAAACACTGTTGATGTCTTAGTCCCACCTGCAGAAATGTGGGTTATTTGCCCTTTGTGTGGGTGGCACCTGGGCCTGGCATCTTTAAAAGTTTGCCAGGTGATTCTGATGCCCTCAAGTGTTGGTAAGCACTGGTCTAGAACCTTCTACTCAAACAGTATGGTCCTTGGGCCAGTGGCACTGGCTCCTCTGGGAGCAGATAACAAATGCAGAATTTCAGAGCCCCATTCGAGGCACACCTAGTCAGAAGCTGCATTTTAATATGAACCCTCAGTGAGGCATATGTATATTCAAATGTGAGAAGTACTGGTCTAGAGTGGTGGTTCTCAACCTCTGCTGGGGAGTGGGCTAGACTGTGATCAGCACTGTGGTCCTGGGATTTCCGTGACACCATTAGGAGGTCTAGGAGCAGCCTTGATGATATTTATTGATCAGTGTATGCATTTGGCTTCCTTGAGACCAAGGGTCCCATAGCTGTGAAATGGTAGGGCTTACAACATGCTTACTCGATCTTTTCCTGAAGTCTGGGCTGGGGTCTTCAGTGAGGGAGCTGGCTGGGATCTAGGGCAGAGCATAGCTAGCCTCTCTCCGTAAGTCTGTAAGCTGGGAAGCAGTCAGAAAGTGAGAAGAATGATAAGTAGACCCATCCCCATCCCCTGGGAATTCTGTACTGTCTCAGCCTGCAGTAAGGGGCTGCACAAAGTCACACAGGTCTTCTCTGTTCCCGGCAGGCCTGGAAATTGCTGAATCCACTGTTTATTCACGCATGATTGAGGCAGCTGCACAGCAGAGAGACACCTGCCTAACCATCACTCCAACGGTGTTGGGCGAGAGACACCTGCCAGACCAGCTGGCCTCAGTGACCAGAATCTCTTCCTCTGACCTCTCCCTGGGGCACGTGACCCGGGCCCTGTGTCGAGGCATTGTTCAGAACCTGCACTCTATGCTTCCATTTCAGCAGCTCAGAGAGTTGGGGGTGGAGAGAGTGATTGGCAGTGGGAGTGCGCTGTCCCGGAACGAGGTGCTGAAGCAGGAGGTTCAGAGGGCTTTCCCTTTGCCAGTGTCCTTTGGGCAGGATGTGGATGCAGCTGTGGGGGCAGCTCTGGTCATGCTGCAGAGAAACCTAAACCAGAAGGAGACTTAGTCAGCACACTCTTTGGCCAAAGGACTATTGCAGATTTTATCTAATTAATGTGCCCAACGTGAACTTATGTTCATCCTTTTCCTAGACAGCTTTTAAGCAATGGTTGTTCTCCGAGTACCATCGTGACCAAGAACCTGCCTTCACAGCACACTGTGATAATGCAGCCAGGAGTCATCAACCACATCTCCAGTCAGTACCTTCTGAAAGAGACTTGCCTGGACCTGGATGCAAGTGTAAATGTGGGAAAAAGAGAGAAAGAAAAGGAATGGTGGCCCAGCATCCTGATCTGCAGGCTCACCTGTGATTCACTTGTAGACAAAGAGAAAATAAATGAGGACTTCAGACACCGAAAATTCTGCTGGCTGTGGACTCCAAGTAAGAAAAGAAGACCCGCCTCTCTACCTTTCATCCAGCTTTTGGATTGATTGTTTTTAGGGACATGAAGCCCAGACATGGGTCACATGCACTGTTGGAGAAGTCCTTTCCTACTGGATTGTACCATGTCACCCTGAGGCCCCTTTCCCAGTCTTGCTCTCCTCTGGGCAGGGGGTGGCCCAGGGACTGTAAGGCAGGCTGGCTGAGATGAAGATGTGTGTGGGTATGTGCTGGCCTTGCCATGTGCTTCCCCCTCCAAGGAGAGCCTGCTGCACTGGGGCAGCCCCAGATCCTCAGAGCACAGCTGGCTTGAAGGCATGTAACAGGGAAGGAAAGGTGAATGGCATGGCTGGCAAGGGGGTTGGATGCTGTGTGACCCTGCCATTCAGGGACATTGTTCCCAAGAGTCTCACCAGGTACCAGCATGACGCTTTTCCGGGAGTGTCTCTGTGCAGTAGTGTGTTTTTGCCCCATCTATCCCTAGGAAGTCTTCCAAGAGAAGGGCTGTCCTGGGCCTGCTAGCATGTGGGTGGCTATTTAATCAGAGGGAGCCCTTTATCCTGCAGGCCCGGCTCCTCTTTCTCTGGGTGTATGCCTTGCTTACCTACCATGTGCTCCTGGTGCACAGAAACATTCCACTTGGGTTGGCATCTGTGCAGGGATCTCAGGGCATCTTAAACCTTCCTGTGGTTGGTAGGGATGACCATGGAATGGCTTCCAGGAGAGGGCCACCATTGCTGCATCTACTTCCAGACTCCCAAGGTTGATCCCAGGCTCAGGCAGGCCTGACTCTGATTTGGGAAGCAGTCATGTTGTCTCATTGTAAGTGTCACTTTATGAATTACATAGTTGTCCGAAGCTCAGATTAATCTGCCTGGCTGTGCTGATTGAATTTCAGATACTAAAGCTCATTCTTCCAGAGCTTCTTCCCTTTAATAACACACTTCTCTGCTTTGGGAAGACTGTATGTGATGGCACAGCGGCAGAGCTGGGCTTGGGAGGTTGGGATCATTTGTAGGTTGTCTGGAAGAAAAGCACTGCCTGCCCCATGGTCTGCCAGGACAGGTGGCTGCAGATCCCTCAGGAAAGTCATGTAATTTTTCTCTCAGTGGAATGAGTTGACACCATCATTTTCGGTCCCGAGAGGAAGGCCTGTGAGAGAAGGCACCTTGGGACAGGCTGAAGAATAATTGAGAGCCCTATCCATTAGGAAGATTCAGTCCTCTGAATTCAGGGCAGCAGCCTGTCTTGCATTTTCAGGAGCTGTGGATGGAGTCTGTAAAGATAAGATTAGGAACGAGATGGGTGTCCTGCAAGCCCAGGCAGCCCAGCCCAAGTGCCCAACAGGATGTTGAAACTCTGTTCCCTTTCCATGTGTCCATTCTGCCTCTGAGGACAGCCTTGCACAGCTCAAGCTTGTCAGCTAATAGGCCGGCTGCTGTTTCTGTTGCATGTGGCCTGGAGCTTCTGCGGGGGTAGGGGAGTGGGGGCTGGGGGTGTTGAGTACAGCTGCCAGGGCCTCATTTCTCCAGCCTGAAGTCACAAACCATTCACTGCTGCTCTCATTCTTGGGAGGTACGAGAGTGAGACCAGAATGATCCTCAGATGAGGAATGGGGCCTTTGGGGCTGTCTACCAGTGTCCTAATCTTATAAGTATGTGGTAGGCTTGTACTTTCCTACCTGATTAGCTTCAGCCAGTAAAATGTGAACAAAAGCATATCACTTCTAGGCAGAACCCTTTAGGCACCAGTGTGTGATTTGCCACACTCCCTTCCTTTGGCTGCAAGTGACTGGTGGTGTCCCAGAGGGCCGAGGCTCTGTCAGCTTGGGTCCCATGTGAGGGTGGTATTGTGTAGGGCCTTCATCAGTCAGCAAGCCACATGCAGTGTGGCTGAGAAATGAATCTTTGATGTTTGAAGCCCCTTAGATTGGGGGTGTATTACCAAAGCCTAACTTGGCTCATCCTGACCTCTACAGCCACAGCAGAGGCTGTGCCTGCGAAGGCTTAGTGCACCCAGATGAGCTGGATTTCACGAGCATCTACCAGGAGCTGGGTGTTCTGTCAGGAAGAGTGACATGCTGTTGAATTTCTGTCCCTTGGGAATGACATCCATACTCTTGACAGATCTACTGACACATGCAGGAGCAATTCATTCTTCATGCAATGACATCGAGTGAAACCTTGGAGAGTTTCAATCCATGGATACAATAGCTAACCTACTATATACTGGGAGCTAATGTAAACTCTACTTATTTGAATTCATTTGATCTTCACAATGATCCTAGAAGGTGGGTACTATCATTCCCATTTCTTGGATGAAGAAACAGAGCCTTACTTAACCAAGAAGAAAGTTAAGTAACCAACTTAAGATCCCAGTGCTAGGAATCAAACCTTAGAGCCCACTTTCTTTAGCACTCTAGGTAGAATGGTCTGGCCATGCAAACGTATTTCTGTTAAAGTGGTTAGCATGTCCAGGATATAATAAATTGTCTGGTGTGACTTGGTCAAAGGGAAAAAGCAGGGTGTCATAGGAGGTGTGACTGGAAATGTTGGCCATTGTGAAGGATCTTGGATGCCAGGCTCAGGGGACTGGTTTTCTCCTGAAGGTAGTCGAGTGGAGAACTGGGGCTTCATGGGTTTTAGGAGTATAGCTGCTGGTTCTGTGGACTTTGGGTTGGAGGATGGTGTTACAGAAGGTGGGGGCTCAGTTGGAGGAGCCTAGGAAGTAGCCTGTGAGGGATGGTGGAGCCTGAGCCAGCATGGGGCAGAGGAGTGACTGCCTGCTCTCCAGCTCACTGCCCCTCCCCCTGCCACACACACCCTTCCTCTGGCCGTAGACTATGCCCATAAGTTTATATGGCTTTCACGTTCTCTATTTTTCTTTCCTTCTCAAGTGGACTGAAGGCTCCCTGATGGCAGGGTCGCTATGAGGTGTTTCTTTCCTGCCCTCCCTCTGCTTCTTAACATGGTCTGCTGCCTGTGTTTGGAATGTCCCCCCATGGCAAAACCCTGCCCTGCATCCAAGGCCAGCTCAAATGCTGTCCACCTGCTGCACACCATCTCCCTGGGAGCATATTTGCCACTGGGTTACAATTGTACCTGACATCCAGGACCCTACTCAGTGTTCACTGTTTACATGGCCTGTGCCTGTTATAGGAGCCCCGCCCTGTGAGTGTCACAGCCTAGCACGTCCCCCTCCTCATCCATCCTGGCCTCCTGGAGGGCATAGACCATCTTATTCACCCTACTCACTGCTGTGGGGTTGCAAAGTGCACAGTGGGCTACAGAAGAGAGGGTTGGTCAAGCCTGACCTCTTCTCTCACCAGGGTTAGATGGGTAGACCACATCTTTGAAAGTGAGATATTCTCAGGGTAGAGATGTTCATTGCATGACTCATGAAACATTAAGCAAATCTTATTTTTTTTGTCATTAAAAAACAATTAGTCACAACCTCGAGCTAATGGCCGGATCCAGCTCAGCAGTCAGTAGATATGGTTCTCATCTGAAATAATGATCATGAGAACAATAACCTCTCATGCCTGCCTAGAGCTTTACCAGCTCACAGGGCCAATTCACATCCAGTATCCTCCCTCATCCACAGAAAAGTCCCGTAAAGCAGGTAGACAGTTGCTTTTACCCATTTTGTGAGAAAAGAAGCAGGTCCAGAGCTTCCGCCATCAACCCAAGTTCATGCAGCTGGCGTCTGGCCCAGCTGGGCTTCTCTCCCCCTTCTGTTCACTGCCCAGATCCTCAACCCTTCCCACTTCTCATTTGCAGTCCCTGCCCTGTCCCAGCTCTGCAGAGCAGGGCTCCGCCGTCAGGTGCCGAGAGGATGCCAGATGCCTCCCAGTCAGGTGGCCAGCTCCGTCCACTTCCGGGACATGCTGACCTCCCTCACAGACCTTGCCCTCCATGGGAGCCAACTCATGTATCTACCTGGGAACACTAAAGCACAGGCCAAATGCAGAAAAGAAAGGAGTTTTCTTCCAGGTTTGCTCTTTGCCATCTGGATCTGGGACCTGTGAACCTTTTAAAATCTGGGAGGCAAGACACAAAAATCAGGGAAGTGAAATGTCAGCAGGAGACTTAGAAGGCCAGGGCCAAACTAGCAGAGTTGTTACTGTTCTTGGTGGGGTCCAGGCACCTGCGGTAGTGCCTGCACAGCTCTCCAGGGCCTCCGTTAGCGCTGCTGGGTCCCACCTGGTTCCTCCGCGGTGCCGGCTGATGGGTCCTGATTTTGAAAATCAGACTTTTTCAGCACATGGGAGTTTGCTGGTTTCTAGCTGTGCCAGAAAGTCTGGCTTCAAATCTGAGGATGAAGAAAATAGGTAACGCTCCTATTGCCAGGGTCAAGGGCTCAGTTTAGGTCAATGTGCCCCCTGGTGGTAACAGTAAAAGAGAGAACTGTGGCCCATAGTGATATAGGTCACATCGGACTTGGCTTACCTAGCTGCTGGTGTGGCCTCTAGCACTTTCCTGTGCTGCCTCCCGTACCCATCAGTCCTGAACTTGAAGAAGCACCCCCTCCCAAAATTCATCATTAGAAAATGATCTGCTCACAAGGAGTTTTAATGGGTATGTCATTACATAGATTCAAGAACACCCTGTTGCACATTATGACCCAGGAAGCCACCGAAGGCAGTGATGCCCAGCCCTGAGGTCTTGCCTCTGCCATCACTGCACAAGTTTTAGTTTTAGTAGAGCCACTCAGCATAAGTGCTGCTCAGATAAAGGCAGGCCAAGAAATGTTTATAGCTTGCTGCTTGGGCAAGGCACAGAGATAGGGTTAGAGGCCCGAGCACCCTATCTCACCCTGGAGACATTAAAATCTATGAAGCAAGACTAACATCAGAAAAATTAAAGCTCAACACAAGCTTTAGGCAGCTCCTGATGAGACTTGTATGGTTGTTACTGACCTTGGGCAGGTTTTATAGCCTGCTTATGCTTCCTTTCCTTATCTCTAAGATGGGGATAAAATCATACTCAGCTCACTTAGTGAAAGTCCAGTGAGATGGTGCATATCCTGTATCTGGCATGCTGCACATGCTCAGTAAGTATTCACTGCTGTTAATGTCATTGTGATCATATGTACCAGTTGCCACAGGAAGGCACAGGTTGATTTGGAATTTCTATGGGAGTTTATAGAGGTGAGTGCTTTAGGTTGGACCCTTGAGCAGGAAGGCTTTTTGGATGAGGCAGGAGTTGAATGATAGAATCTCGCATCCATAAACCTCACTTGTCAACTCAGCCTTAGAGATGGGTTAAGTGGGGTGGATAGTGCGAGCACGTCGGGCAGGAGGGGGGCAGGCAAAGTGTGAAGGCAGGCATGGGAAGTGTGGCTGGGGAGGAGATGTGTGTAGGTGACAGGAGGAGGTGGCCACACGGGGAGTGGAGGAGGGCTGAGGGCTGAGGGTGACAGGCTGAGGCGGGTAGGCCTTGTTCAGTAAGGGGGTGTGATCAGGACAATGTTCTAGGCCCTTTGGATTGGGAGGGGCAGGCTGGGGGTGTTGGACTGGGGAAGGAAGGTAGTTCTGTTGCTTCAGGTGAGAAGTGGCTGCCAGTTGCATAGAGGGACGAATGTGAGCCACAGAAACATAGCCCAGACAGCATGAGGCAGGAGAGGGTGGAGATGACGAAGTGCATCGGACTAGGTGACCCAAAGAAAGTTGGTGCCTTTACAGGCAAGCCCATTGAGGGGAGGGAATGTGGAAGCAAGAGGGGTCCATCTGGGCATGCTGAGGGGAAGAGGCTTGTGGTCTTCACCTGGAGATTACAGGAGGCAGGGATGAAGCTCAGGGAAGTGCCTGGGCTGGGCACCCAGACGAAGGAGTCCCGGCTTGGGAATGTCATATGGGTCCATGGGGGGCGGTGAGAGTCTCAGAGATGGATGGGAGGACATAAGCGTCCTGTGAGCCCCTGTGTGTAGGTGAAGGGCATGGCAAGGGGAGGCAGCCAAGGAGACCAAGAAAGTTGTTAGGGAAGGAGGAGAAGGGCCAGGATTTCCCGTGCAGCCCTTGACGCTTTCTCCGAGCCATGAATACTCTGGGAGTTGTTGTCAGCACCCAGTGGCTCTGTTACAAAGGGGAAACATGTAGTCATGTTGTCCTCACTGGAGGCAGAAATCACTTTGGAGGCTAAGGGGACTGTTTTTGGTGGACAAACGCTACCCTTCCCTTTCCTGGGTATTACCTCCGGGCTGGGCTGGCTCCTCTGGTTCCTTTCTCAGATGTCCCCCACCTGTGCCCTCGGGCTGCCCACAGCTGAGACCTGGGCCTGGCCTGGCAGGGTGTGAGTGTGGGACTGTGCCTGCTGCAGTAAGGGCACGTCAGTGTCCATTCTGAGGTGTTCCCTGAGACATCTCTGGCCCACCTCTGGTTAGAAGGGACAATGACTTATGGGTTGAGGGATCACTGCTGGTGAGTTTTCTTAAATATGTGTTAACAGAGGATTATGTAGTGATTAAGAATGAATTCCATGACCCAGCAATCCCACTTCTGTGTATGGACTCAAAATAATTGAGAGCCAGGACTCCAAGAAATATTTGTACACCCAAGTTCATAGCAGCATTATTCACAAAAGCCAAAGGTGAATGCAACCCAGGTGTCCAGCAGTAGATAAATGGCTAAACAAGGTATGGTATATACATACAATGGAATATTATTCAGCCTTAAAAAGGAAGACAATTCTGTAATATGCTACAACATGGATGAACTTTGAAGACATGATGCTAAGTGAAATAAGCCAGTCACAACGGGACAAATACTATATGATTCAGATTGTATGGCGTGCTTAGTCAAATTCATAGAGGCAGGGAGTAGAATGTGGTTTCCGGAGGCTGGGAGTGGGGAGAGGAATGGGAAGTTAGTGTTTAGTGGGTACAGAATTTCAGTTTTGCAGAATGAAAAGAGTTCTGGAGATGGAGGGGGTGTGATGGTTGCACGTATTGTGGATGTACTTAATGCCACTAATCTGTACCCTTAAAAATGCTTAAAAATTGTAACTTTTATATGTATTTTACCACAGTTTCAAAAATAAAAGAACGAGTTCCAAGGCTCATTTCAAGTAAAGTGAAAATGGCAAAAATAAAATGGCATGTATATAAAAAGGTGTCCGAACAGGGGCATGGCATGGCATGGTGGGATGGGCCTGGCTTCTACACCCAGACCAGCAGTGGGACCCAGCCAATCATCTAATTGTTAGGTGTCACAGATTTCTCATTTGTAAAAAGAGTAGAACTGCCACTGCATGGTTTATTGTGTGTCATGGGAGAGTGGGTTTGTGAAAGCTCCTTGTAAACTGTGAATTGTTATACAGAATCCATGCAGTGTCTGCACTTTAATGTCTTGACTCTGGTCAGAGCTTGTGAGCTGCTCCAGGCAGGGCTGCAATGGGCCTTGCTGGCATGTGGCTGCTCATTTCTGGCTGGCTGACCCACGGCTGACTGGAGTCCTGTAGGGTTCCTATGTGCAGCTGCGAGGATGGCCTCTGTAGGTGTTTTGGACTGTAGGCTGTGTGCACACCCAGAAAGACCTTGCAGCTTTTCCCAGCTAGGTTCCGGGAGGAAATGAAACCTTACTGTTTTAAGTTTTCTCCTGTGCATTTAGGATGGTCCTGGGAGAAGTAAGAAAATAGTAATAATTTTTTACTTATTAGTTTTACTTATTAAAAAAACTCATAATTTTCTGTGTTCTGTCGTTCCATGAGGAACCCCAGTTGAGCAAGCCTGGGACCTGGCAAAGCCAGAAGCTCCAACCACAGTCTCGGTGCCAGGTTGGGCACACAGGGAATGAGAGGGCCAAGAATAGGCAGGGACCGGTTCAAGGTCACACACAGTTGGTGGCAAAGCCAGCACTCAAAACCAGGTCCCTAAATGCCAGACTAGGACTGTATGATGGATGACACGACCATTCCCCTTCCTTCTCCATTTTGAAAACAGAGCAGTTCCAGGGCGCTGGGTTTTGTATCCCATATGAAAGTGCATCTGATGAGCTCTTTCCCTGCACCACCCTGTCTGCATGAGGGGTGGGTTTGGGAGGCCTGAGCAGTGCCCTCCTTTCTTGGGAGCTGAGGTCACAGCTCTGGCTCGTTCTGGGCTGTGTGTGGCTAAGTGCACTACAGCTCTGGCATGGCTGGAGGAGGGGCAGCGGCTAAGTGGTTTCTGAAAAAGGGCAAAAATGATGGGAAAGGCTCTGGGATCCTCTGGGAATCAGAGCCGCTGCAACAGCAGCTGCTGCCATTGCTGGAAGCAATCATTTTGAGTGCCAGAGTGTGCCCACAGCCCATCCCTGCTAGCGTGGAGCAGCCGTGGCCCCGGGAGTGGCTGAGGACCCTCACAGAGGCGGAGGAAGCAACTCTTCTCTCCACACCGGCCCAACTCTCACTTCAATTAGCACTGGCCCTTGAGTTCACCAGCACCTGCTGGGGCTGGGGTGTGCCTGCATCTAGCTGGTAAGTCACTTTTGTTGTTTGATGGCCAATGTAGATGTTAGCTTCTGGAATGGCATAGGAAGCCGTCCAAAGCAGGGTGCTGCTTCTTTCTAGCAATGTTACTATGAGCAGTTCAAGGAGCCTCTCAGTGCCTCAGTTACCCCATCTGAAAACTGGGGTAATAGTGGTTGCCTCAAAGGTGGTGGTGAGCTTAAGTGGAGCTGTAGCTGTGGTAACCTTAGCTTGGCTGATCGTAAACACTTGGTAAGTAATAGTAGTGGTAGCTATTATCAGTGTATATTATTTGCACCAGAGTCTTCCTGGGTCGAGGAGGCTGTGGCTACTGATGAGACTGGTGGTTTGCAGTTGGAGGTTGCAGTGTGTTGCCCTCCCTGGGTGAGAGTGTGCTGGCCTGGCAGGCAGGAGCCTGGGTTCTGCCCAGACTCCATTCTCCCTCTGTTTTGGGCAAAGGTCCTCTGGCCCTTCATGGGTTAGGAAGGCCCAAGCTCTTTGTCCTCCTGTAAGAGATGCTCAGGTAGGCTGAAGGGACAAGAATGATCAAGGCTGGGTCCTGGACCAGCTAAGAGCCTGCAGAGACGCTGGAGGCCGATGGCTGGTTTGGTAGAGAGGGGAGTGGAAAGCTACACCCAAGGATATCTCATCTGGATTGGGGAGAAAAGAAGGGAAGCTTCTCCCAGAGGTGGGCAGTGTCCCACCTGGCTCTGGACTTGAGAAAGACTCAGAGGCCAAAGCAGGTCTTTGCTGGGTAGTGTTGTTTTTTCAGGTCCGTCCTATAGTCCAGATTAGTGAGTTTGTGAATCTTGTGTAAACCAGAGCCACCGTCTCCATCAGACACCCCAAATCACAGTTGGAAATTCTCTCATCACTGTAGGATGTTGAGCTGTGACAGGTGCATTGCCATGGGACTCATGTGCTGGACACACCCTGGGCCTGGCAGTGACAGACTATCCTGTCCCTGTCTCCCCTCCCAGCCCAGAGCAAATGGTCTTTCAGTTCCTGTCCTGCCCTTTGCTCTGAGAGAAGTGTGATTTCCAATAAGGAATTGGGTGCAGAATGTGCAATGCAGATTCAGGGTTTGTTGACTGACTGGATGATGGTACTGTGTGGGCTGTTTCATGTTCATTAGGTTGGTTAGCTTTGGAGTGGTCAGAGGAAGAGGCAAAGCCACCACAAAAGAATATCAATGACAGGTTTGCAGAGGCTGCTGCTGATAGGTGCCCTCTGGCTGGGCTGTTAAGAGCTGCTTGTCAGGCAGCAGGTTTATTCTTGTTTGAAGCCAGCCTTACCCAAGGGGAGACCTTCCTGGGAAAGCCAGGCCTGGCAGATGGCCTTGCTCTTATTTGTACTTCGTTTTGGGTTTTGAGCTTCCTGGGATGCTTGTTTGAGCAGGAGGGGCTACTGGTTTGGGGCCTCTGATTGGAAGGGCATTGTCCCTACCTGCCTGACCTCAGGGCTGGGAGAGCCTGGCCTGGTGGGCCCTCAGGCCCTGGTGTGAGATCTGAGGCTGAATTTAATGTTTGAGAAAGAGCCCAGCCTTCCAGAGAGGTAGTAGAGTGCAGGAGATGCTGTGGGGCCAGCAGCCTGGGATCAAATCCAGGCCCCACCTCTTATTAACTGTGTAGCCTCGGGCAAGTAATGTAACCATGCTGTGCCTGTGTTTGCTAGTCTGTAAAGTATTTACCTTTTAGAGATGAGAGAATGGAGCGAGTAGCTGCATGGAAAGATGGGAGTAGTGCCTGCCTTTGCACAGCACATGTTCAGACATGTCAATTATTTTCATTCTCACTAGCCCCCTGGGCCTCTTAAACGGTGATAGGCTCTGCATGGTATGAACAGTCCTTAACAGGAAGTTACCTCCTGTAAGTACAGACTTCTGAAGCTTCTCATGCTTCTCATCCATGCACCCTATTCCTTGGCATTCAAGGCTGGCAGCCATCTGGTTCTGACCCTGCCACTTGTCCTCTACCCCCACTGTCTTCCTCTTCATCCACTATGCTGGGGATCCCCATCTTCTGCCCGAGTTCCAGCCCAACCCTGCTCTCCTTCCAGGCCTAGCTTCTCCGTGAAGCTTTCTTTAGCACCCTAGCCCTCCTGCCAGCACCTGGTTTCTGTCTCAGATGGGGTCTGAGTTCAGTCTGTGTCCCCAGCACAGGGCCAGGCATCCTATAGGACTCAGTAGATGGGTACTGAGTCATGGGGTGAATGAATGGTGAGTTGTTGGAAGTGAAGCTTCTGTGGCTGGGGACACACCCCACTACAGGGTTTCCACCTGACGGATGAATCAAAGAAAGACTCAGGCCCTTCTGAAAGCAGAACTCTAGGCAGGTGGGGAAGCGGGCCGGCAGTTAGCTGTCTTGTTCACAGGATGCTGAATGGGGAGGCCGCCTCATTTCCCCCAAGGATCTGGGCATCAGATCATAATGATTTATTGCCATGGCTCTGCCACGTACTCCGAGTTTGCACTGCCTGAACTTTGACCTGAAAATGCAGGCCTTATGAAGCTCCCATCCTTCAGTGGATGTTTCCTGTAATCCAGCCACTGGCTGGACCATGAACCTCCCCAGCTGCCTATGGTAATGGAAATGGGAATGAGAAGGGACTGTAGTGATCTCTCTTGTTTCCGCCATGATGACGAGCACAGCTTTTTTCATAAAAATTTCCCTTTCTGCCTGGGAGGATGTCACTGGGCACTGGGAGATCAAGCAGTGACATAGGAATTGCCAGACTGCATGGTGGACTGTGCTAAGAGGGCCGCGAGGGATGGACTGATAATGAGCTGGGCCACTCTGGAGATGGAGGGAACTTGGCCAGTGCAGGAATTAGGGGGTGTGGAGGAGGTGGCATCAGTGCTGGACCTTGAGAGGAAGTGGCATCTGTGAGATGGTAGGCTTTGGGCAAGAGGAGGAGGAGGAAAAAGCACCCCACGTGGAGGCACCACAGGAGCAAAGGCCCCTGAGATGTGGGACAGCCCTGGGCACTAGGTAGTGGGGATGCTCAGCTGCACAGAGAGGAGGGGTAGGAGATAAGTTTAGGAAGGAATTGGAAAACACTATCAATGCACTTTTTCAGCCATATGTGCTGGCACTAGCTGTCAGCTTAACTCCAGCTGTTCAGGCTTGGAAGGCCCACTAGTCCTGAACCACTTAAAGTCTAAAAGTTCAGGGATGCTTGAAATATACTAATTATTCACAAAATGACAAAAAGTGCAAAATATCCCCTATGAACTCAATGGTTGCAGCAGCCAGGTCAAAGAGCAAAGGCAGGTGTATGCATGGCTGATGACAGGGACACATGGCAGAGGAGGGCTGTGGAGTGTATCAGCCTCTGCCGGTCACCCCGTTGCCAGGGATGCAGCCTGCTCCTGCTCATTGGGGCTGAGCTGTCCTCATCAGCTGGGTCCTCCCTGAATGCTCAGCCTATGGCAGCCACTGCCCTTGTTTCCTTTGTCCTGATCTTGGAGGGAAGCGGAGCAGTGGTTATCATCCCATCTGCAGAGGAGGCAGCTGAGGCCCAGAGAAGAGAGTGATCCATCCAAGTCCTATTGGACCTGGTGGCACTAAGCTGGGGGCCCACCCACCTCCAGAAACTGATGCTCATGGGGCTGCTGGGGCTGCTCACCCCTGAGGCCTCTGGGGTGGGAGGTATAGTACCCCTAGAAGCTTCCATTCTGGGGGACTGGGGGCAGCAGCTGCTGGGCCTTTGGGGTGTCCTGATTCACAGGGGCCCTTGTAAGGAGGGCAGGTGGAGGCTAGAGTTGTATAGTCCTTAATCTGAGGACACACCTGTTTTTGGTGGCTGCCCACAGGCTGCCTCTTGGGCCACAGAGGATCTGGCAAGGATGAAGAAATGGGGGAGCTCCGACTCAGGGGAGTCTGAGGACCCGCTCCAAGAGGACCTCTGCCCAGACCCTCTGGATGTACACCCTAACTCTAGGCCAGCTCCAGCCAAGCCCCACATCTTCCCCACGGCCAGGAGCCGCAGTCGGCTCTTTGGGAAGTGTGACTCAGAGGAGGCTTCTCCTATGGACTGCTCTTACGAGGAAGGCCAGTTGGTCTCCTGCCCAGCCATCACAGTCAGCCCTGTTGTCATCATCCAGAGGCCTGGGGATGGCCCCACCTGTGCCAGGTGAGCTGCATCTGGAGCCCGGACCCCCTCCCTACCAGGAGCTAACCTGGCTCACCTGGCTGAGGCCCCAGCCATGGAGACACAATGTGGTGCTCTAGCTTATGGGCTGAAGGTCAGAGAGCCAGGGAGCTAGGGAGACTGCAGGGGTCATTTGGTCCAGTGTCTGCATTCACTGGTCTTTTGGGACACATGATCATGCATGCTGGCATATGTGGTGATCCTGGCTATGGGCTGAACTCTAGATGTCCAGGCCTGGAATGCTCACCAGCCCTAAAGATGACTTTAAGTCAAAAAGCTCAGGCCAGAGTTTAGAAGGAGAATACAAAAAGCTCCAGTGAGCAGCCCACCAGTTCTGTCTCCTCCTCCAGTGTAGGGCAGGGAGGATACACAGGCTGGCTGACTTCTGGGGCAGTGTGAGGAGGCTTTTTCACTTAGCAGGGGCCATTTGAAACCCCATCCCCTGCCTGCAGTCCCATCTGGGCCACTGCCTCTGGAGCCCCAGCTCCCAAGCAGGCAGAGGAGCCAATGGTCTCGGTGTCAGAGGAAGTGGTGGCAGCAATGACTTTCCAGATGATACCTACAGTCAGGGTGGGGACATAATGGGGCACGTCTGCCCCACTGTTCGCTCTAACATCAGTTTCCTGAAGGTCACCTAGACCAAGGGGTGGGCTTGCCTTGGGGTTTCGTCAAGTCATGTTTCCTGACAAGCGCCGACAGCCTCAGTCTGAGGACAGACCAGAATATGAGATGAGGGGATTTTCTGGCCCACAGGCAGCCATCCCAGGACTCTGTCCCTGTTGGCTCCAAGAAGAGCCCCAAGCTCTATGATCGTAGGAAGATCTTTGAAGCTGTGGCTCAGAATAACTGCAAGGAGCTGGAGAGCCTGCTGGTGTTCCTGCAGAAGAGCAAGAAGCACCTCATGGACAGCGAGTTCAAAGGTGGCCCTGGAGAGGGACGGGTTCCCAGGAGGGGCCCTACTGCCCCGCCATGCTCTGACCCTTACTTTGTCTTACAGACCCAGAGACAGGGAAGACCTGTCTGCTCAAAGCCATGCTCAACCTGCATGATGGGCAGAATGACACCATCCCACTGCTCCTGGAGATTGCCAGGCAGACAGACAGCCTGAAAGAGCTTGTCAATGCCAGCTACACAGATAGTTATTATAAGGGTGAGGAGGGGGACAGGGCTGCATGGTTGTGCCACAAGCGCATCTGGAGCGAGAAGGACGCCATCATGGCTGGGCAAGCCTCTGAATTCCTTACTCACTGTCCCAGCCACCAAGTCGGCATCTCTTGGTCCTGGGGGTCTCTGCCTCCCCAGATGCCTGGCTTGGTTTCCCTGGTGCTGAGAGTCCCATCGTCCCCTTTGTAGGCTCAGTGGTCCTTGCCCGTGGAAGCCCCTCCCTCTCTGCTATTGTTCTTTGGCCTTGAGCAGTTCGGGCTCCTCCAGCTCCCAGTCTGGTACCCCCTGTTCCCTGGGGGTCTCTACTCCTGCTTCAGGGACTCCCAGGCCTCCTTTGGGGATCCTGGCCTGGCCTCCTCTGGTGGGGGAGTCATCCGGCACTTCCTGCCCAGGGCCTCCCCCAGCACCTGTCCAGCATTCCCATAGGACTATGAGTGCAAAGCCAATAGCCTGCATCCTCCACAGGCCAGACAGCACTGCATATTGCCATTGAGAGGCGGAACGTGGTACTGGTAACCCTTCTGGTGGAGAATGGGGCAGACGTCCAGGCTGCGGCCAATGGAGACTTCTTTAAGAAAACCAAAGGGCGGCCTGGCTTCTACTTTGGTAGGGAGACCATGTGGTAGACACTCGGCTTTGTGACGGTTGCTAAGGGGAGGTCTGGGGCAGAGACAGAGGGAATTGGAGGCTAGGTGGTCCAGGGATGGAACCATCTGCTCCCAAGGCCCACCACTGTGTGCCTATGTTGGCTGCAGGTGAGCTTCCCCTCTCCCTGGCTGCATGCACCAACCAGCTGGGCATCGTGCAGTTCCTGCTGCAGAACTCCTGGCAGCCGGCAGACATTAGTGCCAGGGACTCGGTGGGCAATACAGTCCTCCACGCGCTGGTGGAGGTGGCTGACAACACGACCGACAACACCAAGTTTGTGACGAGCATGTACAATGAGATTCTGATCCTGGGGGCCAGGCTCCACCCTACCCTGAAGCTGGAGGAGCTCACCAACAAGAAGGGGCTGACGCCGCTGGCTCTGGCTGCCGAGAGTGGGAAGATCGGGGTAGGGAAGGGGCTTCGAGCCTGAGCTGGGGGTGCAACTCCCAAAGGTGCTGTGGGAGGGGACTGATGTGCCTCATGTGCACACCTGGTGGTGCCACCATGAGGAGCCCTGGTGCTGAAACACCAGCCTGTAGGGGGGCAGGGGGCTGTTAGAGCAAGCCAGAGGAAGGGTGAGACCCGAGCAGAATCCAGCATTGCCCATGCAGCCATTTCTCATGTCCAACTCTAAGTATCACCACCAGGACATGGGGAGGGAGTTGGGTGCTGGGGCCTGGGAATGGGGGCCATTTGAGCTGAGGTTGAAACGGATGGAATCAGGTGTGGTCGCCCAGGTGTGATCAGGAGATGGGTCTTATGTGGTTGTGACTGGGGTCTGAGGCAGTGGGCAGGGGATCTGGATGGTGGTCAGGAGGGCACTGGATGGAGCTGAGCTCTCCTGGGGCTTGGGTGGGGTGTCCAACTGGGCTGGGAAGCAGAATTATTCTTGAAGCAGAGTTGATGGCCTGGTGGGGAGGCAGCCTGTTTGGGGCTCCAGGCTGGTCCTTAACAGGCTCTTATATGTCCATGGCAGGTATTGGCCTATATTCTCCAGAGGGAGATCCAGGAGCCCGAGTGCAGGCACCTGTCCAGGAAGTTCACTGAGTGGGCCTATGGGCCCGTGCATTCCTCACTCTATGACCTGTCCTGCATCGACACCTGCGAAAAGAACTCTGTGCTGGAAGTGATCGCCTACAGCAGCAGTGAGACTCCTGTGAGTGGTCCAGGGCTGGGACCCAACCAGGGAGGGCTTCTAGCCCCTGTGCTCAGGGACAGTACCCCAGCCCCCACGCCCAGGGTGCTGCCTGCCCAGCTTGTCTTCTCATCAGAGAAAACCTGGTGCTCCGGTGGGGCCTTGGCCCTGCAGCCGCATTTCCCCATTCATTCCCACTGAATGCTTTCCTTTATCATACAGTGTACAGTGATATGCCTATAAAACTTAAATATCTCAAAAGTACATAGACGAAAACACCTTTCCTTTTATACCGTATAAAAACATGAAGCTTCATTTTGTTTACATAATGAGATCATATGATACTTAATGTAGGACAACCAGTTCTTTCACTTAATGGGGTGTCTTATAGATTTTATCTATGTATGGGTCTGCTTCATTAGCAAAAAAAAATGCATATAGGAATGTCCACGGAAGCACATTGGAGTTATTTCCAGTTTTTTTGCTGCTATAATACCGAAGGCCGCTTGGCATGGGTTTGAGACTATTCTTCTGAAGGATACCTGGAATTGGAATTTCTAAGTCAAAAAGCATGTACATTTTAAATTTTAATTTTTAATAGTTATGGCCAAATTGTCTCCCAAAAAGCCTGTGTCAGTGCACTTCCTTCCACCAGTGGGTACATGTCTACTCGTGTCACCTTGCCCATCTGGGTATTCTCAATCTCTTTAAAAAAAAAAAAAACTAGTTAAGTCCATGGAGCCAAAAATGCTGTCTCACTGATGTCTTTAATTCTTGTTTTCTCTCTTACTGTGAAGTAGAGCACTTTTGACTGCTCACGTTTCATCAGCAGTTTCCTATTCATTGTCCTTTGCCATCTCTTCTGCTGGACCCTTGGCCGCATCCCTTTTGGCTTGTAGATGCTCTCATCACAGAGTGAATCGATCCTTTCTCTATTGCATATGTTGTAAGATTTTATTTTCTCCCAGGCTGTCTCATCTTACAACTTCATTAGGGTATTGTTTGCCTGTAAAGCGTTTTCATCTTGATAGAGTCGAATTGGTTAGCTTTTGCTTTTATAGCTTCTGTGACCTGTGTCTTACTTTGGAAGGCCTTGTCTGCTTCAAGATTACACACACAGCCTTCAATATTTTCATTTAGCTTCTTTGTAGGTATTTCACATTTGGCTCTTTAATTTACCTAGAATTTATTTTTGTGTAGGTGTAAGGCAGGTGTCTTCATTATTTTGTTTCCAAATGAGGGTTCCAAGACCATTTAATGAAATTCTGTTCTGTCACTGCTGCTATAAAAGGCCACCTTCCCTAATGCTCTTTCTAAGGTGACGCTCTGAGCCCCTGAGGCAGACTTGGAGGCTGGAGTCTGCCCTGTTGCCATGTGGGTTGCCTCGATGTCTCATAGGGCAAAGGCTGCATTTACCAGGTCAGATCTAGGGTGGGAGAGGCCTGGCCTGCTTTGCTCTGCACTGTCAGCCCCTCTTGGGCTGCCATGCTGGGTCTGGCATCTGACTCAGAATCCTGGATGCAGGTGTTTCGGAAGGCTGGCCCAGGTAGGAAGTGACTTCAATAAGGGCAGGGGTGTTTGATTGGAAGAAGAGAGAGCCCTGGGGCGATCGCTGCCATCTGCATATCTGGGAAGTCTCTTGGGCCAGGAGTGCAGTCCTAGGGCCCCTGAGCACAGAAACGGAACCACTGGTGGAAGGCAGAGAAGAGCAATTTTATTGCAGAGAATACATCTTCCCAACAAGCAACATTTCTCCACAAGCTGCTTGAGGCAGCAGGGAACTTCCTGCCCCCATGGATATTCAGGAAGACACTGAACAGGGCCTTCACGGAGGAGTCAGCTTGGGCTGGGGTTTGGGGTCCATGGCCTGAAAAGGCTAGGCTGATCTGATTTAGGCTCATCCATCCTGGGGATACTTTAATAAGAGATTTGGATATGAGACTTCTGCCCCAAAGCATACTAGTGATGATGGTATCCCAGGCATGGGGCCCACCTATAGCAGAGCTTCCTACTTGCCTTTAGGCTTATGCTGAGGTAATTTCACTCCTGCCTGGAGAACCAGCCTAACCCAAGTCTGGAAATGTGAGAAACAAGGGATCCAGAGTTCCCTCCCTCAACAGCCTAATGCCAGGCTCTTCCTGTACCAGCCTCTTCCCATTATTGTGGGAATAATAAGCATATGGACCCCCCATTAGGGATAGTGGACATAGAATGTTGGGCAGCACTTGAGAGCCCTTAAGTATCAGGGGCACCTAGTGTCACTTGTCCAATTTCACCCCTTGTCCACTGTACGCACAGGTGCTGTGAGGCCCGGGGGTGGCCATGCAGTGAGCCTGCTGGTTTAGATCTGTGACCCTCAGCTGCAACTTGGGCCAAGGGTGTGGTCATGGCCTGTCCTGGGCGGAGTCGGGGTATCAGGAGCATCTCAGGCTGATGCAGGGAGCCATACGATTCCCGGCAGGGAGTGAGCCTCACCTCTCTTTGCTTTCAGAATCGCCATGACATGCTGTTGGTGGAGCCGCTGAACCGACTGCTGCAGGACAAGTGGGATAGATTTGTCAAGCGCATCTTCTACTTCAACTTCTTCGTCTACTGCTTGTATATGATCATCTTCACGACGGTCGCCTACCACAGGCCTGTGCAAGGCTTGGTGCGGCTTGCTGGAGTTGGGAAGGGGAGAGATGGGGTGGGCATTCTTATAAGGCCCCAAAACTCTAGGCCCAGACCCAGCTCTAAACTCCTTCCCAGCCCGCTGGAGAGGTGGAAGGATTCCCTGGAACTCCTTGTATCCCTGTGCTCGGTCCTCCCTCTCTCAGGCTGTCCTAGTGTCTGCCACCCACCTCCTGTCCTCAGCCCCTCCTTTAGCCTTCTGGTTCTGTGAGGCTGAGCATGTGGTTGCTAAGATCCCTGGTTGCAGAGGAGGAGTACTATGTTAGAAAGGATGCAAAAAATAGGGGTCTGGAAGCAGCTCTCCCCTCTGCGTCTGGGTTGGGTGTCTGCAGGTCATAGGCTGGCATAAGCCCTGAGCCATCCCACTTGTCTACCCCTTTTTGTTCACTCACTTGTTCTTTATTTGTTCTCTGGACATATACTTTGGAGCACCTCTTCTGTGCCAAGCCCTGGGCTGTGTACCAAATCAGCTTAATACCAGACTTTTTCCTCTACCAGAAGCTGTGGGCTGCCTTGAGTTTCTGCATGATATCCTTTCCATTCAATATCCAAATACTTAATTTGCTGCCTTTGCTTATATATTTAAGAACTCACCATCCCTAACTGGGATGTGCTAATAAGCCAAACTAGTGAACTACTGCTTACAAAACATCAGTGCAGGCTGAAAGGAAACTCACCCTAGGAAGTGGTAGCTGAGACAGCCATGGGAAGCCTCGACAGTCTGGAGACCAGGGGATTCCCCATGCACTGTGAGAATAGCAGGAAGCATATGATATTGGTGTGTAAGAGCACCTCCACTGGGGCTATCACTCTCCTCCCAGCGGAGCTCCGGGCTGGGACGTTGTCGAGGAGACAGCATAGCACCATAAGGACGTTCTGCCTGGCACCTGGAGGCTGCCACTTTGGAAATCAGGTCCCACAGAGGAGCTTTCTTGTAGGTGTCCCCATAATAATGCTTTGTTTTTATCTGTGTATCTCTCCTGATGGAGGCTGAGCCTCTTGGACAGGAACTGGGTCTTAATCACAGGGTTTGGCATGCACCTGGTAAATGTTTGTTGAATGAATGAATGAATGGAGTCACTAACTTCTGTGCACTTTGCAGCCTCCCTATCAACTGGAAAACACCGCTGGGGACTATTTCCGAGTCACTGGAGAGATTCTTTCAGTATCAGGGGGAATCTACTTTTTTTTCCGAGGGGTAAGCATTCCTTCCCACATTGAGTTTCCGTTATCACCAAAACAAAAAGCTAAGAGACTTCCTCACTTTTAAATTTGCGGGACACTGATGGCCCTGCCTGAGGATCTGAGAGATGTGCAGGTAAAGATGAAAGATGACAGCTCATGGCTGGAGGGTGGGGGTCTGCCCAGTGTGTCCCCACAGGCCCAGGGCAGTCCTGTTGGAGACGGTCACGGCTCTCTGTGGAACGTAATATTTAATTTACAGTAGTAGAGTGGAAGCCTTTTCAGTGACAGGACCATGACTACTAGTTTAAATTACTTAAAACAGTCTGTTATAGCTCAGAATAATGAAAGAAATCTACACATGTACTGGAGCCGTTTAACTTTTGATGATGATTTATACATGCACATTCCTTGGCCATTTTTCTTATAGGAACAGTCTTTTCTTTGAGTGTGGGACCACTGTTACACATACAAATACTTTTGAGATCAGTGTGCTTCCCCCACCCCCAATCTTTTTAAATTTAAGTTACACTGTATTTTATATTAGTAACTCAACTTTAAGGAGTCTTTCCAAATCACTGGACTCTGACTTCACACCAACAACTGTCTTTACTCTCCCACTCATAGTTTACATTGTGATAAAATATACAGCTGGAGTAGCAAGCCCATTGGGCTAAAGGTACTCTCGGCAAACAGGATGAATGGATGGGAGGGACAGGAGGGTGGGGGTGTCCTGACCTCCTTGCTGCCAGCATCCACTGTGGGTGTTGGTCAGAATGTTTTCAGAGAGTGGGGAACACTGCTTAATCTGGTGAGTTACTTCAGTGGAAGATGATTAAAGAATTTTGACTGTAATGCATACTTCTTAAAGAAAATTAGGGAAAAAGCGCAAATTAGAAGGAAAAGACTGCCGAATTCCATCATTCCAGCACAGCAATAGATAACATTTTGGTGATTGTCCTCCCCGTCTTTATGTCTAGGAACATTGTAATTCCACTTTCTATTTTAGAAGGGGCTGACGCCGCTGGCTCTGGCTGCCGAGAGTGGGAAGATCGGGGTAGGGAAGGGGCTTCGAGCCTGAGCTGGGGGTGCAACTCCCAAAGGTGCTGTGGGAGGGGACTGATGTGCCTCATGTGCACACCTGGTGGTGCCACCATGAGGAGCCCTGGTGCTGAAACACCAGCCTGTAGGGGGGCAGGGGGCTGTTAGAGCAAGCCAGAGGAAGGGTGAGACCCGAGCAGAATCCAGCATTGCCCATGCAGCCATTTCTCATGTCCAACTCTAAGTATCACCACCAGGACATGGGGAGGGAGTTGGGTGCTGGGGCCTGGGAATGGGGGCCATTTGAGCTGAGGTTGAAACGGATGGAATCAGGTGTGGTCGCCCAGGTGTGATCAGGAGATGGGTCTTATGTGGTTGTGACTGGGGTCTGAGGCAGTGGGCAGGGGATCTGGATGGTGGTCAGGAGGGCACTGGATGGAGCTGAGCTCTCCTGGGGCTTGGGTGGGGTGTCCAACTGGGCTGGGAAGCAGAATTATTCTTGAAGCAGAGTTGATGGCCTGGTGGGGAGGCAGCCTGTTTGGGGCTCCAGGCTGGTCCTTAACAGGCTCTTATATGTCCATGGCAGGTATTGGCCTATATTCTCCAGAGGGAGATCCAGGAGCCCGAGTGCAGGCACCTGTCCAGGAAGTTCACTGAGTGGGCCTATGGGCCCGTGCATTCCTCACTCTATGACCTGTCCTGCATCGACACCTGCGAAAAGAACTCTGTGCTGGAAGTGATCGCCTACAGCAGCAGTGAGACTCCTGTGAGTGGTCCAGGGCTGGGACCCAACCAGGGAGGGCTTCTAGCCCCTGTGCTCAGGGACAGTACCCCAGCCCCCACGCCCAGGGTGCTGCCTGCCCAGCTTGTCTTCTCATCAGAGAAAACCTGGTGCTCCGGTGGGGCCTTGGCCCTGCAGCCGCATTTCCCCATTCATTCCCACTGAATGCTTTCCTTTATCATACAGTGTACAGTGATATGCCTATAAAACTTAAATATCTCAAAAGTACATAGACGAAAACACCTTTCCTTTTATACCGTATAAAAACATGAAGCTTCATTTTGTTTACATAATGAGATCATATGATACTTAATGTAGGACAACCAGTTCTTTCACTTAATGGGGTGTCTTATAGATTTTATCTATGTATGGGTCTGCTTCATTAGCAAAAAAAAATGCATATAGGAATGTCCACGGAAGCACATTGGAGTTATTTCCAGTTTTTTTGCTGCTATAATACCGAAGGCCGCTTGGCATGGGTTTGAGACTATTCTTCTGAAGGATACCTGGAATTGGAATTTCTAAGTCAAAAAGCATGTACATTTTAAATTTTAATTTTTAATAGTTATGGCCAAATTGTCTCCCAAAAAGCCTGTGTCAGTGCACTTCCTTCCACCAGTGGGTACATGTCTACTCGTGTCACCTTGCCCATCTGGGTATTCTCAATCTCTTTAAAAAAAAAAAAAACTAGTTAAGTCCATGGAGCCAAAAATGCTGTCTCACTGATGTCTTTAATTCTTGTTTTCTCTCTTACTGTGAAGTAGAGCACTTTTGACTGCTCACGTTTCATCAGCAGTTTCCTATTCATTGTCCTTTGCCATCTCTTCTGCTGGACCCTTGGCCGCATCCCTTTTGGCTTGTAGATGCTCTCATCACAGAGTGAATCGATCCTTTCTCTATTGCATATGTTGTAAGATTTTATTTTCTCCCAGGCTGTCTCATCTTACAACTTCATTAGGGTATTGTTTGCCTGTAAAGCGTTTTCATCTTGATAGAGTCGAATTGGTTAGCTTTTGCTTTTATAGCTTCTGTGACCTGTGTCTTACTTTGGAAGGCCTTGTCTGCTTCAAGATTACACACACAGCCTTCAATATTTTCATTTAGCTTCTTTGTAGGTATTTCACATTTGGCTCTTTAATTTACCTAGAATTTATTTTTGTGTAGGTGTAAGGCAGGTGTCTTCATTATTTTGTTTCCAAATGAGGGTTCCAAGACCATTTAATGAAATTCTGTTCTGTCACTGCTGCTATAAAAGGCCACCTTCCCTAATGCTCTTTCTAAGGTGACGCTCTGAGCCCCTGAGGCAGACTTGGAGGCTGGAGTCTGCCCTGTTGCCATGTGGGTTGCCTCGATGTCTCATAGGGCAAAGGCTGCATTTACCAGGTCAGATCTAGGGTGGGAGAGGCCTGGCCTGCTTTGCTCTGCACTGTCAGCCCCTCTTGGGCTGCCATGCTGGGTCTGGCATCTGACTCAGAATCCTGGATGCAGGTGTTTCGGAAGGCTGGCCCAGGTAGGAAGTGACTTCAATAAGGGCAGGGGTGTTTGATTGGAAGAAGAGAGAGCCCTGGGGCGATCGCTGCCATCTGCATATCTGGGAAGTCTCTTGGGCCAGGAGTGCAGTCCTAGGGCCCCTGAGCACAGAAACGGAACCACTGGTGGAAGGCAGAGAAGAGCAATTTTATTGCAGAGAATACATCTTCCCAACAAGCAACATTTCTCCACAAGCTGCTTGAGGCAGCAGGGAACTTCCTGCCCCCATGGATATTCAGGAAGACACTGAACAGGGCCTTCACGGAGGAGTCAGCTTGGGCTGGGGTTTGGGGTCCATGGCCTGAAAAGGCTAGGCTGATCTGATTTAGGCTCATCCATCCTGGGGATACTTTAATAAGAGATTTGGATATGAGACTTCTGCCCCAAAGCATACTAGTGATGATGGTATCCCAGGCATGGGGCCCACCTATAGCAGAGCTTCCTACTTGCCTTTAGGCTTATGCTGAGGTAATTTCACTCCTGCCTGGAGAACCAGCCTAACCCAAGTCTGGAAATGTGAGAAACAAGGGATCCAGAGTTCCCTCCCTCAACAGCCTAATGCCAGGCTCTTCCTGTACCAGCCTCTTCCCATTATTGTGGGAATAATAAGCATATGGACCCCCCATTAGGGATAGTGGACATAGAATGTTGGGCAGCACTTGAGAGCCCTTAAGTATCAGGGGCACCTAGTGTCACTTGTCCAATTTCACCCCTTGTCCACTGTACGCACAGGTGCTGTGAGGCCCGGGGGTGGCCATGCAGTGAGCCTGCTGGTTTAGATCTGTGACCCTCAGCTGCAACTTGGGCCAAGGGTGTGGTCATGGCCTGTCCTGGGCGGAGTCGGGGTATCAGGAGCATCTCAGGCTGATGCAGGGAGCCATACGATTCCCGGCAGGGAGTGAGCCTCACCTCTCTTTGCTTTCAGAATCGCCATGACATGCTGTTGGTGGAGCCGCTGAACCGACTGCTGCAGGACAAGTGGGATAGATTTGTCAAGCGCATCTTCTACTTCAACTTCTTCGTCTACTGCTTGTATATGATCATCTTCACGACGGTCGCCTACCACAGGCCTGTGCAAGGCTTGGTGCGGCTTGCTGGAGTTGGGAAGGGGAGAGATGGGGTGGGCATTCTTATAAGGCCCCAAAACTCTAGGCCCAGACCCAGCTCTAAACTCCTTCCCAGCCCGCTGGAGAGGTGGAAGGATTCCCTGGAACTCCTTGTATCCCTGTGCTCGGTCCTCCCTCTCTCAGGCTGTCCTAGTGTCTGCCACCCACCTCCTGTCCTCAGCCCCTCCTTTAGCCTTCTGGTTCTGTGAGGCTGAGCATGTGGTTGCTAAGATCCCTGGTTGCAGAGGAGGAGTACTATGTTAGAAAGGATGCAAAAAATAGGGGTCTGGAAGCAGCTCTCCCCTCTGCGTCTGGGTTGGGTGTCTGCAGGTCATAGGCTGGCATAAGCCCTGAGCCATCCCACTTGTCTACCCCTTTTTGTTCACTCACTTGTTCTTTATTTGTTCTCTGGACATATACTTTGGAGCACCTCTTCTGTGCCAAGCCCTGGGCTGTGTACCAAATCAGCTTAATACCAGACTTTTTCCTCTACCAGAAGCTGTGGGCTGCCTTGAGTTTCTGCATGATATCCTTTCCATTCAATATCCAAATACTTAATTTGCTGCCTTTGCTTATATATTTAAGAACTCACCATCCCTAACTGGGATGTGCTAATAAGCCAAACTAGTGAACTACTGCTTACAAAACATCAGTGCAGGCTGAAAGGAAACTCACCCTAGGAAGTGGTAGCTGAGACAGCCATGGGAAGCCTCGACAGTCTGGAGACCAGGGGATTCCCCATGCACTGTGAGAATAGCAGGAAGCATATGATATTGGTGTGTAAGAGCACCTCCACTGGGGCTATCACTCTCCTCCCAGCGGAGCTCCGGGCTGGGACGTTGTCGAGGAGACAGCATAGCACCATAAGGACGTTCTGCCTGGCACCTGGAGGCTGCCACTTTGGAAATCAGGTCCCACAGAGGAGCTTTCTTGTAGGTGTCCCCATAATAATGCTTTGTTTTTATCTGTGTATCTCTCCTGATGGAGGCTGAGCCTCTTGGACAGGAACTGGGTCTTAATCACAGGGTTTGGCATGCACCTGGTAAATGTTTGTTGAATGAATGAATGAATGGAGTCACTAACTTCTGTGCACTTTGCAGCCTCCCTATCAACTGGAAAACACCGCTGGGGACTATTTCCGAGTCACTGGAGAGATTCTTTCAGTATCAGGGGGAATCTACTTTTTTTTCCGAGGGGTAAGCATTCCTTCCCACATTGAGTTTCCGTTATCACCAAAACAAAAAGCTAAGAGACTTCCTCACTTTTAAATTTGCGGGACACTGATGGCCCTGCCTGAGGATCTGAGAGATGTGCAGGTAAAGATGAAAGATGACAGCTCATGGCTGGAGGGTGGGGGTCTGCCCAGTGTGTCCCCACAGGCCCAGGGCAGTCCTGTTGGAGACGGTCACGGCTCTCTGTGGAACGTAATATTTAATTTACAGTAGTAGAGTGGAAGCCTTTTCAGTGACAGGACCATGACTACTAGTTTAAATTACTTAAAACAGTCTGTTATAGCTCAGAATAATGAAAGAAATCTACACATGTACTGGAGCCGTTTAACTTTTGATGATGATTTATACATGCACATTCCTTGGCCATTTTTCTTATAGGAACAGTCTTTTCTTTGAGTGTGGGACCACTGTTACACATACAAATACTTTTGAGATCAGTGTGCTTCCCCCACCCCCAATCTTTTTAAATTTAAGTTACACTGTATTTTATATTAGTAACTCAACTTTAAGGAGTCTTTCCAAATCACTGGACTCTGACTTCACACCAACAACTGTCTTTACTCTCCCACTCATAGTTTACATTGTGATAAAATATACAGCTGGAGTAGCAAGCCCATTGGGCTAAAGGTACTCTCGGCAAACAGGATGAATGGATGGGAGGGACAGGAGGGTGGGGGTGTCCTGACCTCCTTGCTGCCAGCATCCACTGTGGGTGTTGGTCAGAATGTTTTCAGAGAGTGGGGAACACTGCTTAATCTGGTGAGTTACTTCAGTGGAAGATGATTAAAGAATTTTGACTGTAATGCATACTTCTTAAAGAAAATTAGGGAAAAAGCGCAAATTAGAAGGAAAAGACTGCCGAATTCCATCATTCCAGCACAGCAATAGATAACATTTTGGTGATTGTCCTCCCCGTCTTTATGTCTAGGAACATTGTAATTCCACTTTCTATTTTAAAAAAATCCCCTAACTGAGTCACATAATATTACCCCCTTAGCCTGACCCACATGGCTCTACTCTATTCATCATTTCTGCTTTGATGTACTCGCATGTTCCATTGCAGCACTCATTAGAAAGCCTTCTGGGCTCTCACTGTGTAACCTTTCCTGGGATCTTATTCTATTTACCCGCAGATTCAGTATTTCCTTCAGAGGCGGCCATCACTGAAGACCTTGTTTGTGGACAGCTACAGTGAGATGCTTTTGTAAGTGACATGTTAACTTTTTTTTTTTTATCAAGGTATCATTGATACGTACACTCTTACGAAGGTTTCACATGAAAAACAATGTGGTTACTACATTCACCCATATTATGGAGTCCCCCCTGCCCATACCCCATTGCAGTCACTGTCCATCAGTGTTGTAAGATGCCACAGTCACTACATGTCTTTTCTATGCTATCCTGTCTTCCCCATGATCCCCCCCACACCATGTGTACCAATCATAATACCCCTCAATCCCCTTCTCTCTCCCTTCCCACCCAACCTCCCCCACCCCTACCCTTTGGTAACTGCTAGTTCATTCTTGGAGTCTGTGAGTCTGCTGCTGTTTTGTTCCTTCAGTTTTGCTTCATTGTTATACTCTACAAATGAGGGAAATTATTTAGTATTGGTCTTTCTCTGCCTGACTTATTTCACTGAGCATAATACCCTCTAGCTCCATCCATGTTGTTGCAAATGGTAGAATTTGTTTCTTTCTTATGGCTGAATAATATTCCATTGTGTATATGTACCACCTCTTCTTTATCCATTCATTTACTGCTGGGCACTTAGGTTTGCTTCCGTATCTTGACTCTTGTAAATAGTGTTGTGACAAACATAGGGGTGCCTATATTTTTTTTGAATCTAAGAACTTGTATTCTTTCGGTGAATTCCTAGAAGTGGAATTCCGGGTCAAATGGTATTTCTATTTTTAGTTTTTTGAGGAACCTCCATATTGCTTTCCACAATGGTTGAACTAATTTACATTCCCACCAGCAGTGTAGGAGGGTTCCCCTTTCTCCACATCCTTGCCAGCATTTGTTGTTCCTAGTCTTTTTAATGTTAGCCATCCTAACTGATGTGAGGTGATATCTCATAGTGGTTTTAATTTGCATTTCCTTGATAATTAGCAATGTGGAGCATCTTTTCACGCGCCTGTTGGCCATCTGAATTTCTTCTTTGGAGGATTGTCTGTTCATATCCTCTGCCCATGTTTTAATCTGCGTTTTGGGTGTGGAGGCGTGTGAGTTCTTTATATATTTTGGATGCTAACCCCTCGTCAGATATGTCATTTACAAATACATTCTTCCATACTGTAGGGTGCCTTTTTGTTCTGCTGATGGTGTCCTTTGCTGTACAGAAGCTTTTTAGTTTGATGTAGTCCCATTTGTTCATTTTTGCTCAAGGAGATGTGTTAAGGAAAAAGTTGCTCGAGGAGGTGTGTTAAGGAAAACGTTGCTCATGTTTATATTCAGGAGATTTTTGCCTATGTTTTCTTCTAGAGTTTTATGGTTTCATGACTTACATTCAGGTCTTTGATCCATTTTGAGTTTACTTTGGTGTATGGGGTTAGACAATAATCCAGTTTCATTCTCTTGCATGTAGCTGTCCAGTTTTGCCAACATCAGTTCTTGAAGAGGCTGTCATTTCCCCATTGTATGTTTATGGCTCCTTTATCACTTATTAGTTGACCATATATGCTTGGGTTTATATCTGGGTTGTCTGTTCTGTTCCATTGATCTATGGGTCTGTTCTTGTGCCAGTACCAAATTGTCTTCATTACTGTGGCTTTGTAGTAGAGCTTAAAGATGGGGAGCATAATCCCCCAGCTTTATTCTTCCTTCACAGGATTGCTTTGGTTATTTGGGGTCTTTTGTGTTTTCATATGAATTTTAGAACTACTTGCTCTAGTTCATTGAAGAGTGCTGTTGGTATTTTGATAGGAATTGCATTGAACCTGTAGATTGCTTTAGGCAGGATGGCCGTTTTGACAATGTTAATTCTTCCTATCCATGAGCACGGGATGTATTTCCATTTATTTGTATCTTCTTTAATTTCTCTTGAGTGTCTTGTAGTTTTCAGTTTATAGGTCTTTCTCTTCCTTTGTTAGGTTTATTCCTAGGTATTTTATTCTTTTTGATGCAACTGTGAATGGAATTATTTTCCTGATTTCTCTTTCTGTTAGTTCATCGTTAGTGTATGGGAAAGCAACAGATTTCTGTGTATTAGTTTTGGATACTGCCACTTTGCTGAATTCAGACATTAGCTCTAGTAGTTTTGGAGTGGATTTTTTAGGGTTTTTTATGTACAATATCATGTCATCTGCAAACGTGACAGTTTAACTTCTTCCTTACCAATCTGGATGCCTTTTATTTTTTTGTGTTGAGTGACATGTTGACTCTTACGCATCAATGGCAGATAACATCTTTTAGCACAGTCCTGAGGTTTACAGCAGTTGGCTCTCACTCATTCTCTAGCATAGGCTGGGTCTGGAACATAGTAGGACCTCACAAACATTTTGAATGAATGATGGAAGGCACTTGATAAACATTTGTGGGGTGAATGAATACTTTGGGTCCACTCTGTGCAGATACATACAAGGTGCTGGGGAGTGACAGACCTGTTCCATGGGCTCTTGCGGTTTATAGTCCCTGGAATTGAAGTAGACAGGGTTCCTGTCTTCAAGGAATTTTCCATCGTTAAGGTAGGGTTTTTCAAACTTGGCACTATGGAACATTTTGGACTGGAAAACTTTTTGTCGTGGGGTACTGTCCTGTGCATGGTGGAATGTTTAGCAGCATCCCTGTCTTCTACTGAATGTCAGTAACACTTTCCTGTCCAGTTTTGACAATCAAAAATATCTCCAGATATTGCCAAATGCCCCCCAGTTGCAGGGGTACAAAATCTGATTGAGATTCTTTGCTTTCGGGGGAGACAGATAAGCAAAAAAACAGTTACAAAACAATGCAGATGTCACAGCAAACGTCCTTCCTTCCTAAAATAAGCCAGAACCTTAGGATGTTCCCTTGGAGGACCCAGGATACAAAGGGAGCTTTCAAACAGGAATGCTGATTTGCTTTGCTAAGAGAGGCAAGTTACTGTTATGCCAGTAAACTTGATCCTCTTCCTGGGAAGACCCATGTGAACATGTTAACTTAAAAAAATTTTTTACGTTCTTAGAACTACCCATGCACATGGGTAAAACTGAAAAGAGTACTGAAAAGCTTATAGCCAACAAAGAAGTTCTCTGTCCTAGCCCTTCCTATTTCCTGCAACCCCCCTTTGCAGGGACAACCACTTCCCGTCCTTTCAGCTCTTTTTTCTGACATACACACCCCTGGAGATGAGGGTTTAGCATCCTTATGCTGCCTTCCCCTCTGCTTCCTCCTCTAGCCTTCTAATATGGTTTGTAATAATTTTTGTTTTACTCAGTATTTACATGCTTATGTCTGAAAATATAATTCACAGTTGAGCTTCAGAATATACTCCACACTATTTCTTTTCTTTTTTGTTTCTCCTGAATTTAATAATTACCTTGATTTCACTTGTTTAGTTTTCCTTGCACTGATTGTTCATTCTTCCTGTGTGTCTCTGAAGCCTTTCAGTATAATTTTCCCTGAAACTAATCCCATAGATTATATGGTCAGATCCTTTATTTGTTTTTCTTGAGAGATTTCCTCCTGGAGCTCTGTCCTCTTTTTCAAACTGGGGCTGGTTGCCCTCTGGGCCTGCTTATTGTCATCCTGGGACTTCTCTTTGATGCCAACCTTGGAATTCTTATTGCTTTCCTCCTGGGTTAGAGTGCCCATCTCTTTCTTGATTTCCCCCCACCTTGTTTATCTGAGCACATTTTCAATGTTTTCATCTAGTGAAAAAGATGGTACAAAGGTCGAGGGCAGAGTGATGGCAGTTTTCACCATGCCTGATTCTTGAGTTGCGTCTTTCCCGTGTGCACACCCGAGGGGTCCTCCCTTCCCTAGCGCCGTGGGGTTCTCATTCTCTTCCCCCCTGATTTGGATCTCTCATCTGAACCCTGCATCTTCCTCTTTTCTGATTTACTTCTCTGTTTTGGAGGAGGACGTCTTCAACCAAAGAAAGAAGTTGCATAATGGGGAAGGGGGGAGTAGCATTTCTTTTAAGTCTGGCATGTCTGAAAATATTTCCATTATACCATCACACTTGATTGATCATTTAGGTGAGTAAAAAATTCTTTTAAAAATGTGAGGACATTTCTCCATTGTTTCCTTGCTTCCAGTATTATAGATGACAAGTCCAAAGTTAATCTGATTCCGGATGCTCTTTTAAGACTTCAGTTTTTCTCTTTGTGAATCTATAGTATCTTCTGTTTGTTTCTAGTGTTCTGAAACTCCGTGATGTGTCTTAATGTGGATTTGTTTTTATCCATTGTTTTAGGCACTTAATGGGCTCTTTCAATCTGGAATTTATATCCTTTACATCCTTTGTGTTTCCCTATTTTCTTGAATTATTTCTTTCTCTCTCTTCCAGAACTCTTACAATTTGTATGTTGAACCTCCTAACCTAGTCCTGAACTAGATCTAAACTTCTCTTTCTTGTGTTTTTCTCTCTCTTTATCTTTGACTCTTCTTTCTGGGAGTTTCAACTTAATTTTGATTTCCATCCCTTCTACTAGGTTTATTATTTTTGATGTCATGTTTTCAATTTTGAAGTGCTTTTTAAAAAAATTCTGTTTGTTCCTTATTTATAGCAATTTATTCTCATTTCATGGATGCTGTATTTTATTTTATCTCTCTAAGGCTGTTATGATAGTTTTTGGTAAATTTTTCTTCTTTTTGCATCATTTTCATTTTCTCCAAATGGTTTCCCATTCTATGTGAAGGGCTATCCACAGGATATTTGGAAATCTTTGATATTTGCTCATGATTAAGACTGGGGGATGGAAAAGCTGGTTGAAAGCTCAGTGTGTGAATGAGGCTTATCAGTTCTGAGCTTCAGTATGGGCTGGTCTAGATAAACCATTAATTGGGGAATATCCAAAGCCAGTGTGTAGCATCTTTCCAATCTTCTGCCTAGAGGAAAGAAGTCTGGCTGGAGCTTTCTGTGAGCTGAGTGGACAAGAGGGCTTTCTGTAATGTGCAGTGTGTAAAAATCATGCAATTTCCTGTTTTTGGTAAAACTCCAGTAGTTTCCCTGGTGCTTGATGAAACTGGGTCCCAAGACCCTCTGTTTATCTTCTTCACAGATGACACCCCCAGTCTTCCTTATTTTAGGTCTTTTCATCTCCCCTCCAGAGTTCCTAGGCCTTTTGAGACTCCTTGATTAAAAGAACTGGTTCTCTTTTCCCCTCTGGGGATTTGCCTTTGGCTCTCATGGTCTGCTAAGTCATCTGTCCACTGCTGCCCAGTTTCCAAGATTCATGTGTGGGGGCTTCGTTTGCCACCTGACACAACCTTTTACCTATTTCAAGTGGCATCAGTTCTTATTTTAGTTAATGTTCTGCAAGTGCAGAGGAATCGTTTTCTTTGCAGCAGGATTTCAGTCAATGAGCCAGTTCATTGACAACAGTGTTCAGTAGACCCACATCATGCAGTACAACTTTTTGCTGGGTTCTCTTGCAGAAATGGGGGGTGAGGTGAATGCAGCCTGCAGCATTAACAGCTTTTGGGAAGAAGCCATGATGGGAAAGGAGACCTGGGCTGAATAAGTAGCGAAGGGACCACAGAGCAGTCTCTGTCATTAGATTGTCCAGATGTCCTCCACCCTGTCCATGGCTCCTCCTTGGGCATGCCCCAGCCAGACTAAGGAGCTGAGGGATACCTTCCCTGGCTGCTTCTGAGATTGAGGGTGTGACCAGCAGACTCTACCGATAGTTTTTCAGGAGAGCATGGATGGTCCCGCCTCACGGGACTAGGTTCTCTGCTGTCCAGTGAGGCTGGTGGTCCCAGGGAATGGGCAGGGAAATTGTTGGGACTAAAGCAGAGTCTCTCAGCCCTTTTAGACACTTTTTTCCTAATTGCTCTTTCCATGAAATCTAATACCACAAATATACTATCTAGCTGTTTATATACTGTATTTATGTATGTGCTTTAAATGTAAAGAGAATGAAGTTTGCACACCCCCTCCCATCCAGCCAACTTTTGGCCCCTTGGAGGTGATATTGCTCCCACTGAGAATCATGGGCTAAGCAGAAAGAACAGCCTGCCTTTGCTCCCCCACAGCTAAGGTCTGAGCCTTGTGGAGAGACTCAGGCAGCTGGGGTCTTCCTGTCTGTGGGGGTGCACAATGCTTCCTCCCAGTGAACTTAAAGGGTGGTCTCTTCCCCCAGTTTTGTGCAGTCGCTGTTCATGCTGGGGTCTGTGATGCTGTACTTCTGCCATCGCAAGGAGTATGTGGCCTCCATGGTGTTCTCCCTGGCCATGGGCTGGACCAACATGCTGTACTATACCCGCGGCTTCCAGCAGATGGGCATCTATGCTGTCATGATTGAGAAGGTGGGTTCCAGTACCCAGCGGGTTCTCCACAGAGCCCCTTTGTCTCATAGGAATATGGGATGTGGCCCTACAAACTTTGTCTTCCTTTGTACTGTCTGGCGAAGTGTTGGTTTAGCTCAGGACCCACTTTCCCAGCTAATTCCTCAAGAATTAGGCAATCTGGCCTTGACTAAGGTTTGGGGACTTGACTGAAATTTAACCCCCATGTATACCAGGGCTTGCCTCCCACCAGAACAGAGGCCATGGGGGGAGCTGTAGATGATTCCTTCCTGACACTGGAGCTGAAAACCACAAAACCCAGCCCTCCTGCATGTCCTCTGGTTCTCCTCGGACTCGAGAGGAACCCCCAGGCCGACTCAGCCCTGGCCTGTCTGCGGGCGCCGCCTTCCTGGACCTGGCTCTGACAGGCTTGCTCTCTCCTGCAGATGATCCTGAGAGACCTGTGTCGCTTCATGTTCGTCTACCTGGTTTTCTTGTTCGGGTTCTCCACAGGTAACAGGTTTGGTCAGGGCTGGTAGCGGGGCAGGGCTCCTGCTCACCTCCACCATCTGAGGACTCTGCAGGGGCTGGTGGGGGGTGGCCTTCTGGGGCCTGTGTCTGCAGGTGATAGGGTGGCTGGACAAAGGACATGAGAAAGTGAGCAGGAGACCTGGAAAGGTGGCCCATGAAACGTTTTCAGTAATTTTAGAGGTCCAAAGTGCTGCTTTCCTGTGGTATAGCTGCATTTTGGCTCAGTTTTTGAAAAATGCCTTTTAAATTTGACCTTAGTTCAGATTTTCAGAAAATTTGCAAAAATAAAAAAATAAAATAACCTCTTCATGCTTTTCCCCCAAGTTCCCAAAATGTTATCACATTTAAAAAATCATTTTCCCTCCCTGCTTCACACACACAGCCCCCACACCACACTTAAAAAAACCTGAGAGTAAGTTGCAGACATGATGAGCCTTTTACCATGGAATAAAGTGTGTATTTCCTAAAAACAAGGACATTCTTTTACATAAACACAGTATGATAATCAAAAGCAGGAAATTAACCTCAGTAGGGTACTATTAGCTAATCTACCAGCCTTATTCAAATTTCACCAATTGTCTAATAATGGCTTTTGCTGAAATGGAAAGCCGAGATCATGCATTACATTCTGTTGTTAGGCCCGTTTGGTTTCCTTCCATCTGGAATGGTTCCTCAGTCTTCCCTTGTCTTTTGTGAGCTTAGCATTTTTCAGGAGTGAAGGGCAGTTTTTACAGTGTCTCTCAGTTTGGGCCTCTCTGCCCCTTCTTCACAGTTAGATGCAGCTATGCATTGTTGGGCAGCATATCAAGGCAGTAATGTGGGTCTTCCTCAGTGCATTGTATCAGGAGTCCCATGATTGTTGGTCCTGTTTCTGGTAATGTTACTTCTGATGACTTGGTTTTGGTGGGTCTGCCAGATTTTTCCATGTCAAGTTATTATCTTTCCCTCTGTAACTGATAAGTCATTTGGGAGGAGATGCTCTGAGACTATGAATATCCTATTTCTCATTCAACTTTCATCCAGCAGTTCTAGCATCCCCTGATGATTCTCACCTGAATCACCTAATTCTAATGGTTGCCAAATGATGATTTTCTAACTCTACCATTCCTTCTACATTTATTTCAGGACACTTTATTGTAAGGAAGAGCTTTCTATTCTCCCACATTTATTGATTGGCATCAGTATGGCCTCATAGATTTTTCTTGCTCATGGATTCTCATTTTGCTAAATGACTACAATTTCTTAATATTTATTTCGGTAATCACATTGTCTGAGAAATTGTAGCTGGGAGCCACTTCAAGCTGGGTCCTGTGCTCTTGACATGGTTTTTTGAGCATCTGGATGTACTTTAATCCTCATCTGAGTCCTGCAGTTACATGCTTCACGTGGTATACCCTCCCCTCCCCCACCTCACAACCTATTTTAGAATCTCTGCCTGGGACTTATGGGCAGCTTTGGATCGGGAGCTTTGGTTCCTAGAGATCAGTGTGGGCTCTGGCAGCTGGTCTGAAGGCCCTGCTTATTAGGAGCCACAGGAAGGGGTCAGGCCAAGTGGGTTAGTAGATGCCAGGTATGCAGTTAGCATGGAGCTCAACTGCTGCAGAATGCAGAACGCTGCAGGAGGCCTTTGTGCTCTGAACTGCTTGGCCACCATGGTTCTGGAATAGGCTTGTTCTGGGCCACCCTCTAAAGGAGACAGGCAGACAGGGAATGACTGAGAAAGTGACCGTGGATCCAGGGCTGACATGTACAATTAGGCAGGTTGTGCACTGCATGAAGGTGGCTGTAATCACATGGTACATATATATTTATTTTAACATGTTTTTCCTAGTGGGTGACGCTAAAGTTCTTATTGTAACAAAACAGTATATTACGACAGTTTTCTGATAGTTGTAAAGAAGGGGATGCTTTAAAAAATTTACACAAAAGTGCTTCTGGCCAAGCAGTATTCCTGCTGGAGACTCATCCTGGGGTAGGGGTAGTATGTTGGGGGTTCTGGGGTCCTGGCTTCCACCCAGCTGCACCCCTCCCTCTCCATGCCTGTAGCGGTGGTGACACTGATTGAGGATGGGAAGAATAACTCTGTGGCTGAGCCCCCATCACATAGGTGGCGATGGCCTGGCTGCCGGCCACCAGACAGTTCCTACAACAGCCTGTACTCCACGTGTCTGGAGCTGTTCAAGTTCACTATCGGTATGGGTGACCTGGAGTTCACCGAGAACTATGACTTCAAGGCTGTCTTCATCATCCTGCTGCTGGCCTACGTGATTCTCACCTACATTCTCCTGCTCAACATGCTCATCGCCCTCATGGGTGAGACTGTCAACAAGATTGCGCAGGAGAGCAAGAACATCTGGAAGCTACAGGTGGGTCGGTTGGTGGGGAGCGCACAGCAGGAGGGTGTTGGCTGCTCTGCCTGCTGCTGAATGAACACAGTTGGACGCGTGAGCCCCTGCAGGGTTTGAGGAGGGAGCAGAAAGAACAGCCAGGCTCTGGGGATCGAGCAGCAGCATCTCCCTCAGCTGACTCTCTTCTGGCCCCGCCTGCAGGGTTTCCCCACCACACATCGTCAGCTGGTGTTCACAGACACTGTGTTTACTGTGGGCTGGTTGTGAGAGGGCTCAGCTCCAGGGGGTGCCCACTTCAGCGAAACTAGGTCAAGAGTGGGACCAGAGACCAGACTCGGGGAGAAGCTGACATGGGGCCAGCCGCGACAGCTGCATTTTTGAGCCACTTGATCCACATGTACCTTCCCCACTAATAATAAAGGTATCATTCTTATCAGGTAGCACTGCCTCTAAGCCAAGTAGTCTTCTAAGTGTCTCCCATGCTGTCATGTAATCCTTCCAACAGTGCTATCAGTGGGCACTTGATTCTCCCCATTTTTGGATGAAGACACTGAAGCATAGAGAAGTTAGGTATCTGTGTCTAAGGTAACTTAGATCTTCCTTGACTTATGATGACTTATGTTCTGATAAACCACCATAAGCTGAAAACATCATTAAGTTGACATTGCATATAATACACTTAATCTGCTGAACATCATAGCCTAGCTCACCTTAAACATGCTCAGGACATGTAGGTTAGCCTATGGTTGGGCAAAGTCATCTAACCCGAAGCCTATTTTATAATGAAGTATTGAATATCTCATGTAGTTTATTGAATACTGGACTGAAAGAGAAAAACAGAATGCTGTTTGGGTACAGACTGGTGGTGCACTGGTTGTGACCCATGTGATCGTGTGGCTGACTGGAAGCTGTGGCTCGCTGCTCTGCCCAGTATCATGAGAGAGAAGATTGTACTGCATGTTGCCAGCTCAGGAAAAGATAAAAATTCAAAATTTGAAGTACAGTTTCTACTGAATGTATATTGCTTTCACACTGTCATAAAGTTGAAAAATATTAAGTTGCACGATCCTAAGTAGGGGACCATCTGTATTAAGTAGCACAGCCAGATTCAACCCAGACAGTCTCACTCCCAAAGCCCTGCTCTTAACCACTCCACTCTGTGGCCCCTTTGTGAGCTCCACAGAGAGATGTTTGGGGTTGGGCACTCCACGTCACTCATGGGCTGCCTTGCCCAGAACCGGCTGGCACCAGCAGTGCCTGGGCAAGTCTGGGCCAGATGCATTGAGCTCCTCCCATGCAGTGGGCACCCACTGGGCTGCAGAAACAAGCCTGGTGTAGTGGGCACTGTAGGTCAAAGTTGGAAGCCCTGGGGCTGGAGGAGACCTTGGGGAGGCTGATCTTGGCAGCCAGGTAGCCAGAGGCAGACCCTGGATGAGCCCTCTGCCCCTCCACCCTTTGTGTCTTCCTGCAGAGAGCCATCACCATTTTGGATACGGAGAAGAGCTTCCTTAAGTGTATGAGGAAGGCCTTTCGCTCGGGCAAGCTGTTGCAGGTGGGGTACACACCTGACGGCAAGGACGACTACAGGTGGTGTTTTAGGTAATGACCAGGCGGGAATCAAAGCTTGAGGCTCGGCTATGGCTATCAAGGACTCACCTGGCACCAGCTGTGGGTACAGAGGCCTGCCTCAGAGCTCGCCATGAGCATGGGACTCACCTGGAGCTGGCTATAGGAAAGGGGCCATTCCAGAGCATAGTGTGGGCATAGGGAACCCACATGGAGGCAGCTGTGGGTACAGAGGCCTGCCTCAGGGCCTCTTGGTGTCAGTTATAGGTACAGGGGCTGACCCAGGACTTGGCTGTGGGCATAGGGGACCCACTGGAAAATAAGGTGTCCAGAATGGGTCATCTAGTGATCAGGTTTAGAACTAGGTATCCAATATTCAAAGTCCCTGGGTCCCATGGTGTGCTCAGAGGGCACATTTTCAAGGGTGGTGTCCAAGTAGCAGGCCCGGCCCACCCTCCCCCTACCAGCTTTGTCTCCCTGTCCTGGTCTGGGGGCTTCTTAGAATTGGCCTTTGGGGCCAAGCCCTCAATCTGGGAAGCTGGGCGTGGCTCTCAGGCTGCCAGCGTCCTGCTCCCTTGTCTGCCTTCCCTTCAGGGTGGATGAGGTCAACTGGACCACCTGGAACACCAACGTGGGCATCATCAATGAAGACCCTGGAAACTGCGAGGGTGTCAAGCGCACCCTGAGCTTCTCGCTGCGGTCAGGCAGAGGTGAGGTGTCTGGGGAGGGGTCTGTGGCATGGAGGCAGCCTGATGTTGGGCAGGTGAAACCTTAGGGTCCCCTGCTCCTTGCAGGCCTTCCTCACCCCACAGCCTGAGCTCTGGAACAGCCCTAGTGTCAACCGTCCCCACACGCTCAGTCACCAGCTCCTGTGTGCCCTCATGCACTCCTGCACAGCTGACTGCTCCACGTGCCCATGCTTGCCAGCTCTGCCAGTGCCTCAGAGCAGCCGCTGAGCCCATTCCAGTCACCTGGGACAGCTAGCCTCCCTGTGGGCCGCCCTGTCTCCCCTGCCCTGTTCCTCACATCCGGTGTCTGCACCCAGCTCTGTGAGGCTCAGACACGAAGAGGGACATGTGGGCACTCACCTTGTGTACATTCAAGCATGCAGGGGAAGATTAATGGGAAGAGTAAAGGGTATAAATTGAGCAGAAAAGCTGGAAAATCATTACCAGAAAGAAAGTCCTTTAACAGTTAATGGTAAACATTTAACAGTAGACATTAAATTAAAGGTCTGAGGACATGTGCTTAAAAATGAGGCAAATCTACTTTACACTGAACACATTTTGAGTTATAATTACAACCCTGCACCAATCTTTTGTTTTTAAAAAATTGTAAACAATTATAAGTTGTAAATTGTAAAAACAATTGTAAAATATATATAACATAAAATTTGCCATTTTAACCATTTTTAAAAGTGTATAGTTTGGTGGTGCTAATCATATCCACAACGAAGTGCAACTTTCACTACTATTTCCAAAATGTTTTCATTATTCCAAACAGAAACTCTGCCCCCATTGAACAATTACTCACAATTTCCCTTCCTCCTAGCCCCTGACAACCTCTATTCTACTCTTCATTTCTGTGAATTTGCATCCTCTAGGAACCTCATATAAGTGGAGTCCAATGATATTTGTCTTCCGGTGTCCGGCTCAGTATATTCCAGTGTATGTCCATGCCATGTTTTATTTATTCGTCTCTCTGTTGATTGATGTTAGGATTGCTGTCACCTTTTTTGCCTATTGGTAATAATGCTCTGAACACTGGTGTGCAAGATGCTGTTGCTTTCAATTCTTTTGGGTAGAAGTGAAATTGCTGGGTCACGTGGTAACTCTGTGTTTAACTTTCTGAGGAAGCCAGACTGTTTCCCAAGGCAGCTGCATACCTGTACATTCCCAGCAATGTATGAGGATTCCACATGGTCACCAACACTTATTTTTCTATTGTTTTTTTTTCTATTATTATAGCCATTCTAATGGATATGAAGTAGTATCTCATTGTGGTTTTGATTTGCATTTCCCTGTTGACTAATGATTTAGACATCTTTTCACATGCTTATTTGCCATTTATGTTCTTTGGAGAAATGCTTGTTCAAGCCCTTAACTTATTTTAAAATTTGTTGTTGCATTATAGGAGTTCATTGTATATTCTGGATATTAATCCTTTATCAGATGCATGATTTTCCACTATTTTCTCCTATTCCATGCATTGTCCTTTGATGTACAAAAGCTATGATTTTGATGAAGCCTGATTTATCTACTCTTTTCTTTTGTTGCCTGTGCTTTTGATGTCATACCCAAGAATCATTGCCAAATCTGGTTTTATGAAGATTTTCCCCTGTGTTTTTTTCTAGAAGTTTCATAGCTTTAGTTCCTTACCATTTTCAAGTTGCCTTTTTCTTGAGTCAGAGTTGCTTAGTTGCTGTAAACCTTGGACTGTTTCCCAGAGTTCTGACAACATTGGTTCTTTCATATCTGATATTGCTTCAGGGAGAAACTCCTTAATATTTCATAAACTTTAAACAATCAATTTTATCGATATATAATTTATATACAATAAAGTGCACACATTTTAAACATATGGTTTGGTAAGTTTCAGCAAATATACACTCAGACAACCAGGACCCCACTCAAGATACAGAACATTTCCATCATGCCAGAGGGACAACAGACTGAAACCCTTATGCTTCTCTGTGGTCAGTTCCACCGTCCCCTTCCCAGGTAACAATGTCCAATTTCTGTCACTAAGGAATAGTTTTTTAGCAGCTTTTGTTTACCTGAAAATGTCAATTTCATCCTCATGTTTGAAGGATATTTTCACTGGATATAGAATTCCGGATTAACAGATTTCTTTTCTTTAAAAAAGAAAGCTAACACTTTGACTATATTTCTCTACTTCTCCTAGCCCCCTTGTTTCTGGTAAAAACTCACCTGTCATTTGCATTGTTCTGCTCTATGTAATTTGTCTTTTTCTCTAGCTGCTATTAAAATAGTCTCTTCATCTTTGGTTTTCAGCGTTTTGACTAAAGTGTGCTTAGGTTTGGCTTTTTTTTGGTTTTATCCCATTTGGGGTTTACTGAGATTCTTAGATCTGTACATCAACATGTTTCATCAGATTGGTAAACTATATATATATTTTGCCTCATTCTCCCTATGTTCTCCTTTTGGGACTTTAGTGATATGTGTGTGAGACCACTTGATATTTTCCCATAGGTTTCTGGGACTTTGCTCATTTTTCTTCAAATTTTTCTGTTTCTCAACTTTGATAATTTCTAGTGATCTGTCTTCAAGTTCACTGACCCTTACCTCACCCATCTCAAAACTGCTATTAAGCCCATTCAGTGCTTGTTATGTTTCAAGTACTGTGCTATTCAATTTTAGAATTTCTCTTTGGTTATATTTTATAGTTTCTATTTCTCTCCTGAGATTCCGTAGCTGTTCCATCTTTAAGACCATATTTTGTTTTGGTCTTTGAACATATTTATGATGATTACTTTAAATTCTTGCCTGCTAAGTCTGCTAAATCTAACATCTGGGCCATCTTGGGTTTCTGTTGACTATTCCCCGCCCCCACCTCCCACAACTTTGTGTCTAATTTCCCTGTTTGTTAGCATATCTAGTAACTTTAACTGCATACTGGGCATTGTGGGTAATATGTTGTAGAGACTCTGGATTGAATTTCTGTTCTAGTTGGCAGTTCAGTTACTGATGAATCACCTTGAACTTGTATAGGCTTAGTTTTAACCTTTATTGTGGTAGATCTGTGGAAATGCCAAGGTATTTGCCAATCCCATTAAACTTGTAGGACTCAACCTCAAGATGAGGATCTTACCAGGGCTTGGTTTTAGGCTTAGATTTTGTTAGGGTGGTTCTTGAGCATACCTTACTCTAGCGCATGTAGGGTATATAGGGCATTTTTAGTATTTTTATCTTGATCCTCAGAGTAGATAAAGGGTGTTAAGGAAGTCATTCCACTTGGCTCAGCTGGACCTCTAGTATCCCTCAGTACAGCTCACTGTCCCACTTTCAAACCCATTGTGGCCACTTTGTGTTAAGCTTCATGCACTCTCACTCTGTTCGAGGGTAGCTCAGCTTTCAGGCAAGGACTTGGGGGGACCCCACTCCAAAGACTTCTGGACCTCCACCCCAACAACTAACTTCTTCCTTTTCTCCTGGGCCCTGCCCCAGAGAGCCTAGCTGCTTCAGCTGCCCAGAACTCTGATCTCTTCTTCCTTAGCTCAGAGACACTTGCATGCTGTGCTTGGACTCCAGCTTACTGCACTGTAGTGAGAGAGACTGTCCCTAAACAAAATATTGGCAATCATGGGGCTGACCTTGTGAATTTCACTTCTCTCAGGAATTGCAGTGTTTCAGTCTGTTGTCCTATGCCTGAAAACATTTGTACCTGTATTTTACTTGGTTTTATGGTTTTTTACAGCAGGATGGCTAGCCCAGTATTAATATACCATCAGAGCTGGAAGTAGAAATTTGTTTTATCAAGAGGTTTGCTTTTGGAAAGCTACTCAAGGGCTTCACCAGTTTTCCCAGGAGCCTCTGACAATCCTGTAATTAGAAGTGCTCCCTGTATCACGTCATACTACTTATTAATTATTCTTCAATTGTTGACTGGTCTGCCTTTGCCACAGAGCCATTCAAAGATGGCCTTGCATGTGATTTGAGCAGTTTCCCATCACTTACTGATTTCACGAAGCCCCACATCTTTTACAAGGTTTCTGTTTCACTTTGCAGTTGACTTGCATTGTTTGCATGACATTGTGAGTGCTTTACAACACTGCACATTCACTGTGATATTAATAAAGACATTAACCTAGTGGCAACCTGTATTCATGTTACTTGGGGTAGGGATAAGAGAAGGTTACAGGTTTCCTAATTTCACACTTATAATTAATTAGGGAACGTTTGCTGAGCATTTTGCTTTCATATACAACTCTGTAACAGTGGAAACTCCAGTAATGAATAGTTAGGTAATTCAGATAACAAGGAACTCCCCTATATCCATAGTTTGTGTGGTTGGGAAGGGGTGAGAGCATGCATGAGAGAAAGGCCAGGGGAGGAAGTGAGCTAGGGAAAGCACATGAGGGGGCCTTGGCATCAGGACTGGGGCAAGTGGGCACTGGGAACCCCATACCTCCTTTGAGGGCCCTGGAGCTGGAGCTGGGCCACAATCTCTGAGGCCAGGCACTGCCACCACCCAGCCAGACAGAAGATGGTGACCCCATGAGCACCTGGCCTGTCTCCCCATGGAGCCTGGCATTTATGCTAGGTTTCCTGAGGGATTCTCCTTCAGCAGTTGGTGCTTGGCATCTGCCTGTGGTTGGGGGACAGGCCAGTATCAGCCTGAGGGCCTGGGGGAGACAGTAGGACCTGGAGAGTTCAGCTGTAGCGTCATGATGGGCCCAGCTTCCCACATTCCTGATGCCTTTGAGATGTGGCCAGTGTTAAATACTAGCCCCGGGGCCTGAACTGTGGCCTGAGGATGGGTGGTATGAATGTACGCTGCTTCTCAAGAGACATCACACTCAAGGTGGCCAACCAGAGGGCTTGGCTGACCAAGGCGCTGGCAAGTGGAAGGAGGGACTGTATATCTTACCCTCTTGGCTGTCATGTCTCTGAGGGGTCTGGGGGCTGGAGGTGGCCGTGGGGGTCACACCTGGGTCCTCGGGAGCTTCCTGGGATTCTAGGCCACACATGAGAACTCCATTTGAGGCCCAGTGTCACCACAGCTCCCGTGGCATTGGTCCCAGTATGCTCTGCCCTGGTGAGGCCTGGCCCCCAGGTACTGAATCTCTGGCTGGTATTCATCACTCTACAGCTGCCCTGGTGTGGAGCCACTCACGGGGCAGATCCCAGCCCTGCTTGGTGGAGACTTGCTCTCCTTCCCACGTGGGCAGGGAGGAAATAGAGGCTTAGAGAGGCAAGTGATGGATTCTCATCAGGCCACAAGCAAGTCAGGGTGAAGGAGCAGCATTGGGGAGCTCCTAGACTGGATGAGACCCCTTTGGCAGATGAGGGAACAGAAATGCGCATGCTTTGGGGATCACTGGCATCAGGCCCCCTTTCAGCTGGAGATTGGCAAGGCTAACAAACACGTGCTTATTCTCGCTGTGCCGCATCCAAGGCAGTAATGATAGTTATCCTTCAGTTTCAGGGAGAAACTGGAAGAACTTTGCTCTTCCCCTTTTAAGAGATGCAAGTACTCGAGAAAGGCATACTACCCAGTCCGAGGAAGCTCACCTGAGGCACTTTGCAGGGTCCCTCAAGCCGGAAGATGCTGACAACTTCAAGGACCCTGCTGTGTTAGGGGAGAAGTAAGGGACCCCCACAGGCTGCTCTCAATGCTGTTGGGCTTTAGGATACCCCACTGCTGCCAGGGGACTGTGCAGGGATCCCCCCAGGGTGCTCTCAGCAGCCTGGCCTGGTCTGCACCTGCCCAGACACTTTCCTAGACTGCACTGGGCGAGTTGTGGGGAGCATAGCTGGGTGCATGGAATGAGGTGATCATCCGGCCTCCACTGTCCCCGATTGACTCTCCTAACAGGAATAGGGTTTTGCTTTCACGTTTTTACTGACTATTAAGTATTGTGAATGACAAATCTCTCTGTGGACATATGCAATGCCCCTATTTATTTCTATTTTATTTTATTTCTAATTTATATAAATTTTCTACTTTTATTCCTGGGAATAAAAGTAAATGAGGCCTAAGAAAACACCTTTTAAAACAAAATACTCCCTTTGATGTAAAATGCTGAAGACTTTCTTCTCTGTTGTGCTTAATATCCCCCCTGTTCAGAGTGGTCTGGGGGGTGATGTCATCTACTCCTCAGATAAAGTAGACTAAGCTGGTCCCATGCCCAGCTCTGCCAGAATCCAGTTTTCCCAGAGTGACTTCATCATTCCAGGTGACAACTCACAGTTCCAAAAATATTAGCTCTATTGCCGTTCAGATAAAGTACAAAACCTACATCCCAAAGCCACATGGCAAGAATCTTTCAAGTGACCTTTCATTTGTAGTGACCTTAGTCTTGCTCCCCTATAGAGGTACACACTTCCACCTCCATCCATCCTGTCAATTCATCAGCTAAATAAATAAATAAGTAAATAAATAAATATCGTATCAAATGTGGACTTTGTGCCAGTCATTGTGGCTGGCATAGCTAGTTGGCTCTGTGTGGTCTGTGTGCATGTGTATGTGTACCATCCCATATGGCTAGGAGACTGATTACTTTTAGTTGTTAGCTGTGGGTGATGGCCTATGTCTTCATACTTCATGCACACATCTGCCTCAGTAGACTGTGGGCCGCAGGCCAAATCCAGCCTACTGCCTGTTTTTGTAAACAGACCTTTGGAACACAGCCTGGCTATTCATTTCCATACTGTGTCTAATTTCACGCTACAGAGCAGAGTTGAAGAGTTGTAACTGAGACTAAGTAGCCTTCAAACCCTAAAGTATTTACTGTCTGGCCCTTTACAGAAGAGTTTGTCCCCCCCTGCCTTCTGGAATAGACCTCAAGAAACAACAATCTGGAAGAGATGTCCCAGGCACTCGTGGGGTGTCTCAATGTCTGTGGAGTGTGCAGGGAGCTGCAGTCACAGAATTGTTGGGTGTTGGTTCCTGAGAGGATGGAGAATGTTAGCTGGGGCTGGGGCTTCAGTCGTATGGTGAGAGGTTCATCTGGAGGGAACACTGGGTCCCTTCGTCCCTGTTCTCCAGTATCACAACTGCTCCACGTACGAGGGCCTGCAGAGGAGTCCAGGGGCTGGTTGACCAGGTGGCCAGGTGTGAAGTGCGCCGTGGCCAGAGCACAGCAAATGAACCTAGAGGAACGTACTGAGTGTTTGTATCGCTGGCCAGAATGTATCGAGGGTTCATGCAAAGCGCTTGAAGTTTGTTATCCTGCAAGTTTCCCATGGGCCACTCTCATCACCTCCACCTTACAGACAAGAGGACTGAGGCTAGGACAGTTCATAAGGCTTCACAGCCAGTGAATGGGACCCAGGCAGTCTGACTCCAGAGCCTGGAGCTTTACTGTGGCGCATGCCCATCCCAGGGTCAGAAGGGAGATGCGAGGCCTTCTCGCTTCCTGTTTTGAGCCTGGTACCATCACCTTCCTTAGAAGATGTTGTGCTGGTGTCAGACATCGGCAAGTTTCTGCAAATTGGATCGACTTTTGAACTTAGGGCTGGAGAGAATCTTGTGGGCAATCTTTTGTAAAATGAATGACCACAACCTTTTGTGTCAACCTGGGTTGTTTAAAGGACATGCCTGCAACTAGCCTGTTCTTTTCCCTTTTGTATCTGCTGCTGTTCTCTGTCCTTTTCTGTCCCCATGTTCCTTTCTCCTTCACCTGGAGGCAGGAGAGCCACAACCCAGAATCCCCAGTGGGGAGGCTGTGCTGTTCTCCTAGCCCAGGGACAGTGGTGGCCTGCCAGGATGCAGATGGACCCTCTCCTGCCCACTGTCAGGATAGATCTTCTCAGGCCTGAGGCTGCTGATGGAGCTCAGCTGTGCCCCTCCCGCCTCACTATACTAAGTGGGGCATTTTCCAAAGTTGACCAAAGGGTAGGCCCATCCCTGACTGTCTCCACCCCTCCGAGACCCTTCTCTCCCTACCACTCTTGGGTGGGCAGAACTTGTACACCTGCCACCAGAGCCTGATGTCGGCAGGGTGTGGGACACATGGGGATGGGGGAGGGTTGGGCTGGTGTGTCCTCCATGGGTCATTTCACAGTCCACAGCAGACAGGCACGGTTGCCTGACGCTCCGGCTCTGACCCATCTCAGATGGGGGCACATGTCAAATATGCTGGCCTGAGAGTCAGGCCTCTGGAGAGTGGGGGCTGGGCAGGGCTATTCAGAGGCTGCCCTTTCCCTCTGGCTGCCTGCACCTGGCCCCATTTCCCCTTGTTTGGTCCACACACATGGCCAGTTTGAAGGGTCGCTCCTGGGACCGCACGTCTTTAGGCTCTACTTGTTGCATCCACTGGCAGAGAAGGAGCTGAGGTCTCAGAAGAAGGGTGGGCCCAGCATGGTTGAGGGGCTGGACTGTGGAGGGCAACTTGGTCATCCTTCCCAGCTCCCAGGCATTGGGACAGCTGCGAATGAGCACTAAAGGTCACTGTGTGGCGGCTGAGGCTGAGCGGGCAGTGTTGGGTTTTGTAGGGCTCCAGGCTTGGTGGAAGGAGGCAGGACCCCCAGCTTCTGCTCCTGCCACTGTGCTGTGTGGGCCCCAAACACAGGCAGGCAGTGACCTGGGGTCTAGAAGGGCAGGGGAACTGCTTTTGGCTCGAGGTGCTGGCTCAGCTAAGCTGGTTCAGTCCCTGCATGACCACCCTGGTGACAGCATCCTAAACAGAGCCCTATACATGGGCCCCATATGGCTGGACCAGCACAGCCCTTTATGACTAAGGGGTCAGTGTTGGTCCAGTGGATTGGGACCACTCGGTGCCCTCAGCCTGACTTGGAGCCCCTCTCTGATACCCCACCAAGTTCTCATGTTGCCCAGGTTGTCACCACTCCTTAGCCGTGCTGGGGTCTCCTGCCTCCACACCCCTGATCCTGTGGCACCCCCTGTGAAGACTGTCCTTCCTCCCTCCCAAGTCCAGCCCGAATGCTCCTTTTCCCTGGATGCATCTTCCCCCTCCCCATTAGGGGGTCTTCCTTCTTCCTTGGTGACCTTAGTCCTTTCTGTCCTTACAACCTGACGGTGGGGTTATGGTTCTTCCCTGACCCAGTCCCTCTGAGAGGGAGACCACTGTCTCCAGTTCTGCATCCCACCCGGCCCCTTGCTTCCCTGCCCTGTCTGCCCATGGGCTCGCACAGTGTGGTGGATGAGGTGGGGTGGGCTGTAGACCAGCCTGCAGGCAGGAGCTGCCCGGTCCCTGTGTTTGGGGCGGGGCTGGAGGGCAGTGGCTCTGACTCGGTCGGGGTCCGGCTCTCACATGCAGCAGAGGGCCTCCCCTTACTCCCTGCTGGGCAAATGTGTGCCACTGGGTCAGGGACAGGGGCCTTTTAAAGCAGCTCTAATCCCGGCCTTTGAGAAAAAGTGCTAACACCAGGCAAAAGGTAAACACTGAAACTTGGCAACAGCCTCACCCCCAGGGTTTGGAGGCACCCAGAAGCAAGCCAGGGGCTGAGTCAGGAGGGGCAATTAATTGAATAATAGAGGGAGGCTTTCATGGGGGAGTTTCAGGCAGTGATGAGATTCTGAATTGTGTGTGTGGGAACTTTGGGACCCCCTTTACTTAAATTGTAAAAGCAGCCCCTGGTGCACCCCATACCTGAAGGCTGTTGGCCATGAACCAGGTTTCCTGCCCCTGACTGGCCAAGGGCCTGCGGTCCCATGGTCAGAAGGCAGGTTGGGGTGAGGAGGCACTGAGAGCCTTGTCCCGGATGGCAGTTGGGAAAATCCCTGCTGTGTTGGTCACGGGGACCGTCCCTGTCAGCAGAGACTTCCTGCTCTGTCCTAGTCCTGTCTTGCTGGAGGGAACACATGTGCAATTCCTAAGTGGCGAGGAGTTGGGCAGGGCGGCCCCAGCCCTTCACAGCTGTGGCCTGCGCCCAGAGGGAGGGCCATGGTCTTCCCCCAATGCTCTGGCCAGGATGCAGGTGGCCAGTTGGTTGCTGGGCATGAGAAAAACAATAATAGTTAATAGCTGTTACCATTTATTGAATTCTTTCTATGCTCCAGAACTTATTCTAGTCCTTTCTATATGTTCTCTCATTTATGCCCCACAGCGACTCTGCAAGGTGGATTTATGAAGCACATTTCACAGATGGGAAATGGGCTGGGAGAAATGACTTGCCCAATGTCATACATCCAGAAAGGGGTGAGGCTGTCTGACACTAAAGTCTGAGTGCGTCATTTCTGGTAGGGAGCTTTGAATGGTGACTTCCTCTGTCTCTGAGGGAATATGACCTCAGACTTTGAAGGATGGACAATAAGTCTTGGGGCTGGCCACCTTGGGGTCAACCAGGGCAGCCCTCAGCTGTGGCCCTCACCTCCCAGGGTCAGGGCAGGGCACTTGACCATTCATGATCTCTCTGATGCCTCATGGCATCCTTGGGAAGTAGGTATTAGAATTTGGATTTCCCAGCTGGGGAAACTGAGGCTTGTGATGGGAAGCATCAGATACAAGAAAGGGAAGAGTTGGGACCAGAACTTCAGCCTTGGCACTGGCTGCCTCCCCTGCCCCGCCCAGGGGTGGTGAGGCTGCTGTGTGGGTGCAGGGGTGACTCAGACAGGGTGCGTGGGTGGGCAGGTGCCACAGCTGTGGCTGGTGGGCGTGGCCTGCTTGGTACCAAGGACAGGTGGCCCAGCCAGTTCTGCCTCCGACGCCTCATTCCAGCCATCCGTCTCTACAATGAGAGCCACCCGCCGCCTTAGCCACAGTCCCATGGGGGGGCCTTGGGCCTAGGACATGCTGTGGTCTTAGAGCAAGGGCAGCCACTGCCTGCTGGACCTCACCAGGTGAGTCCTTACTGCACAAGGCAGCGGGGGCCCCTCAAGGCCGTGGGGGATCCCAGAGCAAGGACCTGTGGGCCGTCCTCTAGGCCATGTTTGGACCTTTGCTGACAGGCCTCTGGGGAGGTCTGGGAGGGCACTTGGAGCTCCAGCAAGGGAAACAAAGCTAGACATGAGCTCTGGGCCACAGGGAGTGTGCCGGAGCACAGGTTCTGATGGACCCAGGAACCGTCCCTTGAGGTTTGGGGATCTTGGAGAGGGCAAATGCTCACAGCTGCTGAGGGGAAGAGGAGAGACTGGTGTCTCCCCAGCTGGCCCTGGGGATGTGGCTGTGCTGGGCAGGAGTGTGACCGCAGTTTACGATGAGACGAGGTGGCCTCTCAGCTTGAGAAGGACAGGGCTCCACTCTCACAGGTTCTGCGCCAGCATCCAGTGGGGCTCCCTGTGGCCCCCGGGCCTGGTCCATCTCCCAGGAAAGGCCCTTCCGGTCAGCGTCAGGGCTTGGGAGGTACTTCCCAGGTGAGGAAACCCAATCCCAGAGGGAGGGAGGGCCCAGGCAGTGAGAGGGCCCAGGAGGTGAGGACACGGGGTTTATGGGGTGACTCAGGGAGCTGATCATAGCTGCTGCAGCCCCAGACCAGAGTTTTCCTGACCTTCTCCTGCCCCACCTGCCCAGGACTGTCCTACATTCATGGGTCTGGGGTAGGGAAGAAGCTGTAACCAGCTCTCATGGGTAGAGCTAGCTGTAGAGTCCTTGGGGACCATCTGGCCCATTTCTCAGGAGGGAAAACTGAGGTCCAAGGAAAGCTAAGAGGCATGCCCTCCATGCCTATCCAGCATGTTGGCTCAGCCCCATCTGTCCACAGGTCATCTGGGGCTGGGGAGGGTGATAAAGGCCACCCGCCCTCCTCCTGTGGTGGTGGCTATGGGCAGGGCCCTGTGTGCTGATGATTCTCACTTGAAATGCTCCACCTGTCTGGCCTCAAGGCTCCAGCCTCAAGGGGTCTGTGCACCAGGACCAGTCCCCCCACCCCATGACTCCTCTTCTCTTTCCCCAGGGCTGCTCACTTCTGGGGAGGGGGCCTGTCCCATGTCCAAACCTCATTCCAGTCTGATGACAACTTGTTCCGGCCACTTCCTCCAGGAAGCTTTCCTATTTGGGCCAAGATCACCAGTGACCCCAGATGCATCCTACCCAGCTGGGCTATTTGTACAGAAATCTGTCCCCCGTCCCCACCCCCATGACCCTGAGGGGCTCCCTGAGGGATGCTGAAGCTGAGAATACCCCCATTAACTGGAGTCGCCTCCCGTCCTGCCCCTGTCCGTCTCATCCCATGTAGGCCGCCGACTCTCCCCCATCCCAGTGGCCTGCAGAGCAGCCTCTCCCCGGCCCTGCTCTCCTCCAGCTCCAATTAAGTCTGCTTTCTCTGCTGTGGCAGTCTCCTCTGTCACCCAGCGCCCTCCCACACCCCCGTTGCCCTCGTGATCGGCTACAACTGCAAATTGGTGTCTCAGGCCCTCACAACATGGCCCAAACTACTACTAAGCCTCTCACTACTGTGGTCCCCTCGAACTCCCTGGGCTTTCCAGGCAAACCAACTCCTGCCACTGAGCTTTCTGGTCCCCTGGTCTTTGCTCAGCATGTCCCTCTGGACTGCCCTTCCTCTACACAGAAACCTCGAAGGGCCCCTTCGCAGCATCTGCCTCTGAGCCCAGCATGGGGGCCAATCTGTACTGAGCATCAGTAAAGCAGGTCTGAGGGGCTGCTTCCTGTGCCCTGGGGAGTGGGCTCTACTGCTCCCACCAGCTGAGCAGGGAGTCCGATGGAGAGTCTGTCACAAGGCTGGTTGCACTCAGCTTTGGGTGGGTGAGACAGAGACGATCAGTGTGTTAGCTGCAGAGACCAACAGGGTTCTGAGAAATCCAAAATACCAGAGGGGTCTGAGGCTGTGTTACTAGGAACATAGCATCTAGAGCAAAGGAGGTGACAGTCCCGCTTGGTTGATGAGACTTCTGAACACAAAATCTGAGAGGGATATTGAAAAAGCTGAGCTAATTCTCAGGAGTCCACCTGGGGATTGGTGGGGCTGGAGATGATCTCTTAAAAAAGACCAAGGGCCTGGTGGTCTCTGCCTGAGAGCCCTGCTGGGCTGGCCAAGGACCCAAAGGCACAGAGGTGCTGAAGCAGGGAGCAAGAGAAACTTCAAGGAGAATCATCCTGTCCCTGAGAAGGGTTGGTGGTCTGGGAAGGTAAAGAGTGAGCTCCCTGTCCTAGGGGGTGTGAGAAGGGGACACATGGGGGTCTGAAGGCCCCTTCAACCCAAGCATCTGTGCTGTGATCGTGTCCTAGCCATGAATGCCCACACCAAGGAGATGGTGCCCCTCATGGGCAGAAGAGGGGCCATCCCTGGGGGGAACCCTGCTGTCCTGCCCGAGAAGAGGCCGGCTGAGATCACCCCCACCAAGAAGAGGTAGGACTGGCAGGCATGGGCCTGGGTGCTGTGCAGGGAGCACGCAGTGGGGCTCCTGGCACCTGCCCTCTGGGGCCCCTTGTCGGGGGTGGATCCCACTCTCAGTCTCCTCCGGGATGGCCTGGTGCCCAACTAGGTTTAACTGGGGGGATGATGGGGGAACAGTGCTGCACACTTGGGGGGCTGAGCTGGGGAGCTCTGGACCACTGGAATAGGTAGGGGGCCTCCCTGAAGGGGTCAGGGGACACTGATGAAGCAACATTTAGGAAGGCTGGAGCCATCCTTGAGACAAGGAGCAAAAAGGTGGGTGGAAATTCCAGGTAGCCTGGACACGTGGTTGAGGACATTTTTCACACAGACCTGTGGCTCTCACGTCCACTGTGTGCTGAGTCTCAGATTATTCAAGCTCTTGAACCCCGCCTGTGCAGTGGGGGCACCAGCAGTGGCACCAGCTTCCAGGATGATGGTCGGCTGGGATCGCACCAGCCGGGGCTCAGCACAAAGCCTGGCAGCGGTCAGTGCCTGGTGTGTGCCAGCAGTGAGGGTGTTTTTGTTCCCCTGAGTGTCATCTTTATCATGGTCACTGTCACTCCACAGGACCCCTGGGAGCTGGCCAGGGACGACTTCCCAGCTGGGAACACGAGGAGGTGGGAGCAGGGGAAGTTCTCCTCCAAGGTCAAACCTAGGCCCCCGTGCCACCTCTGCTGCAGTTCCTCTGCCCCTTCAGCCGACTCGGTGCCCCTCAAACCCGAGTGCCCCTTCTCCCTCTACACTGTGCTTCCACTGGACCCAGGTGGGCCCCAGATTTAGGTTGGCCCATTTTTCCTGCCTCCTTTGACTATCCCAGGTCCCCCCTTGGACCAGAGGTGGGCTTGATGCTTTCCCTTCTGTATGTTGGTTTGAGCAATGATCACTGAGGTCTTCTGTGCACCGGGGGTCAGGATGGGGAGACTGGGCACAGAAAGAAAGAATGCCCACCTCTGCTCATAGTCGGGTGACAAGGGTCCCAAGAAGAATATGGGAAATGCCTTAGAAAGGGTGAGCCAGGAGGACTGGGCCTGAGGAGGGGCAGGTCATTCTGGTCCCGTGGGTAGTCTTGGGGCTCTTCCTGGAGGAGGTGGTGTCAGAGTGGAACATGGTAGGTGGAGAGGAAGGCAAAGGGCATCCTGAGCAAAGTCTCAGGCAGGGACCAGTGAGGGACTGTGTAGCTGAAGTGCTGGGTGGGCAGAGGAATATTTGGGGACATGAGTCCCACTGGGCCTGGGTCTTGGATATTAGCTAAGGAATTTGGACAAACCTGAGGGCAGTGGGGAGCCATAGAGGGATTTTGTGTGAGACGGAGGGCATGGCAAGGTTTGTATTTTGGAAAGCCTATTCTGGGTGATGTGTGTGGATGATGGATTGGAGGGAGGCTGGGGGCAGGGAGATGGCAGGAAGGCTCTTGGAAAGAAAGCCTAGATGACAGGTGGTGAGGTCTGAGCCTGGGTGGTCATGGATGCAGAAGAGGGGTTGGACCAGAGAGGTGTTAACATCATGCTGTCTGCAGGATCAGCTGTGGGCGGGGAGGAAGAGGGAGGACCAGGAGACATTGCCTTTGTCTGGTGGGGAAACCTGGAGGGATGACAGGGCCATCTCTGACATGGAGACATCAGTGGAGAAGGTGCAAAGTTAGGAGGAACAAGCCAATTTCAGGTGTGAAATGTTGGCTGAGAGGAGCCGGAAGGACATCTAGGTGGAGGTTCCTTCCTGGAGTGCAGGAGGTAGATGCCCGTGGAGATCAGACTGGTACCGCTGGGACCATGGGGCTGTGTGGGCTTGCTTGTTTGGATAAGAGCAGAGACATCTCTGGGAAGCCACCAAACACCACCCTCTTGTCTCACTTCCCCCTTTCCCCTCCCTCTCATCATTGGACCTCAGGGAGAGACTGGGGACAGTGTTCCAGGACAGTCCCAGGTTCTTCCCACAGCTGAGCTTCCTTTCTGAGTTCGTCACTGTTCAAGGCCTTCCACAGCCGAGGCCCGGGGTATAAGGTGTGACCTTTGTCTCATAAAGTGGTGGCCTCTTCTCCTCCCCAAGGGCGCATTGAGGGCCCTCATGCGCTTACTTCCCCCCATACCCTGAAGGTTTGGGCAGCTCCCTCAGAACTGAGTATAGGACTCAGGCCTAGAGAGTAACAAAGAAAAGAAAAGAAAAAATTACATGTAAATAAAGAAGGCAGTTCTGATCGCTAAGGAAACCTTACTAAGGGTGGATTGAAAGCATCAGGAAGTCTAGGTGGGGAGAGACTTTTGGACCTAGAGCTTTTCCTGAACCACCATGTCACCTCATGTGCATAGCTGCCATGGTGGCCTCCTCACTGGGCTCTGGGCAAGGCACTGGGCCAGTGGGGCTGGCCACTCTGGTGGTGAAGGCGTGGAGGCTGGCCTTGGGGAGCTCGGAGCACCCACACATTTCTTGCTCTGAAGCTGGTCACACAGAGCCCTTCTCAGCCCTGGGATTCTTTGTCTTCAAAGGGACAGAAATGCAGGAGAAATGGTGTGGAGCCCTCTGTGCACTTGAGTTAACAACACCCTTTGTTGGTGGTGCCCTTTGGTCTGAATCAAAGATAGAAATAAACAAAAAAATAGCATCTGCTGCGGGTCAGGAGCCAGGATGTCACATGGCCGAGACCTTGCCCTCTGCTTGTGCTGGCCGTGAGATGTGAGATGTGGCGTGTGCAATAGCAAATAGGGCAGGTGTGGCATGGGCCCTCGCGCTCTGGGATCTCCCCGCCCAGGAACTGGGTCCTTGCCCATGGTCAGGAATATTTCCAGCCTGGTTCTCACCACCCTCCTTCCCAGCCACCAAAGACTTCTTTCCTCAGACATAGCTCCCCACCCCGCTCCCGTCTGCCGCAGGGACCTCGTCGTGCTGTTCTCTCTGCTTCCAGGGATTTTACCAAACCACAGGGCTGAGTCAAGACACAGACCAAGTCCCAGCCCAACAGAGCACAGAGCCTTCCCTGGTCCCTGTCCTCCAGTGGAAGAACCTTCTCTTCCCCTGAGCTTCCACAGCCCAGCTCCTCCTTGAAGAGGTCACAGTGGTTACTGGGGTTATGGCTTAGCTCTGGCTGAGATCTCTGAGGACAGGGTCATCTCCTCCCACCCTGTGCCCCAAGTTTCCTATAGAGAACATAGTAGTTGAGAGTAAGCAGGTGAGTCAGTGAAGAAACAGGCAAGACAAGGAGAGGAGGGGTGGGTGAACTGATGAGTAAGCCCTCCTGGTGGCTCGGCTCCGTCCCTCAGCACAAGTGAGGACACTTCACCGTGAGATGAGCAAATGCTTCTTCCTCTCCCCCAGGCTCTCTGTCTCCACGCCTGGAGTGGAGAGATGCTCTCATGATCTGGTTTCCTGGGCCATCCTTGGGTTCTGGGAGGAAGTCTTGAGAAGGAGGGGAAGTGGAGGAGAAAAAAGGACCCTTTCCCCAGCTTCTTGTGCAGACTGAGGTGAGGCGAAGGCACTGGGAAACAGAGAGCCCACCTGGGAGCGGGATGTGACCTCCCAACAGTATTTACAGTTCACGGTTGTGTTGGCCTCCTGCTTATTGGTCCAGTCCACCGATCCCTCCATCTGTCCACCTATCCACCCACCCACCTACTCATTCCTCATCCATCCAGCCCTCCACGTGCCCATCCATCCTTCCATGCATCCATCCATGCCTCCATTCATCCACGTTTCCTTCCTTCCTCCTTCCATCCATCGTCTATCCATATTTTTCAATCATCTACTCCTCTTTCATTTATCTGACCACCTGTTTTTCCTTCCTTTCATTTATCGTTCACTCATTCTCTGTCTGTCTTCCACTCGTCTATTCAGTTAGGGCTTCTGAGCGTCAGGACCAGTGTTGGGTTCTGGAGAATAAAAGCAATGCAGCTGTAGTTCATGCCACGGAGCAGCTGCTAGCTGAAGAACAGCATGTTGTCTAGAGCAAGTACAGCACTGGCCTCCCTGCGCGGTGCCCTGGTCTGACCCTTGAGGCCAGTTCTGACCAACCCTCCAGAGCAACAGTCCCGCAAAGGGAGGCATTTTTGCCCACTTGGGTACCATTGTATCCCCAGCTCCTGGAACAGTGCCTGGCACATTGTATATGCTCAATACAAGTTTTGTTGACTAAATGCACTACTGAGGAGCTCAGAAGGGGAGGGACAACTTTGTGTGTGTACGGGGTCAGTTCTGGGGCACTGCAGGGGTGCAGGGAATGGTTACCAGACTGGGTGACCTCTGATGCCCACTTCAGTGGACAGTCCATAGGAGGACAACCCCAGGACTGCCCTGGCTGCAGAGTCCAGGCCTTTGGGATCATCTGGCTCAACATTCTCCATCTAGGGTGAGGTCACTTGGCCTAGAGATGGCAAGTGACCACTTGAGGTCACACAGGAGACAGAGGCAAGGCAGAACCAGACTAGAGCCCAGGCCTCTGGGGTTTACTCTTCACTTGGTCTTCTCTTTGGGAACAAGGATTTGATTTTAGGTCAGGTCAGCAGGTTCTTCTTGATGGGCAGGGGACAGGAAGGTGAGGGTCAGTGTGTCAGCCACCACTGTCCCCCATCCCATTTGTGCATCATTTCTGGAGTGGCTCTGAGTCTTCTGTGCTTGTCTGTGCCTAGAAGAGAGGAGAGGAACCCCCCAGGCAACGGCTGGCTCTCTCTCCTTCCTGCCCTGTCCTGGGAAGTGGCTGTGTTGGGCAACCTCCCTCTGCAGCTAATCCTTGGAGCTGGTTTGTCTGGAAGTAGATCTGAAGCAGCATGGCTAGTGGTGTGAACTATGAGCCTGGGCATCAGGAGTCAGGTTCTCGCACCAACTTGGCTTCTATCCTGGGGGATGAGCTTGGGTGGGCTGCTTCTCTGTCTGGGCCTTGGTTTCTTTATCTGCAGAGTGGGGCCACAATCCCTTCCCTGCTGCCCTCCCTTCCAAACTTGATATGGCTTGGCCCATACTTTGGGAATTCCTCTGTGGTCTGGGGAGGAAGGGTGGATGCATCTGAGTCCTTCTGGGCCTGGGGAGGAGGCAGGCGGTGAAAGTGTGTAGGAGAGAGGCCTGCTGGTCGGGGCCACTGTCCAGGGCCAGGCCCCAGAGCCAGCATTCGTGCTATAGCAGCTGCAGGGTGGGGCTGTGGCCACCACGGACCCTCAGCCTGCTCCTCAGCATCCTGGTGGTCATGAGGAGGCTTGCCTCTGAGTGGGATTGTGGTTCTGAGAGCACAAGCATCTGCACGTGCGGGCGTGCCTGGTGGCAGAACCGCGTCTTGGCGTGTGTCTTGCCTCTCATGGGGTGTACTCTCTCCCTTTCCCTGCAGACTGGACGGGGCCACAGGCCCTGGGCCCATGTCCTCCTTCTCCCAGCGCCAGGGGAAAGCTGGCCCTTCATGCACCCCCTGCTGCTCCTCACCTCCACTGTTTGCAGGGCTTTCCTCCCTGACAAGGGATCCTCAGCCTTGCCCCTGACCCCTGAGGTCCTCCCTGCTCCTGATCGGCTGTTCTCAGCCTATTTTCTGAGTGTTGGTTGGGAACTGCATCCGAGTAGCCAGCCAGCTTACGCTGGCCTCTCCCTTTCCCTCAAGAGCCAGGTATAGATGTCACCCTCCAGGGACCTCCCCCTGAAGGGCCATTGCTTCAGACCTGAGTTCAGAGGGCAGTTGCGGGGCTAATAGGGGATTGTAGCTCCCATCCTCTGTTCCCCATCTCTGGTGAGTCCTTTACACCTGGAGGCAGCTGCAGGCAGGAAAACTGCCCTCAGGTGTCAGGCCACCCCTAGGTTCCTACTGGGTATTTCTAGTGACGAGTCACTGCAGACTCAGCTTTACATCCAGGCTTTGCCACCTCTCTGCTGTGTGACCTCAGGCCTCCACATGCCCGCCAGTGAAGTGTGGATGATAATGACAGTGACTGCCCCTCCCCGCCCCCCAAAGGCGACTGTGAGGGGTGGGGGAGGCCCTGTGAGAGGGAGGCCTAAACAGAGCTGGCCGAGAGCCAGTGCTCTCTGTAGGGGGGCACCCTCAGCAGCAGGGCTGCAGGGCCCACGGGTGCACAGGCCCTGCCCTAGCTCTGACGGCTGTGCTGGGGTGTTCCCACAGTGCACACTTCTTCCTGGAGATAGAAGGGTTCGAGCCCAACCCCACTGTTACCAAGACCTCTCCCCCCATCTTCTCCAAGCCTATGGACTCCAACATCCGGCAGTGGTGAGTGTGGAACAGGGCTCCCAGCCCCTGCCCTGGCCCAGCCCTCTCCTCCAGGGTACCACTGTGCATTTGAAAACCTGTCCCTCTCTCTGCCCTCCCCCTGCCCACCAGCCTCTCTGGCAACGGAGATGACATGGACTCCCCACAGTCTCCTCAGGACGATGTGACAGAGACCCCCTCCAGCCCTAACAGCTCCAGGTGAGCCTTGCCCCTCCCCGCCCACCACTGTGCCCACCAGGTGCCAGATGCACAGGCACTGTGGCCCTGCAGGAAAGACAAAGATGCTTCTAGGCCTGGGGGTTGGGACAAACGCATAGGCCTGAGGCTGTGCAGTGTGTGAATTTTCTTGGGGAAGGGAGTTTTACATTTTACAAACTGTAAAAGTATTACCTATTCATTATAAAACATTCAGACAGTATGTAGCAGAATGAGAACCATAACACAATACCATATATGTGAATTAGAAATATGTGCCTATAGACCATGAAACATCAATATGTATTTTGTAGGCACACAGTGGGGACAGGCAGAGAGAGATTTTAAAAAATTCAAACACCACAGCATGTGAAAGTGGGATTTCCCTTCCCTTCCCTTAATCCCACTACTAACAGGCACAGAGCCTTCCTGGTCATTACTGTGTGTATCCAAATATATGTTTTGATAAACTGTGGTTGCAATTGGATTAGAAGGGGTCCTGCACAGGGCAGCCCGGATTCCGGGGCCTGGGGCACTCACAGAGGGCATTTCAGGCACTGGGACAGGCCCCAGAGCACAGCAGCTAGGGAGAGGGGACCTCATCGGGGCGGGGCTGCATGTGTGGTGAGCTGGAAACCTGTTCTGGCCTCAGTGCAAACCTGGCCAAGGAGGAGCAGAGGCAACAACGGAAGCGGCTGAAGAGGCGCATCTTCGCGGCCGTGTCTGAGGGTTGCGTGGAGGAGCTGCTGCAGGGGCTGGTGGAGCTGCAGGAGCTTTGCAAACGGCGCCGTGGCCTAGACATGCCTGGTCAGTGCCTGCCCTGGGCAGAGGCTGCAGGGTGGCGGCCCGGCTGGGCTCCTGCTCTCAGCCTTCCCCCATCAACCCTGGGGGGCCTCTGTGGGAGGAGCCGGGAATGCTGGGCTAGGGACTTTGAACCTGACTCTGAAGGCAATGGCGAGCCATGGAAGGGCTTAGACAGCAGATGGTCATGGTCTGGTTACTGCATGGAACATGGGGTAAAACTGGAGAAGGCTGCTGTTCAGGCTGAGCTGGGAGTCCAACTGCAGGGCTGGGGGCAGGGGTACAGCTCTTCAGGCCATGGCACTGACTGGACTCAAGGACATGGGGAGAGAAAGAGAGGGAGAGTCCAGGGTGGCACCATTGGTGACCTGGTAGATGGTGGCTCCCAAACTGTAGCAGGTTAGGGGGAGGTGATGAGCTCTAAGTATTCGTGGGCTACTAGGAGGAGGTGGACTGGCGGTTTCAGGCTGTCAGCACTGGGTGGACAGCGGGAAGCCATGCCGTGGGTAACACTGCGCCCTACCAGGGAGAGGGCACAGAAGGCCTCAGATAAGGCTCTCACGGGGCCTCGGAGAAAGAGGAGCCAGCAAAAGAGCTGGAGGAGGAGCGCCTGGAGATGGGGGAAGAAAGTGGGGAGACAAGGGCTCGGGGAGGCCAGCCCAGGGCATGGGGCAGCGTCCTGAGGTCCGGGGCTGCAGCCCTCACACCCTGGCCCCCTCTCCTCTGGGCTGGGAGGGCCAGGCGCAGCCGGGGCCCGTCCTGCAGCTCCATCCTGTGCCCCTGCCTGCAGACTTCCTCATGCACAAGCTGACAGCCTCGGACACAGGGAAGACCTGCCTGATGAAGGCCTTGTTGAACATCACCCCCAACACCAAGGAGATCGTGCGGATCCTGCTCACCTTCGCTGAGGAGAACGACATCCTGGACAGGTTCATCAACGCTGAGTACACTGAGGAGGCCTATGAAGGTACCTGGCCTGCCCGAGCGGCTGTGTAACAGGGATTGCTGAGGCGGGGTGGGAGCCGGGCCACGCGGAGGCACTGCTCTCTGAAAGCCCAAAGCACAAATATGGTGCCTGGCACACGGCAGGCACTCCCCTCTTCCTTCCTTCATTCATTCTGCAAATGATTTTGAGTGCTGATTGCATGCCACGCATTATTTTGGGGTGCAGTGGTGAGCAAGACAGATGAAGGCCACTGCTCTAACGAGGTTATTTTAGATGGGAAATACTGTGAAAATAAAAGGAGGTAATGTGGCCAAAAGTGACTGAGAATGAGCAACTTTAAAGTGGACGGAGAGGTGACCTTTGATCTGAAGTGTGCATGGTGAGAAGGATCCAGAGCGAGGCCAGGGCAAAAGCTGGAGATGGGTATGAGCTTGGTCCATTGGGAGCAATGGAAAGAAGGCAGGGAAGACGTTAGAGAGCTGGGCAGGGCCAACACATGGCAACTATTAGTACCACAATCACATTGTTATTATCAGCTACCCCATTTGGGTCTCATTTCCGTGGCATCTGTCTTAGGTGGACTGCAGAGGGGACAGGGTGACCAAATTTGGGATAGTGTTTCTGCAAACAACTGTCCAGAAATCTGTTGTGAACAATCAGTAAGATAGGTCCTCATTTGAGTTTCTGGAGTCAGTAAACATCTCAGTAAGGTCTTCTGATGTGCGTGGGGCAACACGATGTGCTCAGGAATTACTGGATGCCATTTTGCCGATATGCCAGGGGCACTAAACATCTTGGTTTTTTTGTAGGTGATAGTGTAGCTTGGGCCCTTGAGTTTTCTCATGGGAGAAAGTCATTTTATTATTTTTTAAACTGATTTGAACTTGGCAGACTTTCAAAAGGGTTTTTGTTATATACAGGAAAAAGTCATGGCTTGTGAAAACTAAAGGCTATTGATTGGAAGAGAGGAAACCCAGGGACAAGTGTTACAACTGTGTGCTGAATTGTACATTGAGCTTCCTGGTAGCCAAAGCAAAGAGTGAAACTGGATGAGTTGTACAAGGTTCTCAGCCTATTACTATTGAGTTGACATTAGTCCTACAGCCAGAGAGGTTTAAGCCAATGCCTCAAACTTGCCTGCCTTGATTCTTCGCCCTTTTCTGTACCTTCCTTTCTTCTTGTCAGCATTGCAGGGACTTACAGACATTCATTCTCCTTGAGGGCAGGGATGGAGTCTATCTTGCCTGTAGTAGATTCCATGGTGCCCTTTGGGTCTTACATAAGAGGTCCTTAAATATTTTTGGAATGAGGAAAAAATGAAGATTAGTGTCTCTCTTACAGCTTTGCTCTTCTGGATGCAAATCTTTACCTCTCTCCTTTCTCAGCCTCCCCCTGTTCCTTCTTTCATGAATCTGACTCTTGCTGGTTAGCTTGTTGGGGGCTGTGGGCACTCACTCTCTCTCTGCATGGTGGGAGGAGCCGTTTACTCTGTCTTCCAGAAACCAAACACCCCAATTCTTCCCCCATGGTATCTGCTGATACCTTAGTGTTCTAGGTACTTCCTGCCACCTGGTGTTAAGGGGTGCCAGGACCACCAGAGGAGTGTATTTCCCCACTTTGGGCAGGTTACCCTGCTTTTCTGAGCCTCAGTTCCCCCATCTGACAGAGACTAGTATTTCCTCCCTCTGCTGTCAAGAGGCTCCAAAGACAGCTTTTAAAATATTATTATTTTCAGCATTTTATCAGAGGCCTTTAGAGACTGACTTTTTTTTTTTTTTTGAGAGGGCATCTCTCATATTTATTGATCAAATGGTTGTTAACAACAATAAAATTCTGTATAGGGGACTCACTGCACAATCATTAATCAACCCCAAGCCTAACTCAACAGTCTCCAATCTTCTGAAGCATAACGAACAAGTTCTTACATGGTGAACAAGTTCTTACATAGTGAATAAGTTCTTACATGGTGAACAGTACAAGGGCAGTCATATCACAGAAACTTTCAGTTTTGATCATGCATCATGAACTATAAACAATCAAGTCAGATATGATTATTCATTTGATTTTTTTTTTTTTTTTGAGAGGGCATCTCTCATATTTATTGATCAAATGGTTGTTAACAACAATAAAATTCTGTATAGGGGAGTCAATGCTCAATGCACAATCATTAATCCACCCCAAGCCTAATTCTCATCAGTCTCCAATCTTCTGAAGCATAACGAACAAGTTCTTACATGGTGAACGAATTCTTACATAGTGAATAAATTCTTACATGGTGAACAGTACAAGGGCATTCATCACAGAAACTTTCGGTTTTGATCACGCATTATGAACTATAAACAATCAGGTCAAATATGAATATTCGTTTGATTTTTATACTTGATTTATATGTTGATCCCACATTTCTCCTATTATTATTATTATTTTTATTTTTAATAAAATGCTGAAGTGGTAGGTAGATGCAAGATAAAGGTAGAAAACATAGTTTAGTGCTGTAAGAAGGCAAATGTAGATGATCAGATGATCAGGTGTGTGCCTATGGACTAAGTATTAATCCAGGCTAGACAAGGGCAGCAAGACATCCACGGATGCAGAAGATTTCTCTCAAAGCAGGGGGGGTGAGGTTCTGAGCCTCACCTCTGTTGATCCCCAAATTCTCACCTGATGGCCCCCCTGCGACTGTGCCTGTCTTAGGTTGTTCCTCCCTTGAGGAATCTTACCCGTAGAGACTGACTTTTTAAAAAACAATTTATTCAGTTAAAAAACTTTTATTATTTAAAATTTAACCATATATTTGAGATATTAGGGTAAGCAACCACTATAGATTCATCATCAAGCTTCAACATCACTTTTTTTTTTTTAAAGGGGCTTATACCAAGCTTTATTCTCACTGTGGTAGGTCAAGTGCTAGAATCCCATCTGCCTCCAGGGCAGTCTGCAAGTAGCAAGTCCTTCTCTGTCTCTGCCTCTGCCTCTGGCCTCTGCCTCAGGTGCTGCCTCCACTCCGGGCTCTGCTCTCACCTCCAGCCTCTGCTCTCCTCTGCGCTTAGCACCAGGTAGAGCTCTTTTTACAGCAACACAGGCAGTAATGGCATATCGCCAATGGGAGGGCAAGCTAAGTATTACATCATTGCACATACATAGTGGGTGAGTAGATTAGGATCAGGTGAGGATCCTGGCCATGGAACTTCCATTTTCCCTATAAGAACACTGTCAATTCTAAAGCTAGTGTCAGGAATAAACACATATGACTGAGGCCATGTGTCCTGTGATAGAGTATTTTGTGCCACTGTCTCAGTGGGGAATGAGTTTTCTTAGAATATGATGGAGGCACATACAAAGCCTCATGTGAACACATGGCTATTTTTAATTAGATAATATATGAATAGAGTTTCATATTAAAACATTTGAATATTTTAATTAAGTTAATATAAAACAACCCTTTGCCTCTTTCCCACTCTTCTCTCCAGAGATGATTATATATAGGGTATATAGCCTTTGAGGACTTTCCTAGGCTTTTGACATATGTGTATATATGCACATAGAAATAGTTTTATTTATTCATGAATCTATTTACTTAATATATAACAGTATTGCACTGTCTGTGTTACTCTACAACTTAACCATATGTCTTGACACCTCCTTGTGTCAGAACTTTCTCTGAGTGTGCTTTTTACTTGGTTTTATGAGTCTGCTTGCTTTTTACTTGGTTAGTCTGAGTATGGCTGTACTGTGGCTAACTTCCCCATTCTCCAGCTGGTAGACATCTAAGTAGTTTCCAATTTTTTACTTTGACAACATCACTGTGCACATTCTTGTCTAGGAACCTGTGCACATGCACATGTTCTGGGAAAATATTTCAAATTGGATTTTTCTGGTTTCAAAGGCAGGCACAGTTAAAATTATAATGGCTATTGCCTAATTTGCCTCCAAAATATACTAATTTACTCCCCCCAACCCCATCCCCCCACCCCAAAGTACAAAAGTCCCAACTCCCCTACCCTCCACTAATACTGGAAATTATCCATCTTTTTGGTTTTTGTTTTTTGCCAATCTGGTGCGTGAAAAGTGTTCACTCATTCAGTTCTAATTTTCATTTTATTGATTACCATTGATTCCAAACACCTTTCACTTTCTTTATTGGCTATGTGTATTTTCTTCCCTGTGAGGTGCTTATTAATAACCTTTTCTCAGTTTTTTTTAGGTTGCTTGTCTTTCTATTGATTTGTAGGGGCTTTTAATATATTACAGACTTTTAAAAACATATTGTCTCTCTTATATGTCTCTAGTATTTTCCCCAGCCTATCACTTGTTTTTAACTTTCTTTAAGATGTCTTTTGAAATGCAGAAATCTTTAATTTGTAATTTTTATGTAAGCAAACATGTCAGTTTTTTCTTATGGGTTTTGCTTTTTGGGTCTTGCTTAAGAAGCTCTTCCTTACCAAAAGGTTAGTTATAAATGAATATTCCAGTTTTAAAAAATGCTTAGTTCTTTAGTCCACCAGGACTTTTATTTTTGTATATGGCATGGTGATAGCTCCTTGGAAAATGCTGTATCTAGTGGGAGATTCTGAGAGCCCCCCTCCCACCACCACAGCCCCCAGCCTTCCAGTCTCCTACTTCTGGAAGTTCTGCAGGCTCAGCCAGCAGGGTTTATGTCCCTCTGCCCCCTTCCTGCTACCTCTCCCTTGTTCTGTCTTTCGGTCATCAGGGCCCCTTACCCCAGCCCCCAGGCGAGACCCCATTCCTCCCCCAAACCTAGACCAGCCCAAGGACTTCTCCAAAGGGTCTTTGGGCCTCATGAACTCTTTCTCCACTGGATCAACATTTCCTCACAAATCTGGGCTCATTCTAAGGCATCTTCCAATTTTCTATCTAGAGTGATGTGAAAATACACATAAAAAACCAAAACTCTGGTCTCATCACTTGCTTGCTTGAATGTTTTGCGACTTCCCATGGACCTTAGGATAATTCTAGCCAGTTAACTTGATTTATGAGGCCTGGAGCCGGCCCCATCCAGTCTCCAAACCTTCTGCTGTCCCAGCACAGAGGCCACTTCTAGGAAGCCCACTGACCCCATCAGGCTGCTTTAAGAGCCCCTGCTCTGGGTACCACAGCCCTTACACCTCCGGGCACCATTGCACTTAGTTCTCAGTGAGGCTGTGGGCCTCTTGAGGAAAAGAATCCAAACTGCATCTGGTGTACCCTTGTCCCCAGCGCTTGGCACCAGAGCGCAGAGCAGGCGCCCAGTAAATGCTCCTTGTTTCCGTGTAAGAAGGAAAGAAGCAACCAATAACGCAGGGCGACACAGCCCAGACAGGCAGCTGTTCCTTCGCCAGGGCTCCGCGGAGGGAGTGTAGGCCAGAGGGCGTGTCACCCAGGGTTCCGGACACTCAGCGCTCCCCGCCCATCCCCGCCTGTCCGCAGGGCAGACGGCGCTGAACATCGCCATCGAGCGGCGGCAGGGCGACATCACTGCGGTGCTCATCGCGGCCGGCGCCGACGTCAACGCCCACGCCAAGGGGTTCTTCTTCAACCCCAAGTACCAGCACGAAGGCTTCTACTTCGGTGGGTGCCGCCCCGCCGGCCGGGACCGGGAGGAGGGGGGACGGAGGGGAGAGAGGGAGGGATGGGGCCCGGTCCCCAGAGGCGCGGGCGGGCCGCGGGGGAGACCCCACTGAGAGTCCCTGCCCGCTCAGCACCTGGACAGAGTCGGGACGAGGGAGGCGGCAGGGGCTGTTGCCTCTGAACTGGACCGCCAACGAGGGAGGGGCTGTGCAGGTGAGGTGATGAGAGAACCTCGCTTGGGGAGTGTCACCTGGGGTCCTAGAGGGCAACAGGCCTCCACCTGGGCAGCCCTCTGCCGGAAGGAGACCTGGGAGGGGTGGGCCTATCTTACCGGCGGGGAGCCAGCAGCTTCTGGGAGGACAGGGACTTTCCCCAGTGTAGTAAGGAGCTGGTGTAGGTGTCCTGGTTGCCTGCCCTGGCCTCTGTTCCCTGTGCCTAGTGCCTTTCTGGACTACAAGTGGGGAGTCAAAAGTAAGAGAATGAAAATTCCCTTTCGTGTTAGGGAGTCCCAAAGTAACTGGGGTTAGGTCACTACGGGTGAAAAAAAAACTAATGTATAATTTAGATACAGCGAAATTCACCATTTTAAGGTACTTTTATTGATCTCCACCAGTGGATGGTCGTGCCACCACCACGGTGACTCAGGACAGTTCCAAAACACCAATAACTTTCCCTATACAACTTAGTAGTCAGTCTTACTCCAGCCTCTGACCTGTTTTCTCTCCTGGGTGATTTCTTAATCAGCAGGACTAGATGGGTCTGGGTGGCCTTGAGGACACGATCGTGTCCAGTCCACTGCCTAGCATCAGACCTGGTTAGAGCCTGTGTTGGGAAACATTTGTCGGAGGAAGAGAGGGAATAGGAGGGAGATTAGAGGGGAAGCAGCAGGAGACCTGCTGTCCAGTCCTGGTTCCATCCCCTGTGTGACCTTGCGTGAGTCACCTGACATCTCCTAACAAACATTTATTGATCACATAATATATACCCCAGACACCATACTAGGTGTTTGAAATATATCAGTGAACAAAACAAAAATCCCTGCCTGCTAGATGAGAGAGAGTCCATCCAGAATATACATAATAAATAAGGCTGTGTAAAATGTTAGGAATGATAAATACTATTGAAAAAACAGAAAATAAAGCAGAGGAAGGGGAATCACAAGTTCTGGCACAGGAAGGAGGTGGATTTCAGTTTTAAACTGGGCAGTTAAGGTGACTCACTGAAAAGGTGACATTTGAGACAGACTTAAAGGAGGTGAGGGAGTGAGCAATGCGGATATCTGAGGAACAGCACTCCATGCGGAGGGAAAAACCTGTGCAAAGGCCCTGAGGTAGGAAACTGTCTGGTGTATTTGAGGAGCAGAAAGGCCATTGTGGCTGGAGGGGAGTGAGTGAGGCAGACAGGAGCAGATGATGTCAAAAGATATAGAGCCTGTAGGCTGTCATTGTAACTTGAGCTTTTATTTTGGGTGAGGTGAGTCTAATGTGTTAACAAGATCAGTCTGGTTGTTGTGCTGAGGATAAATGTTGGGAGAGCCAGGACGTCAGCCAGAGATCAGTTAGGCTATTGAAACGATCTAGCGATCTAGCGCGCATCTCTGACCCCTGCTACCACTGAACAAAGGGGAAATGGGGAGAGGGACAGGGAACCTCAGAGGTGAATACTACTGAGATGCTCAGGATATGGGCTTCACAATCCTTGGGCTCGGGAACACTGCTGTGGTCGAGGAGAGAACTGAGCCCCAGTGCTCCCCCTCCCCAGGTGAGACACCCCTGGCACTGGCAGCGTGCACCAACCAGCCTGAGATCGTGCAGCTGCTGATGGAGAATGAGCAGACGAACATCACCTCACAGGACTCACGGGGAAACAACATCCTGCATGCGCTGGTGACCGTGGCCGAGGACTTCAAGACGCAGAATGACTTTGTTAAGCGCATGTATGACATGATCCTGCGGAGGAGTGGCAACTGGGAGCTGGAGACTATGCGCAACAACGACGGGCTCACGCCGCTGCAGCTGGCTGCCAAGATGGGCAAAGCCGAGGTGAGGCCCGGGGGCAGGCCTGGGTGGGTAGGCTCTCTGCAGCCCTGGGGGTGCTTCTGGGGACCCCACACATCACAACTTGGCCCATGGAAGGTCTCAGTCTTAGATGTAGAAGTGCATTTATGGCCTGAGATGGGTTTGTTCCTGGGACCACACAGGGCCTTCAAGAGGCAGAATGTGAGCCACCCTCTGGACTTCGGTCCCTAATTGTATTTCTGTCTCCTGTCCTGGGGCCACCTTGCTGGGGCCAGAGTAGGGAAGCTTTAAGGCTGTGGTGACACAGTGTCTCTCGTGCTTTGTGGCTGAGGATTCCTGTGAGGAGGAATTACCTCCTGAGGGTCATGAGGATTACCCAAGCAGAGGCTGAGTGTCTGACCCTTGGGGCCTTCAGCCTCTGAGGAGGGTAGGAGTCCCAGAATGGCTGCTCTGGATTCAGAGCAAGTGGCCTGCTGTTTCCTGACTCTGCAGAGACCCCTGTCTGTCTACCAGGTTGAAACTCTGAGCCACATACCCAGCAGAGAGTTTGGCTGTTTGTGGCCCTTTGTGCTGTATCACGGGGCTGGGGAACATGAGGCTTCAACCCGAGCCATGGTGGGTGCTCAGATGTGGGGCAGGCTCACATCTCCATTGGTGACTGGAGTCATGGCTTGGTCTGAGGTCAAGACCAAGACTCCGGTTGGGGCTGGGGTCACAGCTCAGCAAAGCCTGGTCCTCAGCCTCCATGTGTCCCAGCCCTTGGAGGGGACTGTGGGTCCTGGGAGGCTCCAGGAGGATCTCTGTGGACAACGACAGCTGTGCCAGCCTCTGGGAAGCTGATGGGGAGGCTGGTGCCCTAAGGGCCTTGGGTTCTGTCCCGGGGTCAGGGCTGGGGCCACAAGGGACCTTTTCATTCTCTTGTTAGGGGAGGAGGGGATGGAGAACAGCTTCGTCAGAGGAGGGATTGTGTGCCTGTGTCCCATCTCCTGACCACCCCAGGGACACGACTTGCTGGGGCTTTGAGGAGAGTCAGATTGCAGCTGCACAGCAAGCTTCCTCCAGGGGCCTCTTCCTTGAGCGCTGCTGTGGAGTGTGCTCCGTCCGGGGAGCACCCAGGGATGGAGCTGCCAGCTCAGAGCATGGCCCTGTGAGCCCCTGGATCTCTAGAGGGGCATGTGTCCCCTGGAGCCAGACAGGGGGAGGTAACAACACCCTTCCTGGCTCCTTCTCTCCTTCATTAAGTGTTCTCTGGAAAACCTTTCTGGGCAGTGCCTGAGTCAGCCACCGTGCCGGGCATGGAGGTGCAGCTATGCCTAAGATACAGACTCTATCCTTGGGGCCCTTGGAGGCTGGGGCCCAGGATACGGAGACCTTCCCTGCCCCTGGGAGCTCACTGCCGGGGCTGTGGAGATATCAGAAGAGGTGGGATCTCCACTGGGCTGTGTGAGATCAGGGCTCTGACACTGTCCTCCCTGACAGGACGCTGCTCCTGGGCCTTGGGTTGGTGCCCCAGGAAGCCCTGCCCCTGTCTTAGGGTGACTCAGGGCTCAGATTTGGGGAAGGAGTGAGTGGAGAGCAATGCTTTTCCATCTTGGCTGCACTTTGGAACTGTCCGGGAAACTTTGTAAATGCAGATGCCTAGATCCCACCTCCAGAGATTTGGATTCAATTAGTTGGTGTGATTTTTAATGTTCCCCAGTGACCCTACCATGCAGCAGAGTTTGGGGGTTGCTGACCTGGAGAGTGAGTCCCACAGGCCTCTCTATAGGGCTGGTGTCTTGTTTCACCCACTGTCTGCCCAGAGCAGACAGCCTCAACTGACAGGGCCTTGACTGAGGGTGCGATGGGAAGCTGGAAGAACTTCTAGCGTAATCTCAAATCCAGGCCAAACAGGAATGATTTCTCAAAATTGTCAGTTCATAGATTCTTTATGGAATGGGCTCCGCAGCTGGTGCAAGGACTTGTGAGTGACTGGGCAGCTTTCCTCATTGTGCTAAGGGCCTTCCTCTCTTTTCTTTCTGGTTTCACAATCCCCAGAGAGATGGCAGAACACCCATCTCATGCCATCCCACAGATAAAGCTGGGCCCCGGTGCGGGGTGTGCCTCGATCCATCCTTGGTGGGAGTACCCTCCCGGTCCTTGAACCCCAAGCCCTGCTCCCTCAGTGACAGGTGTTACTTTTCCTGATCCCAGATCTTGAAGTACATCCTCAGTCGGGAGATTAAGGAGAAGCCACTCCGGAGCCTGTCCCGGAAGTTCACTGACTGGGCATATGGGCCTGTGTCATCCTCACTCTACGACCTCACCAATGTGGACACCACAACAGACAACTCGGTGCTGGAGATCATTGTCTACAACACCAACCTCGATGTGGGTCTCCCAGGCGGGCTAGGGAAGGGCAGTGACTGGGCCAGAGCCTTAGGCCAGGCGCCCAGGGGGTGCTGGGGAGACCTCATGCCACCCACTGGACTTGTCTGCAGTCCCCCACTCCTTTGCCTCAGTGGACAGAGTTGGTGCAGAAAGGGCAGGCTTAGGGCAGGAACTGGGTTTTACCTGTTCCCAGCTGAACTTGGACTGTAAATCCTCATAATGGGAGTCTCCTGGCCCCAGAGTCCTGGGCAGGGTGAGGGTGGGGATGGTTGGCATTGATCTTCTCCATCTTGTTTCTCCCTCACTCCCTACTGGTTCCATAAGGTCAGGCTTAGAATCCCTTCTTCCCCAAACCTGGCCCCAAATAAGGGCCAGGGAGACCACAGTGAGAGCAGTCAGGGAGGCCTTCCTGGAGGAGACAACAGGGGCAGGTCAGTGAAGCTGGTAGGGAAGAGAGTGGATCACCAAGGAGAGATTTTTGGTTCTTGTGTGGAAAGTGAGGCAACAGATTCGCTCTTCATCCTTCACATTTTACCAAGTGTCATGCTTCCCCAAGCTTGCCTTTTCTGGGGCTCCCTAGACCCTCATGGCAGCCTGCTTAGTAGGGCATTTTGACTCATAATTGGTTTTATAATGAGGAGAATGAGGCCCAGAGAGGGTCAGAGGTTTTCCTAAGGTCACACAGTGAAGTCCAGTCATCCGTGCCCCCTTCTAGCCCTTGCTCCCCACTGAGCATGAGACCCTCCTGCTGGAAGCCCAGCCCCTGTAGTGTCGGCTGCTGCCTGGGTGCACTGGGATGGAGCCTTGGGAGCCAGAAATTACCCTCCCAGCCTTTTCAGCCAAACCAGCTCACTGGACCAGTGACTGACCCTGCCCCCACCTCCGTGCTGACGGGTGCTATTCTACCCCCAGAACCGGCACGAGATGCTGACTCTTGAGCCCCTGCACACGCTGCTGCATATGAAGTGGAAGAAGTTTGCCAAGTACATGTTTTTCCTGTCCTTCTGCTTTTATTTCTTCTACAATATCACCTTGACTGTCATCTCTTACTACCGCCCACGGGAGGAAGAGGTATGGGGGCCCCTTGAGGTGGGTTTGCGGTGGTCAGAGCTGCAGGAGGTTGGAGCAGTCCCATGTGCAAATGGAAAACCAGGGGCTCCCCAGCTGTCGTCCTTCACGGTGTCCAGGGAACTGAGTATGTCTCCAGTGTTTAGCTAAGACCCCTGTGCTCAGCCCCAGGCTGACCTGTGTTAGGGGGAGAGCTGGAGGATTAGGAGACCCAGGCCCTGCCCAGGCTCTGTCTAAATCTAGAGCTGGTTGGGTGTTTCTGCCGTGAAGACCACAGGAAATGGGAAGAGGAGGAGGTCACTTGGACAAGTTTTCCCACCACTCTGGACCTCAATTTCCCATCCATTACACAGGCGCAGAGTTTCAGCTTTACTTAGTTGTCATGAAGCCCTGTGAGTATCTAGATGCAGACAGGTTCAGGTGTAGACAAACGCCACCAGGTGTGAGGGTTGTGGCCATGGGTTGGGGCACATTCCTCGCTGTGGAGTTCCGGGTTCCCACTGTGGGTGGGGAGGGCAGGGGCGGGGCTGCTGTTCCTTTGGTTGCCCAGTGCAGATTTCGGCTTCTCAGCCTGATCTCAGAATACCAGGCTTCGTGCTGGCCTCTGGGACAGCTTCAGGGTTCAGCATGTGTGCGTGCGTGGTCCCTTCAGGGCTGGCCCCACTCCTGCCCTCCTCGCTCCCATCCTCTACCCATTTCCCTTCTTTCCAGGCTCTCCCACACCCCTTGGCCCTGACACACAAGATGGGGTGGCTGCAGCTCTTAGGAAGGATGTTTGTGCTCATCTGGGCCATGTGCATTTCTGTGAAAGAGGTGAGTGGACCACTAATCCTTCCAGACTGGCCTGCAAGGCAGGCAGGTGACAGCAGGCTGGGCTTTAATCAGCCGTGTTCTGCCATTACAACAGGGAAGCTTTGGGAAGCCATTTCATTTGTATGCTTTAGATTTCTTTGTTACAGAATGGGAATAAAGAAGAAATAAGAATAAGAAAAGAATAAGAAAAAAGCAGGCCTATCTTATCTACTTAATCTATCCATCTTCCATCTGTCTGTCCATCTATCAGCCACTTATCTATTCTTCCATCTTTTTCTCCCCTCTATCCATTCAATCACTTGCCTTCTATCATCAGCCAGCCACTCATTCACTTATTAAATACCCACTCATCCTTACCTGCTGTCCTTCCACCCTTCACCCACCTTCCTTCTTTCCATCTGTTTATCAGTTGATTGCTCCATCCATCCATCCATCCATCCATCCATCCATCCATCATCCATCATCCATCCATCCATCCGTCCATCCATCCATCCATCATCCATCCATCCATCCATCATATCCATCCAACCAATGAATCAACTGGTATATTCTGAACACCTTCTATATGTAGGACCCTAGGGGAGGTGACAGGGAGGAAGGGAGTTTGTCATGTTTGAGCTCACAGTCTGGTAGGGAATTTCAGATGAACATAAACACCTAGACTTTAAGAGACCATGAACAGGGCCCGATGTTGGGTTCAGACCAGCGCTCAGGGGGAGTGGGATGGCTTTTATCTGGGGGCAGGGGAAGGAGGGAAGTCTTGAAGGCAGAGATGCACTTACTCTGGGAGGGTAGGATTGGGCATAAGGACACTGGGGAGAAGGACATTACAGGGCAGACATAGGGAACAGCATGAACAAAGGCTCAGAGGCTGGAGACTAGGCTGTCTGGGGAATGGCAGAGAGCAGGTGGCTATGCTGCCTGGCAGGTTCTGGGGAGAGGATGGGGGTGAGAGGGAGAGCAATGAGAGAATTTGGGGAGCATCCCCTCTTACCCTGGGGCTACCTCTTCCTGCGAGGCTCAGATCCCTTCCGTAACCCTCGCCTAGACTCTGACTGCACCATCACGCTGAGTTTCACTGACACAGTTCTGGGGGAACAGCACTTTGCTCAGGTCCTCCAGGGAGAGGCATGGAGAAGGTACAGCTTTTCTTTCCTCTGTGGCCTCAGGGCATTGCGATCTTCCTGCTGAGACCCTCAGATCTGCAGTCCATCCTCTCAGATGCCTGGTTTCACTTCGTCTTGTAAGTAGGTCTGTCCCCTTGGTCACCACCTCCCAGGCAGGGCTCAAGTCTTATACGGTGGCTGCTCTGTCCTTCTGGAATGGCCACCCTACCATGTCGCCATGTCCCCGTCATCCTGCTGTAGTCACATGTCTGGGTCCTTCTCTCTCCCTTCTAGTCGGAGAGGCATATAGATGCCCATGGAGAGGACCAGGAAACCCTGGGACAGTGCCCACCACCTGGCTGTAGTGACGGCAGACTCATCCTGCTACAGAGCTGCAGGCGGCAGGTGGCACGGAGAGGGCAGGGAGAGGCTTAGCAGGGCTGTTCACTTTTTTTATGGAGGGATGGTTGGGCCAGTGCCTCTCGGTCATACAGGGTCTAGAAGTTGCCATCTTGGACCCTAGCAGATCAGGGCTGAAAGACCCTTGAGAAATTGAGTCTCCCCTGTAGGATGAAAGCTGAGGTCCAGAGCAGGGCAGGGAGTCATCCCCAGTCATGAGGAGTTTTTGTGGTGCTGAAACCATCCCAGCCTCTGGGTCACCTTCAGTTCCCATGGGGCCCCGCCAGGGAGCCCAGCTCAGCAACCTCTCTGAATGAGGTCATGTGCAGCTGGCATCAGATGCTTACGTGACCCCCACCTCTGTACGAATGGAGGCTGATTCAGCGTGGCTCTCATGTGAATGGAAGAGATTCTGCATCCTGGGATGAAGAGTGTTGGCTGTATAGTTCTTTCGGCCTCACCAAAGTCCCTCTTCTCAGCATTTGGGAGGCTGGATCTATAGGACCTCAAATCTTGGCCTGATGTTTCCAAATACCCCAGTGCTTTAAATAAAGTATGTACATGCCTTCCAGAGGTGTGAATGGAGTTCTTCATCCCTGTGGGCAGGTGGGACACCTAGGGACTGCAGTGAACATACAGGCCAGGTACAGCAGTGTCCCATGATGTAGGCCACAGTGGGGGTGGCTGTCGTTGAGGAAGTATGGCGATCCCAGAGACAAATCCATTTACACAGCCACTGCTTTAGTGCAGATGACAAGCACCAATGCACTGTCCTGCTCTTCTGCTGCTTATTTGATTTGTTAATATAGCGGAAGGCATAGATATGCTTCCTCAGGTCAGTCCCAAATGCGTCAGTCCCTAAATATTTGCTTTTCACTTGCACAAGACAGACAGGGGTGCCTGTGTCCTAACATTAACTAGTTAGATGTTTTATAATTGTGGAGGCCGCCTGATGTTATAAGCAAGAGAAGGTTTCTTTCCCAGATGTTTGCATAATTGATGGTGTATATATGAGTTAGGAGTAGATTTTGGTATTATGTATGTTTGATATTTATTGCACTTAAAATGTTTTAAATTGTGGTAAAATACACAAAACATAAAAGTTACCATCTTAACTATTTTTAAGTGTATAGTTCAGAAGGACTAAGTATGTTCATATGGTTGTGCAATCAAACTCCATTTAACCTATCATTTAGCATATATCATAGTTTCTAAAGAGATTTTTAAAAGTAGGTTATGGGGGACTTTTGTTTTGATTGGCTCTCAAGTATACATGCTGTCAGCTTTTGTCGTTACAGTTAAAAATGCACTCACCGCACCCTCAGTGTACCTCAGTGGTCCCCCAGTCTTTGTGGGTGATTTAAAAAATACATAGCCTCTGGGCTGCACCCCAGGCCTTCCAGACTGGAATATCTCCGGGTCTCGGGGATCTGTATTTTTACCAAGTCCCTGTCGGCCGCGACCAGCCCACTGCTGGCCTGGCTCGCATCTGGCAGTGCGGTCTGCCAAGCTGGGTTTGAGATGTAGTCTGGGTGTGTCCGGGGCAGCCCGGCCCGAATGGTCAGTAGCCGCCACCAGGATGGCAGTTCAGGGGTGTGAGGGAGGATGGGGGCTTGAGTTTCTACCCTGCTACTGAGAAGTAAGTAAGGCCCTTGTCTCCTGTGTCTCCTGAACAGTTTTGTCCAGGCTGTGCTTGTGATACTGTCTGTCTTCTTGTACTTGTTTGCCTACAAAGAGTACCTTGCCTGCCTTGTGCTGGCCATGGCCCTGGGCTGGGCGAACATGCTCTACTACACGCGGGGATTCCAGTCCATGGGCATGTACAGCGTCATGATCCAGAAGGTGTGTTGGGGGCTCCCGAGCCTCAGGGACATGCAGCAGCCCCTCAGGGAATGTCCATTTTTCAGATGAGGAAACTGAGGTCTGGAGAGCAAAACGGGCTTGCCCAAGGGAGAGGTCACTGCTCTTTCTCCCAAATACCACTGTCTCCCTTTGCCTTTGATCAAATTTTAAGTGTCCAGACCTTAAAATGCCCAGCTTGTTGGGCACTGGGAAGGAATACACGTCATGAAGGAACATTCTCGCTCCAGGCAGTGGTGTGCTTGTACATATTTAGCAAACCATCTCTCTGGGAAAATTATACACATACACACATACATATATATTTATACATATGTATACTTATACAGATATGTTTGTTATAAATTTTAACCATATGAAGGATAAATATACAATTTACACATAATAATATAATATTCAGTGCTCTTTACTATAAATTCCACATAGCTAGTTAAGTCTGGCAGGATAATTTGTTGACTGTTGAACTCTTGCATCTGTTACCAGCCTGTGGTTGCAATTGGTAAAATGTTGTCCCAGTAAACGCTGGCTGATATTTTTCTTTACTCTAGGGAATAAGACGAAAGTGATGCAATGAAGACTCATGTTAGAACTTGACTTGCTTGTCAGTGATATGAGCCACTTATTTGCTGAACTGGATAACAGTTTTCAAATACTAGAAGACCATCTCATTAATAATATTACACTATTCACAATGTAACAGCTATAGATAAGACATGTTTTTAAGTTTGATCTGCCTTAACATTTTTCTCCATTGCTGTCCTAAGTCTAGATCTAGACTCAGTGAAACAATGAATCAGTTTGTGATTTATAACACTTACCAATTTCCATGGTGTCAACTCTCCCATCAAGGCTGATTTCTAGCTACCAGTATGTCACTGAACACAGTTGGAAAGAGATGCACAGTCACACACCATTATGTAGTATTTCCATTGTATGACTACAACAGATACAAATAACCTTAAGAGCATAGAGAACTGTAAAATAACTAAGAAGTGATGAGCTTTGAATATTTATTATCTTTGTTTTTAATGTAGTTTAATTATGTTTATATGATTGAATTTTTAATAATAGCTGTGCTTAACAGCAGCTCACAAAATTCAAGAAAATGTAACAGTCCGCTCTTGTGAGGTGGGCTCTGGCACCCCAGAAAGTGTGAGCATTCCAGACGTGAGACTCTGTGAAGACAGGTGCTCATGTACAGGGCGAATTAGCAGGGACAGAGGCAGGCTGAGTGTCTGGAGGGAGGAGGGAGGGGAGCGACAGCTGAAGATGAGGCTTCTTAGTGGGGCGGCCCAGATGCGAGCTTTGGGGCATCAGATTTGGGGTGGGGGGGTGGGGGAACACAGGGGCGGGGCACGGCCTGAGAGAAGGCTTGGTTAGGGTGGGGGCTGGGCAAGGGCGGGAAGCAGTAAGGAGATAATTGTTCAGTGACTGTGTGCTCAAACCTGACCCCTGAATTGTGTTTCTTTGTAGGTCATTTTGCATGATGTTCTGAAGTTCTTGTTTGTGTATATCCTGTTCTTACTTGGATTTGGAGTAGGTAATTGATCTATAAATAATAGTAGTTTCCACCTGGTAAAGTGCTTTATACAGATGTCAAAAGGACAAAGCACTTAGCAGCCTCAGCAACAATGGCATCACCTACCAATGGAACACTTGCCACGCTTAGCATTTTCCAAGCATTATCTTTTTACTTTTCTCAGCATCTCGGTCAGGGGGGAGTCATCATCCTTAATCACAAGGTAACTGACGCTTAGAACCACAGCTGCCCCTCTTATCCATCCACATTGTGGGATAGCTTCCCACTTTCACATCCCTCATCTTGAAGGTCCTCACAACCTCAGATGGGCTTGGCAGGTGTTTTCGGCCACATTTTACAGATGGGGAAACTTAAATTTCCAGAAATGTGATTGATGGTCTTTAAAAACAAGGAGTAAGGCAACCACTTCTGGCCATCCACATCATGTTACTCTTCAGACTTGTCTGTGAGAGCCTCTGGTCTGCTGGGGACTGAGGGTGGAGAATGTCCTTCTTTTTTTCTGAGGGACAAAAGCCAGTCAAATTCTTTATTACACAAATTAGAATTGGAGAAAATTTTCTTACTGTATCTTGCTGCTAGCAACATAGTTAAATATTGTTCTAGCTCTTCAAAGAGTGGCATGTAATTTCATTCCTGTTTAATAATATCACACTTATACTTATTAGCTTCTATAATTAGAAGTATTTGTGACCCATTCTGATCTATTTTTATTATTTTCCCCAAATTGCAACCATCGAGATACATTTTTTGCTCTTAAGGGCAGTTCCTTCTTAAATCTTCCTATTTACAGCAGAGGGGACAGAACAACCTGAGTTTATTTCTAACCTCTGCATAGAGAGATATGCTGTTATCTTCCCATGTCAGTTCCCCCATCCCCCAAGTGATCACTGGCATTTGAAGTTAGGCAGCGGTTCCTATCTGTCTGGTACCTTTGCTGGGCCACAATTTGCTCATTTATTTCCTCCTTCACTTGCTTGTATATTCATCCATCCATTTAGTCGCTAATTAATTTGGTCATCTGTTCCTTCCTTCATTCAGTACCAAGCCACTACTGCGGTGTGTTGGAAAGGAAAGAAAGAGTCCCAGGCCTTGGCGAGGGGATCTCACTACAGAGAATCAGGAGGAGACTCAGGACCTCACAGTCTTGGGAGGGAGGTCACCCAGGCTACGGAAAGTAAACTCAAACCAAGAGAGCCTGAGTGGGTAGCCAGGGACACACATAGATTCCAATTAGCAACTCCGCAAGGCTCTGAGTGATCAAAGGCTGAGTGGTGGGGTAGAGGAGGGAGAGAAGAGTATAGGCTTTGTTAGACATGGGTGGGAAGGGCTTTCTACAGGAGGTTGAGGCCAAGCACCAGGTCGATGAGGCTTCTGGAGGAGCTGCAACTGAAGATGGAATTTATATGGCCAGAGAGAAGGAGCAGCAGGCCTGCAGGGCGTGTGTGGGTGTGTGGGTGCGTGCAGGTGTGTATGAGCCTGTAGGCGATTTCCCAGGCAGAGAGACTGAGGAGAGCGCCCTGTCATGTCCTCCCAGCCCTGGCCTCGCTGATCGAGAAGTGTTCCAAGGACAGTAAGGGCTGCAGTTCCTACGGCAGCTTCAGTGATGCGGTGCTGGAACTCTTCAAGCTCACCATCGGCCTGGGTGACCTGAACATCCAGCAGAACTCCAAGTACCCCATCCTGTTTCTTTTCCTGCTCATCACCTATGTCATCCTCACCTTTGTTCTCCTCCTCAACATGCTCATTGCCCTGATGGGAGAGACTGTGGAGAATGTCTCCAAGGAGAGTGAGCACATCTGGCGCTTGCAGGTGAGCCTGACAGAGACCCTGGTTGGAGGCCTTCCTGAGAACTCAGTCCCACACACGCTATTGCCAACCACCTGCACAGGTGGGGCTGGGATGGGACCTGGGAATCTGTATAAGCTTCCTGCGGTTGGCCAGGTTTGAGGAAGCCTTAGTCTAGTCCTTTGAGTGTAGGTTTTAGGGAGTGTGGCTAGACAACAGCACATGTGAGAGGAACTCAGGCTTGTGGGTGTGCTCTGCTCAGAGTTAATAGTATGATATGTGGATATTGAAGTGTGACCTTAGACCGCATTAAGAGAAGTCTAGGATGTAGAAGCTGATGACTTTGTTCTCCTCCATCCTGGCCAAAACACTCCTACACACTGTGGGTCTTACATGCTGAGACACTAACTCACAGAATGGTCCAGAGTGATCAGGCTTGGGAGAGGACTGGAAACTGCCTCGTAAGACATGGTGTTGGAACTCAGGTGAGACTCCCTGCACAGACCTGCAGAGCTCCTTGTGAAGGAGGGAGGCAGCTGCCTTCTGCGGCTCCAGGAGGCATCACTGAGGTATATGAGGCAACAACAGGGAGAAAAGCTTTACTTTAACTCACGGAAGTCTGTAGTTATTAGGACTTTCTTAACTGTCCAGGAGAGATTGGACATACTATTGCCAAACTGATGAAGAGATAACATGTCTGGGTTGGGGGTGGGACTACATGATATCTGAACCTCCCTTCATTGTAGGAACCCAGAATCCGGACATTTTCAGTTAGGAGGCTCCTGGACCTCTAGAAAACTTGTTTATGTCATGTTTAAAGCAATTTGAACACCTTTCCCAAACTTAACTGGTTTTTCACTTCTGAATTCTGTAGATTAGCTGAACCCTGAGGATTTATGTTTAAGCAACCAGTGGGGGTGGAGTGCCATTTGGCAGTGTGTGTGTGCATGTACTTGTGTGTGTCTGTGTAGGGGGGTGGGGGCTGGCTTCTCAGTGAGGTGTTTAGGCTTCTTTATGTCCCCAGAGAGCCAGGACCATCCTGGAGTTTGAGAAAATGTTACCAGAATGGCTGAGGAGCAGATTCCAGATGGGAGAGCTGTGTAAAGTAGCAGAGGAAGATTTCCGACTGTGTTTGCGGTAACAGCGGGAGAAGGGCACTTTTGTGGTGGTCTTTGGGTGGGTGCAGAGAGATGGCTCCGTGAATACTAGCAAAGCGGTGCTGCCCCTTGCTTGTCAAACCGCAGCCGTGGGCTCGTCCGGGGTTGCTGGCCTGGGACGAGGCTCCCGAGCCTCAGAAGGGAGAGCACAGGAGACTTGCCCGAGTCGTGCCTTCTCTGCCCATTTGGATGTGCCCCCGAGGCCTCTCCCTGTCCACTGTCTGGTTTAGAAGAGATTTGCCAGCCAATTCTTGGTCCTTCTATCCTATGTGGGTTCATGTGATGCCAGGGAATCCGGGCCACCTTTTGTCACTGGCAAATGGGAAGTGAGACAGCTGCTTTTGACAGATATCAAGTTTTTTGAGTTTTGAAAAGTCTGTACAGGTGGCATGTCCAACTTTCTGGTGAGTCTGTGCCTCCCTACCTCCATCTATCTGCCTGACCCTGCAGCCCGCCTTCTTTGTGGATAACATTACCTTAACTTACTTCTCTTACTGAAATCCCCACCCCCAGAAACCATTGCTTCGGACTCATTACTACTTTTGACATCCTCATGCCAGAGATGGTCTCTGAATGTGAACTTGAATCCATCATCTCCAGGGGCCATCCAGAACCTGAGACACTGCCACTCCTATTGGAGTTCATTATCTAGTTTCTCCTAGTGAAACCTTCACCCTAGTTAAACTTCTGCAGGTGTAACCCTGGCACCCTTACATCTCCTCCCCTGTCCTCCCCTCCTTCCCCAGGGACCGCTTTTTACCAGTCATGCAAGGCTGCTTTTTGTGATGTCGCCTGTCACCTCTCTGAGTTTCTGGGCCCCACATGCTTGGAGGAGACTGATCCCTTGAGGCCTGGGAAATGGGGGGCTCGGGAAGGTTTAGAGCTAACAAAGTTGACTGTGACCACATGGGGCAGGATTGCAGTGTTCCCAATCCTTGGAGTGGGCAGAGGGGGGCCCTAGGACATCCCAAACGTGTGCTGTTTGTTTGTATTAAATGAGGTGCAGTTGCAAAGCAGTGTGAATGATTATCACGTTTACAGGATCAACGAGGTGAAGTGGACTGAATGGAAAACACATGTCTCCTTCCTCAACGAGGACCCCGGGCCTGTGAGACGGACAGGTATGCTGCTGTTGGGAAGTGTGACCACCACTCTTGTCTGACCACAGAATCTTGAGCAAATGGAGCTTGAAGACCCTCATTTACCCCATCTGCAAAATGGGAGGGTTGAATTAAATTGGTTCTCATGTCCCTTCCAGCTCTGACATTTTATAACCCTAGCTGGAATAACTTCTAAAAATCAAGTGGTAAAAAAAAAAAATCAGGTGGTACATGGAGACTTGGAAACACATCTCAGAATGCTCTATTTATAAAATTGTGTATTTTTTTTAAACAGCAGATTTCAACAAAATCCAAGATTCTTCTAGGAGCAACAGCAAAACCACGCTCAATGCATTTGATGAAATGGATGAGTTTCCAGAAACTTCGGTATAGAAGCAGAATCTGGAGCTGGTGTGAGCATGGGCCATCTGATGCTGCAGGCTGGGTCCTGGACTCTGTGCTGAGGGCTCTGCAGAGGGCTGGGAGGCTGGCTCTGCCTGCCTAGAAGCAGGAAGCACCCTTGCTGGTCAAGAGGCTGAACTGAGCAGCAGCTGTTAGTTTGTCTGGGTGGGAAACACCCTGGATTTTGTTACTTGGCAAAGAGTTTGTATAAACCCGTGGCCAGCAGTCCTGAGCCAGGCAGTCCCTGCAGTCCGGGGTGAAGTCCCTGGGCTCACCCATTGCAGGCTGGCTTGGCCTGGGAGAGAACAGAGGCAGGAAGGGGCCTGGGCCTGAAGAACAGAGCTTTCTTCCTGCCATCATCTCCGTGACAGTCCCCAGGCCCAGCCCACACATGCCACCATCTCCCTTACTGTGAGGTGGTCTCCTGAGTTTAAAAGGGATTCTTGACCCCATTGCAGAACATACAGGGGGCTGAGCTCACTTGGATATTCTGGGGGAGGAGGGGAGCGAGCTATGGAATGCCCTTCCAGAACAGGGAACTACCTTGGAAAGGGTGCCTTGGCATTCCAAGGCTCAAACTGTCTCCAACTGAGAGACCTTTTTAGTAGCATAATTAAAACAGGTTTTTATTTTCAATAGAGAAAAGACATTTCAGTTCTGAACGAAAGTTACTTCAGAGGAAGTGGGTGATTTTAAAGGCTGAGAACTAGATTTTCGGAATTGGGGGCTGGATGTAAGTATTATATATTTGGCCTCAGGGTGGCCAGAGCGAGGACAAAAAGCTTTTCTTCACACACACAAAAGCCTACATGAGCCCCACCAGCGATCTGGGTGAAAGAGCACTGGCTGTCTCCTCGCCCTGGCTCTGCAGTCGTGCGAGCCTGCACGCTGGGATCGTGGCTGCATCTGAGGCAGAAACAGCCGCTGCTCTATATCATCTGGAATCTCAGAGGTCACTGTTCCACCTCAGTATTCCTCAGGGGAGGACTTTCACAAGATACCTGGACTGCTCTGGTATTAAATATTTTTGTTAACTGTGAATTTTGAGGCTGAGGAGAGGACATATGAGAAAGGAGCATTAGCCAAGATATGGGGCTTATTTTTATATCCTCATTTTCTGCTTATTTCCAACATGAAGTTACAGAGTCAGAATGGGAGCAGAGGTGAAGGGGAGATGGGAGAAGTGTTCTGGCTTATTGGAGCCAAAATAACCAGAAAACTCTACTCTGCCTTGGTTCTCTGATGACAGGATTCATGTGGGAATTTCTGAGTTGGAATTGTATTAGCCATGGGTTTTAATTTGAAGTGGTGCAAAAATAAATTTGACCTTTAGACAACTTGGCAATTAGCTAGTTAAGTCTGACTGGAGGCCAGCGGAGGTGGGCAGGCCAAGCAGTCCACTTCTGGCCCGTTTTTCTGCCCTAGGTTGCTCTGTGTGTCAGTTTACCCAGGTGGGTAGACATTTGGCCCTCATGCCCCGGATGGGCCAGGTCAGGGAGAGGCCGGGTGGGCTGAGGATGCGGTCTGAGAGCTGCACTGTCTGCAGCAGCCCTTTGCCCTCCGGCTGACTCACGGAGCCAACCAGTGCTCTGGGTTAGTGTCAGACCAAGCTCAGATGTGAGCAGGGGTGGCGGGCACTAGGCATGTGCTTTGGAGGAGAAGCTTTAGGGGAGACTGTCTTGGAGGCAGGAAAACAAAATGTGTTCCAGATGGGCAGAACTAGTCCTAAAGGTAGAAATTTCAGAGAGAAGGATTCTGGTTCAGTTCAGTCCAGCAACTGTTCCAGATACGAGAGATGTTTAAACAGAAGCTGGTGAGCACTTATTAGGGATGTTGTTAAATGTCACAATCAAATGAGCTTTCAGGTCCTCTTAGCCTGGAGATCAGTGTCTTGTGTCTGGAGTTACCGGCTTATATTTATCTAGGACAGATGTCTTGGTTTGAAGGGCAGCTATTTGGATCCATAGCACCATGGTCTACACCATGGAGCCGGGCATTCCAGAATTGTTTAGACTCAGATGCGAATGGATAAAGCCATGACTCTCCATTTCCCATGTGAACAATAGATGGGAGGTTAGGCAAATAGAAATCAATAATGAGATCTTTGTCCTTTTGCATGTTTGGAGAGCTGCTGTCTGTGGATCTGGATGGAATTTGTTGGCAGGACGCATTTTTTGTATTGGACGTTGATCCCCACAAGGCTTTCAGCCATGGCAGGTTTACCAAGGCAAAGGGAAACAGTGAGTCAAAGAGCCTTGGTTTAAAAGGACCAGTTCCCTTATTTTACACCTGGAGACTAAGGCTCAGAAAGGAGAGTGGACTTGTTTCAGGTCATGTGGGGAGTGGCAGCAGAGCTGCTGAAGCTGGAGTGTTTGATTCCTGGATCACACATATTCCCCCTGCATTTTTTTTAAAGCATTGTTATTCAGTAAATTCGAGTCAGCCTTTGTGGCTGGCATATCTACATGCTCCCTGTAACAGGTTTAAAACTTAAATGTGCACACAGGTGTGTGCAAAACCACACACACGCATGTACCCCACCCCACCCCACACTGAATCCATGGGTGTATCAGGACATCTTAAAACTCCATGATTTACATTTCAGTAGTTTAAATTCAGTAATTTAAGGGGAATGTATTTTCCAAGGATGGAATCTCCCATGCTCAGACAACAGTTCTGGCTGGAAATTTTCCTTTAGTTAAACTCTGCCTCAGGAATAATCTATAATTCTAGACATTACTTGATGTATCTGGAAAAAAATGGTGTTTACCTTCCTCCTTGGGATATGGGAGAAGGTGTGTGAGGCTGTACTGTGAAGTAATTAATCTCTTAGAAGGCTCCTGCTTAAGATGGCCAGTATTATGAATGTTCTTCTCCTTCTCAAGGCCTGGTGACCTGTGTCCTTTTGCTCTGGGCAGGGCCTAGGCAGACGGACCATCATCCTGGCCTATAAGCTATACTTGATTTCCATGTTTTTACTGTGATCTTGGTCCCAAACAGAATCGTCACCTTGTTCTCATTGAATGTGCCTGATTCTTATAAATTCTAATTTACATACTTGTTCTTAGTGTTGTGTGTGTGTGTGTGAAACTCTCTGTTCAAGAAAAAAGTCTTAAGTAGGATAAGAACATTTTAGTGCTATTGAAGAAATACTTTTATGAAATCTAATAAATATTTATTTTGCTTGTTATAATTGTTTTATCCTTGTCTTGGGCATGCCAGTATGAAGCCTGTCTAGAAATCCTAGTGCTGCTTATCATGAGTGGGCAAAGGGAAGCCTGCTTTTTGGAACTGATATTATTCTTGGTCCTGGCTTAGGACAGAGCCAGCATGCTGACACATGCCACGTTTGTATAGTGTATACATCTCACAGTGCACTCATGTCCAGTACCCCATTTGAACCGCCCAACTGCTCTGGAAGTAGTTTGAGGCAAAGGGGAATCAAGGAGTTGAAGCACCATTTCAAGAAATCACTGACAGTAAATGTTAGTGGTTCAGGCCATTTGACCCCTGAGCAAGGGCTCTATCCATTAAGCCCGGTTGGCTCTCAACTCATTTTACATGGCTATAAAACCATGGCTCCACCTGCAGACAAAGTTATAAATCTCCTGTCTACCACACAGGACCTCCACGAGGAGGCAATGAGGGCGTGGATCTGAGAGCACTGATATTATTCCTATGGCGACTGCCCACCTCATATGTATACACATTTGCTCATTCTTTTGAGTTATAAGCATGGCAATTCTCAACTTGAATGCCAAGACACTGTCATGTCTTGATGGGTTGCAGAACTTGCAAACAATTTATTAATATGTGATATGCTGCATTTGGTGAATTATTTATATAATTTAAATGATTCCCAGAATAATATCCTTCACTAGGATGTGTCTTCTTGAGTGGCAAAGAAATGGGAATTGTACATAATCCACATCCTAGCTCAGATAGGCTTCATCCTATAATCTAGGAATGAGAACATGCTGGTTGAACTGATAGAAAAGGGGTGGAAACACCTGTCATAGGATACGTTCTGGGAGTAGGATGTTAAAGTCAATGGGTATGAACAGTTTCTTGATATCATAAAAATTACTTTTAATTTCAATGTGAAGGCCCCTGATATCATAAAAATTACTTTTTGCAGTAAAAAGTTATTTTGCAGTTTTTTTCCAGCCTTTGAGATTGTATGATTCCCTATTTATAAAGCTTGTTCATATTGGTTATCTTAAAAACACAGTTTTATAGGTTTGATGAGTATTATATCCTCATTTAATAGGTGGGGAATTGGGACTTGAAGAGAGATGGGAGGTCACAATGCTTTCTTCTGGCCAAGGATCCAGGTCCTTAGGTTACTGGTAAGTGCTGATCTGGAGGAGCTTGTGTAACAGAGTGGTCTAGCCTAGCCTGAGTCACATTTAAGAATAAGTGTCATCCAGGTAAAGGGAGTGTGGGGGAGGGAGAGGGTATCAAGAACAGGCAACAATGTGGCTAAGGACCCAACGTAGTAGAGAGCTTGGTGCATTTGAGGATGAAGCCCGTGTGGCCAAATTGCTGGGAACAAGGGGGCAAAAGACATGAAATAGGACTGGAGGGGTGGGCAGAGGCCGGAGCACACAGGACTTGCCCAACTGTGGTGAGTCTTTGAGATTTCATATCAAGGATAAGGGGAAGCCCCTAAAAGGTTTCACACAGGGGATTATTGAATATGAACATTTCCCTGGTTTTGCTATGGGATTGCAGGCTTAGTACACTTCCCTCCCACCATCCTTTGGGATATAGTGACAGTCTGAAGAGTGTGGAATGGAGTGGATTTCATTCGGGAGTGCTGGGAATACACAGAAAGTGACTAGGAAAGAAGGCAAAGGGAAGGCAGGGACACTGTGGATTATGAGGCCATCTCAGTAGAGAAGGGATATTTGAGCACACTCATTTATTCAACCGAACTTTATTGGGCATTTATTAGATTGTAGACATTGAAAAAGACACTGACAATATCCTCAGGATGGGAGTGAAGGCATATAGGAACAAAACAAAACAAAGCAGACTGGAACATAGAGGACTTGAAGGCAAATGAGTCTAGAGAGGTTGAGGGGTTGGGGGGGCGGAGAGGCAGATCAGAAAGGGCCTTTTGTGTGAGGAATTTGAACTTGAATCATACATTATTCTGTGCTAGGCACCGTGCTAGTGCTTATACACATTCATCATTTATTCTGCACAGTAATCCAGGAGAGAGGCACTATATTATGATCATTGCCATTTTATGAATGAGAAAACCAAGTCTGTAGATTGTCAGAAATAATAAAAATAGACTAAAACTGAAAGTGGCTAAAGCCATGCAGCAGTATGCTATAGATTTTTAAAAATATCACATCTAATTAGCAACTCTGTAGACTATAAATATTGAGTTGGAGAAAATTAGGCATAATAGAAATAATCAATACCCAAACTAGAAACCACAATGGCCTAAATCATACATTGTAAATTTTATAAGTAAAATTTGATGGAAGAATAAAGTACTTTTGCCAGAATTTACATCTGGAGAAAAAAATGACCTACAAAAATTAGACTCAGACATGAAACACATAGGAACACAGTGGGACAAGGAAGCTTGGTAAACTTATGTTAAACTGATGGAAAAATTGAACTTTTCCTACAGAATTTGGAAGGAAGAGAGTTTATTCTGATGAAAATAACTTCGTTAAAGTACAAAAATAAAGGCTGAAAAAATTAGAGCTTGTGCTGTATAGAATATTGAATATAAAATGAAATTCAGCTTAATGGGATTTGCTCTGAAAGAATGGAAATGTTCCAGATAATATGTGTATGATTTTGGTAAACATGTTTGAAACCATAAACATGGGTTCCTTAGGGTAAAAATCCTGGGATAAAAATGCTCTTTACTAGGCTGCTGCGGCCTAAAGGGAGGAGGGAGTGGAGGATCCTGCAGGGGCTGGAGAGGGAGGGAGGCCATGTTTCACCTGAGGAACTTGGAGGAGAAGCAGTGAGGGATTTGGGCATTTTCTTGAGCAAGTGCATTTGTGAACTAGACACATGGGTTTAGGTCACATTTCTGCTACTGCCCACTGTCCTCTGCTGTTTCTGCCTTTACCACCTGTGCTGCAGGAGCCCAAACACTTCCTTGCTCATTGGTTGGAAAGAAGGACAAATGTGTTCTTTCAAAATGGGAAGTGACAGCTGTGAGGAATATGCCTTTTCAAACTCCCGCAAGTTGGGAAGGAACATTAGCTTCTCAAGGGATGTGCGACATGTCTGAAGGAGGCTCTCTGCCCCCTGAGGCCAGCGCAGAAGTGGGCGTGCCAGAGCAGCGACGCTCTGTGCGGGTGACTGTCTGTGGATAAAGGACCATTCAGAGTCTCTTGATTTATTCATAATGTCACCTTTACAGTCAGCCCTCATTTTTCCTTCACATTTCATTTTCAAAAGAGCATTTAAAAATCTACGGATATCAAAACTATTGTTAAAGTTTATGGACTGGATACTTAATACATTATCATTCATCTAAATATGAAAAATTTAAAGATAGCACCATTACTTTCTAGTAGCATTTATACATTACTCAAAAACATATACTTAATTCTATGCTCAAGTTAATAACTTTTTGTATATAAAATCTATTTCAATTTTAAAATTCTAATTTAAAGACTTTATTAAGAACGTTAAAATATCAAAGTATAATGTATAAAAAAGCTATACAGAAATAAGAAACTCACTTTGAATAAGCTATGTTCAGACATGATACATTTAAAAGCTATTCATTAATTTATTCATTCATTCAGGAACTTTACCTGAATGCCCACTGTGTGCAAGGCCTTGGGCTAGGTGCTATGGGTAGGAAATTGAATAAGGCATAATCCTGCCCATCAGGAGCTTACAAACTAAGCTTGTTCCAGATACTGTGTAACAGGTGAGCTAGAAGTGATTTCTAATGGAAAAGGGGACAAATACTTTTTGCGCTGAGTGTCAGTTTAGCTGTCTTTGCGAAAGCTTCTTTCTTTTCATAATATGCAGCCTCATTTATAAACACCGGGTACACGGTACAGTCTCCGCCCAATGGAATAGTCTTTCCATCAAGAGTTAAAAACACAGGATCTCCAGGATTCAATGGTTTCCAGTCTTGATCCTCTCAGGAAACAATTAAAACACAGAAATTACATTTGCTTTTCCTTCTACTTTCAAATTTTATGTCAGACTCTAGACAATGAATAAATTAAAGCATTGTATTCTTTTAAAAGAAGTACTTGAGAGATGTGTTGAGAGGCATATGAATGATCTGACTTACCTGAGATGGACTAATTGATTTTGGCAGCAGTTTTAAGAGTTTCCCTTTTAATATTTATAACTGACACATGTAATTAGAGTCTGCTTCAATATCAAGTTGGCCTTGAATGCTGTCAGAGATTTGTAATATTAAAAGGAAAACTAAATGCACCTCCCTGTAAGTGTGTATTCTATCTCTTGCTAGCTGAAGTTAATTCTGTTCAGCAAAATTTAGGAAATATCTGTTAAGAGTCCTCTGTGTGCAAGATATTATAGTGTGGGAGATATAAAGAGATTCTATTCTATGGGGCTGGGTCAGCGGTGGGGTGGGGGGTGGCCAGGAAAAGTCTAAGACAAGGTGTCTCCACATTAGGATAACAACTGAGTTACCTGAAAGGTCCCACACCAGGGATTAGGACTTTTGAGCCCTCAAACAACAATGTTAACACCATAGGAACCCTAAAGCAGTTCTTCTTAAACTTTGATATGTTTGCAGCTCCTGTAGGGATTTTGTTAAAATGTGGATTCTGAATCTGAAGGTCTGGGGTAGACGCCCAAGAATCTGCATTTCTAACATTTCCTAGCAGCAGAACCTGGGAATTTGTCAGAACAGCCATTCCCCACTGCAGACCTGCTAAATCAAAATCTTCATGTTAACAAATCTCCAGAGATTCTCAACCCTGGCTGCATATTATAATCACTTGGGATGTTTAAAAAATATAGATGAGTAGAGGGGCACAGCCCAGCTCAGATACACTGAACCAGGATCTCAAGAGTGGGATTCAGGCATCACTATTTTAAAAACTTATTTCAAAATGGAAATACAGTAAATTCATGCATTTTTATGTACAGTTCTATGAGCTCTCACAAATGCATATCATAGGGTCAAAAGAACCACGTAACATACTCAACATACATAATTCCACCACACATCTTCCTTATTTCCCTCTTGCTTCACTTATAGTACACTGGTTTTGTTTTAAAGCCCCTGGTGAGTCCACTGGACAGCATAGCTGAAAACTACTGCTCTGGACCAGAGGTTTTGAGTCAGAGGATATGCCCAGGACAACGAAAGGAGATTCTGCAACACAGCTGTGCCTACCTCCACCTGCAGGGATTCCCACATAGCGCAGTGCCACCCAAGCCTGAGCCACAAGAAAATCCACTGTGGAACCTAGCTGAGATTCCTGTCTCCACGCTGGTGAATTAAATCAGTCTCTGGGCATGAAAGCTGGGAATCAGGATTTTTTAAGAGCTCCTCAGGTGATTCTTTTGTGTTCTGAGTTTGAGAAGCGTTGTTGTAGTGCTTTGTGAAGGACTCCAGGCATTTCGGGGTACATCCTAAATAATTCCAGTGCACATTCCTGATTAAGAACCCTTACTCTAGAATAAGATCTGGGCTTGTAACCGGGTCCCTGTCTTGTCTCAGGCTCCAGGGCTCACTGTCCTTGCTGTTCACTCCTGCTCTCCTTTGACATTGGTCTTCTTGCTGTTTCTCAGACACTCCAAGTTTGTTCCAGGCTTTGCACCTGTTTTCCAACGAGGCTGATTTCTCATCCTCCAGGTTGCAGCTTGAATGCCGTCATCCAGGGATGGCTCTTCCCAGCTGTCCCACCCAACAGGAACTCTGTTAACCTCTACCTTATTGTTCTGTTGCCTTTACAGCACGCATTACAGTTTGAAATGATGTGACTTACGTATTGGTTACTTATTCATGGCCTGTTCACCCACTGTTGGTATGGAAGCTCCATGAGCTTGAATCTCAGGACCCAGAACAGGTTAAATAGTCATTCAGATATATTTACCAAAATAACTAACTAATCAAGCTCTCTGGTAGAATACTGAGCTATTCCTTATTATTTATTGAATCAAAACTATTTTTCCTGAGTTTCAAGACTGAACACTATCACTATTTGTTTACTGATTTCATTAATCTCACTTCTCTGCATCCCCAGGATGATTTTGAGGAGTCCTTTATAATCCTTGAGGAATATAAAACTCAAAGATTTCCCATGTTGAGGCTGGTAATGACCTTCGCTTCTGTTTCTCATTTTTGCTAGTTTTGTTACCTGTCGTGCTTCCCCCTTTCTTTCCCTTTATCTTGACCTTTCTTTCCTTCAAAACACTGCCTAAGGCTCCCTTTTCTGGTTTCCACCTAGATCCCCCTAAGGCACAAGTAGCACTTGCTCCACCAGTCTTTGGGGACAGGTTACTTGATTAGAGTGTGAGTGAGGATGGCTTTCATTAGGGTCATTCAATAGGAGTTTGAACTGGATCAGTGGTTTCCACTCTGATTATCCAGGTCAATAAGGTCAGCAGAGTGGAATCCTGGCCTTGTTTTTTTAAAGGCTCTCTGGGCAGTGTGAAGCCAGGCTTGAAAGCCCCAGCCCAGGTAATCTGCGGTGTTTCTTCCATCCCTGAGGTCTGAGGCTGTGGGGGGTACTCACAACGGTAACGTGTGTTTCCGCTTTTCAGAATCTTTGCCCCTCCCTGCTTTTACTTTTGCCCTTTCCAGACTTAAACCTCCTACATTCTCCCAAGAGCCTTTTCTTCCTCCTTCACTATGGCATTACTGATCAAACCAGATAAGCATTCCAGAGAAAGAGGTTCTGATTGTGTGGCTCTGACTTGCTCGTGGTGAACCCAGGGAGGTGGCCGCAATGTGGTCACCTGCAAAGAACCTTAGTTCTGGATCTGCCACTGAGAGCTCTGTGGCTGTGGGAGGGATCTAACTTATGAGCCTCTCTGTTTTCTCATGTTAAAATAGGTATGATAATTCTTACCCAGTGTACTTGGGCAGGAATTTCACCTTCTCTGAGAGGCCTTATCTGACCCAACCCCTCCCCACCTCACTTAGAGCATCTGGTTTTGATTTCTAGAACAGAGTTTAGATTTTAGAATATCTAGAGTATAAATATCAGATAAACTCAATAAGTATTTGTTGAATGACAGTCTGAATATTTTACTTACACTGTAGCATTTTTGAGAACACAAATGAGCTGATGTATGTAAACTGCTTTTTGGACTGTAAACTTCTATCCAAAGGTGGGGCATCAGAATTTTGAATATTTTAAGGAAACAGCAAATGTTACCTGCAGATTAGGGTGGATAATGGCAGTGATTTCTCCACTTTCATTCCTTGGATAATCGACTTTCTCCATTATTTTATAGACGTCAATAGCACAGGGAGGAAATTCTTTCCCTATGGCAAAGACAAGATGTCTAAATAGCAACTGAAAAAAGATCTCTTGAAAAAAAGATAGTTTAAGGTAAGAAGAACAATAACCAAAAAATGAAGACAGAGGGAGTACACATTATTTTATTAAGGATGTTCACAAATAACATTAAGCTGAAAGATGTTCTGGAATTATTTCCATCAATGTGCAAGTTACACTGATGGACAGAGGTAGAAAACAGAACTTAAAAAGCCATTGTCGGGGGGGACTTGGTGAAGGGGAGAGCCTAGTAAACATAATGTTCTTCATGTAATTGTAGATTAATGATAACAACAACAACAACAAAAAAGCCATTGTGGGAGAAAAAGAGGCTAGGACTGGGTGTCAGGACACCTGGGCTCTGATTTCCTCCCATAACCTTGAGCAAGATGCTCAACTTCTCAAGGCCCAGTTTCTTGTTAAATGAAGGCTTGCATTAGCTGATCTTGGAGGGCCCATCCAGCTCTGACATTCTACGGCAGCATATCTTTAGGAAGAATTCCAGCAGGTTAGGTAACTTCAGCTCTGAGCTCCTTCCCTTAGCTATGTTAAACACTTGGTCAGCTCTTGTGCTGTGAGATGTTGGGGTGATTGCCATGCGCCAGCAGTGGAGTCCAGCCCTACATGTTCAGGGTTAAGTCACTACTTGTGTCTGTCTCATCTCCCTTTTCTGATTTATTTACACACAGACACACCCAAGCTAGCAACTGCAGAAACAACTCCCACCTGCTACTTACCTTCATTGAAATGATGTATAAAATCAAGAGCGTGTTTAATCATTTTTCTCATTTGGTCCAAGATATCAGCTCTCAGAACCCCTTGAGACTGGGGACCCACTTCTATGCCTAGGTACAGAAAGGGACAGAGTCACATTTAAGTAAGTGTTAAGGTATATTATAAAATTGAGCATTTTAATATATCAAGATCTAGAATCCCATCACTAAAACTTTTAAAAAGGTAGACTATGTCACAGCATGGAAAATATTTGAGATGTAATGTAAAGCAAAAAATAAAAGCAGCACATTTCATCTGTGTGTAAGCTGTATGCATAGAGAACATGGCACATGGCAACATAGAACATGGAAACATAGCAAACATGGAAATAATCAGAATCAGGTTAGAGTAGCAGAATCTCAGGGTCTTTTCTTTTTTTTCTTTGAATTTCCTTTAATATTGTCAAGGTTTAAAAAACCATAATATGGTAAAAGAGGGAGACAAATTTATACTGACAAAATAAAAAGTGGCCACAAAGAGAAACTGTCATAGACCTAACATTTAGTTTTGACAGGTGGAAAGACATCTATTTAGTCATAGAAATCTAGATTAGATGCACCAGGGATTTAAGTCAACATGACAATCTATGTAACTCTAGAGCAACATTCTTGCCCCTAACATATCAACCCATCCTGTCATGATAATGCAATGGTTTAAATTTTCCTTAGAATAAATCTGTATTCATTTCTTCTCACCCCAACACAATCCATCCTTACACCTACAAAATATTCTTCCTCTAAACCACTTATCTACTCCCTTCCTTCCTGTTCAGTCTTCCATACAGTTATCCCTCCAGTCATCTCCTTCTTCATTTAACAATTTACCAAGTATAATATCCATTTCTCATTCTCATCCAATCAATTCATATACATTATTTTCTGTCTGTTCTATTTTCACCCACTTCTGTTATTTTTGATTTGCAAGATCTTACTATATCATCTTTTATCTTTATTTTTTATTTGTTGTGCTTAGTTTTCTTGTATAGATGTTTAGACATATATTAAAGTATGTCGTTTCAGTGTGGCTAAGATACTCATCTGCGCCTAGATGGTTTGTACAAATGGGTGGAAATGGGTTCATGGGTGTGTCTGCATGCATATTGTAGAAGACCTAATTGGTTGCCTACCCCCAAACCATTCCATCTTCCTTGCTAACACAGTCCTGATTTTTTTAACTTTCTGACTGTGAATGGAGGATAATAGGTAGGATGGCAATATTTTCCAAACCAAAAATTAACGTTGACACAAGATCCTATATCAGAGGAAATGGCCATGGCATAATCTCGAATACAGCTGAAGGAATAATGGTCAAAAAATTAACATTTCTGAGTCTCAAATAAGGCCACGGTTGATCCGGAAAAGTTAGGAGATTGTGTCTGTTCACTCTTCTGTGTGTGTGTGTGTGTGTGTGTGTGTGTGTGTGAAAGACAGACAGACAGACAGAGACAGTGAGAGACACAGAGAATAAAGAAGACTCTGGGAATGATCACAAGGCTGGCTGCAGCAGACTGCTTCTTTCTGGGATAAAGTTTACCTAGAATGACCCTGTCACATTTCACCTGCCTTGGCAATGGAATGCAAAGGTGGCCCTTGTAAGTGGCTAGTAGAAGCTGAAGCAAGTTTGTATGGGGCAATAGTCATAGGTGTATTATAAAATGTTGAGTTGGAGAAAGTGTCTCTCTGATCTCACATTTTTTTTTTTACCCAGTGAGTGAATTATATAAAAATAGTCCAAACAAAATATCAAAGTTGGAAGCAGTACATACAGTATTTCCAGTTATTTATGATGAACTTAATAATCTGTCATGTTGAAATGTTTGAAAGATTTGGCATTATTTTTAAGGGCCAAGCAGATCAGTAGATATTTGTTTTAAGAGCAACATTGCCTCCAACATCATAGACCAAGAATGCTTTCAAACTTTGAAAATCTTACACTTTATTTGGTGTCACAGAGAAACAAGGACCTCTGTTTCTTTTGTTAAGCACTTGGTTAGTTTCAAATAATTACCTACACTTGGATATTTAGTTTGCCACAGTTGATCCCTTGATAATGCACTAAAATTCAATAACTGAATAACCAAGGTAACTTTAAATTTGCTTATATTGTTTGACAACTTGTTTTTAAATTAAATTACTCTTGGTTAAACCATCTGAGAGCTAACAAAAAAGATTTTAAGTTGTGACAGCAATCTTAATGATTATGGTATAGTATGCAAACAATTATGCTAATAGGTCACTCCAGAAAGAGAATGGAAGATAGGAAGAAGAGACTGAGTCTGCAAACCTGCATGATGGAAGTTACCAGCAGGTAAAGATGAATTCACAGTCCGGTAACTGACAGGGCAAACAAGTGAATGGATAGCTAACAGGTTATGGGAGACTCTACTGCAAAGCAAGTGCTAAGAGAAATGTTGGGAGCAGATTTTCCCTGGGTCTTTTGTGCTTCTTGCACATCTTGCCAGCAAGATGCTGCCTTGGTTGCAGATTATTTTTCAAGCATGTTTGTATAGTGAACAGTCTTGGAAGATAGGATTGATATCTTCCTTGGAGGAAGAAGCAGGCATGTTTACTGTGCATTATGAAAGATTCGGATTCCCTTGGCTCATTGTTTCTGTCCTAAAATGCAGAAAGCTGCTCAATGAAATTGAGGAAATTTGATATAATAATAATTGCCTGGAGTTAATTCGCTTATTTCTTGACAGAATCCATAATGATAAGCAAAGTAGCTATAAATATTCTTTAAAAATAATTTTCTCAGAGTTTTACCTGGGACATATTTTGTTCAGTTGTGACAGTGAGAAATATGACTTACCAACAGGATACTTGGCTATTGAACGCGTGGTTGCATATTGGAGGGATGGATGCTCAGTAAGATAAATATAGCAGGGTAATGGAGCCAAAGAAGTCTGAAAAGAATTTAAAACACCTTTCTTATTATGTAAAGACTGTATGTTTTGTTTTCTGTGCTGCTAGAGAGTCAATAATGCTTTCAATGTGTTTGGCTTTAATACATCAACTAAGATTATTAAGATAGCTTTATGAAAAATGCTCTAAAATCTAATATTGTTATAGCTTTGAAAACATATAAATGAAATGCATATAAAATTGAATTATGCATAGCTTTCTGAGTAAAATGTACATTAAACACTTCTCCAGAACCATGGCCAAAGACTATAAAATAAGTTTTCCTTCTGAATGAATCTGTTTTTTTGTTTTGTTTTGTTTTCATCACTGATTACACTTAATATTTAGCTTAGTTATTGGTCTCTTAATGAATTGTTTCTACCCCTGTGGTCCAAATCTCTATAGAGGTTGGGTAACTTGCTCTACCTCCACTTATCTGAATGAGAATTCAAGACAGGCCTGTTGGTTTTGATGTCAGTGTCAGCCATGCTGCTTCTTGCCTTGCATCCAAAGCGTTCAGCCCTCCCTTCAATGAGCATCAAAGAGTAAAAAATACCTGCATTATGACCTCCTACCAGACTACTCTCTAGTTATTGTCAAAAACTCAAGGGAAACAAAAATAATAGATAATCTTTACTATCTGCTATGTACCAGGCTAAATACTTTAGGTACTTTATCTCATTTAAAGCTTTGAACAGCCATATGGGTAAGAATTTTTATTATGCCAATTTTATAAAATGAGGAAAGTAAGCATTTTATAAAACAGGAGTGGAGTACCTTGTCCCAGCTTAGTGAATGAGAAAGGCAGAATTTGAACCCAGGTTTTCCTGGCTACATGAGTCAAACTCTCTCCACTAAGTCAAAACAGCTCTCTCTCTGGAAGGAAGGAAATTAATTATACAGAAATAAGCATACAGTACTTCTTTTGTGTTTTTGCTTGGTTGTTGTTTTCTAGCAGTTTTTCTCAACTGCTGAATTTTTTAATCTTTTAAGTTTCTGAGCCTTATTTGAGTAGCTATGTGATGTACTAAAAGAACAGATGTGTGCTGGGGTATCTGAATCCAATGGAAACAAGGGCAAGACAAAAGACACCAATTCCTTTATCATTGTTCTTTAGTCAGCATTAAATGACTGTCTTGTTTCCTAAAATTGTGATTGAACTGCATCCACCAAACTATTTTCAATTTTGGTATTAATTTCCCCAAGTACCTTATGATTTGGTGGCTGTCTGGACAAAAGATTTATAATTTTATAGACACAAGAATCCACAAGTGTTTTAATCTTTCACTCACTGAATTTATTCTTTTATTCATTTCCTCTCCTTTACTTCTGCCTGTCACCACTGCCCCCTCAGCTGGTGCTCTTCCTACTCCCCCTTCTCTCTTGGACCCTCCCTCCCGACCCTTTTCTGGTTGATGCACATCTATAACCGACTGAAAAGTACAAGTTCTATGCTAACTTATAAGTTAATAACATGGACATTACCTTAATATAATGAAACATCTGAATTAAAAAGTCATTCCTGGAATCTTCGAGAATAAGAGTGCACCCCATGTTAGAAGTAGTGTTATGAAGGTCAAAAATAATGTCATAGGAATCTTCATTATCTTTAGGACCAAACAAATGATTTATTTCTTGAGCCCTTCTCACTTCATATGGCAAGTCCTCTGATGTTTCTTTGCTGTTATTAGCAGAAAGAAAAAGATTAACAACATCTGTGGCTAAGGTAACATAAATATACAACAAGAATACAGTGTATAAGGAACCAGTTGCCAAACCTTTAATATGACAAATCTGTGATGGAGGTGGAAACTTATTTGAAAACTTTATAAATGAAAAGTTACATTTTTTTCCCTCCATTTGTTTCCATGTAATGTTGCATTGGCATGCTTGTGAATAGTTCATTTAGGTGGCTGGTTACAGGAAGGACATTTCAAATAGAATTTACCATTTGACTTCAACCTCAAACAAAATTTATCCATTAATTTAATCAACAGTTTCTTAGTAGTTATGTGCCCTGGCTATTATGGGGCTAGGTCATCAAATGCACCTCCCTCCACCCCCCACTATCTAGCTACTTCTAGTGCACAACAATAGTCAAACTTAGGTGCTCACATTACCTAATTAGGAGTTCTTAACTGAGGTCCAGGAACCACTGGTGGTCCAGGGATAAGCTTTATTAACAAGTCTGTAAACCCTGAGAAAATGCAAAAATTTGCAGATATATGCATACATCTTTTTTTTCTGGGATGAGGTTTTTTACTGAATTCTCAAATGAGTCTCTACCTGTCCTCTCCTCCAGTATGGCAATGGGTAGGATAAATTTTTTTTTCTTACTGTGCATGATAATAGTTAAAACTTATTTTTCCTCATTGAACTGTTCAACCATTTCTCCATATATTTCTATTCCCTGACTATTTTTGTTAGTATCTTCAAGGGATCTACAGTTTGCCTCTGTATAATTCCTGCCTGGAATGGAATTAAGTAGGTAGAGTAGTCAATTTTCGACTTTGAGGGAAAAACTATGAGGACAAAGCTGATTGGCTAGGGATGGTGCAGATGGTGCAGCGGGAAGGTGGAGAAAGTCTGGCATTGATGATATTATTGAGTCACTGTACCAGCCCTGGATGGTCTACCTCCCCACTTATTACCTGTGATAAAGAAACCCTTGTTTAAGCCACTGCTTCCAGGTTTCTATTATATGCAACCAAACATAGTTCCTATGGATATGCATGCCTCTTAAAAGTTAATTCGTGAAAGAAGTTCATGAGGTCCCCTCACCCCCAATTACTTTGCTTCTAATGCTTCCCCATGTGAGGAAATGACCACTAGCTACCCAGTTGCTCAGAGTCAAGGCTTGAAGTCATGAAAGATAATGGACATTTTGAGTTCTCATGTATGGAGTCCAGGTCCTATAGGAAGAGTCCCAAGGGAAGAAGCTGAAAGAATAGGCAGGGGCAAGATACTAAAGGACACATCAGCTATACTAAGTTACTTAAATCTATTCTGGATAGGAGATTTTTATAGAATTTTCAGCAGGGGAGAGACATGATATGATTTGCATGTTAGGATGACCCTGATGGCTGCTACCACATGGTGAATCGATGGCAGGAAGGATTGGAGTGAGGCTGGATGCAGAGAGATTCTTTAGGATGCTACTCTGACTGTCCAGAGAGGAACCAAACCAAGGAAGTAGAAATGGACAGGAAGGTTGGATCAGATTGGATCTGCAAAATGCTTGAAATTATTCAATACCTGAATAATTGGGAAGTCTTAGTGACCCATTAGACATGAGGGGTGAGGAACACGAAAGTCAAAGATGATTTCCATAGAGGATCTGGTGGATAAGGGTGACATCACTGAGATGGGGAATAGGGAAAAGGAGCAAATTTAGGAGAGGGAGGATGGAAAATTGATATGTCTCATTATTTATTTTTGATATATCTCCTAAGTTTCTATAATCACTCTAAGGGAGAACTGTCTACCCTCTGAATAGTATTAAGTGTGAGAAGCAGAAAATGAATTTAATTTAAAAGACTGAAATGTATACTATTGAGTGGTCATAGTAAAGTCATGTTAGTCCATTTCAGAGTTACTTGGAAAGTTAACATGCCAGATTAAAAGAGTTATTCTTCAACAAATTCTTACTTGTAATACTAGAGTTAGTAGCTATTTTAAGTGAATAGATAAAACTTAATTGTGTTGATACAACCTCAGTCATGAAATTAAGGCATTTCTGAAATTAAGATTTATGCTAGTAAAAATATGGCTTGATACACAAAGTATGCTAATTGCCCTGGAAAACATCTATTCCATAAAGTGACACATATTTATACTAGAAGTAGTAACCATCTTTTGATCTGTGGTGGGATTAAATTTAAGTAACTCTCTAAACTCAAATAGCATTTATTAGAAAATGGATGCATAAAGCAGTGGTGTGTTAGTTGCTTCTGTCCATGGCTTCTATCTTAGCCAGCAGTCTACCAACTCTTTGAGGGTAGAAACTATTTTGTGCATAGCTTTGTACTCCCATAGTATCTGGCACAGTACCTTGCAAACAATAGATGTTAAATAATATTTTTAGGTAGATTAAAGAAAGAAGTGGTCAACAAATACATAGAGCCCTATATACCTACGTAGTATCTATAATGATGTAGACAAAGGCAAAAATAATTAGTAAGGACATACCCTGAGTGTTACTCTTGCATACGTGGTATGCAATGTATTATAAATCAGCTGTAACATAACAGAAAATTTAGGTGAAGTGCCTTTATCGTAGTGATCCACCACTGACAGTAGTACATCTCCTCCTCAGACCACAGAACCATCTCCTGTTTTCTAATGATGGGCATTTATCCACCCTTTCAATTAAGCAAATATTAATTGAAACATGACATTTTTCTTACTTAGAACTTTATGCCCTACCATAAACACAGCTGCATGAAAGCACAGTAGTGAATCACCTAGAAAGCTAACAAATAATGCATGCAAGCCTGGTGGCCAAACACTAATTTAACGAAAAGATTATTAAATCTGTTTATTTAAAGATATGGTTTAAAAATAAAAACCTTTGTTATTTATTGTCTCAGTCTGTATGAATACATTTAAAAAGAAAATCAGTTAAGAACAGTCTGGCACTTCAAAAAAATTTATAAAAGAGCATGTGAATCCCAGTTTAGATAACTGAGTAATTCATAATGGAGTATGATTAAAAATGAAAGTAATCTTATTCACAAAAGCGACTGTATGTACGGACACGAATATCACATGTTCTCTCTCACACATACCACTTTTCACACACACACAACACAAATGAAGTCTTACCCAAGATTTTCTGGGTCAAAAACTCGATTCAGATCACAGTCAATATATCTGGTACACTTCTCCACTGCTCTTGGGTTGGAAAGAAATGGTTTTATCTCCAGCCCTGTTCTCTGAATTTCAGTGCCGTTCTCCATCCAGTGCTTAACTAGAAATACTCCTGATAGCTCATTCCCATGAGTTCCTCCAAAGATAGCAATCTTTTTTATAGGATCTTTAGCAATATGACAAGTAGTCATTTTATCAAGTAGTTTTATCTGATTTCTGCAGCTCAGAAGAGAGGAAAACAAAAGAAACTTAATCTCTTAAGAAAAGTTTAGAAATTTCAATCTAATGAGACTTTCACCAAAGTTCAAAGTGCTGAGTTCTCTTGAGTGGCATAAAATTTAATTTTCTGTTAGAAGTTATGAGCTCTGTTTATTATAGGGACACTCCCTTCTTTAGTTCTGCCCTTTACCATATTTGGACTAAAATATGCAGAGATCAACTAGCGATCCTGCTGTTTACTTTAACTTCTAACTCCCTCAAATGGTCAGTAGATCTAAATGCAATAATGAATTAGTATCTCACACACATACAAAAATTCTTTTTTTCCTTCAGCTAGAATGTCACCTAATGGTACATTCATGACTATTTATAATAATAAAATAGTTTATACTTTTCTAACCCTCAAAAACATACACAAAAAACCCCAAAACAAAACAAAGAAGTTGTCCATAATATACATGTTATTGTTCAGTATTTATATTTCCACTAGCCTTTAAAAGTATTTCTTCTCTGAAATGAGTCAGGTGCTTTTCATTAGCTGAGGGCATTGTAATCTCATCTTTATCAACAGCAAAGGGCAGGCATTCTCAGAGAGTCCTCTGGAGCCAGAAGCCAGAGGCCATTTCAGAATGTTTTTGCATGGTCACAGACACATGAACCAAATCAGTGATCACCAGGATGTCAAGTTACTTTGAAACATGCTTTAATTTCTTTCTCCTGATGTTTTTGGTAATTCTGTGTTGACTTCCTTAGGAAGCTTCCTCACTGTTTGCCTCAATACTAAAGGAAAAGTAACTGTTAGCAATTTTCAAATCTTGAAAATTTTCAACACCTGAAAATGTCTTGGGGGCATACTATATATACCAACCAGATATATGAGTTTATACAGACACAGTCTAAATTACTGGTTGCAGAGACTCTCCAATGGAATGTGTTAGTCAAGAGGGAGTCTTATTAGGGGAAACTACCCAGAATACTAAGATGATTATAACCCATTTGGAGAAATAACTGAGCCAAATCCAATTTGATTTTATGCCCAATCATCCAGAAAGTCACATACATCCAAGTACTGGAAATATTATGTACTAGTTATGTCCGATTGTTTGATAGGGGTTCAACAAGAGTAATTAATTATAATCACAGGCTAGTTTATGTTTTCTGACACGTTAGCTATTTCATAATCCACTTTATGAAATAGGGTGGCTTAGGTATTCCTTTCCCTATTGCAGGGGGGAAGGAAAGAGAAGTTAAGTAACTTGGTTAATGTTCCTCAGCTACCAGGAGAAAACTAGACTTGGAATCCAGATAAGCCCAGAGAAACCCAGATAAGTCCAGTGTTTTTTACAGGACAGAAGGGTGCTTCCTGTTTTTTTTGGCCTTCGCCGAAGTTTTAATTTTGCTCTTTTGGAATTCACCACAGTGTGCTAAGGAAACAAGCAAGTATACAAACAAAATACATAATGGAATATAAAATGTGAATGCTTCTTAACATTTAATAAACTAATTCCTATGTCCTTCCTTTAAGAGAGTGTAATACAGAAATAAAGCAAAATAATAAAATCTGAATGTATACATTAAAATTACTGTTCTAACCTAAGACAAAAGCCCCGTTAGCCTTTGATTTTCTACCCACCTCAATGTACACTGAACACTTCAGTGTAGAGATGCTGAACACAACCATAAATATAAACAGATGATATTTGTATTGGTTAGTTACTTTGCTTTTAAGAGCAGTAACTAATGGTGAATTATTAACACTTGATTATGTGGGTTTTTTTTCTGCCAATTTGTGGTTAGTTTTGTCCTTTGCCTTAGTCTGTCTGGAAATGCTGCTTCATTTATTTACTCGTAGCTGGCACAAATGACTTTTGTTCCAAAGCTTGTTTTATGGAATTTTAACAGATCAGCACTTTGAAGCACATTTAGTATTCGTAAGTAAAGTTTCCCTTACATGTCAAAATGAATAACTTTCTTGAGAGTTAATGAACTGCAGTAATTCTGTCCTATACTTACCTTGTTTATTTTGTAGAGTTTGTCTTCTGTGGGAAGCTTTATTAGAAAAAAAGGAGAGCACTTCCTTAGAACTAGAGCAACAGAGGCTTTTCATACTCTTATACCAAGTTAACTTCCAAAAGATTTTTAACTCCCTGTTTCCCAAAGCACACTAAACTTTTGAGCCCTTCAAAACTACACATTTTTATTAGTCCTATTCTTTTTTGAGAGTTCAGAGAACTGACAGTATATGAAGTGGAACCCTTTCTTCTTATCACTATCAGGTTGGATGGTTAATGTTTTGAAGTACTTAAAAGAATATATCTATTATCTCCCAGCACTACAAATGCTTTGTGAGGATGGTGGTGCCTGATTTATTAGTAAAATCATGTAGTTTAAAACAAAGGGAGAATAAATTTTTCATAGTCATGGCTGTCCAATAGATTGATGCCAGAAATTTTGTGGGAGACAAATTTAAAGTAGGATTGTTTCCAAAGTAGTACATTTGCGGGGGAAAATGACTCTTCTCTTCAATATTACATGTATGATGTTTCATACATAATGTGATTATTCAGCAGTCATGTAATCAAGCTACTGTCACTAGTTTAATTTTCTCCTTTCCCAGTGGCAATATTGCTGTCACCCCTCCTGACCAACCTTCCAGGCATAAATAAATAAATGATAACCACAACAAGATAGGGGCAAAATAAATCTATGAACCGCGAGCAAAGGTTCCACATTGCTCGTGTGGATAGTCCTTAGAAATGTTGCACAGGATGTTGCTCATAGTGGATTTAAGTTTTTTTTTTTTGTTAATGAGAAATCTATTTTGGGGGGGCTAGATGAGTGTTGTATATGTGTGTCCATGTGTATGTATGTATGTATCAGGTCAAAGTCTGTTCCCTTAAGCTTTCACTCATTTTTTAAGAAGCCTGTTCTCTGGAACTGCTGTCAGGCAGCTGCACCTGGGGAGGTCTCTGTGCACTAGGTGAAACCTCAACCTGGACAGTGGGGGGATTCTTGAGTCTGATCGAGAAAGAATTCTCAGTCCCACGAGTGTAAGTGAGGAAGGAATTCTTTAAAGTGAGAATAGCAGTGAATGGCAGCAGCCACACAGGAAATAGAGAGCAAGGAAGAACAGAGGGAGGAAAGGAAAGTTCATTAACTCCTGCTGGCATAGGGCAGATCCCTTGCCAGCTCCTGAAGCCAGAGTCACCTGGTGTCCAGTGTCTGCTTGAATCTGCACAGCATGAGAACTAAGTCCCTACTATCCCAGGATTTGGGGGAGCCACAGAGCCCTAGATGGAGTGAGATTATGTTGTGAGAACTTCCCACAGGCAAAGAAAGGAGATTTTTGGGCAGGCTTCTAAAGAGCATGACAGTACAGCTGCAGTCCTGTCTGACAATGGAAACTTGCAAGCCCAAATCATAGCTCTCAGTAGCCCTTCCCTACTTGTCTGAACTGGAACAGAGTGAAGACTTGTGCTTAAGTCTAGTTAAAATGGAATGAAATAGTGAAATAATAAAGACGCTTATCCCTAGAAGAGCACAGAGACAAAATACAATTATGAGCAGTGAGAAGTCTTTAAGGCAAAGTGCGCGGTGGAAGAAAGGGGAGTGTGGGCAACCTCAGAGAGGAGGCTCGCTTAAAGTTTAGGATTTGTGTCTTTTAAAGATTTCAAGAATGGGACAAAGGGCAGGAGGTTGGGTGGTGGGATGGTGGTGTAAGCTTGACATGTGGTCTTATGATGTCTTTCTCCAGTGAGAGACAGTATGTCACCATCCGTAGTCAGTCCTCTAGATATTCTGTAAGATAAACTTAACACAAGGAATTTCTTGATCCTGTTCTTCTCCAAGGTAGTGGTTACCCTCAAGCAGTGGGGACATATCAATTAGGACTCTTTGTCTTGCCTTAAGATAGGGTAGGTTATTGGCTGATTATCATAAAATGTTAGGAATCTCACCTCTTAACTCCCTGGTTTTTAAAATGGAATCTTAACTTTAAGATGGAGTCTCTCCTGTTCTGACTATACTCTTTATATCTCAGCATTTCAAATCATAGGCATGGATAATTAATCATGATGCTTGTCCCATGTCCCTGCCCTACCTCAGAACCATGATGACTAACAAGTCTTTACAGTTTATTGTGTGAAGTTGTTTCTTTTCCAAATTGAATGAAGACAGTATTCATTCACTATCATTCCTTAGTTTGGCATTCAAGATCTCCTATTATCCCACCTCAATCTACTTGAAAACGTGTCTTCTTTTAATTCTCCTTTATTTGACCTAATCTGCAAAGAAACTAGGAATATGTCTCATGGTCTTGTAGCTCTACAACTTTACTAAGAACCTTTCCTTCATCTCTGGCCTTCTGCACTTCTTCCCTTTACCAGTCCCGGTCTGCAAATAGTCTGAGGACATAGTAACAGCAGAACGTGGTCTATGAACCCATGTAGAGCTCCAGTTACTACTATTTCCAGCCTACAATAAGTACTCAACAAATGGCAGCTGTTATTAAATAGAAGCTAACATTTATTGATGATTTACTGTGAGCCAGGACTGTTCATTTTCTTTTTTAATACGGTTAGAACAATGAAGCAGGTATTGTTCTCACTGTTTTACTGAAGAGGAAAATGTAGTTTATTGGGGGTGGATAACTTGCCCAAGCTCAAAGGGCCAGGAGACAGCAGTCTGGAAGGGCCAGAGCCTGGGGTCCCCGCCCCATTCCTTTCCTCTCAGGGTCCCGTTTTTAGGAGCTTGGGCTTTCTCCCTCCCTGGAGCTCATGAAGCCCGGGCCCTGCCTTCCCGACTGCTCTCCGCCACAGGGCGGTCATCTAGACCCAGGCCGCATCTCTCCCGCCACTGAAACTCCGTCCGACTGAACTGACTCAGAAACTCAGGCTGACCAAGGAAGCACCTTGACCTGGTTTTTGTGTCATTCTCTCCCAGGCACGTCCCGGGCGGCCACCGTCGTCTTGCAAACTGGTATCTGGACCGTAAGGCATGTTGGGTGGGAGCTGCGCAACCAGCACAATTGTCTGACAAAGTTGGGCAGAGGCCCGCTGTGCAGATCTGCTGCCAGCTCGCCCGTGACCAGAACAGGCTCGTCCCTAGGGCCATCCCTGCGCCGTGTACCTCACAGTGTGAGGATGACAGCGGGAGCTGCCTTAACATTTTCGCTCCCGGGAGACGCGCCCCTTCAGTCCTCACAGAAGAGCGGTGACCCCTGCTGCGCACCACGGCGGAGGCCCTTGCGCCTGCGCAGTCAGCGGCGGGGTGGGCGCGCCTGCGCACAGCCCGACTTCTGGCACTCTGAGGCGGGAAGCCAGGTGGGCTGTCGCGGCGACGGTTGACTGAGGTGAGGGAACCTGAAGGTTAAAGTTGTGTGCCGTGTTAGCAGGAGGGCCAAGAAGGAAAAGAGTTTACTTGTCCCTAGTTATCAAACAGCCCCCAATCCCTGGGTCAGAGAGACCATCGGAAGAGAATATGAACCCTGACCGAAGCCATGCCTCCTCCCGCCTCGTCCCCACGCGGCGGCTAAAACAGGCCCCCTGGCCTCGGTCTGCGGCCCGTCTTTGAGGTGGGGTGTGTGTGTTTGCGCCCTGGGCAGGCTTGCTGCGTGTGAAGGTTGCCAACCACATTAATGCCATTCTGGCCCTGTTCGTAGTGGGGGTGGGTGGGGCAATTAGGCCCTGTCCCCAGGGTCAGTGGTCCAGGGAAAAGATGTTGCGCTTTTGTGTGTCGTGTTTGTGTGACACTCAGAGGTGTAAGAGCCCCTCGAGCCCCCTCTAGGCTTAGGATGTGAATTGTATTGGTCCTGAAAAATGTAGCATAAACTGTTTTGGTTCCTGGAATACCATCAAGAATATTTTCCGAAGGGCCTACTGTATCCATCTTCAAGCCCAAGATAAGAAAACAAAGCAGAGACAGTACCTGCCTTTATGTTTCCTAAGGTTTATTTCTATAATGATACTTGGAAATTGATATTTACCTCATTATGATTTGCATTGTTGCTTAGTTGTGTGCATGCCTGCCTGCCTCATTAGGTAGTGAATTCAGCAGTAGAAATTACCTTATTTAGGTTCGTATGTTGCCTTTTCACAAAACAGGTGTTCTGTTGAACTAAGTTGGGATTGAAACATATTAGGAGGCTAAACATGGAAAAAACTGCCAACAGAAATTCTGTTGTGAAAGATAAAGTAAAGAAAAAACTTGTTTCACTTGTTGAAGTTACAGAAACTGAGTGGAAACTGATCATTACAATTATTATAGGTATTAACTGAGGCTTTAGTCTTTGGTATTACATAATCCGGGAATCTCAGACTAATGAACAATGCAGATGATCTGCAGTATTTTAAAGCAGAACACAGAACATGTTCTTATATAGTTAGTTCAATGGCGTATGCTTCCCCTGGTCTTGTAAGGGTGTAAGTTTACCAGTGTTGTAGTCTATTTTCCTCTTTATAGATCTGGTTCAGAATTATTGTCTTTGTGGGTCTTTAGTTCTGAAATAAATTACTTAGACTGTGTAAAAATCCTTGTATAGGATGCAAAGTTAAAGCCACTCCAGTCCTAACCTATTTCAAGCAGAGTTGGAAAATTGGGTTATATTATAAATTATTACTCAGAAAGCAGAAGACTCCATAAAGTGTTTATATGAATCAGGCTTGAAACCATAATTTCAGTAATTATAATTTAAACCATAATTGCAGTAATCACTAGGCTTGAGAATTTGATTTTGTTGCTGATACAATATAAGTTACAATTTTTTTTCTTTTAAGGTTGAGTCAAACAGCTAAATTGTGAATCTGGAGTGCAAAGAAAAAGTTACAGACTTTGATATTGAAGGAAATGAAGAGAAACCTGAATGAAAATTCAACTCGAAGTACAGCAGGTATTGAACAACTTTTATTTAGGAACCTTTAAAATGATTGAACATGTAGTCTAGTATCTACTTTTTAGGTCCAAGGAAATAACTTACTCAAGCAAAACATTTAGTGGCAGAGGTGGGAGTAAAAGCAACTTCCCTGGATTTGCTCTGGTGTTCTCTCTACAAACCCTGTGTGCTTGAGTTGTTCTGTGTTTTTAAGCTGAAAACAAAGGAATAGTTTTTATTTGTGTTTGTGACTGACTTACTAAAAATATTTCCAGAAAAAGCACTTCTGTCTGCCCAATAGCTTCCCCTACCATTCTGTTTCCACAGTGTATTTAGTATAAGGAAGGAGGGCAATCGAGATAGCCATTATTATTGTCATCCTTGTCTTCCAGATGAGAAACTAAGGCACAAAGAGGTTAAATAAATAACTTAGTATGTACCAGAACCAGTGTTTGAACCTAGGAATCTGGCTGTAGAGTCTATGCTCTTAGTCACTTTTAGTATATGTTGCATTGGCACAACTAGTTTAAGGAAATTGCCCAAATTTATACTTTGAAGTTGTAATTCAAACCTACTTTGAAATTGTGATTTAAACACAGGCAGTCTGATTCCAGAGCCCACATCATTTCCCCAGCCTTTCAACAGGCAGTTATCAGAGACTATATTCTCCTGTAGTACAAGTGTTGGTAGACCAGCTAGGGTATGATACAGTGGCAAGATATCTGAACTGAGATTTAGGAATCTTGGGTCTTATCTAGGTTCTTCCACTGTGGCAGTGGGAAGACTTTTAGACATCTTTTTCTTCTGAGATCCCTCCTAGTTTTAGTGTTTATAAATTCTGCCTTTTGTCTTGACCTAAGATCTCAGGTCTCCTATCTGGAGGGTTTGGAGGTAGTATTCTCATTTGCATTGGATATTATCACTTTTAAGGCATTCTCAAAATGATCTACAGAAAATATGCATTTCAGAACACCTGTAGTGCTCATTAAAATTGCAGTTTTGGCTTCCAAACCAAATCTACTGAAATAAAACCCATGAGAATCGGGTCTAGGTACTGGCATGTTAAGTGCAATATAGATAAATCTTCATCAAACCAAAGTTTGAGAACCATGACCCTAAGGGTATGTTACCATAGTCCAAAGAGTGGTTAAGGTTTTGGAAAGCAAGGATCAATGTTTGGTTCTCCCTCACCTCTACTGTACTTGAAGGATCCCCTCCAGTTGATATGGTAATAGGCAATCAAAGGAGGGAAATAAGAAAAACAAGTAGTGAATTTGGGAAGAATTTGGGGGTGGGGGAAATGGGAATTACTTCCAAACAAGGAATTGAGACAGTTTAACACAGAATAAGAAAGGAGACAAATGAGGCTATTTAGGATCTTAAAGAAGCTTTAAAGTAGCTTAAATGAGGTCATTTAGGATCTTAAAAAAAAATGTAAGAATCAGTCCAAAGATGTAGAAATGTATATATAATGAATAAATAATTAACACAGAAGTAGACAAATTCAAATTGTGCATTATATCCTAGTAATTATTCTATAACTGAATCTAAATCTGTTTGCCTTTTATGTACTGATTTATTGGTACTTTCAATTTAGGCTGTTTGCCTGTACCATTGTTCAATCAGAAAAAGAGGAATAGACAGCCATTAACTTCCAATCCACTTAAAAATGATTCAGGCATCAGTACTGCTTCTGACAGCTATGATTTCCCTCCTCTACCAACAGGTAAGAAAATAAGGTGAAAATTTTCAGAAAATAAGGACTAGAATTATAAAAAAAATTGTACTTCTATTTTATTATAATGGAAATAGAAAATTTATTTATTTTCTTCTTTCCACTATCCAAATGTAGGGATTACTTGGCTCTTTCTGAACATTCCAGTACAGTACTTTGAGTTTCCTTGTCTACAAGGATGGCTTAGCATTTAAATGGATTATCTGAGATCTGGGGCCTTTGTTCCAATGAAGTAGTAACTTACATTGTAAAGATTTATTTTTTCTTTTTCAAAACACACATGGATATTGTGACTTAGACCTCAGTGGTTAAGAATGGAGAAACTCATGTTGCCTCAGGAATAGGAATAGTGTGCAAGAGAAGACAGGAAAAATGGGAAAAAAATAGGCCTTAGGAAGTTTAGTAGGCCAGAATTTCTAGTGGTTGGCCTAGTCTTTTTACTGCCTTACAGAATTTTTGCCTTTCTTTGTTGTTGGCTCTTTATTCTCTCATCCAACCAGTTGTCTTCCTTACAGCTTCAACTTGCACCTGAACTAAATTGCCCTTGCTGGGAGTTAACATAACCTTTTAGTTCTAGTTCTCAGAGCCCATTGTTGACTGCCCTCTGTATCTCTTGATCAGCTTCTAGAGACAGCCTCTGGTTCAGCTCATCTTTTTAAGTGAAGTCACTAAAATTCTGATATAGCTTATGGTTAGGCCTCTCATCTCTGAAACAATTAGCTGTGGTGAGGGTGCTGGGGGGTGGGTTTTAATGTTTGCTACCTTTTTACTTTTCTTCAGAACAAGACATGGATAGGCAGACATTGTGAAATATACTTGTTACATGCTGGTTATATAGATTTACATTTTTTTGAGTACACTTAAAAACTCTTTAATAGGATCTTATACAACCAAAATTTAAAAAATTCCTTTATATGAAGCAATACTTGTGTTGTTAATTTCATCCAGTGTGCAGCCATAGACTTTAATCTGCTTCTAAATCTGTAATTATTTTGTTTTCTTTCACATTTGAGGAATTTGAAGTATGAATTTTATACTATTCCCATTTTATGGATACAAGATTAAAAATTCACATGGATTTCCATAAGTTGGCATTTATCTGGTCATCCTCTGCCATTTAAAAAAATTCTCCACCCATTTAAAATATTTTTATAAGTACCATGAATGCTGACCTTGAAAAATAACAACAGTTTGAGCTACTCCATAGGAAAATGTGCATCCTCCTGAAGAACTGAACTCTCTAAGCTCTGACCAGGATTGCTATCTGTCAGAGATACATAATAAGATTCTTCTATGGGGTAAAAGATAGGACCAGATCAGTGTTTTTCAAATTTTGTCTTGATCCATTAGTTAGGTTGGGAAATAACCATTCTTTTAAAATAACAAATAGAATGAAGTAGAGTAAAATAGAATAGAAAATATCAGAGTGTATCACACATAATAAGCATAAGAATTGATGGTGCAATTTTGTGATGTTCTTCCCCCCCAGCATCATGTACACACACGGACACACACACAATGTGTGTGTGTGTGTGTGTGTCACACACATAAGTGTTATGCATTTCTTGCTGTGGGTTGAGATCAAAAAAGTTTAAGAAACATTGATTATACTGAATTCATGTTACAAAGTACAAGGTACTATACTAGGATTGATTGTGTAAAAGATAAGGATTAAACTATTACCTTTGTCTAAAATACAGTGGGGGAAGAAAAATATCTGTAAAAATTAATAAGGCAGGTATGACAAATTCTACAACAAAGTTCTGTTGAAGAACAAGTTCCTATCCACGTTCTTTTCTTCTTCAAGCATTCAGCCTCCCCAGATTAAGTAAGTGTGAAATAATTATTTTATAAAATGCTGCCTATCTTACTTTTATATATGTTATTTATATCTTTTGAGATTGGGCCTGGGAAGCAATGAATCCAGAGCTGCCTCCTTTAACAAAAACAGTGAACACAGGGTATGTGGAAAAATGTACACCAATGAGTGTGTGTCTGTTACTGATTAAAGTTATTTTTCTGTGTATATACATTTCTCAATTTGAAAACAAACTATTAATATTAATAAGATGTTTCCTTGAAAGGCATATGTCACATTCAGTTTCTCATCCCATGAGAAGTCAGGATTCTACATCTAAGTCTATTCAGTCAAATACTGAAAGAAACAAGAGTGGTTGGAGGTGAGTCTACTTTAGATTTCTCTTTCTTCTATTCCTTCTTTGCCTTCCCCCCTCCTCTCCTCCCTTCCCTCTTCATCTCCTCTTTTCTTAGAATTACATTTAGAAGATTTCTATACTTATAACTTACTATAGCAATATTACCTATGTTTTATAAAAGAAGTTAAGAGACCATGCTATATAAAACTTCAAAAATAAGGAAATTTGGCAGTGATTATGTTTCCAAAGAATGCTTCATATTAAAATGAAATTTCTGCCAGTATGCATCACCATTCTATGGATCATTAACGATCTAATTGACAATAGAGTCAGGAATAACTGTATATGAATGTTGGATATATTTAGAAGTTGGGAATCAAATAGAATGCTTAGTCTTACCCTAGTAACACAGTCAACTCCAAGGTAAATGGAATGGAATAGGAAAGACATATGGAGATGGAAATGCACATGTATCTGCAGGGGTAGGGGCTCAGGAAATGAAGAGGACCATTAAGGGAGATGGTGTGGGTAGTTCTGGGTCATTGCCATAGGATCTAAGATTAATTGCTAAATATTATTAGAAAATGAATAGATAGAGGACATGGTATTTTTAGGTTGGATTTTAATATTTGATAAAAGGCAATACTGAAGGAAATAATTTTGGGAACAAACTATTGGAAAAACACCAAACATATATGTCAGTCACTGTTTAATGCTGAGAAATATTATTTTAATAATCCTTACAACTCTGAATTAATATTGCCCTCACTTTTGTTAGCTAAAGATACCACATTTTTTAAAAAGGGAGAGACTTTAAATACATCAAAACAATGTTAAAAAAAATCAGTTATGACTTTTTACTTATGCTAGTTTCCTCAGGACCAGTCAGTTACTTTCTTCAGGACCAGGGCTTGAAACTAGGCCTATTCAGTGGTTTGAGATGGTGCTTGGAAGCATAGTTCCATCTGTAGGTACTATGAGAAAATTCATTTTGACAAGCATTAGAGAATTAGCTAATAGATTGTAATCTGGACAGGCTGTCTGTATTGGGTATTCCAATTTGAAATAATAATGATCTGTCAGTCAATTGGAATATAACAATAGAAAATACAGGAGCAGAAAACATTTGAAAACCCAAGTAGGCAGTTGGTAATCTGCTAAAGATCTTTTAACTGATTCTGTGCTTAAGTTTAGAATCTAGGCTTTACATTCATATCCATCTGGCCCCAGCAACAGTTCTTAGGGATCTCATTGAACATCTGGACCCTGTCTTTGTCCCTAAGAGAGGGATCTGAGGGAGACACTGCTCTTTGCCCTGTGTAGAAGCCACTACATCAGAGACTTCATGGTCTGTTTGGGATGTAGAGGACCTGGCTGAGCTGGATTGGCTGCTGATGCAGCATTTGTGTGTAGATGCTCCCAGTAAGATCAAAGGAGTATAGTTCTCAGGGCTTGTCTTCAGACTGGGAGCACCTCTTAAGCAAAAATATTGGAGGAGGTTGCAGATGTGCTGTTATCGATAAGGAGTTGTGAAGCTAAAACTTTTCTGAACTATGAATAATAAAAGTAATTTCCACAACCATGAGAGACAAAAGACAAAATTATGTTTCTGTTCTCTATGGAAAATAAAATTGATGTCTTATGAAGAGGTGATCAATGTAGGAAAAGAATCTTGTAGAGGTATGTAAAGGGCAGTTAATAATAATGCTAATATTTTTTTCCTGGAAATTATGATGTTTGTGGTATTTATCCACTCTTAAAATTTGTAATTATTTGTGATTTCTCTTCCCATTATTTTCTTACCTTATTTTATCCCTAATTGACTTAAGAGGCTCCCCAAACTATACAAGCTTCAGTCTACTCAGTAAGGAGCCTAGACCTTTTTTGGATTATTTTTCCTAACAAAGGATGGGTTGTATTGTTTGCCCTGTTGTGATACTCATGATAATTTTAGAAAAATTATTCGGAAATAAGAATTTGTGACTTAGACTTGTTTCTCCCTGTGGAACTCTTAACTAGCCTGCTTAGAATTATATTTTGGATTTTGGCTTCATTAACATCATGTTCTGATCAGCTGATACAACTCATTGAATGTAGCTAGTAAAATACTGCAACAAATTCATGAATATGGCTTTTAAGCTATATAGTAAAAGTATAATTTCTAATCAAATAGCTATTTACCTAACTTATATTTATACTCCTTGTGATTTAAGATCACTGACAAGCCATAATTTAACTTCCTAAAATTTTACTTAGTAGAAAATTTGAAAATAAGTGTATAAAAAAGTAAGCAAATATCCTCAATGTCTTACTACTTAGAGACAATCACTGTCCTAAGAAGGCTTGTATAGTTTAAAAATACACTTTACGACACTGGACTTGGAGTTGGGAGACTAGGGTTCTCTGGGTTCTGGATTGCCAGTAATTTGCTATATTCCTCACCTGAAAAGAGAGATGTATTATATAATGTATTGTAGGGTTGTTGTGGGGATGTATTTGGAATTTCTAACTAGTTGGTAGTTACAAAATAGTTTATGAACCGCAAATTACCATATAAATGAAAAAATTCATTATTTTAACTAAAAAGTACATACAAACAAAAGCTAATACTAATGTTCTAAAAAAAAAATACTATTACAGCTACAGAGGTGGCAACAAAAATACCAGCTTGAAAACTTGGGATAGAAGTAGTTTTTGGCCTCAGTGCAAAAGAGCAAACCTAGTGGAAAATGATGGAATAAATTCTTGTCCAGTGAGTTCGGGAGCTCAACAACAGAAACATTTAAGAATATCTGAACCTCCTAACTCATCTCTCCAAAGAGAAACTGAAATACTCAGACAAACACATTCAACAAAGACATCTGGCTCTACAATGAGAGGTGTAGACAAAAACAGTGCATTACAGGCATGTAAGCCCAATTTTCAGCAAAATCAGTTTAAGAAAAAAATGTTGGATGATACTCAAGAAGGAAGCACTCTAAAGGTAAACTTTTAATTTTAAGTTATTTATATTTTTATATTTATATTACAAATAAGACATAAATAAGTATTTAGAAAGTTACAGATAAGAGTATTTGAAATCAATCTCATGGTATGCATTACTTGATTAACACTAATAATCTAGTTCCATTGGAATAGATGAATGTTAGTTTTAAAATGTGTAGAGATTGTGAGTGGCTGCTCCTTTTCAGAGTTGCTTTAGAGAGTCCTACAGGGTTCTGAATTTCACTCTTTACTAATTATTGAGATGATGACAATTTATCCAATGCTTGCAGAAATTCTCCAGGCTCTTTATTAGTCAGTCTAAGTCTTTTGTAACTGGAGTCAGCAACTATTTTCTGTAAAGGGCCAGATATTAAATATTTTTGGCTTTATGAGCCATATTGACTCTTTTGCAACCACTTAATTCTGCTATTGTAGCTTGAAAGCAGCTATAGATAATACTTAAATGAATAGTCATGTCTGTGTTCCAGTAGGAGTTTCTAAAAGCAACAGATTAGGTTTGGACTACAGGCCATAGTTTGCTGACCTCTGCTCTATAATCTCATTTTATTTTGCCTTTCTAGCCTCATACTCTATATTCCACTAATTCTTGAATGGGCTAGCCATTTCAGACTCTTTACAATTCTCTAAACATAATATGCATTCTAATATGACTCTGCTTTGGTATATATTCTTCTCTATACCTGTACCTCAGCCTTCTGCTCTCCATTCCTTGCTTTAATTGTTCTTTTAAAATGTCATTTGTGTGTGCTGGCTGTTCCCATCCTCATCCCTTGCCTGCAAATAAATACTTTGCCCTCCACCCTTCTCTATGCTCTGGAAATCTGAATTGACTTCATAATGCATCTTCCTGGGATCCCTTAGCTGGCTTCTGTGAGGGGTCAGCCAGTGGGGTCACTGGCAGGACATCAAGGGCAAGACTTCAAGCCCTCCCTGCTTACATGTTGAGTTGCAGGCAGTGGCTGTGCCCCACCCTGCATGATACCACCCCTCCATGAGTCCAGCTTTCACAGGTTTGGTAATTTCATTTCCTCACCTGTCCTTTCTGTCTAGGAGTGGTAGAAATTTCTTACTGTTGTTAGCCTTTGAGATAAGTGTCCTATGTTTGTTCTTCTCATATGCCTGTAAACAGTCTTTCTCAATAAGCCATCTGGGGTGAATTCTGTTTTTCTTTTTTTCCTGAAAATCTGACTACTGTAGTATGCTTCATGGTGGTTCTCAACCTTATGTTTCCTTGTACACAAGAATGGTATGACATAGTCACCTTAGTAACAGTGGCTCATTATTGCACTAGTTTTCAATGGGAAGTATTCATATTGGTTAGGAGTAGGAGGAGGAGGGAAGGTGGTTGTAATCGGAAAAAATGTCCTATTAAGTGTTGTTCCGTATGTCTCCGCCCTCACAAAAGAAAGTGCTCTCCTCCCTGAAAGTTAATTATCTTAACACAATATGTTCTTAATTGATCTTTAAAAATACCAAACACATTCCCACCTCAGGACATTTATACTTTGCTGTTCCCTAAGTCCTTACTCAACAACCTAAAAGTTATAATCCATGTCTCTCTCTATTCTTTTGCCCTGTTTTTTAATACATAGTATATATCAATTCCTGACATTCTATTATAAACACACATACACACACACACACACACACACACACACCCTACATATTTATTTTCTGAATCTCCCATTAGACTACAAAATCTTTGAGAGTAGCTGTCTTGTCTGTTTTGTTCACTATTGTTTCCTCATTAGCTGTATTTGGCACAGATTAAGTGCCAGTAAATACTTTTGGAATGTTGAATGAATCTGACTCCCCTCCTGAAGTATGAGCATATTAGGGAAAGGAATTGTGTTTTAGTCACCTGAGTTTATCACAAGACTTTAAAAATATTCAATGAAAGGGCAAATGAATAAGTGAATAAATACCCATATAAATAATTCTTGATTGTCTCCAAGTGTACATGAGTTTCCTCCTATAAAGTGCTAAAGATGCCTTTAATTTAGGGTAGTAAATGTACTAAAATTTTCAATAGTTCTTTTTACATATTTTACACATTTGCCTATGGTAAGGACCTAGAATCTTTACATAGAAAGTAGGATGGAAAAAAATGAAATATTTTTTATGCTATGTTTTTATTTTTTCAAAAGGAAGCATCATTGTATCAGTTAAAGTTTAAGGAAAAAGATAATTCTTTGAGAATTATATCTGCAGTTATTGAAAGCATGAAGTACTGGCGTGAACATGTGCAGAAAACTGTTCTTCTTTTTGAAATACTGGGTAGGTACAATAAAAAATACTTCAGTAATACCATTTGTACAATAGTTTTGAATGTCACTGAGGATATTGAGGGAATCTTAAAAAATAAAATTTTGCCAAAGGAGATTATGGTTATTAGAATTTTCTTCAGATCCTGGATCTATCATTGATTTGTGTGACTTAAGGTATATCTGGTTATTATGGTAGTATTCTTCTGATTCATGATGTTAAAACTGGAAAGAGTTTTACAAGTAATCTAACTCAACCCTTGAGGTAGATGAGGAAATGGAGCAAACAGAATAGACTCGACCAAAATCACGGTTAGCAGTAGAAAGGGATCTAGAATCCAAGTTTTTTGTCCTCAATCTAGTGTTCTTTCTACTATATTACACTAAATCCAATAGTAATTTTGTATATAAGTTAAATCATATTTTAAATACTCTGAAAAAACATTTGCAAAGAATCCTTTACTGATAGGAATAAACATCCTACAATTACTCTGCTTTCTAAATTAATATTTAAAAGGGGGAGAGTTTTTAGAATGTTTCTGGAATTTGATTTCACCTTGAATGAAAAGATAAAGTAAGAAGTAGAGATTCAAATGAACTTTTTCCCATAGTTGAAATAAAATATTTAATTTTATTTAAATTATGAAATAATCTAAACCTACTGAAAAATATAGAGGATATAATAAATATCCACATACTTGTATTATAGATGTATTTGAAACCCCCATCCTTTTACTTCTTCTCTAATCATTGTAGTATTTTTCCTATTAATGCTTTTATAATTTTACTATATATATCTAATTTCATAAATTTATATAAATATATTTTTTATTGCTCTATTTTTTTATTGCTCTCATTTAGAAAAACAGCTTACATTTTTATCTACTGTTATGTTTTTGAGATTTAGCCATTTTATCACAGTGTTGACTTCATTCTGAGTCTCCAGTTGTGGTCTCTTCAGCAGTTTCTGACTTTTCCCTTTTGGTATTAAGATGATTATCAAAGTTCTCTATACCACACATCCTTAACTACACTGTCACATTCTTTGATAGTTTCTTCTGGTTGCTCTTTCCCAGAAACTAGCAAATGACCCCTTGCATTATCATTGTTTCTGATTGGGGATAAGCCCATCACTGAAACTCTGAACTCTACTTGGGGAATGGGGTATGCTGATTGGTTTAAGTCTCAGTTCACTCCTGGATTTGGGAGTGGGGACAAGTCCTATCCAAATCATCTGGCTAATAATGGCATAGGAGAGGTTTCTTAAGGGAAAAATCTGTGTTATTAGGGGTAATGGAGGCTGACTTCGAAATAACACACATTCACTATCAGTACTCAGTGGGTGGTTATTAATGGAATGAATAATGCTTTCATTTGGTAATAATTTCTTGACATAAATATAAATTATTATTTGCATTTTACAGATGAAACAAATATAAAAGAGATTAAACAGTTTGCATAGTTTAGTAATTGAATAACTGGGAGTCAAATCCATGACTTCTGATTCTAATTCAGTGATTCTTTTTTTCCCATTAAATCATGATGCTTGTTTGTTATACATGTGTATTTTATTATAACATAGTAGACTGGTCTGGGATTTAAACAATCTAAAGCACAGTCAAAGAAAAAAGCTTTAAATGGCCAACTATTGTCACTTGTATGAACTTTGGCCTATAACCTGTACCTAAGTTGGAGAGGGCTAGAAATTTTGCTCTTCTTAGTATAAAAGAATTTCAGAAATATCTTTTGCTCTTAATAGTGTCTTATTATTGTAGAAGTAAAACTGTGGGAGGTTGATGTGGGAATAGTTAAGTATCAGCTTCTCTTTGTTAAATTTTATTTGCATTTTACCAGAACTGATTTTTTTTCTCTCTCTTTCAATGTTGCTTAGCTGTTCTTGATTCAGCTGTTACACCTGGCCCATATTATTCAAAGACTTTTCTTATGAGAGATGGGAAAAATACTCTGCCTTGTGTATTTTACGAAATAGTGAGTATTTGCTTAATTATTTGCAAAGCCTATGTCAACAAACACAAATACAGGCCATCAGTCCATTGCAGTAGACATTGGTTTTAGTTCTGATATTAAAGTTGTTTATTTGCTTAATTAATATGTAGAACCTACTATGTGCCAGGTGTTGTGCTGGATGTAAGGGATACAAAGTGGAATGTAAGTGGAAAATGCTCTTTCTTTCAAAGAGTTCATAATCTCAAGGAGAAAGTTACATAAATGTTACACTGAGGTATGATAAATGGTGTGATGGAGGTATGTGCACAGTGCAGTGGAAGTAGATAGAAAGGATGAGGCAGATCAGGGAAAGATTTTTGAAGAATATAGTAATTTAGCTTATCTTGGATATTTAAAGACTAATAAATTAAGCCAAAGTGTGTTGGAGGCGGTGGTGAGGGGAGGGAAGAGGTGGAGAGAAATGCATTCTAAGATGAGAGAGCAGTATATGCAAAGATGTGAAGCAGAGAGAAAGCCTGGATTGTATAGGAAACTGCAAGTAGTTTATAGTTACCAGAGTAGAGTTAGCAAGTGAAGGGGGTAAGGGTAGTGCTTAAGGCTAAGAGTGGGCTGGGATAAAGGGAGGAGGCTTGGTGATAGAGAAGGCTCGGGGAACAAAGGAGACTGCAGCCCTTAGAAGACTTAGGTACTTTGTAAAAGAGTTCGGCATTAATTTTGAAATTAGCCTTTAATCTGAAATCATACTTTGATTTCACTTTTTACTCTACCATTTACTAGCTTTATGACTTTGAATAAGTTGTTTAAACCTCCTGAGCCTGAGTTTTTTTAGATCTGTAAAATGGGAAGACTAATTTCTACTTTGAAAGGTTGTTTCGGAGATTAGATGGTAAAACACAAATGTATAGCATCTGCATCATTGTGCCTCCTTCCATTCACTACCTCCTGTCTCCTTCCTAAAAGTAACCATTACCCTGACTTTAAAGATCACAAATTAATTCTGTCTGTATTTAAACTTTATATAAAAATAGTATTATATAGTATGTCTTTTCTTACATCTGGTTTCTTTCACTCAACACAATGTAAGATTCACCTATATTGTTTCATTTCTCTGTACAATATTCTGTTGTATGACTATGCCAAAGTTTAGTTTTTTATTCTGTTGGTGAGCATCTGGGTTGTTTCCATATTTTTTGCTAGTATGGATATTCTCATATGTCTCTATTGTGCATATGCATACATTTATGTTGGATATATTCCTAGAAGTAAAATTGCTACATCATAGTGCATATGTATGCTCTAATAGAGTAGTTATTGCCAAAGAGTTTTCCAAAGGGTTGTTTTACACTCACAGTCAGAGGAGGTGAATATAGTTTCTCTGCATTCTTAGTAACACTTAGTACTGCCAGTCTTTTTCATTTTAGGTATTCTAGTCAGTGTTTAGTGCTATCTCATTCCTCTGCAGTTCCCTGGTGACTGATGAGCTCAAGCACCTTATATGTTTACTGGTTGCTTATCTTCTGTAAAGTCCATTCAGGCCTTTTGTTTTTTTTTACTATTGAATTATTTGTCTTTTCCTTATTGGTTTATAAGAGGTTTAAAAAACTATTCTGAGTACAAATTCTTTATCTATTATGTGTATTGCAAATATTTTTTCATACTCTGTGGTTTGCTTTTTCATTCTTAATGGTGGCTTTTCAGTCTAAAGGGTGAACAGAAATTCTTCCCTTTAATATAGTCCTTTTAGCAAGTATCACATTTTCTCTTATAGTTAGTGCTTTGTATGGCTGTCAAGTAAAAGCAATCCTGAAATAATTTTATTCATGTTTGAGAGGATTTGATGCTGACTGATCTTGTTTTGGTTTATTAGCCCTATTAAGGCATAGCCCTTTTGGGTCCCAACCCTAAGCCTCAGTGGTCACCAGAATCTCTTTTCCTTGGGGGCATCTAAGTCCATTTTTCCCCCTGAGCCCTATGAGCCTGTCAAAAGCTCTGCTTAGTTTCTTAAGACTCTCAGCTGCCTTGACTATAAATGACAAATATCTCAAGGGGAAAACATCCCCAAATATGAGTCCCCATTTTAGACTCTTGTCCTTTCCCAGATGGGGGTCTCTGTAATTCCTCACTTCTCTGGTATCTCTCTGATGTCTCTGAGGAGATTTAAAAATATTTCATCCAGCTATTCTAGTTCTTAGCTAGAGAATTAGTCTGAACTATCTAGTTTGCTGTCTGTTCAAAGTGGAGCTTTGGCAGACTAATAGAAGTGGATAATTCTGTATGTAAGGCACATGCCATTACATTGGAACCTATTCAGTCTTTTAAGAAGCAGCAGCTCACTAGCTTGTAAGAAGCCCTACCCAAGTGAAGATCTTTCCTCTGTGACTGGGCATCTTTATATGCCCTGATCGTTACATAAGGGCATCCTCATATGCCTAACTATCATGGTCTTGTTGGCAGTAGAACCCTAAATAAGGTGAGGGAATTACAGCATTTTGGGGTGGTTCATACTTAAGTCAATCATATAATTAATTTCAAAAATTTGAAATTCAGGCTAAGTAATAAATAATTATTAATATTTATTTTTTGAAAAACAGGATCGTGAACTTCCAAGACTGATTAGAGGCCGAATTCATAGGTGTGTTGGAAACTATGACCAGAAAAAGAACATTTTCAAATGTGTTTCTGTCAGACCAGCATCTGTTTCTGAACAAAAATCTTTTCAAGCATTTGTTAAAATTGCAGATGCTGAGATGAGGTATTATACTAATTTAATTAATGAAATTTAAGTAGTGATGAAATAAGTTTAAATAGTATAACTTACAGCATTTTTCTGTTATTGTTTAAATTACCATGGTTTTATAGCTATTGTTTTTCTGTATTTCATTTGTTGAATTAAAATTTTTAAATCCTTTCAGATGTGGAAAAAGTTTTTGAAAAGACTTGCTGTTTTTATAAAAAATGATTCTTTTGCTAAAAATTCGACTACCATTTCAGATAAAAATGTTCTATATAAGAGGATTAGATACCTATTTAATATGAGGTAATGCATTCGAGTCAGCCCAAAAGCCAACGTCAAGCTTAATGGGAACATATAGAAATATTCCGACTAGAGTCAAGAACAAGACGAGGGTGCCCACTATCAGAAGTGTTACTAAGCATTATACTAGAGTCTATGCAGTTCATTTAATTATTTCAAGTGTTTAATGAGCATATACTCTGTGCCAATCACTGTTTCAAGTGCTGGAGACAAAGCAGTTAACAAAGTAACAAAAATCTCTGAAACTATGGAATTTATATTCTAGGACCCAGAGAATATATTAGCAAAAGACAAAAACTTGACATATAATAATTATTGCTATAAGCAGATGATATAATTATATATATAGAAAACTTAAGAAAATCAACTGAGGTACTACTGCAAGAATGAGATAATTTGGTAAGGCATTAAAAATTTAATAAACAAAAATCATCAATAGATGTTATTTATATATGACCACACTGTTAGAGTAGAAAATGGATAAAGATACCACTTAAAATAGAAAAAAAAAATATCCAAGGACTAGCCAAGACTAAATGATTAAATGTGGAAAGTAAATGAACAAATCTTTAAAATACGCAAATGAAGGACACAAAAGAAAGATTTGTGCAAATGTAAAAATCATTTTCTTGGATAGGAAGACAAAGATGTTGATTTTTCTATAATTTGTAACTTCTGTGATTTTCTGTGTACACACCACACACACACACGTAAATGAAGCTGATACTAAAGATTACATTAAAGAAAAAGAATAGAGAACTCTGAAAAAGAAGAACAATAGGAGATAGTTCTATCAGATATTGTAAAACCTTAAACATACAATGTTAATTATCTATTGCTCCATAACTAATTACCCTCCAAATTAGTGGCTTAAAACAAGCATTTATTATCTCTCACAGTTGGAATGGGCCAGGATTTCAGGAGTGGCTTGGCCAGGCAACCATGGTTTGGGGGTCTCTTAGGAGGGCACACTTCTGAGGTGGCTTGTGCACATGACTGCCAAGTGGTGCTTGCTGTTGGCAGGAGGCCTCAGTTTTTTATTATGCGGGCCTTTCCAAAGAGCTGCTTGAGTGTCCTCATGACATGATTGCTAGCTTCCCTTAGAGCAAGTAATCTAATAGAGAGTTGGCCAGGTGGAAGCTATCTTTTTATGGTCCAGCCTTGAAAATCACACATCACTTCTAATATGTTTGCTAGAAATGAGTCATTGAGTATGGACCACATTTAGGAAGAGGGGAACTAAGCTCTGCCATTTGAAGGAAAGAGTATCAAGGAAATGGCAGACATATTTTAAAACTAACCCATATAATGAAGGCATATTTATTTATTCATGCAAAATATGGTACTTGTCATGAATAGGCCAAAAGAACATGCAAAAATAAACTCAAGTATAGAGAACAATAAATGTAGCATCTGAAATCCATGGGGGAGAGGACCGTGCAATTGGTGAGCTATGTTGTACACTTGAAACCAGTATTATATATCAACCATACTTAGAGTTTTTAAAAATGGTTTGACATCTTGACAGCATCTTGAAAAAATTAAATTAGTTAAATCTTATGCTAAGGTTTTTAGTATATTTTTCTTATTCTTTTGTAGTCTTTAAAAAAAATACATGTATTTAGCTTTTTCATCCATTTGGAAATTACCTTTGTGTAGGTTGCAAGGCATAGGGGTTTGGCTTAATTTTATTTCCCAAATAGGTGGCTGATTATTCCAATACCACCTCTTGAACAGTATACCATTTTCCTATTTATTTGAAATACTGTGTATATCACCAAATAAAACATACAAGCATCAGTCTACTTTTAACTTTTTGGTTAATTTCTTAGCTATTCTCAAAGCCTTGTTTTAAAATAATCCTGCTTTGAGTTTTGATTAGGATTGCATCAAATTTATAAATTACTTTGGGGAGAGTAGACTTATTTATAACAGGTAATCTTCCCATTAAGGAATATGGCATGTCTGTTTATTTAGATCTCTATGTCTTTCAGTAAAGTTTATAATTCATAAAAATTTTGACCATTTCTTACTACATTACTTATATACATATGTGTGTGTATGTATGTATGCATATATGATATATATAATCAACTATATATAATTTGCATTTAACTTTCTGTTTCCTCATACCTGCCCTTCAGAAACATCTGCACTCTGGTCTTACCTCTCTACATCCTCTCCCTGCCCTAATTCTTTAGATTTCTATTGCTCAAGCAAGCCAGTGGAGGGGGGTGATAGTCTCCAGCTTCAAAAACAATCAAGGTGGAGGAATCTCTAGGAAGGTACCGGAAAGGAGGATGCATAGAATGATATCAAGTTCTTTTGTGACTTTACAGTTACTGTCTTGTATCAGAGATTTAGTTGTGTTGCCAGTTGGAAGATCACATCCAGAAAGATTGGTGTACAGTCCTATGGAATATGGTTTGAACCAGGAATCCATATATGCAGCTGTTTCTCCCATAGTCATGATTCACAAAGCTAGGAATCAAGGGGTGGTAGCAGGACTGGCTTTTCCCGTTATTATTAGACCAAATAATGTACTTAGAGAACCTTTGCTTCTCACCCTGACAATTTTGGGCTCTGATGGTTTAGATATGTCTGTTATAGTCTAGATTACCAAAAAGCAGACTGAGACAAAGTCTTATTTGCTAGTAGTTTATTTGGGATACTATCTCATGGGAAGAAGTGAGGGATAGATGGGGTATAAAAAGAAGGGAGAGCCAGTACTGGGGTGGCTTACTGAGCAGACCTCCGCTAGGAGTGACAAGTCTTGAAGTGCCATCCACCTTAGTGAAAATGGGAAGCATATATTGATCAGCTCCTAGCACCAAGGATTGGCCCATGGGTCATTAACTCCTCTACACTTTTAGGTTCTGTATATATGAGTGTTCAGCTGGCTTTCCATGTTATTTCATTCAACCTTATGGCAGGATGCAAAAAGGAACAGGCCTGAGGTACTGCAGTCAGAATGTGTCTATGTGGGGCTGGTTGAAGTCTTTGCAGAACTGGTTACCGCAGTTGTGACTGGAATAAAAAATGTGAGAAGTGCACAAGAGGTGGTACACGAGAAGTGTCTGATACAGTTCCCAGGGGAGGAATGCTGCTCCCAGGATTGCTTCAGTGGTTCTACCAGAAGCTGAGGCTGCCACTTTGCCATTTTGGATTCTTAATGTCACTGAACCAACAGACAAGCAAAGGAGTTACCATTCTGTCTGGGGGTAATTCAATCCAAATTAACAATAGAAAATTGAGTTTCTCTACACAATGAGGAATGGAACGACCATACGCAATACCCAGAGGAATCCTTGGGGTGAAAGTTTTTGGAAAACTATAGCAACCCAATAAAGGCAATGAATGACATTAAGGATTCAGGCTCCCAAGGAATGAAGGTTAAATGTAAAGAAGCCATCCAGATGAAGTGATGACAAAGGGAATGTGTAATAGCCAAGGAAGAAGTCATAAATGTTAGCTATGGCCTTGTGATTAATTGGAAGGTGAAAAAGAGCTAGAAACTAGAAGGTAGTCTGCTTGAGAGTAGTAGAGATGATGGTCGTGGAAGGTGCTATTAAGGTTTTCCTACAGAGGAAAGGTAGACGTGCCTCAGTGGGATGAAAATCTGGGTTCTCTTTTCTGTCTTGGCCCGAGGAAGATTACTTGTTGTTCCCCATAGAATAATGCCTCCTACATTCTAAGATATTTTAGGATATTCAGTTTGGTCCCTGCTTGTTTCTGTGACGTCTTCAACCATCTTCCTTCACCTCCCAAAATGTAGGCTCCAGCCCTACAGGACTAATGTCTAGTCCCTGAACACACAGTGATTAAGCATCCATTCTTGAGCTGCTTTCTATCCCCACCTTCCCCAAAAGTATAGTCAGGTGTGATCAGTGAGTGTAATTAGCCACTGCTCCAGGACTCTGAGAGCATTTGTACTACAGAGGTCCTGGGTAATTACTTTGCCTTTAATGAGTTCCTCCAGGATCTAGACTCCTCTGGGATCCAGGGCCCCTTAGGCCCAGGGATATATAGAATAGGAGATGTGAGAAAGGATATTGCAGACACAGGTGATGACTACTGAGGCTGTTAGTTCACATGCCTTAGTGAATAAAGGGTAGCAGGACCTTGGGTCCGGGTCCTGGAGTCCCCCCTCATACACGCTGGGTAAGTTGGGCAGAGAGTGGATGAGCTGGTCCCTTAGGGTCCTTCTTATGTTAGGGTCTTAATTTCCCAGATTGTGTGGTGCTCTGCCACATTGTTTTTCAGATAATGATAACCCTCCTCTTCTCCAAGATTTCTCCACATTCTAGAATTATTTTTGACTGATGTTCACCAGTTAGATTTAGTCTTTTCATCAATGATAGCATATTACTTACTATGTAATGTATCTCACAAGATTGTATCGTTTAAACGTAAGATCTCTGTGAGACAGGCACTTAATATAGTGATAGTGGTTCTTAACCCTTGACTATGTACTTGAATTATGTAAGGAGCTTCAAAATACTTTGGGTAGCCCCACCCCCTCCAAGATTCTGATTGAATTTATGGAGGGTGCAGTAATCTATAGTTTAAAAATGTGTGTCCTTACCAGTCTAAGTGTGGTCCATAGACCAATAGAGTTAGCATCACCAAATGTAAAATTTACATAAAAAGTGTAGACTTGTAGGCACAACAACAGACCTACTAAACCAAAATCTTCATTAACTGGACCCTTAGGTAGTTCACATATAAATTAAAATTTTTAGAAGCACTCTGTGGTGCTTCTTAGGTGCAGTCCAGACTGAGGAATACTGAATCACCGGGTGAAGAAGGTCAGAGGCATCATTAATGGGGCAGCTGAAGCTCATATGTCTGATCAGTGGCAACATCTGCAAGTGCTGGCTGTGTGGTTTGTGATTCCTAATGAGACTCTTGGCACCAGAGATGGGTCCCTCTCATTTCCCAGGGGAGCAAAGTCCTGAGGAATTAGATGTATATGAAACTTTACTTGATGCTTTTCTCTGTTGCAGTAGCAGTACATTATGTCCATGTCAAAAATTAAAAATGTGACTCCAACAGCATCAGCAGGGCAAAAATTCCAGCAGGTGGACTCAGATATTTATTTAGGGAAGGAATTTCCCATATCTCTAAATGCTTCTCCTTAGCTTTCTTAGCTCTGAGGTGCACTCTGAGATATAGATATCTGGAGAAGAATTGGAGCAAGGTCTTAGGCATATAAATTATATTTATTACTTCCTTTTCCCTGCATATTACTAAACCTGTCAATCAGATTTATTTTTTTCACAGCAATATTACTGAATTCTGAGGGTACGATACAGGGAAAATGTGACACTGTGGATGTGTACTGAGCTGCCTGTTTAGGATAAAGGGGAGTGAGGTTGGAGTAGTCTTGTATTTTCCATGAGTCTGAGATTACATCTGGGTCTGTAATAAAGTGCCCACAACCAGAGAGTTCTTGTTCTGAGAGGACTTAGTAGGAATAGATGTTCTAACTTAGCAGCAGTTTGCTGTCTTTAAAGTGGGAGGAATGCATGTCCCAGCCTGAAGCACACCTAATAAATATTTATAACACATCAGCTACATGCAGGGGCAAGCAGGTCAACAGAGAGAAGAGGGAGGAAGATGCTGGGCAGGGGGAAGAGCAGGTGGAACAGGCTGGAGGCAATAAATGGTGCCTCTTGACCAGCATTGCTGGAGAAAGGCAAGGGTCAGGTCATGAAGCCTTTTGAGCCCTGAAAGGAATGTTGTGTGTATCTTAAGAGCAGTGATAATCCATGAAGACTTTAGGGAGAATGATGACCATCTTAGAGTGCTACAGTGTGAAGGAAGGATACTGAAGGAGGGGTATTCATCGTGGAAGCAGGGAGATGAATTAAGATGCTGTTGCAATAGTACAGACAAGGCCTAATATCTTCCTGGTTCAGGGTAGTGAGTGTTGGGATAGGAGTGGGTGACTGAGAAGGAAAATAAAGTAGAAGAATCTATAGGACTTGATAGATTGGATATTGATAATGGCAGAAAGGAGGGAGTGAAAGAAAATTCTGTTTATAACTCAAGCCTGGATTTCTTTACTGAAATGTAAGAGACTTGGCAGAGTGGATTGGGAGAGGGACTGGGTGAGAACATGAGTTTCACCTGGGATCAGTTGAGCTGAAGATACTTGTGATATTACATGGGGAGATAAACACTAAACAATTGATGATATTGTTCTGAAGGTGATAGAGGCTTACTACATGATACATAGAGGTTTGCTGGACCTACTACATGAGATTTAGATAGTATTTGATGCCATGGGAATAGGTGAGCTTTTCAAGGCTCTGTAAGTGGAATATAAGAACAGTGTTTAGGAAAAAGCCCAAGGAAACACCAGTATATGAAGTACTGTTAGAAAACCAATCACAGTTACTGTGATTGGATGGCCAGGGATATATCAGGAGAATCAGCATATTCACACAGGATAAAAGATGAGAGTATTTTAGAAGGGAGAGAAGAGTCAATATTGTTACATGCAAATTAAGGGAAAATGGAGAAAATAATTCTGAAAAGTGGCTAGGATTTAGTGATGTGTCATATTTGTGGGTACAGAGTGTTATGGTAATGAGCATGAAATCAATCATTACAGAGCAATTAACATATCATATAGTTATGTTCATTTCTATTCAGTTTTTTAATGCACACTATTATTTTCTTCTAAAGAAACAGGACAAAGAGCATGACAGGAAGAAATCAAACTGTCATCTCAGAGTTCCTCCTGTTGGGACTGCCCATTAGATCAGAGCAGGAAGACCTGATCTATGCCCTGTTCCTGGCCATGTATCTTATCACTGCCCTGGGGAACTTCCTCATAATTTTCCTGATTCAACTGGATTCTCACCTCCACACGCCCATGTATTTGTTCCTCAGCAATTTGTCCTTGTCTGATATCTGCTTCTCTTCTGTCACCATTCCCAAATTGTTGCAGCACATGCAGAGCCAGGTCCTATCCATCCCCTATGCTGCCTGCCTGACCCAAATGTACTTCTTCCTGTTTTTTGCAGACCTGGAGAGTTTCCTCCTCGTGGCCATGGCCTATGACCGCTATGTGGCCATCTGCTTCCCCCTGCACTACACCTCCATCATGAGCCCCAGGCTCTGTCTGTCCCTGGTGGGGCTGTGCTGGGTGCTGACCACGGTCCATGCCATGTTACACACCCTGCTCATGGCCAGTGTGAATTTTTGTGGAAATAATGTGATCCCCCACTTTTTCTGTGATATGTCTGCTTTGCTGAAGCTGGCCTGCTCTGACACTCGAGTCAATGAGCTGGTGATATTTATCACGGGGGTCCTTGTTCTCGTCATCCCGTTCCTACTCATCATCCTGTCCTATGCACAAATTGTGTCCTCCATCCTCAAGGTCCCTTCTGCTCGGGGCATCCACAAGGCCTTCTCCACCTGTGGCTCCCATGTCTCTGTGATTTCTCTGTTTTATGGGACAGTTATTGGTCTCTATTTATGCCCATCTGCTGACAATTCTACTATTAAGGAGACTGTCATGGCTGTGATGTATATGGTGGTGACCCCCATGCTGAACCCCTTCATCTACAGCCTGAGGAACAGAGACATGAAGGGAGCCCTGGGCAGAGTCTTTTTCAAAAAGAAAATTCCCTTCTGTGTATGATGGTAAAGCTTGGGATTTTTATGCAATTTTATCCAGTAGATATGTTGATATTAATATTTGGATATTAACTGACACTTCTTTTTTCACCATTGATACTTTGTGTTAAAATGACATACTGAATAATTTGTCCAGTAAGTAAGAGTTGAAGTGTACATGTGTAGTTGAACTCAGAAAGGGGATCTCAGTGACCTACTAGTAAGGTCTTCCTCTCTGTTACTCCCAGGTAAGCCTGAGAAAGCATCATTTTGTAACTTCTAATTGATCTTTGAAAGTCCATTGTTAAGCAACTAACTTACCATGTTTTATGTTTGTAAATAAACTCTGCCTTCCGAGGTCAGTTTTAACTGAAATGCAAACATCTCACTCCCTGTATATCTGCAAAATTGGACTTTTCATTGTTGACCATGAATTCTTTACTTTCCTCTGCCTGAGTGATCATTCACATTTTGCCTTTTAATCTTTTTTCCTCTGATGTATTTTATTAATTTTCATGTTTACATTGTCTTTTTGACCCACCATGAGCCTAAGACAAATTTTCTATTTCCTCTGCTACAGTTTACATTATCATATTGTTAATTTTTGTGCTGTGCTTACAGCAGTTCTTTAGAACTTGCTCATTTTACATTACAGAAACTTTGTCTCATTGGAATCAGTTCTCCATTTTCCCCTCCCTCTGCCCCCTGACAATTACCAATTTTGTCTCCTTATGTGGATTTAATTACTTTAGACACCTCATGTATTGGATTATGCCTGTCTGTCCTTCTGTAACTGCGTTATTTCACTTAGCATAGTGTTCTGTAGGTTCAGCCATGTTGCAAATGACAGGATTAACTTTTTTCTTCAGGTTGAATAACATCATTCAGTATGGTACTATTCCACTGTATATATATATATATATACCCCATGTTCTTTATCCATTCATCTGTTCATTGGCATTTGGGTTGTTTCAACACCTTGGCTGTTGTGAATAATGGTGCAGTGAACATGGGGCTACAGATAGCTCTTTGAAATCCTGATTTCATTTTCTTTGGATATACTAGCCAACAGTGTATAATGGTTTCAGTTTTTCCACATCCTCTCCAATACTTTTTTTTCTTTTTTAATAATATCCTTCTTTACAGGTGTGAGGTGATATCTCACTGTGGCTCCAATCTGCATTATCCTGATGATTAGTGACGTTGAACACCTTTTCATATACTCGGTGGTCATTTGTATGTGTTCTTTGGAGAAATGACTATTTAAGTCCTTTGCCCAGTTTCTAATGAGGCTATTTGTTTTCTGCTTTTGAGTAGTAGGAGATTCTTATATATTTTGGATATTAACCCTGTGTCAGAATGACGGCTTGCAAATATTTTCTTCCATGGTCTAGGATGCCTTTTTATTCTCTTGGTTACTGATTTTGCTGTGTAGAAACTTTAGTTCAATGTAACATCAGAAAGAATAATGACCCAGGGATCATTCTTGCTTGATCATGTTGTATGATTCTCTTTTAATATGCTGTTTAATTTGGTTTGATAATATTTTGTTAAGAATTTTACATCTATATTCATCAGAGATACTGGTCTATAATTTTCTTTCCTGTAGTGCCCTATCTTTTTCTGGAGTCTGGGTGATTCTGGCCTTGTAAAATGAGTTAGAGAGTGCTCGCCACTCTTCAACTTTTGGGAAGAGTTTGAGGAAGTTTGGCATGAACTCTCCTTTAAATGTTTGGTAGAATTCACCAGTGACACCATATGATCCTCATATTTTTCATTATTGGGAGAGTTTTGATTGCTGATTCAATCTCCTTACTCTTTATTCATTTGTTTTATTTGTTTCTAATTCTTCATGACTCAGTCTTGGTAGGTTGTATGTTTGTAGGAATTCATACGTTTCCTCTAGGTTACCCAACTTGTTGTCATGTAATTGTCCCTGTAGCCTTTTATGATCCTTTGTATTTCTGTGATATCAGCTATAATTACTCGTCACTCATTTCTGAATGTATTTATTTGAGTCTTCTTTTTTTCTTATTCTAACTGAAGGTCTGGCTATTTTGTTTATCTTTTAAAGACCTAGCTCTAAGTTTTGTTGATTTTTTTGTGTTATCTTTATGGTCTCTGTATTTTATTTGTGCTCTGATCTTTGTTATTTCCTTCCTTGTGATAACTTTGGGTTTAGTTTGTTCTTATTATTTGAGGTGTAAAGTTAGATTCTTTATTTTCGATCTTTGCTTTTTCTTGAAAAGATGTTTATAGCTATAAACTTGCCTCTGATAATTGCTTTTGTAGCATCCTGTAGACTTTGCTATGTGTGTTCCCATTTTTGTTTTTTCAAGATATATTTTGATTTCTCTTTTGATTCATTCTTTTGACCCACTGGTTGTTCAAGAGTGTGTTGTTAAATTTCTATATATTTGTAAGTTTTCCATATTTCCCCTATTACTGATTTCTAGTTTGACAGATGGTCAGAGATGATACTTTTTATGGTTGCAGTCTTATTTGCTAACGCTTGTTTTGTGGTCTATCCTATGATCCCTCCTGGAGAATGTTCTGTGTGCACTTAGGATGTGTATTTTGCTCCTGTTGGATGGAATGTTCTATACGTGTCTGTTAGGCCCATTTGGTGTTAAGTGTGGTTCATGTCCAGTGCTTCTTTGTTCATGTTTTGTCTTCATGATCTATTCATTGTTGAAAGTGGGCAGAGAAAAGTCCTACTATTATCAATTATATTGTTGTCTATTTCTTCCATTAGATCTTTCAGTATTTGCTTAATATATTTAGTTGCCCTGATGTTTGGTACATATATATTTATGATTGTCATATCTTCTTGATGAATTATATCATTGTACAATGACTTTTGTTGCATAGTGTTAGTTTTTGGTTTAAAGTTAATTTTGTCTGATATAAATATAATTTTTCCTTCTCTCTTTTGGTTTCCATTTGAATGGAATATTTTTTTCCCATCCCATCTGTTGAAGCTATGTGTGTCCTTAAAGTTGAGAATTGGTTTACTTTCTTCAATAAATGTTTGGTAGAATTCATGAGTGAACTGATCTGGGCCTGTTGTTTCTGTATTGTTAGGATGTCAAGTATTGACTCAGATATTAAAAATACATAGACTTATTGAAATTGTCTATGTCTTCTCATGTGAGTTTTGGCTGACTTTGCCTTTCAAGAAATCGATCCATTGCATCTAGGTTATCAAATTTGTGGGCACAAGTTGTTACAGTATCCTTTTATTATCCTTTTAATGTTCATAGAATCTCCCCTCTTTTATTTCTGATATTTGTAATTTGTGTTCTCTCTCTGTTTTTCTCAGTTGGCTTGGCTAGAAGCTTCTTGATTTTTATTGATCTCTTCAATAAATCAGCTTTTATTTAACTGATTTTTTCCCATTGATTTCCTACTTTAAATTTCATTCATCTCTTCTCTAATTTGTATTATTTACTTACTTCTGCCTTCTTTGAATTTAATTTGCTCTTTTCCCCCCACCTGTTTCCAAAGATACCATTATACAATGCCCCATCTGTCACTGATAACTTTCCTTGCTCTGCACCTCATTTATGTTGAAATACATTACTGAAATATAACTTATGTACAATAAAATGGGCTTCTTCTAAGTGTGTAGTCAAATGGATTTGACGACTAAGCCCTCATGTTACCTCAATTCATATCCAAATCTAATTATTTCTATCACCCCACAGTTCCCTTGCAATCAATCATCCATTCTCCCAGTCATTTACAGATCTGATTTCTGTTGCTACAGATTAGAATTGACTGATTTTGAATATGAATCAGCATCATATGATATGTACTCCTCTCAATTTTCTGTAGTCTTTTGCTTAGCATAATGTTTGAGATTAATCCATATGGTTGTATGCATTAACAGTATATTTCTTTTGATTTCTAAGTAGCTATCAAAAATAATACTAGTATGAATATTTTTGTATGTGTCTTTTCTTGCATGTGTGTATATATTTCTCTTGGGTCAATACTTAAGAGTGAAATTTCTAGGTCAGAGTATACTTCTGTTCTAATATAGTAGATACTACTAAAGCAGTCATATCAAACTATGCACCTAAAGACAGTGTGAGAAATCTAGTTTCTTCACATCTTTACCAACACAATAGAATTTTTGATTTTATAAATTCTGGTGTGTATTTAGTGAATCTCATTTTCTGTACTTCTTGGTGTATAATTAGGTTGAGATTTGTTTCATATATTTACTGGTCTTTCAGAAATCCTTCTGTAAAATATGTTGAAGCCTCTTTGTTCTTTTTTTAAATTAAATTTTCTTTTGTTGTGTTGAATTATAGGAGTTATTTAATTATTCTGGACAGAATAATTTTTTGACTATTCTAGAACAGTCTGTATGGTATATGTGTTGCAAATGTTTTCTTTCAGTTTGTGACTTTTTACTCTTAATGGTATATTTTGATGAACAAATTTTAAAATAATTAAAGTAGCCAACCTTTTTAGCAATCTTCACCATTACAGTTTGTTTTTAATTACTTTATTATGAAATCTTTCATTTCTCCAAAGTCATGATGATATTTTATGTTATCTTTTAGAAGTTCTATTGTTCTATTCACTTGTGAAATTCTTTCACATTCAGATCGACAATATGCCTAGAAATTTTTTTTATATTTGATGTGCAGAGATATAGCCCAAATATTTGGGAAGTAAGCAACACATTTCTAAATAGCCCATGCGTGAAATAGGAAAGCACAAGAAAAATTAAACATTATTTTGCATTAAAATGAAAAGACAGCCTATCAAAATTAAGATGCAGCAAAATCTCTGCTTACAGGTAATTTTATAGCATTAAATGTTTATATGGCAGAAGAAACAAGATCTCAGGGTCAGTGATCTAAACTTTCATTTTAATGACATAGAAGAAGAACAATTAAAATGAGAAAGAAAACAACTAAGGTGCATAAGTCAATGATATTATAAACAGAAAATTGAAACAGAAATTACCAAAACCAAGAGGTGCTTCTTTGAAAAACTACATAAAGTAGA